AAAGAAAGAACCATATACAGATACATATAACCAAATCCCAAAGGAACATATGATCATGAAACCAAACAAGATCAGGAAAAATAAGAAGAAACGTACGAAGGGCGAAAGACAAAGAATAAAAACAGAAGTCCGTATTTTATAAGCAAGCAAACTCTCCTCGGTTTTGTTGTTCAGCTAAACAAACTAGAAATAGGAAGGAAAATGTCAATGTTCCCTCATTTACAAGTAACTCATCTCCTATGTTACGTAACATTCAGTAGCCAAAAACAAATGAAGAAAAGTATGTGATAATCAAATATTAGTCCTTAAAACATATCATGGTCAAATCCCAGATACACAGTACAATATATAGTTAGCATTATACCTGCCTGAATGTGTTTGTAAATAAAGAACTTCTCCCTTCTTCAAACGCGTAGAAGTATAAAGAGTTTTCTTCAAATGTGCAGAAGCAACAATGCTTATACTATACTTAATCCTAAAGAAATTTGAAATAATGAACTTAGGAAGCTGCAATAATCATTAATGGATAGGGAAACAAGAAGAAAGAAAAAATGAGCAGCAAAACACATGACATGAAGTAAAAAGAAGCAATATTTCTGTCAAAGTTTAAATTTTGAGAAGACAATTTGGAGACAAATGGGAGAGAAGAAGATGAGAAGAAGAAGAAAAGAGATATGCAGACGGGAGAAGAAGAAAAAGGGAAAGAGAGATGGAGAGAAGAAGAAATAAAAAAAGAAAAGGAAAAGAGAGGGAGTGATGCTGGAGACAAACAGAAGAAGAAAGAATAAATAAATGAAAAAGAAATAGAGAGGTGATTGGAAAAGTGTTTGACGGAAATATTCCAAAGTTTAATTTAATAAGGTTTTTTTTTAGGTTTATGTGGGTTTTAAATTTGAGGGCATTTGTGTCTATTTAGATGAGTTTTCTGCTATATTTGAAATTTTTTACAAAAACTGACATTTTTGAAATTATGAGTCAAGTTTTGGCTATTTTTGATAAATTCTCCGAGGTGGGGCCAAAAGCCGCCTATTTCCCAAAACATAAAAGTCTCATTTGCTAAGTCAAAGTCGGTCAACATTCCAAATTGCGAGTATTAACAATTTATGATCCTTTCGAGAACATCCGATAAAATTGGAACAAGTTATTCTAACCAAGGTCTTAAATATCGATAGTTTCGGAAATATCGATAGTTCGGAAACACAGAAATATCGATGGAAATATCGGGAAAATATCAATATCGATAAAAATTGGATAAAAACCACGGAAATTGTGATAAATACATGGAAATTTTTAATGAAACTTTAGAAGAAGTTTATTTAGTCAATCATCTATTATTTTGACACAAAAAAAGGAAATGCATTGCATAGTGGGTTTGAGTGATTTAAGTTGATTATATTGCGAGCTGACAAACTCTGTGACTTAGAAAATTTGGAGTAATTAATGAAAGAGAATTAAACATCCCTTAGTAATTTATTTATTATTTTTTATAAATTGCATGATAAGATACATGAGTAACCTTATGTTATTCACTGGACATGGTACACATTGTTATATTTATTATTTTATCAAAAATTGAAAAATAATTAAAGATGTAAACCAATTTGATTTGTCGTGAAAATTAGGCACTCTACCATGCTTGAAAAATAATAGTGAAGATTGAAAATTAAATAAGAACATAAATAAATTTATCTAAGGAAGAATTAAATAGGAAATAAAGAAAATGATTATAGAGATTTAAGTGATTAAGCAACAATTTATTTTACGTTATTTACTAGACATGGTGCGCGTTCTTATATTTATTGTTTATCAAAAATTGAAAAATAATTAAAGATGTAAACCAATTTGATTTTTCATGAAAATTAGGCACTTTACCATGCTTAAAAAATAATAGTGAAGATTGAAAATTAACTAAGAACATAAATAAATTTATCCAAGGAAGAATTAAATAGTAAATAATGGAAATGATTATAGAGATTTAAGTAATTAAGCAACAATTTGAAGGAGAATTTAGTAATGTAAGTACTTATAAGGGTCGTTTAGTACGGCGGTCTGTTATGGACTGGACTAAATTCTAAGACTGTCTTGGATTAGCTCGGATTGGATTAAGCTGGATTAAGTACTGACCTACGTTTGGTGTTACGTCGGACTAAGAAACTGGATTGTAATAATAGTGAAGACTTATGTTTGGTATTGTGTCGGACTAAAAATAATAATTTTTTTAATATTTAATTTTAATTAAGGATTTTAGCCTAAAAATAAATAAAATTCTAATATTTTTGAAAGACTAAAACTGTCTCATTTCTTTTTATTTTTCTTCTTCCTTACTCTTCTCTCCTTTGTCTTTTCTTCTTTGTATTTTTTTCTTTCTTTTCTGGCCCTTTTTTTCTTCCCTGGCCTGTTTCTTTTTTCTTCTTTTTTTCTTCCTTCATCCTTTCTTCTTCTTTCCATTCCCAGGCCATTTCTATTTTTCTTGTTTCCTTCTTCCTATTCTTTCCTTTATATTTTCTTCTTTCTTCCCTCATTTTCACCTTCATGCCACTGCTCTTTTCTACTTTCTTCCCTCCTTTTCACCTTCATGCCACTGCAGATCCAACCATCAACTCTCTCTCTCTCTCTCTCTCTCTCTCTCTCTCTGTGTGTCTCTGTGGTTCCACTAATTAATGATTGTGGTGGTTCGATTGGGTGGTGCTGGTGGTTTAACTGGGTATGTGGTAGCTGGTAATGATGGTTCGATTGACTGATTGGGTGATGGTGATGGTTCGATTGGATATGTGGTGGCTGGTTATGTGTTTGATGGTAATGGTCTGATGGTTGTGGCATCGTGGTGATGGTGGTATGTTTGATGTTTCAGGTTCGTGTGTTTGATGGTAGAGGTGGTATTCAGCCGGACTCTGTGTTCAAAATAGCATCCTCGCTATTTTACGAACCAAGTTTTGGGCTCGCTATATTAAACAAGCGAGTCCAATGTTTTTTTTTCCCATTGGACTATATAATCCCATTTAACTTAATCCCTTCTCTTACCAAACATAGGTTTTAAGGACTATTTAACCCAGTCCAGTCCGATGAGGCTTAGTGAGACATGCCAAACATGGCCATAATGAATAATAAAATAATCAATAACATTAAATGGATTAAATAGAAAAGAAATAAATTATATTAAGTAATTAAGTAACTGATCAACAATATAAAACAATAAGTAATTATGTTAATTTCTATTTTGAAAAACAGCTCGCAAGTATTATATATACTAGATTCCATAGTTTATAATCATAAAGTTATGACCAGCGTGGTGGTTAAGGGGCTTCTAATTTCGGAGTGGAGAGGGATTTGAACCCCACTGTGTACGAGCATGAGTGAGTTTTCAGCGTTTAATTTTTGAAAGTTCATATCGCGATAGATTGACCATTTGCAGCTACCAATTGAACGAAAATATCGTAACTTATGAAGAACTCAACAACCAAATGACGTGCTTAGAGATAAAATCCCATATATTTATCTCTAAGAAAGAATCCCATTACAGCTCCACTCTCAAAAGAAATTAAAAGAAATAAAAAAGATAGCACAATCTTTTCAAAATGATCGTGCATGGAGCAGGTTATCTCCCACTACTCCACTTATCAAAACGATGGCACAATATGGGAAGAAACAGTCTCCCTCAACTGCCACTCACATGTTTGCCTATAAAAAGGCATGAACCAAAGAAAAAAGGGAGGGCCAAAAAAAAAGAGGTGTTGTAGGAAGAAGGGCATAAATTGAAGGCAAGAAGCAAAAGGAGAAAATCCCAAGTGCTGCAAAAGTCACCAGAAAAGAAAAAGAAACACAACCAAGCGCTAGTTAGAACAGCAAATCAAAAGCATCATCGGCAAGGTATAATTATATTTGCCACTTCAGCTTTTTGTTGTTAAATTAACTTGCAAGCAAAAGAGGTTTTGTTGTTAACAACTGCAGCCACCATAATGACGTCAAAACAACAGCAAGTCAAGGCTTTGAGAATGTGCAGTGAGAAATTCCTCCATGTCCCTGCTGTCAAATTGTCAAACAGATCTCAAGAAACTGCAGACGAAAGGATTCACTACTACAAAAAACTGAAGACCGTCATCTTTTGGAATATCAAACTACGACGGCTTTTCACTGTCGTTGTTTATTTGTAAAGACGACGGTTTTTGGTAAAACTGTCGTTGTTCTGAGGTAAAGACGACGGTTTTTTGTTAAAAACCGTCGTTGTATATAGGTGAAGTCGACAGTTTATAAAAAACGTTGTTATTTATGAGTAAAGACGACGGTTTTGGTTTAAAAAACGACAGTATTTTATTAAAACCGTCCTCATTTGTGGGTAAAGACGTCGATATTTTGTTAAAAAGCGTCGTTGATTGTATATAAAGATGGCGGTATTGTGTTAAAACAATCATTAATTATATGTACAAACAATCATTAATTATTTTTAAATTTGTCGTCTAATAAGTTCCCAAGCTATTACATTTTAGTTTTTGGTTTCCTATGATTCTATACAATGATTTTAACTAGAAAACCAATTATATTGCTTTTAACGAACATATACACTCAAAAATTATTTCTTTCATAAAACTTGAAGATTCAATAATTATTACATAGTCAACCAATCTTTATTCTATTACATACATACTTCCTACCTATAATTAGAAATAATGGAGCTCACAAATTCTACTAATTTGATCTTAACTTCATCAATTTGTTATTGGGTTGACTTAGCGTTGCCTTCTTGCACATTTTTCAAGTTGGTGGTGTCGGTAGGACCTGCACGAAAGAGACCCCAATAACTTTAAACAAAAACCTGTTTAGCAACAACCTAAACTTAGCAAAAAGATCTATGCAACTTTAGAATGACAACAGCTTGAGGACTAATCCAGTACTACTTGCTTTACTGAGAGAGAGATTCGGAGAGAGTTAATGACATATATGCTACCATGTAGGCTTTATAGTTGTTAGCTTCAGACTTGGTCCTGCCAACAATTTGCCTTCCATCAGCTGCTAATCCAGCAATTACCTGTAATTGGATAACACCATAAAATTAATGCAAACTTATCTGTCAGAACAAACAGCCTGGGTGATTAAGCGAAACTTAATAATCATGTGAGAAAAGAAAACGAAGTTTAGAAGATATAGCCTGGGTGATTAAGCCTAGAACTGAAATGAGCAAGCACAAAATAAAATGAAAGGAGAGAAAAAACTGAAAAGTAATAAAACAGAGGATTTGCTCTGCATTAGAACCAAATTAAACCTACTCAAATAGAACCATATATATATATATATATATATAACCAATAGCAATTATCAAATTAAACCAAACAAAACATAAGCCTCATTCAAAACAAAATATTGAACCCAAATGCTAACTTTAACAACAAAGGTCAAGGAATTGTACCTTGGTCAGATATTTTACTCCCCCAAAGGTCAATGTATTGTAGTTTAGAAACTACCTAAGGAAAATCATTACAAAACATGAATTTAAGAAATGAAATGGCAAGGGTGGAGAGTCACAGAAATTCAAGTGTCAAAAAATGTTGAATATGAGGTCCACCAACAATAAAACAGATGCCTCAGCCTTGACTTGAGAACAACTGCAGTATCATCCTGACAAGTGAATTAAATTTAAACCATTCATGGATTGTGGGATTCCTCCAGTTAAATTGCAAAAGATATACATACTGAAAGGGTGGTGAAAAAATAGAATTATATCCACATAATTAATAATGTGGTTCCAACTTGCAAGCTATAGCTATTCTGATAAGCATATATTCATATTCAAACTTGCAAGCAAATCCAATCCACAAGTTAGACTATTGCTACACAAACCAATCAATTAATTTTAGTTGTCAGTGCACTTAGGAATTCATATGATTTAAATAAAAATCAAAACATAAACATACCTCATATATGAGAGGCACATTCAACCAGCAAGTCCACAAGATCCTGCAGACTGCCAAACAAGAGATATGGATCTTATACAGAAGAACAAAAAACAATACAAACAAAATATATAAGTTAAATAGTCACCAGTGAATTCATTAAAATAGTAAGGGAATCTTACAGAAACTAAAATATCACTCAAAATTCAAAGAGCAATATAACTGAAATCTCTAAAATCTCTCTGTAATATTAGAATCACAAAAATCTTTAAACATATGAGTGGTAGCACAGAGAGAAAGAGAGAGCCTTACATTGAGGTCCAAGATCGAAGAGAGGATTTGGAGTTGGGGTTGGGGTCGGGGTCGGAGAGTCGAGGAAAATGAAATGAAACTGTTGGCGTGACTTGTGGATATTGACTTACTTTCCTTACACACCAAGAATTCCTATTATAATTATAATTGATTTACTTTAATTCTTGATTTCCTATTGTAAATAGATTTAGGAATTTATTATTTACTTGCCCATTCAGGTTTCGTTGTATTATAAATATGACCTCCTACAAAGAAAAGAATATATAGAAAATTCCCACAAACAAATATTCTCTCATAGTTTTCATATTTTAGCATGGTATCAGAGCGGCGATCTTGGAATTGCTGAGTCTAGTTTCAAACCCCCGCCACCGCTATGGGGGTTGATGATTTTTTCAACCCTCATGGAGGTAGCACCACCGACTCCTTCTCTCCTTCTCAACCAACCATAGTCGAGCTGAGTGCCCAAATGGCTCAGCTCCTACAGATGTAGACTTTGGCCCCGAATTTGATCCTGAATCAGGATCCTATTTTGATGACCCTGAACCCGATCTGGAATCAGGATCCTATTTTGACGACCCCAACCCCGACCCCGACTATGACGACGACGACCCCGACCCCGACTCCGAAGACGACCCCGACCCCGACTCTAATGATGACCACGACCCCGAATTTGTCTATGATTCATACTTCGATCCTGATTTCAACTCCGACTCTAGCCCCGACTCAGGCTCAATTCCCGATCCGAATTCCTACTCAACCTGTATCCTATGCATCTTCCACTGCACAAATTATGACTTCTCGACTAACGACCCCGACACATGGACTAGATTGCGCATATTGTGGTGATCCGAGACACACTCGTGAGACTTGTTTTAAATTGCATGGCTACCCCAATTGGTGGGCTACTCTTAAAGATCGAGGACAATGCAATACGACAAGTAATGGTACTGGTTATGGATTCCATACTTCCAATAAGATTGATTTCAGGAGTTGGATAATTGATTCCGGTGCAACTGATCATATGACGTTTGATCCTGATGATTTTCTGAATACTACACAACCTCGACGAACCTGTATTGCAAATGCCAATGGCGTTACTTATCCTGTGATAGGGGCTGGCACTGTTGCACTCTCATCCTCTCTCACACTGTCTAATACTTTACTTGTTCCATCTTTATCCACTAAATTGTTGTCCGTTAGTCAGCTTACTGAACAATTGAATTGTTGTGTACTCATTTACTTGAGTTTTTGTTTGCTTCAGGATATTCACACTATGGAGATTCTTGGTCGTGGTACTAAGAGAGGGGGGCTATATTATGTCGATGACTTCAGTCCTTGCGTGGCTAACAGTGTGACGCATCCCTTTGATAGCAAACAAAAGCAAATCTGGTTGTGGCACGGTCGATTGGGACATCCGTCTTTTAGTTATATGAAGCATCTTATACCAGATTTATTCTTAGGTTACTTCACATTCGTGGGAGGTAATTTGGTGACATGGAGGAGCAAGAAACAAAATGTAGTAGCTTTATCCAGTGCAGAAGCCAAGTTCAGAGGCATGACTAAAGGGATTTGTGAACTTCTTTGGTTAAGAAAGTTGCTTACTAAACTTGGGTATAAACCTACATCTACAATGAATCTCTTTTGTGACAACAAGGCTGCTATAGCCATTGCACAGAATTCAGTTTAGCATGATCGTACTAAACATGTTGAGGTGGATCGACACTTCATCAAATAGAAGCTTGAGGCTAAAGTGTTTCAGTTTCCTTTTGTGAAATCCGAGGATCAATTGGTGGATATTTTGACAAAGGCGATTTTCAGTAAAGCACTCCACAATTCACTGGATCAGTTGGGCATTGGCGACATCTATGCACCAACGTGAGGGGGAGTGTTAGCGTGACTTGTGGATATTGACTTACTTTCCTTACACACCAAGAATTCCTATTATAATTATAATTGATTTACTTTAATTCTTGATTTCTTATTGTAAATAGATTTAGGAATTTATTATTTACTTGCCCATTCAGGTTTCGTTGTATTATAAATATGACCTCCTACAAGGAAAAGAATATATAGAAAATTCCCACAAACAAATATTCTCTCATAGTTTTAATATTTTAGCAGAAACCTCTTTGCCGATCTTCTTCTCTAAAAGGCTAGGACCGCGATGACCGTGACAACGACAAGCAGACAACAAGCGCAATGACGACGTTCACTCTGTCGATGACACCGATGGCCATCACCTTTTCAACTGTCTTTCTGATTTGCTCTCTGGACCTCGAAGAGAAGTTACCTGCGATGATGACTATCCAAAAGATGGAGCCAACGACGATCCAGAAGACGGTGCCGACGTCGATCCTCGTGACGAAGCCGACACCAAAGTCCACCTCCTCGTTGCCTCTGTCTCTCTGAGATGTGAGAGTCGGCTTAGAAAGGATTGAGCTGGGGAGAGAGGGTTTAGGTGTAGAGATGTGATAGAGAAGGAGAGAGAGAGGGATTGAACTCAGGTAGGGAGAGAGGGCTTCATCGAGAGGGAAGGGAATTTTCATGGAGAGGGAAACTTAACATTGAGCGGGGTGTGAAAAATTAGGTTGAGAAAGACAACGACGGTTTTTGGTGAAGCTAAGAGGGACAACTTAAGTGAAACAGTGTGTAGCGTGTTTTGGATGCACGTTGGTTCTTCCTAACAACCGACGTGTTTTAGAAATATGTTTTGGATTACCACCGTATTAGATGCCTTAAGACGTTGCTTTTATAACCACTGACGTGGTTTGTAGCCAATTTTAAAGCGAAGACGCTTTCTTCAAGTTCCGACGTCTTTTAAGTGACGTGTTTTTGCAATATTGGCGTAGTGATTAGATCCTTCCCAGAGATAGAGTAGTGGTGTCACTGCAACATTGCATAGAAAAAGCTCTCGCAAGGACCTCTTTTCTGTGAAATATGCAAATGGGCTTTCGCAAGAACCCCATTGTATTAAGTGTTGTGAGCGCCTTGCAGGTGTTCATAGACACACTCGATGAAAATAATGCAGATTCTCTTGAATGAAAAACAGAAAGACAAAGGTATTCAAGAGGTCTCTGTACAAAAAGAAAATTGTTTTCTTGTCAGACCAAAACTTCTCCAAGTCAAGCACAAGAGAATTAATTTGCACCCCTCAATTTCCCTGGAGCCTTGGAGTCCTTAACAAATAAAGAAGAAAATGAATGCACAAGTGGGCAACAAGCCTTTCTCTAGCATCCTGCAGGCCAAACTAAATAGGACTTTGCCCCAGCAAAAGATCTAGTCACAAATCAAGGAAGGGATGCACTGCTCAAAGAAAGCCCTCCTGCCATGCCTAAGACTGAAGAAGAAAGCAACAAAAAAAAGGAGTTTCGTATTACTGAAAGAAACCAAAAACAAAACAGGGAAGAGAAAGCCAAAAAGGACAAAGAAAAGGCAAAGTACCTATGTACTCTGACAGAAAGGAGCACAGGAAAGGTCTTGCTTGGGTTTTGGCGTCTCCGACTCAAGTCTCCGTATTGATTGTGGCAGATGAGTAGTTGAAGAGATATATAATTTGGTCCAGTTATAATTGATTTGAACTACTCCAAATAAAGATGGGAGTGACTCAATGGGCGGTTATCTAGTGAGAACGCTTATGTGCGAACGTTATATGAGAACCAAATCCAGCCATCCAAATTATCTGAACGGCTAAAGAGAAAAGGCAAGCTTACGGTAAAAACGGGTAGGCTGCAGTTCCCCTTAGCCCAAGTGTCAAGTCACGCCTGCTTCGAAAAAACGCGCCATTCTTCTTCCTAACAGTGGCCAGTCGTGCCTTTCTTGTCAATAAATTGATGAATTTATGAATTTATGAATGAACCCTAAACACCCAAAATACCTACCAGACATAAATTTGTGTATTTATCTTGTCGCAGAAACTCCCTTGTGTGCTCTGGCTCCTTCGCTTCCTCCCTCATCTAATATTTCTCATTTGAACGGCTGAGAAAGTACATTTCTCTCTAATTCCCTCTCTTTCATTCATATTAAAGTTTGCGTGTTATATTGCATTCAGTTAATGTTTAAATCACTTAATGTTTAAAAAAAAAATTAGGATTTTAGGACATTGATTTTCTGGGTAACAGTAGTCTGTCTCTGGTGTAGGATTTTAGGCTTTGATTTTCTGGGTAAGAGTAGTCTATCTCTGTAGTAGTTGTGTTTGCAAAAATATAAATTGGCGTCAGTTGTTTTGTTTGCGTCTTTTTCTAGTTTCTAGTAATTTGTTGAAGCATAGTAACTAATTTTTAAAGTATTTCTACGGTTTAAATATTATTTACTTTAAGTTGGGTTGTCTTTTTATCGCAATTTATTGTGGTAATTTGTTGAAGTGTAGGAGTAGTCTGTCTCTGTAGTAGTTGTGTTTGCAAAAATATAAATTGGCGTCAGTTGTTTTGTTTGCGTCTTTTTCTAGTTTCTAGTAATTTGTTGAAGCATAGTAACTAATTTTTAAAGTATTTCTACGGTTTAAATATTATTTACTTTAAGTTGGGTTGTCTTTTTATCGCAATTTATTTTGGTAATTTGTTGAAGTGTAGACTCACAGCTGTTGGTTGTTCCTATGTTTTTTGCATTGTGCTTGCTTGTTGTCTTTTCTTAAAATTCTAGGAACCTTCATGTGTTGGTCATTGTAATCCTGCTTTGCCCATCTAGTGGTGTGAGTGTATGGCATCATTTAAGGATTTAATGGGGTTTGGAAAACAAAGAATAAGTACCATTAGAAGTAGAACGCATAAGAGAAAATTGAATCTTAACTGTGAATATGAGATGATTTGGGATGCAGAAGGATCAATGCATCTTCTAGTAGGTATGAATTCTGTATGTTAATGTGTTGAAAATAGTGTTGGTAGGTATCAGTTCTGTGTGTGAATGTGTTGAAAATAGTGTTTGTAGGTCAGTTGAAAACAAAGTTTCAGTTTTGTATCTTAATGTGTTAAAAATAGTGTCAGTAGGTATCCATTATGCATCTGAATGTTTGAAAATAGTGTTTGTAGGTATTAATTATGTATGTTAATGAGTTGAAAATAATGTATCAGTTTGCATCTTAATATGCTGAAAATAGTGTTAGTAGGTATCCATTATGTATGTGAATGTGTTGAAAATAGTGTTTGTAGGTATTCATTATGTATCTTAATGTGATGAAGATGTGTAGATAATATTGTCAGTAGGTATCACTTATGTATGTTAATGTGTTCATACTTGTGTGAGCAGGTGTCACTTCTGTTTCTTAAGCAAAAGGTGTTTGTTGCAGTTATAAAATGGAATATGGGTTCGAACTTTGTTTGCCGGAGTCAAAGGTCTATGCTGCGCGGGTGAATAATATGTGTGTGGCGCATTTAGTCCTGTGTAATTTTGGGGCACATTTCAATGAGTCGCTTATGAAAAGATTTAGAGAGAGCTGTTTTGGGCACCTGTTGGGCCTCCATAAAACTGCATTTAGTGGTCAAATTGTGCATGCTCTGGCACTCCGGCGAGTCGGAGGACTTGGTGTTAAGGACATGATGGGCCTTAGTTATGCAATAGGTCCAATATTGCTCAATTCAGTGTAAAGGATTTTTGTTTGATAAGTGGTCTGAAATGTGGAACAGAGCCTGACATAACGTCCGGGGGGGATGCTCATAATCGATTTATGAAAGCGCATTTTAGCAACAGGGGTCACATTACTTGCAGTGACTTAGAAAATGCATTCCTAAAGTCCGAAAGAGGAAGCGAGGACTTGTTCAAATTGGGACTGCTGTATTTTGTGGAGTTTGTGATAATGGGTAAACCCCAAAATGTGAAGATAAACGAGGAGTACTTACATTTGGTTCATAAAATGGACGAATTCAACAATTATCCGTGGGGATTTATATCTTTTGAGTGTCTGCAAGATTGCAAGATTCTCTGTTGTTTGCTCCTGGGAAGAAAGAGAGTGATGAAGAGAAAAATGGGAAGGTAAAAGGACAAGAAAAGGGAAAAAAGGCGGTGTGGAGTTCAGTGAGAAAAGGGAAGAAAAAGGTGGAAGATGAGAAGCCTAAAAGAATAAACAGACCTGCATGGAATATAAAGGGATTGAGCTATGCTATCCAGGTATGATGTAGTTCAAAATTAGTGTTTGTAAAATTTTAGTTCGTAATTAAGTACTGACTGTGATAATCTATTTGTTTTAGATTTGGGTGTATGAATTAATTGCTGAATTGGGAATTCTCCCCCTTAGATATTGTAAGCGGATCGAGGAACCTGCATTAGTCCCTCGAAATTGCCGGTGGGAATCCACGGATAAAGTGCCTGAGTTTAAAAAGCTGAACGTTTATATATTTCAAAGCAAACAGGTGTGTAGTTAATAATTTATTTCAGTACTAAATTCGTTTCATGAAGAAAGCTGTTTAGTATTGTGTATGACCAGTTAACTCTATGTGTTTGATAGCTTGTTATACTGCACCTCTTACGACCAAGTCAATTGGAGATGAGCCAACCGTATTGGAGTTGGGGATCAGATGTTCTTGAATTTGATGCACCCAGTGTAGGTCTGCGAGTATGTAAGGACCTTGATGAGTTAAACTCTGTTGTGCAGCAGTTGAGGAATGAGGTTGCAGTATTGTACCGTGAGAAGGGTCAGCTAGAGGAGAGAGTTTTATGCTCGGAAAAGTGTACGAGGTATGCAGACGCGAGGAAGACTAGGGATGCTAGAGCGGAGAGGAATAAGACTAAGGATGCTGGAGAGGAGAGGAATAAGACTGAGGATGCTGGAGCGGAGAGGAATAAGACTAAGGATGCTGGAGAGGAGAGGAATGAGATTGAGGATGCTGGAGAGGAGAGTCAGAAGACTGAGGATGCTGGAGAGGAGAGTGATAAAACAGATGATGGTGGAGTAGCCGAATCGAGAGAGCAGTGTGTACAAAATGCTCAAGAAGAGGTGCAATATACACCCCCAGATATAAATTGGGATAATCCAGGTGTGGTGTGTGTCACCCTTTTTAGATTTCTTACGAATCCTCCTCGAAAGATTGACACGTCCACTGCTGAGGTTGAATGTGGCGAAGATGTTATAGTTGGGGTCCGGCGAAAAGAGTGAGATTCTTGGCCCTGCGATGAAGAGGCGAAGGGCAGTGGTGAGGGAAACTCCATGGACAGGTCAGGAGATTCCCAATATTTCAGAGGACACAATTGCTGACCCCCTCAGGCCTGTTCCTCATGATTCCCTTTTGGAGGTTGCGAAATTCTGCTGGGAATGGGGACAAGAAGAAAAGTAAGTTCCCACTACCCATCCTTCGTGAAATGTAAATGGTTTATTATGATTAGTTATTGAGTGAATGGTGAAACGGAATTGATAATAATAATGATTCACAAATACGGTTCACATATGCAGTTATGTGGAGAAGACGGTATGGAAGGTTCGCATAACTTCTTTGTTCGATTGTTGACCAAGGATGGTTGGTTGGATGACTCGGTAAGCATTGTTTGATTTGTGATTTTGGCGAAATTGCCATGCTATGTAGTGATTTATTGATTTAATAATGGAAACAACCCTTTTATGTAGAACATAGACATGGCCTTGCTTTTGGTACGGGAGCGCCACGAGAGGTCTGGCAACTGGGTAGGTTCTGACTGGACGATACTGGACACCACTTTTCAGGTCTGTATTATTTCTTAAGCATTGTTTATTTTCAAATTTGGTATCCGTTATGATGCATAACTCGTGTGCCACTATTCAGAAATGTGCTGCCTTGGATTACAAGGAAATGAAGACGTATGTGAGAAAGTAGGACAGGCCGCACAGCAAGGGTCTACTGGGAATGGTCAAGGGCGAAAGGCTTAAGTTGGCTAAATCATGGTCGTTTGTGAATCATGTTTGTTTGCCCTTCAACCTACAAAGGCAGAAGCACTGGATCTTACTTCTTGTCGATTTAAAAGAGTGTGAGATAAGGGCATAAGATTCAAAAGTATATCTGTGCAGAACTCAAGCCATCCAACGGGCCGTGCAGCCGGTGGCGAAAATTCTGCCCTGGTTGTTAAAGGAATCTGGATATATTGGTGATGGTCTAATTCGGAACAGCGAGTGGCCAGTTATTCGCGTCATGGATGCACCCCAACAAGTAGGCGGGTGAGTAATATTCCACCTAAAGGATTGTCTTATGAAATGGATTTGTTGTACAATGAATCATAGCTTCTTCGATATGTTTCAAGGGCGACTGTGGGATGTACATCCTCAAATACTGCGAGTTTCTGACCTCGAATGTAGACCTGGCCAAGATTTCGCATGACGCCATGCCCTTGTATCGGTTGAAGCTCGCTGTATAGTTGTTGTAGGGATATTCGTAGCTGTGATTCAGTAGGAGATACTATAACTTGCAAAGTTAACTTTTAATTGGGTGGGTGTAGTGTAGTATATGAACTTGCAATGTTAATTGAACCGGGTGGGCAATTTTGTTGGTAACAGACCTTATATTCACGAGTTACCAAACAAACCTTTGTATAATAATATTAATATAAGGGAAGCTTGCAGAGCTTTCTTCGCAGGCTTGAGCGCATCTTTCCCCTTTCTATTTTAGTAAGGTTTTGAAAAGGTAGTTTTCTTGTTTGTTAAGGAACAAAGTCTTCTTTATGATCCAACTCCCCCTTTTCAATTAAAATTAAAGAATAAGTTTTGTATTTTGTTCAAATACAAGCTCTATGAAACCTTGAACACATATTGTTGACAGTATGCTGACCCGAACCCTAAATGGTGCATGATTCTTTTCAAATGTCGAATAAATAGTAATGTATCTTGTTTAGGGCAAACACGATTGTGAAGTTCAGATGCAGGCATATGAAATGTTGAAATTTTTCATTAACTAATTGTGCTGAAGGCGTAATTATATTTCTACATTTCCAAACAAATCTTATATGTAGCTGTCCGGATTACAAAATTACAAAACATATACTTAAACCCAAAACATTTCTTACTTTTTCATCAATTTAACAGCCAAATTCAAAAATGATAGAACTAACATGAGTAGGAGGATTTTATGAATGCCCTTCAGTATACGGATTACTTCAGCATATGCATTAAGTTCCTTCACATCCACCTGGTTTTGAATGTCAGATTCATTTGGGGTGTTGGCTGCTGGGATTACAATGTCAGACCATATTCTTTTATATGGAATAGTTTCAGTTTCGGATTACTGTTTATTATATACAGCTTATTCGGTTTTACATACGAGGTTTGGGAAGATTATACTTACATATGTTGTGAAGCACTTCCAATACGGTCTGCCCAGATTCCTTTCGAATTTGGAAATTAGCTTCACCATCTCAGCATTGCAGTGCCGACACCTCTTTGCTTCAGTGTTTAATGAAGAAATCGACATCTCTTTGCCTAGAGTTGAAAATGAAGAAAACATAAGAATTATACCCTTCCAAATATTTGGTCAAAACCCCGAAATTATTTTCCTCCGATTCTGAAAAGGAATTGGATTTTATTATTTGGTCGAAACATATATATGGAGTTTGAAGTTTGAATTCGCCTTTATAAGTCCCGACAATCCGTGAGCGGGAAATTCCAAAGTTGAATATTTTTCTATATGTTTAACCCTAATACATGAGCGGGAAAATGAAAAGCATTGCTATGGGGAATTTTTAATAATTTTTTTACCCTAAACCGTAGCCTTAAAGGCGTTTATCAAATGAAAATATAAGTAAGACAAAAATTAAAAGGAAAAGGGGCATGTGGCGCCATGGGGATGCGCCGGGTGTCACTAAGGTCTGCAGCTCCCCACTCCGGCTCCGCCACTTGGCATTCCGTGTGTATTTTATTCCTTTTTTTTTCAGAAAATCGTAAAAAATACAGGAAAATTCAAAAAAAATGGGGGGAAAATTCCTAAGTATGTATCGGGATGAATACTTTGTACTGAAAGTAGAATAACGGATTTTGGTGTGAGGGAAAAATAAAATTCGGGAACAAACCCTAGTGTTGGATGATGCAAATGAAAACACAAGTACACTTTTCAAACCCTACACACTTATTTGTTCGATCACATTAATTCCGTATGGATATTTATACGACACGGCCTTTTTCCGGATATTTCATCGAAGGAAATGTTGTCACGAGTGCGGAGGATTTTTTCTGGAATTTTTCCCCCTTCAATTCGATTTTTAAATGAATATCTAATGGGAAATGAATAAAAAATTTGAAAAGGGGCATGTGGCGCCATGGGGATGCGCCACGTGTCGCTGAGGTCTGCAGCTCCCCACTCCGGCTCCACCACTTGACATTCCGTGTGTTTTTTATTTTTTTTTTTTTTTTTTTTTTTTTTTTCAAAATCGTAAAAAAAAGGAAAATTCAGAAAAAATGGGGGAAAAATTCCTAAGTATGTATCGAGATGAATACTTCGTACTGAAAGTAGAATAATGGATTTTGGTGTGAGGGAAAAATAAAATTCGGGAACAAACCCTAGTGTTGGATGATGCAAATGAAAACACTAGTACACTTTTCAAACCCTACACTCTTATTTGTTCGATCACATTAATTCCGTATGGATATTTATATGACGCGGCCTTTTTCCGGATATTTCATCGAAGGAAATGTCGTCATGAGTGCGGAGGATTTTTTCTGGAATTTTTCCCCCTTTAATTCGATTTTTAAATGAATATTTAATGGGAAATGAATAAAAAATTTGAAAAGGGGCGTGTGGCGCCATAGGGATGTGCCGTGTGTCGCTGAGGTCTGCAGCTCCCCACTCCGGCACCGCCACTTGGCATTCCGTGTGTATTTTATTCCTTTTTTTTTCAAAAAATCGTAAAAAAATATAGGAAAATTCAGAAAAAATGGGGGAAAAATTCCTAAGTATGTATTGGGATGAATACTCCGTCAGGAGTTTTGACTTATACTTCTCAAGGAGTTTTTGGTTAAATACGCTATTTAAATCACTTCTCAAGGAGTTTTTGACTTATACTTGTCAAGGAATTTTGTATTGTTGTTGTTGCAACAATCGTAAACATTGCATGACAAATTCCGAATGTGAAGGGGAAACACCCAACACTTATTTCCCCCCTTAAATCATTATGTTAGTGAAATAGAATTTCGGATTTCTTTTTTAAACTATTTTTTATCTTTGAAATATATTTTCAAATGCAGGACAAATCAGGAAATGTTGGGAAAGTGAAAACGTAATTAAAGAATCACCAGAGTATCTTAGAAGATCAAGGTTGGCTTAGACCCGATGTGACTGAAAGGATAATCCCTCATGCATTGACAACACGCAACCTCCCTGGCATTTTGGTGTCTATCATCTTCAACGAATGACTGAAATGGGGAATAGGAACCAGCAATTCCCCATTTCAGAACACATAGTGAAACCATAGCACCCAAAACCATCCAAAACATATGCACGCAAGCTACAAAGGTCTATGGAACAGAAACGCCTACAAACCTGTATTGAAATTGGATCTTAGAAGTGTACAACATTACCATAAACAGACCTTCAATTAAAAACATTAAACAGAAGGTAAACTTCCGCTATAAATAAAACAAACAAAACCCAAAACACAGTTTAATACCCATATCATATCATGGATATTTAATTTATTAAATCCAACAGTCTCCCTACGGAGTTTGCGCTCGAAGCAGTACAGCTCCCTCTTCCATTTGCAGGGTTCACAGCAGTTCCAGGTAGATACCGTGTCAGAGTAGTTGCCCTCCCAGCCCCATTGGAATTTGAAAAACCACTCCTGATTACCCTCACAGTTAACGCAGGTAAGAAAAAAAGTTGTGGGAGCAGTAAACTTTGCAAGAGTTGGAGGAGTCACCACGCCAGAAATGGTATACCTCATCAGTCGATTAAAAAATGATGCCCTGCATGCTTGCATGTCAATTTGCTTCGTTTTGCTTAGATGGCACAACCATTCCATCGCATCCTGTTCGCCCTCCGTAGGGTTCACCAGCCCTAGCAAGCCAACAATATAGGAGGATTCCATATGCCCTGCCTTAGCCGCCACTCGGAAGTTGTTGACAGCCTCATCATCTTTCAATATGAAGAATTGAGTTACAGCTTCTTTGTAAATGATTTCTGGATTTTTGTGTTCCTTGCACTTTTGCAAGAAGTCAACAATTTTCTCTTGATCAAAGCCGTACCATTCAGGATGCCACTGGTACTTCTATACAGACACGGTTCGCCAAACCTCAGGATCATTCAGCATTTGTTGAAATAACTTGCATGTCCCCGCCATGCTGTACAGATCTTCAGAGGAGTGCTATGAAACCAACAGCAGCACCTTAAACCATGCTTCGGCTGGGATGCCCATCTGGGTTGTTGGAGAAGAGGGATTGCAAAAGGTATGTGTACAGTTGATGAAGGGTGTGTCTGGACAAATGAGGAAGAAATGTATATATTGGAACGAACCGTCGTCACCTAAACTATGGAGGAAGACAACTTTGGGTTTAGATCATGTATTATTGGCTTCGTTTCCCAACCGGTGTGACTGAAACGACAGTTCACACACCTCGATGATCCAGGTTTTGGTGGTAAATTGGTCTTCTCGCGGCTCCATGCTTAGGCGTGTTCGCATTTATGATACTAGTACTACTAATCAACGTTAGCAGTCAAAATATTAAATTTTATGATAATGATTATGCAAATATCACATCGCTACTTGTGGAGGTAAACTTTGTTGCATGTGAATAATTTAACACCAAAGTATGAAACAAAATATCATATCAACGCACGATTAACAGTACAGAAAATGAAAGCACTATTTATGACATCACCAGTTATGAAGGTAATCTAAATTCAACATGAGCAAGTAAACAATTTTTTTTTCTAAAATATGATACTAAATATGAACTCATATCACCAGTAAAAAAACAAAAAAAAGTGATTGTGGTACTTATAATGCAAATATCACATCACAAGTTGTGAAGGTAACTTACATTTGAACATAACCAACTCAACAGTTTCATCTTCGCAAATATGACACTAAATACGAAGGGTAAAGAATTTGAAAATATTGTATATGATACAAATAATGCAAATATGACATCACCAGTTCTCAAGGTAACTAAAGTTGCAGCTCCCCACTCGAAGTCAACATTGGCATTTTGGTGGGTAAAATAAAAAGGGGGACTGATCTATAAATACCAATGTAAGAGTATTTTATCTCCCATTGCACCTCCACTTGCTCCAAAGAAGCCTAAACTCAGAATGGGTTCCCCTAAAAAAATCCTCCCATACTTATAACAACTCCAGCAAAAAATGCAGAGCCTTTGTCACAGAGGAATAATAAAGCTGAAGATGTTGCTGATGGAGCTGCGAAATCCATAAACTTTTCATCTGAGGACCATAATGATGTAGCTCGGATCGGCAAGATGAGGTATGATGCGTTGATCATGGAAATCAAACGCCTGGAGATACGTCTAAGATGGTATAAAGAAACATTGGGGAAGGAGAAAAAGAAAGCGAAATTCCACCTTCGATCAGTCCAAAGAATGAAACTGAGGGTTTGGCTTGCGAAAGGAAAAGGTGTTCGAAGGTTCAATACTTCGAATGAGTCTGTGCAGATGAGAGAAGCAGAAGCACGCAAAGGATTTGACCTGTTCCACGAGTTTGCAAGATGTGTTGTCCTAAGCTACAACTGGGACGGGATCGCCATGGAGTAAACCGTCCTTGGATAAAGTTCATTTTGGGGGGTTGTAAGTATTTTGTTCGGAACAAATGTGTGGTTCTTTTTTAGTACGTTTTTTGGCATTTTGTGTGGGCTCCTGAAGGTGTAAAAACTGTGGTTTGAAGTTTTCATATTTCTTTGGTAATGTATCCTACTCTAAGACGTGAAGGACAAGTGTAAGCAAATGGGGAAACTATTTTCAATTTTTTAAGCGTACTTCTGTCTACATAAATTGTTGTGCTTTTATGAAGTTTGTTTATATTATTTTATGATCACATATTTCTTTGTGTTATTTTATAACGCCTAAAAGGCATGGAATAGAAACAACAAAGGTGGATTTGTTGATAATCCAGGTATTTATGTCGCATAGTAATCAAGTAATGGAGGGTTGGCTTTATATCGTTCGTTTATGTCGATACTCTGTATGTTCATAGCATATTTAATATATGAGGTAAATGCCCTTGTGTGTTTCCATTTTGGGTCATTTGAATAAAATAATGCAGCTATGCAAAAAAATATATTAGTAAATACAGTGCTAAATAAATTTATTTCGAAGTCTGCGTTTGTTTCCCCCTTTTTTAAGTAATTGGGTGAGTTTTGAGGTTTGAGCATTTATTTGATCACTTATATGGTAGCTAATTATGTTCATAACTTGGCATTTTAGAGGTTTGCTTATTGGTTTCAAATATATAATTTTACCAATGAAATAACAAGAACCATATTGTGTCTGTCAATTGAAAGGAGAAAATATATAAATATTTTTCCGAACAATTATATATGAAGCAAATGAAACTGATACTTGTGTTATTATAAATTAGATAATGAACATTAAGGAAGTACACTTCTAATTTTTGCAAAACATAATGTTACGGTTAAAAGGAAAGCAAGTTATCACCACATTCCAAAGATGGAGTGTACACTCTGTATTGTCACATCAGATGAAATTAAGTACGAAATTAAGTTTTCAAAATCACTTTGGATGATTTATAGCTTCCCCTAGTATTGTAACGGCACAAGGAGTTGGAAGCAATTTTCCAATTTTTCTCCTATTTATTACAATTTTTAAATCATTTTGCATTACAAAATTTAAAACATAAAGAAATAACACACATGCCAACAGTTGACCGCATCCCCCTTCAGTATGGGCACACGTGTATGCCAGTGGCCATTACCACATCAGTCCTTTCCGTGTGAATTTAAATGAATATTGCTATTGTCTTACAAAATTCATAACTAAATATACAAAAATGGGGAAAAAATTTCGCAAATTGCTACAAACTCATTCAAACATGATAAATCAAAATTCAAGTGTGTGCTAACATTTTTACTAATCATGTGAGGCTCCTGTGATTAACTAAATCAAATACTCTAATTACTTAAAAACTATATATATTAAAGTGATGGGACAAAAGGAGAAAAAACAAAATGGAAAACTTCCTTACATAATATATAAACGTTGTTTTATGCCCATGGGCTACTCATGCCTTTCATCTCTCTTTTCTTCTTTCCAGTCGTCTTGTTCGCATACAAACCTTCAGCCGAATCCCCCAATCTGACGATTTTGTCAACATGTCCGCCAGTTCAAGCGGCAAAGCGAATGAGGGGGACTCCGATGGCTCATGGGAATATGCCTCCAATTATCCAAGGTCCCCACCACCACCGCTGCCGCTTCCAACCTCCTCTGCAAGCGAGGGGGACTCCGATGATCCCACTGTGGAAATAAATGATATGAAGAATAAACTGGAACACAACTCTTCCTTGGTCCATTATTGGACTCAAAAGTGTGTCGGAGCTGAGCAGAAGTTGGCTTATTTGACTCGGCAAGTTAACAAAGCCCGTTACCGAAAAGAGAAGCAGAGAATTCGTGCCCAAAGAAGAAAGCACACAGCAGAGGATTTTCATATGACAGAGGTGGATGCTACGTACAAATCTTTGAGCATCCACAAAGGAGGCGACAACCAAGGCCAGGCAATGTCTGTGGCTTTCAACCAAGGTTTTGAGAAATTCCAACGGTTCGTTGCAGATGTCCACAAAGATATTGACTGGGATGCCATAACCCTGTCTGCTGCACAGGAAATCATCTCCAGTGGTGCACACCCAACAGAGCAAGGCCACCAACCAGCAAAAGGCAACGATAATGATTGGTGATAGCTATATCAATCCGTACACAATCCCTTAGCAGTTGTTTGTTTTTGTTAATGCCCGATCTAGGTTAGTGTTTAAATGTGTATGCCCGATCTGGGTTAGTGTTTAAATGTGAATGCCCAATCTGGGTTAGTGTTTAAATGTGAATGCCCGATCATGCTTACTGTTTTCATGTTAATGCCCGATCATGCTTACACGTAGCTTATTATTTCGTTTTACACTGTTATCAAACCTAGAGTTCAATCACAGTTCGATCACTAACTTCCGAATTAGAAGTGTTCATTTCGTAATAGTGCTCACAATTTTTTGTTTAATTCATTGTTGGTGGGGAGACAATTTGTTTCAAGATTCTCTGACATAGATATTCGTTGGGTGAGACTTTACTGAGACATAGGGATTGTTTCAAGATTCTCTTACTGACACATAGTCATGGTTTCAAGATTCCCTTTGATCTTTTCAAATTCATTGCAACCATTGCAAATTTGTGTACAAAACCCTTTGCATGATTCCCCCAAACTCGTTCTCCTTCAAACAAGGGCTTTAGGTTCTGAAAATCCCAAACCCCAGAGGACATCTGGGACATCAACCTTTCAACAAAAGATGGATCCGAAACTTCGAGTTACGCATTGAAAGCATGGTGCCTTTCACGACCAAAAAATATGTAAATCGGTATCAATAAATGTTAAAATTCCGGGACCATAAATGAAATCAAACTCTTCCAGATAGTTATGTGTTTAATAATAAACCATAGTTTGTATCAATGGACATGAGGAATTTACCTAAGATTCACTAACGCTTCCAGATACTTTCAAAAACATGTAAATAAGTATCAATAAGTGCTCAAACTACGGGACCATACATGGAATCAAACTCTTGCATATATGACTCTGTCATAGTAGGTTCACTATCCTGCGTGCTCTGAGTAGGCTGCAAATTCTCACCAACAGGACCACCAAGTTCTGTGTCGGAAGATGAAGAGCTGCCACATCAGAAAAAAAAATAATAATAAACATCAACAACATAAATTTCAAAGCACAATATAACACATATTCACTTACGGGCTCGCAAGTTTTGGACAAGTCCGTCTATCATGATCAGTCTTCCTACATTCAGTGCACCGACGTTTATGTCGTTGCGTTGCCTTCTCTTTTTCTCCTTTAACTCTTTTCGTACGCCCTTTTACTTTCACTCGATGTTGATCTTTGATTCTGAGTTGGGGATAACTAGTTCCGACATCTCCATTGGGTTCTTCGACATGAGCTCTTGATGACACCAATGTTGTAAGCTTCCCACGAATGTCCTCAAAAGATTTTTCCAGCAACTCAAAACCTTCATCACACAACAAAGCTGAATCAATCAACTCACTTGCAACTTTGCAAACTTTCGCTCTCTTAACCAAAAGCAAACCATCAACGGAATCGTTAAGTTCTTTGTGATTCTTATCAAATATTATACTGCTTTTCACACTTTGAAGCCATCGTTTCAATATGTACTTGTCTGGCAAGTGCTTAACTTGCTTCATTCTTAAGAATGCTAGGATGGGTCGACACGGAATACCCCAAAATTCAAAACCTTTGCAGCTGCAATAAGCTTTATCGGCATCTTTATCATGCACAAGCTCCTTCATCCGTGTCACCCCCGGATTTACCCGCTCACTTACTTTGTATCTGCAGTGTGTCTCATCTTCGTCTACAAGTTCGAACAAGCATAAAAGACTTCTGAAGTCTTCCCTTTCAAACATTTCCAGAATTTTCCGAGTGTAAATGCATCCCATTTGATGTTGCATTGGTGTTTGAAATGACAGTGGAGGTTTTTCATTGTAATAAACATGATCAGCCATTAACTCCTTGTGTCTTTGTGAAGCAAGAGCTCTCTCAAAACGTACAATGAATTCCATCAATGTATTTTTCTGGTTAATATATTGTTTGAAAAATGAATGACAAATTTCGGCCCGTTGACTACTTGACATCCCAGCCGAAAACACATGTTTTACATATGATGGAACCCAATTCTCCCGCATAGCATGAATTGAGCACGGCCACACATAGTCTTGCAGCCCATTGTTTGTGATGATTTCCTCCCATTTCACATCAAATTCTTCTTTCTTGTCCATATCCCATATGCATTTGTTCATTTCCGAAAAACATTCTCCAATGCCGGGTTTCTCTGTAATCTTATTCAAGATATGCCATATGCAATATCTATGGAATGTTGTCGGGAGAGTTACAGCAATTGCCTTTGACATGGCTGCATCTTGATCAGTGATGATCATTTTGGGTGGCTCACCCGGCATGGCTTTCTTGAATTCCTCTAACAACCATACAAATGAATCCGTGGTTTCACTAGTTAGGAATGCACAACCAAACAACACTGTCTACCGATGGTTATGAACGCCTAACAAAGGCGTAAAGACCATCCCATAGCGGTTCGTGTTGAATGTTGTATCAAATACCACCACATCTCCAAAAAAAACCATAAGCTCGTCTTGACCTTGCATCTGACCAGAAAACATTACCCATCCTTCCTTCCGAATCTACCTCCATCTTGAAATAAAATGATTCATTCTTTTCTTGCATAGCCATAAAATGCTCCTTAAGCAGCTCTGCATCTTGGCCAATCACCTCTCCACGCACGTCCCTTACATAATTATAGACATCTCTCTTAACAAACCCAACATTTTCTAATCCCCCTACTTGCACCTCAAGAAGGCTTAACTGTTTATGTACCGGAATATTAACTTTGCTCATATCTGCACTATAGGCCTTTGTAGACTCTGTTAAGTTACGGTGAGATCTCAATAGATGGACTTTATCAACTGTGGTCATGTCATGGTTGTGTACCTCATTGAATCCTACAACAATGTATTTATTCTTGTCTTTCATCTTCAATATCGCAAGTTTAGCCTTGCAACCAGTTCGAGTACAACCTTGGCGTCTTCTCTTATGACTAACAGTGCTTGTCAATGCATACCCCTGTTTACAACATACATATTCTTTCCTTGTTACCTCTCCTGTCATTGTGCACGTCCTCGTTGTAGAACACCGAATGCCGAATCCGGCTTTCGCAACATACATATTATAGAAATTGAACACATCGTCACAGCGATCAAATTCAAGTCCCAATTTTGGTTTCAACTCCGACCTTACTTCCGGTGTCACCTGTCCTTCACACTCCATTGCACAGTTCTTGCAATTTAACCCTGAATTCACCACCATCATACCAACATTAGCACATGCTTTCAAATAGCTTTAAAATATATATATATTAACTAACATATGATATGAAAATGATTCCCTGGTGAAATATTAAAGACTTACATACAAACTAATGTAACTCATGCTTATGCCCAATAATAAACTTGACAAATACAGTGTAAAGAGCTTCAACATATATATATATTAACTAACATATGATATGAAAACGACTCTTTGGTGAAATATTCAAGACCAACATACAAAATTATGTAACTGATGCTTATGCCCAATAATAAACTTGACAAATACAGTATAAAGATCTTTAAAATATATACGTTAACTAACATATGATATGAAAATGATTCTTTGGTGAAATATTAAAGACCTACATACAAACTAATGTAACTCATGCTTATGCCCAATAATAAACTTGACAAATACAGTATATCACTTACCTCGTGAGTCATTTCCAACTTCAACATTTCTACAAATATGACAATGTCGCCCTTTAAGATCTGGACGTCATCCCCAAACACTTTTCTTCTTCCTCAACCCCTGTTTCGACCGTGCTCAACGATTTCAAAACCAAGAGAACAGCACAACGGTCGCGGTCACCAGTTTCCAACTCAATAAGTTGCTCAAGGATTGACGAATGTGTCGACTACAAAGACCGAACCACAAAGATGATAATATAAAATACACGAACACTTTCTTTCGCCTGAATGAGAAACCCAAAAAATGAGGGCTAATACTTCTGTGTTCTTCCTGGAATCGAATAAGGAATAACAGGGGCTCTCTCTCTTCAGTGTTATTGGTCTTGCTCACTCAAAGCTGATAAAAATACACGAACACTTTCTTTTGCCTGAATGAGAAACCCAGAAAAATGAGGGCTAATACTTCTGTGTTCTTCTTGGAATCGAATAAGGAATAATAGGAGCTCTCTCTCTTCAGTGTTATTGGTCTTGCTCAATCAAAGCTGATAAAAATATTGGCCACCTTTAGCAAAACGAACATTTGGATTGGAGGAGACGTCTGTTTTGGAGGGGACGTCTGTTTCCGACTCGACGTTTTGGCGGGAGGAGAGAGAAGAAGGCCTCGTTCTAATACAACACCTACACTTACAATTTCTTTTGATGTAGCCGTTAGATTAGATCCAACGGTGTTCTCACGTAACGTTCGCACATAAGCGTTCTCACCTGATCCAAACCGGTGACTCAATTTGGATTAATCTCTACTACTCCAAATAGATATCGATTTCAAATGCAGCTAGCTCTTAAAACTTTTCTGACATCCCTTTTGTTTGTGGGCCAACTAATAAAAATGTTAAGGCCTGAAAACAAATTGATGGGTTGACAAAACAAATTACTCATCAACTTTCAAGAGCCCAAAATATTTTATGGGTGGTCCAAATAAATTATGTGGTTAATGGATTAATTTGTAAATCCTCACAACCATATGTGAGTAAATCAATGGGCTCATTAAAATGCCTTTTAATTTTCTTTGGACATTAACAATAAAAAAATGGTACAAAACCATTCCAAATTTTCTCATGGGTCATCTACCCTGCAAATTTCAATGAGATCAAATTCAAATCTCTCAAACATACAAATTCTTTCAAGGGGTCATTTATTCTTTGAAAGTCCAACCAAATTTTCAAGGAACTACGTCTGGTTTGATTCCACCAAGGATACGTAGGCAATTTGGAAACTCAATCCAAATACAACCGCAAGCCCAAACAGAATCCCTGGTGTCCTTAACCAAATTCACCCCAAACACTTTTCCAACCACAAAATCAAATTGAATCCCTGGTCCAACCACATTCATTCAAATTCCATAAAATATTTCTCATACCACAAATTCTTTCAAGGGATCATTCATTCCTTGAAAGTCCAATCAAATTATTTGAGAACTACAAAAGGCTTGATCCCCAAAATGGGGTATGTAGGCAGTCTAAGGTTCCCTGGATGCAGCCGCAACATCAAATCAAATTCCATTATTTATTTCATTCTTCATATTGGAATCAAAGGGTCTTTCTCTTTCCAAAGAGATTATAATTAAGAGATATTTTTATCTTGAATGGGTCGTACTCAATTAAAAATTAAAAAAGCTCTTATTTGTAAATAAGAGTGAGATTATGTTGAGTGAATTTTTAATTTCCTTATTACATTTTTTATCTAACAATTCATAATATGAACGTCTGAAGGATGTGCTATGCTTTGTATTAGTTTTCTAATTTTTGTTTGGACATCTTATTTGAACAGGTGTAATGTGCCCATTTTGATGTATAAAGACCAACATATTTTGCAAAAGAAGAACAATATAATCTTTAGTTTGGAAAAATTACATTTTTGTAGATGTGACGCAGTATTCTCCTTTTCTTTTTGTTATCTTGTTTGGCCGAGGTTACATTTTGTACAAGGGAATAATTATTTGTCCTTTTTGTTGCACTATTTGGCCAAAAGACTACTTTTATACATAAGATTAAGTTTGTGCTCTTCCTTGATATGTTATTTGAAGAAGGACTAGTCAATTATAAATCCATTCATGCAAGTTACCCATGTTACACTTGATCAAAGAAATTTAACATATTTCTTCTTTGAGTTATTGATATCAGGCCAAAAAAAAACTTCTTTGAGTTGTTAATATAAAAAACAAAATTATACAGCAAACAAAATTTTATTAGCATTACTTCATTATTTAAAAAAATGTCATTAGTTTGTAGCAATAAAATAAATCACTTCGTTAAAAAGATAAAATATATAATATAAAAAAATCTATGGATAGAAGAGTTGAAGGAGAGGGATTGAACAGAGGCAGGAACGATTTTGAACAAATGGAAGGTTTTTGCATGAGAGACGCAAGAGGAATGGCAAAAAAAGAAAAGAATGTAAAACATTAGGGCCTGTTTGGTATTCAACTTGAATCCAACTTTTTAAACTCAAAAACAGAATTTGAGTCCAAAACAAAGAAAACCTGTTTGGTAGTCCTATTTTTGAAAACTCAAACTCAAGAACAACTAAAAAAACACCCTCATTATTAAAAACAAAAAAAATATGTTTTTTCAGTTTTTTTCTAACAACCCACAAGTTCTCAAAATTTTAAGATTTGAAAACAGTTTTCAAGTTGCATACTAAACAAGTTTTTGAATCTTAAAAATAGATTTAAGAACTCCTTTTTAAGAAAAATCAAAGTTTCTGAATTCCCTATTTGAATAGAATACCAAACGCCCCCTTAACTTTGAGAAAGAAAAAAAAATTAATTGGTTAGTAAAAGGGCTGGCACGGATGTAGAGATGGTATGAAGAGAAATTTTACTTGTTGGTTGCTTTTATTGATTAAAGTGTATTATTAAAAGTTTTTAAAGAAGATTGGCATGTGGCAGTATCTTATTGGCTTGGGATAATGAGGTGGAAAACTGACTTGGCATCCCCGTGTCAGGAAAGTTTTTCTCCAATTTTAGAGGCTGCGATTTGAATGTTTAGTCAAAGGTGGGGCCAAAAGCCGCCTATTTCCCAAAAAATAAAAGTCGAAGTTGGTCGACATTTACCAAATTGCGAGTATTAACAATTTATGGTCCTTTCGAGAACATCCGATAAAATTGGAACAAGTATTCTAACGACAGCCATGTCTTTTTCATATCCCCAATCCCTGTGCACTGGTAGTTTCTCCAACTGTCCTCCTGATTTCTTCACATGTCTCCTCAAATTTTCTCGGAAAATTGGAGAAGGCCGATAACAATTCTCATCTCTGGCTTGAGTTTCGTTGTCTTCCTCATCCTTGACTTTCTTGACAACTTTCTCTGCATCCTGTATAGATATATTGATGAGCTCTTTGAAGGGCAGGCCTCCTCTTGTTACTGTGCAAGCAAGGAAGAGCAGGTGAGGAATGTGGGTGGTCATGGAGAAGGTGAGCTTTCAGAGAGTCTATATCAGAGGAAAAATGCTTTCAGGGAAATGGGTTTTCTTGGATTTGCCAAAAAGTCCAGGAAAATTGGTGGTGGAGCAGTTGCCAATAGGTGGTCTGATTGTGGATGTGAGTCTTGTCTTTCATGGATGAATGATTGTGATCAGAAGCTTCACTTTGTTGTTAGGGAGCCCTCGCAAGGTATTTTGAAAATGCATCCCATTTACATTCTAATTGTAGATTTGGGTGGTTTTAGACTTTCATTTAGTTGCTGAGAGAGTATGGAGGACAAGAAATATTGACTTTCCGTTTTCATTTGTCTGATTTAGGTTGTTTGTTGCTATCTAATGTGGCATAAGATAATCACTGATATTGTTGCCATTTCATATTTGACAGCCATCACTGATCAGGATTGCAGAGGAAAGCCAGTCGAGAATGTGATATTCTTGCATGGGTTTCTTTGTTCTTCCTCATTTTGGACAGAAACAGTGTTTCCAAATCTTTCTGGACGTGTGAACCGTAATTATAGATTGTTTGCTATCGACCTCTTGGGATTTGGAAGAAGCCCAAAGCCAAGGGACTGTATGTATACTTTGAAGGATCATTTGGAAATGATTGAGAAGTCTGTGATCTGTCCATTTCAATTGGATTCTTTCCACTTGGTTGCACACTCCATGGGTTGTTTAATAGCAATTGCATTAGCTGCTAAGCACTCGAAATTAATAAAATCAATCACTCTTGTAGCACCTGTAAGTTCATGAGCTTATATATTTGCTGAATCTTTAGACATCTATACATTTCCTCTGTTGTCTTTGTTCCATATTCTGAATATGTGGTTTTATTTTATCATTTGTAGCCTTACATCCCTTCTAAAGATGGAGATAGCTTAAGAGTACTTGAAAAACTTGCCGGAAGGAAACTATGGCCACCGTTCCTGTTTGGAACATCATTTATGTCGTGGTACGAACACCTAGGTCGATGTTTCTGCTTTCTTGTATGCCGGAATCACAGGATGTGGGAGAGGATTGTGAAGCTACTCACTCGGAGAAGGTAACTAAATATTTATATCATGATTTACTAGAAAGAAGAAAATGTAGCAAAGCAAACAAATTGTTTAGGTCATTCCATTTCAAACGACATTTCATGATAAGCCTGTCTTATGTTTCCTTCTTAGGGATCTTCATTTTATGATTATGGACTTGACTAGACACACCCATCACTCAGCTTGGCACACCATGCACAATGTGATATGTGGAGGAGCAAAGTTAATGGATGGTTACTTGCAAGTTTTGAGCAAAGCTGGGGTTAAAGTTGTTGTTATCCATGGTGATAAAGACAATGTTGTCCCTCTGGAGTGCAGCAACAACATTCAGATGATAGTTCCTAATGCAGAGGTTACCATCATCAAAAATGCAGATCACAGTTCTGTGCTGCTTGGTAGAGAGAGAGATTTTACTCGGCGTCTAGAGCGTATTTGGGAATCGATCGCTTGCTGATACAGCTAGAATGGAACAGATGTTGTTTCTACAATAACACAGTGTGTAGATTTTCTTTGCCAGAACATTCTTTTTGTTAAGCCAAAAATGATAAGTGGGGAACATGAATTAGAATTAGGTTCCTCTGAATTGACAAAAAATTAAAAATAAAACTAGCCTACACCCTCCACCAGTCGCTGCCAGACCCAAAGCTCAACCCAAAAGGAGGCAAAGACTGTTGGAATAAGTTTGGATTTGTTCCTCAATGTTCTTTGTATTTATTGCCGTTGGTAGGTTGTATTGCTGGTAGCTTTGGAGTCCTTGGAGGTTGTGGGCCAAAGGTGTTGGCGGTTCAGTTGTATCTATCAAATTAAACCACATCAATTAGCAGCTAAAGTGCCTCAGTTACATCAATTGAAATTATATGTATTTTTATTCCTTTTATTATTTATTAATGAGAAAAAAACAAGAACAAAACAAAAAAGCGGTATGGGAATTTGTGGTATAAGAAAATGTGATAAAATTTGTGGGAATTATTGAATTTTTATTGAAAATTGATGGCTGTATTTTCTTCCCTTTGAGTACTTTTTTCTGGTCTGATCCTTTTGATTTGAGTACTTATGAATAAGAAAAATAATTACAAGAACATTATCATTATTATTATTATATTATTACTAGCCCCTTGTGCCAATTGGTTTTTTTTTTTTTTTTAAATAAATAAATTATTTTTTTTTTTTTTTTTTTTTTTTTAAGAAAAGATAACATGGGTAGTTATGTTCTATAAAAGTAGGACCTATTATCTGATTTTGTTTTTAATTTTAATTTTTTAATATGAAAAAAAATGTGAATTTACCATATTATCCTCATTTAATTAATAATTTCAATTTTTAATGTTTGAATTAACCAAGAACATTTTCTGGTATTTTGAATGTCTTACCATTCTCTGCCTTTTACTTTATCGGATAGTTGAAATCTTGTTTAAATACGTGATACACAACCTAATTTTTTTTTTGGGTCAAAAATAGAAAAGTGGATGAGAATTTACTTGCACACCCGCTTAGCAGTTTTGAACCTAAGACCTCAATCTTAGACCAAACATACTTTTCCATTATGGTATAACCCACTAACACAACCCATATAAACATGGTTCATTCAAATTTCGTAATATATTCATGTTATTTCATTTGCTGTTTCTCATTATTTTACTTCCATGATGCGATGGAGTTGTGTTGATACTTACTCGTAGGCACAACCATAATAAATACATGAACTGCAACTTCAACTTGTATTGTATTGCAGTAGACATGTTTTAAGCATGTGCTCTCTCAAGACAAGAAAAATCATGCTTTACTCGTGTCATCTCAATCTTTCTTTGTTATGGATAACATGTTTTTGTGTTTGTCACAACACCCACGTTGTAGTAGACATGATTTAAGCATGTTTTCTCTCCACAAAAATAAAGCATGTTTATTTGTGGTTTTTTTATTATCAAAAATAGTTTTTTTTTTAAGCTAGCAAGTCATTGTTTTTAAAACTTTTGTAAACCCGTAAATTGAAAACAAAATGACAGGAAAGCAAGGGGCGAGGTCCATGTTCGATTTCCCCATCTCCAAAATCACTTGTATTTTGAAAAAATCATAACATGATAAAAAAAAAGCTTTTATTTTTTAAATAAAAAACTAACATGTATGTGTCTCCCTCCAATGAATACTCTCTCTTTTCTTAAAAAAACATAACATGATAAAAAAAAGGCTTTTATTCTACGCTGTTACTTGTTTTTTTAATAATATGCATTGCTTTTTTATTTTTTATACTTTGGTGATTGCTTTGCTATATTTAGTTTTCTGCGTATCAAAGCCAAATTCGAATTTAACAATTGATGTCATTCGTTATTTGCTTAATTGGTAATTAATATAAAAGTGGAAAGTTTGTTGGGTTAATTAATAGAATAATAGTAAATCAGGAAAAAATTTATTAAATCATTTTTTCTCTCTCATAATAATGTCATCAAATAAATAAAAAATAAAGAGTTAACTATAGTTAAACTCATGTACATTTGTTACATTTTAAAAAGGGTGGTGAGTGTACGGAATTTAAGTGGTGGGCAAAAATACTCCATTTACGGCGTTATGTTTATACAATTCCAATATTAAAGACTGGGATATTAGGAGTCACAACTTGAATTTGAGAGTTTTTATTGTATCTTTATTATTTTCTGTGGGCGTCGCCTGGCAGTCAGTCAGCATGGGTTGGTATACCAGATCCACTCTTTGGTCATCAGCCCATCGATTTCACCTACCACCTCTCCAGACTCTTTACTGTTGAGTTGAGTGTACCAGACCAACTAACCAGACCCATTTCCAAATCCTATTATATAAAGAAGATAACCAAGCACATTCCTAGTTTTGTTCTCCTCCTACCCATTATCCCATTTTTTGTTTTTCAGTAAATAGGTTTTGATAAAAACAAGAACACCCATGGATTTCATTGAATCATTAGATCCCCAGATCCTTCTGGGTGCAACTGTAGCTATTGTTGTCATTGTGGCTGTTGCTTATCTCTTCACCTCCAAGAAGGCCAAAGGTTTGACCTCTCATTGTTTTTTTTTTTTTTTTTTTTTTTTTTTGTTGTTGTTTTTTTTTTCGTTTTAATGGTTTTAATATAAATTTTTTTTTTTGTAACAATCTTATGTAAAAATTTGTTACTGAAGTGTTACTGAGTGTTTGGGTTATGAACATCTTTGCTGTTTCTGTTTTTTCAGTGTTTTTTGTCTGGAGGAGTAGAAAACTTTGGAGTATTTTGTGATGTGCATTTTCTTTGTGATAAATGATCAATTGGGTAATAACATTCATGTTGCAATTTGAAGTTGATGATTGATTTATGTGGATCAATTTGAAGTGGATGATTGGTTTCTATTGCAATATTCAGTTTCTTCTTTTTCCTTTCTTCATCCTTTTCTTCATATATGAATCAAACATCGAATAACTGTACACTTTTAAATATGTTTAAAGCGTTTTAAAATGGTAATCCTCAATTCTACTTTATTTTCTTTAAAAAAATCCTAGCTTTGAGCTACTTTTATTCTGTAATCTTTTTAATTTCTTTTCTAATTATGTTGGGCACATCCTTCCTATTGACATTTTAATTTCATGTGTATGATTGATTTTTAGATTATCTGGTAGCTTAATTTTTTGGTTCAGCAATATTCCAATGGTTTATTGCTGTATTACTCTTGCACATCTTGAAAGTTGGTCATTTGAATCCTACTGTGATCTCTATACATATTTGTATATGTACACTCAATAATCATTAATAATTTTTAGTTTTTTCCCATTATTTTTTTCCACTTTCCATTATGGTGTTTTTCCTTTCCATCATCATTATAGTGATTTTGTCATGAAAAATAGTACAAACACAGTTCTGAGATGAAATTATCTAATGAGATATGTTCTAATCGCTTAATTGTTTGCAAAGGCAATGTGATTGAGCCAGATGTAATTATTGAATTAGAGGAATAGATCCAGATTTCTGGGTAAGCTTGAACTGTGCAAGATGTCTGTAGATTTTTTGAAAGCTTGAGGTCAGGCCAAATTTGGACCCATGCTAAATCCACAAAGCTTGTCTCTGGCTTCTTTGAACTTCCCTTTTACCTATTCTGGATTTTTCAGAAAATAACTTATTGTTATACCGCTGACCTGTTCTTCATGGCCTAGAAACTAAGTATTGAGAGATTTCTATCCTTTAAACTCTTTTGTACAAGTTGAAGATTTAACCATTAAGTAGTATATGCAATCCGTGAAAAATCCATATTCATGTAAATATTAATAACCATTTCAATTTCATTTCTTCTTGTTTCTGGTATTTTCACTTTTTAGTAGTCAAATTGCAGTTTTTATGCAAGTTTCATATCTGTAATTTGTATCAATTAACATGTAAGGTTGTGCAAATTGGGTGGAATTGTGTTGTGCTTTTTATGTCAAAAATTACCCAATTGTGCAAACTGGGCTCATGTTATGGTGTATGCTTATAGGCTCTTTAGATGCTGAGAATTTCAAGGATTTCAAACTTGTCAAGCGTACACAGCTGAGCCACAATGTCGCGAAGTTCAGATTTGAACTTCCAACATCTACTTCAGTTTTAGGTCTTCCAATTGGACAACACATAAGTTGCAGGTACAGTTGATTTTAGTTTTTTTTATTTATTTACTATTTATCATATGGTCATCCTTTTCTGAGTCTTTTGGCTGTTGATAATTTGATCAATGATGGTTGACTAACCAAATGGCTGTCAGAAATTCTGATTCATAAGGGGAAGTTTGCATAATTTTTACCTTCCCTTTATCATTGTAGTTTTTTACGTGAGCTTCTTTGTTGCATAGGGGCAAGGATAGCCAAGGCGAAGATGTTATCAAACCATATACCCCAACTACATTGGATTCTGATGTTGGATATTTTGAACTGGTTATAAAGGTATTCACCTGTAACAAATTTTGTTATAGAATCCATATAGCACCTTGACTTTATTGCAGCACAAAAACAGACAAAAATATTTATGTAATTATTTTAAAAAGGTATCATGTGGTTGATCTTACTTTGCATTAGATGTATCCTCAAGGAAGAATGTCGCATCATTTCCGAGAAATGCGTGTTGGAGATCATCTTGCTGTCAAGGGACCAAAGGTACGCACTTTCTTTTCCCAGTAATTTAGAATTTCCCTATAACCGGAAAAAAAAGAGGAATCTCTCCCACTCTCTCTCTCTTACTCATTATTGAAATATGTTACTCTGATCCTTTCAAGTGCTTCTGATTCTGTAAAATTTGTCCTTGAATTGGAGAAGATATGTTCCTTACCACATTATATTATCTGATGTTATTAGATGGAAAGAAAAAGTTGGCAGTTAGCATTGCTCTTGTAGAATGGAGTGCTTCCAAATCTAGGGATTTAGATAACATTATAATGCATGTATGCCATTATTTGGACAAGAAGGAAATGAAGAAAACAAATGGATTTCAAATGATTCCTTGCATGAAGTCATTTCACATGTACTACATCTAGTAATATCAAATACATCCAATCTAATGTTTTCTAGTTTTTATATCAAATTTATCCTTATTGTCAAATCCAAATCCTTCTTCGAATTCCTCCATCCAAATGGAGCCTTAGATTAATAAACATATTGGATATGCATATGGTTTTCTCAAAATATAGTTTAGTACATCATTTAAGATTTGAAGAAATAAAATGCAGCCTATCCAAGTGATACTATTTGATACAATATGCGAGAATTAATTTATCTTTTTTTTTTATAAAAAAAAACACAATAATCTGGTAATATTGCTGAGAATTTGGAAATTAGTAAATTCAGCTCCTTATTTTACATTATATTAAGAAATAGAAACATTATAGTTAGTGACCATATTATGTAACCTGTGCACAGTAGATGGATACTTCTCTTTACACAATACTCATGAGTTGATCTTGTATATTTTCAAGTGCCTTTGGGAAACATAATTCATATAATTCTCTATATATACTAGTATTTCTTTTCACCAAGTTGATCTCTGAAATTTTGCTGTTACCAGGGTCGTTTCAAGTATCAACCTGGCCAAGTTAGAGCATTTGGGATGCTTGCTGGAGGCTCTGGAATCACTCCAATGTTCCAGGTATGTATTGTGACTATGAACAGTTACACTAAGTTTTTAGGTTGCTCTAGTGTTGTAGAATTTTTACACCCGTTCTGCATCCACTTTAGGTTGCCAGGGCAATATTAGAAAATCCAAAAGACAAAACAAAGGTGCACTTGATCTATGCCAATGTGACATATGAGGACATTCTTTTAAAGGTATTGTGCTCTCCTCTTTGTGTCGTTATCAACTTATCTTTATATCGTCTACTCATCATATTTATTTGTTAAAATTATTCCTTTGATAGTTGACTAGTTTTGGCCATGATTCCATTGAGGAAACAACATTTTGGTTCTGTATATAGTACTAGCAAGCTGGGCCTACTAATGCAATTTAATTTGATATTTCTTAGCTGACTATACAAATCCCACTTACAAAGATGATCTTTCCATGTTGCATGTGTAGATAAAACTTGAAGAACACACCTAATTGCCTCGCCTATCACATAAACCTCCTGGTTTAAGCACAATATGCTTGGTATTCGGTTAATGCTAAATTGGTTTACAAGGTCAAAATAGGGCTTGAGGGAAAAATTAAGAATAGTAATGGAGCATGTAGACGTGCAGTCCTCCCAGACCAGACATGAATCATATTGAACAAGGTCATGTGTCAGGGATGACCAAAACGAGTAACTGCTATATAATTCAGTATACAACCCAAGAAGTAACTTAAGAAGCCTGAAATTCTATGCCCATGTATTCAAGACTGGAATCAGTGTTTAAAGTAGGTGGTTAAGGGATTCGAAATAAGATTCAAAATTTAGGGAAGTGAAAGGTCATGGGAAATATCTACCGATCTTGATTATACAAAACCTACGTCTTATCAAAGCCTAAAACTTTTGGTTAGTTCTCCATGTTAACTTCTTATTTTTCATTAAGTTATTTTGAGAGTGTTCAGCTAAACAATATTTCCAAAATTAGGAGTATGCTGTCTGTCTTAAGAAAGCGGTTATAGGTCGTGGGAAATATTTACTAATCTAGAATCTATGATTCTTTTGCTTTATATAGATTGTAGAGTAAGTAATTTAGAGCAAGGAATCCTAGCTTTCATACTGTATTTTGATTAGAAATTTTCCTCCATGGTGACTTTGTGTTTGTCATGGAGAAGTTACTTTGAGAATGTTCTCAGAAAGTTTTCCCTTTCTATTTTATTGAGTTGCACAATGCTATGTTACTAAAACCTTGTATTTAGGATTTTTCCTCCATGGGGACATGGTCTTCTTCATGGAGGAGCTACTTTCAGAACTTTTTTGTGGTGAGGTGAGTGAGGTGTTTATATCTGCTTTTGGAGTAGCATTCTGGATCTACTTTTGTGGTGTTCAGAACATATGTAGAAAGATGCTCCTTGTTTCTGACTGGATTACACTGTACTGGGTAGTAGGAGATTGCAATATTTAAGCCTATAAATTTGCAGTCGATGCATTTGGATCAAATCCCCTCTGTTTATTTGCAGGAAGAATTGGATGGCCTTACTAGTAACTACCCTGACCGCTTCAAAATTTACTATGTCTTGAATCAGGTGAATCGACTTCTCTGCTGTATATTTCCAAATTATTTGTCTTTCCCTTCCTTATGGTGTTTTGTTAAGTTTGTAAGTTTGAAGAATTATGTCTCATGACTGATGACCATTATCTCTTTTCCTCCTAATGAACTACCTCTGCAAAATGTTACTCCTCAGCCTCCTGAAGTATGGGATGGTGGTGTTGGTTTTGTCACAAAGGAAATGATTCAAGCCCAGTTGCCTGCCCCGGCGCATGATATTCAGGTAAGTGACTAATTTTGCCTCTTAGATATGAATAGTAGACTTGCAAACATGATATTTTTGCGACATGGCCTTTAAACCCTTGCAAAAATGTTTTCTCTTAATCTTGCCGCTTAGATATGAATAGTAGACTTGCATTTTGTTTGATAAGCAAAAGCTGACTTTGCTCCTGGAATCTCCAGATTCTGAGGTGTGGTCCACCACCAATGAACAAGGCCATGGCTGCTCATCTTGAAGCACTTGGGTATGCTCCTGAGATGCAGTTCCAGTTCTGATCCTTTCATATGGTCTTTTTATCATCATTACAGTCACGTCTTTTTGGATCGTTGAGCACATGACTTCCTTCCCTTCCCTACATTGGAGCAAGTGTACTTGTTTATTAGATAGCAATGCAATAACTACTTGGAAGGTTCTTTAAATGTTAAGCGGTTATGTGATGCGGTGTTTGGTTAAAGGTCTTGTTTCTTATGGGGTGGGATTGGAACAAAACCTTTTATTTGTGGTAGTGGATAATATAGGGGAAATGGCAACAGGCCGGTCGGGTCCGGTTTGCCATTACTATCCCGCGTCGCCGGATAAATGGGAACCCTGACAGATGTATGGAGCTCCAATAACTTTTTTGGTTAAATGATTTGTCATTAAAATGATAACAAATCATAATGTAGGACATTGAAAATGCAATAACGCATCCCATATTATATAATAAAATATACAGCCATTCGTTTACACTACCAAAACTGGGACATAAACTTGAATGGGTATATGGGGGCAGGGAGTGCTTTGGCATACCACACCCTCTACTTAGAGCACTTCCAGCGCTCCTCTTTTGCCCGGGTAGGAGGGGGCCTAGGCCCAGCATTTGGTTCCAGTGCGCAACGTGAAGACGGGGGCAGTTGATGGGGTCCACAAGCCAGGGCAAGGCCAAAGGCAAATCTTGCTTGGATTTGCTGACGTCATTGATGATGTCAGCAATGAAAAAAAAAAACCAAAAATTTCAGAATTTTTATATATATAAATACCTAATTATATTCTTCACTTCTCACGCCAAAATTAATGGTGTAAATATAAAAAATAGAAAATAAATTAAAATGAATAGTAATTGTCATTTCTTTTGACCTTTGGGGTGGAAACAAAAAGGTAAGGATTGCCACTATTCATGTAAATAGTGACAAACCTTGCCTTGCCTTTGCCTTACCCTTACCCTTTGGGATGGAGGTGCTCTTACCTTCCCAAATACCTAAGCTCATGGAAGAATTTTAAACATTGCCCCCTATGAAGTTTGCATAGAGGTTATATAATGAGTGTTCATAATAGCCATCAAAGTAATTAGAGAGTTGTTATTGGACGTTCGTATTGAATCTTTCAACATAGAACGCTCATTTTGAAGGGTACTATGAGTATCTCTTTCCTTGTATATAAGAATACTTGTAGAGTTATTGCATAGAGCTTATATAATGAGCATTCTTAATAGTCATCCGATTAATTGGAGAGCTGTTATTGGACGTTTGGATTGAACCTTTCAACATAGCCCCCTCAATTTGAAGGGTACTAAGAGCATCTCTTTCCTTTTATATTAGAATATCAGTAGATTTATTGCATTTCATGACAATCAAACCTAGGCTAAACGCATCTCTAGTGAACATTTTAAATGACCTCTTAAATTAAGATTCAAGCATGATATATGTAAGCCTCTCCCATAGATAGTAAATTAAACTCTTCAAATTAAAGTTTGTTGACTTATGTGGCAATTTGAAAAGGTTTATTTGCTACTCGAATAATTTTTGCTCCAATAGACTCTTCAATTCAATTAATGCAATATCATGGAAAAGAATGAAAAATATGAAAACATGTGAAAAATGTCTAATGTATTTATTATTTAAAAAGAAAAAAAAATGCATGTTTTTAACATTGTTGAGGCCCAAAAAATTCATGGTTCGGCCCAAATGAATTCCCGGCTCAGCGCAATGCCTTATTAAGAAAAGACCCAATTTGGAGCACGCAAAAGTTCGTTATTCACGTTCGCATGAGTCATGATCCACATGCCATGCCAAATAAATATGCAATTCGTCACTCTAAAAATTGAAATGAGCCTATAAAAGGCACTGGCTCTACAAGCCCATGCTAAATTGAACGTTATGTCCCTCTTCAGGGACGATAAAATTAAAGCATGCGAAGCAGGAAATCATTATTTCACACCCAACCACACTACAAGCCTAAGTGGGCCCAAGCCACTCCAATGCCCGGGGCTTGCTTGAGTGGATTGTGGTATGGATGGTAATAAGTTGTCATGAGGCCCATTGATGGGCCGAGAAATTGAGGTCTCGAGTTGCTTGAGAGCCTCGGAACTCAAGCCTATTTCTTAGGCCCAAATATGTGGGTGAGCACAAAGGAGAAAATAGCCCATTACCTCAGCCAAAATATCCCATTAACTTAACCAAAATAGCCCAACACTTGATAAGGTTAGCCCATTTGTTTGATGAATTAACTTGTTGTCTTAGAAAGCCCCTACAATCAGAATAAGAAGTAGCAAAAGCCCAAGCACTTGGCTGGAGAACCAAAGCCACAAAGGGAGCCTGGAGGTCCATGTAAGCAGAGCTACTGGGAGGCTCTAGCATATGGGAAGGAATAAGTTTCAAGCAAAAAACATCCAAATGACCGGGGATATTGGCCTGCAGACTGCTAGGAGGGGAGTCACCCTTCGAACCAGCGGGTATGCCCATTTCTTGCCCTCATCAGACCTGGCCATGGAAGAAAGAAGAAAAGAAAGGAAGGAAATGGCTTGGAATAGGAGTCCTCCACTGAGGCAGCTACGGGAAGAGCATTGAGCTCCCAAAAATCCCTGATTTTGTGCAAATAGGCAGAGAGAATTTCACAAAGATGGGAAGAGTCAAGGGAGGAGAGGAGAAAGGAAGGGAAAGCTTGGACAAATTGGGTAGAAACCATTAGGGTTTCTTGGAAAAGAGTAGCTTCTAGCGCCTATAAAAAGAGGCATTTCCTACCCATCATCTCAACCCACATCTAGAGAGCAAGCTTCATCTCTCATCCCTGAAACTCTACAATTTCGAGCACCATTCCTCTATTTTCTCCTATCTTCTCTTCTGGTAAGTCATTCCAGAGCTTGACAGAGCCTTTGCCAAGCTACTGGAAAATTACCCAAAACACCCACTACTTCACCACTAGCCAAAACCACATACAGAGAGCAAGCTTCCTCTCTCGCCTGCAAAACCTAGCAAATTTGTGCTCTATTCATCCTTCTCCCCCATTTTCCCTCTTCTGGCAGACTGTTCTAACATTTGACAGAATCTCTGTCAAGCTACCGGAAAAATACTTAAGCCACCCATTCCCATCTCTTTCCCTCATTCTCAGCCAAATCTTTCTGCAAATTCTCTCCTACCTTAATAGCCCCATTTTCCCCCCAGGAACACTTAGTTTTCTCTTCAGTGCTAAACTCATGACAATTTTGCTTCCATGCCACAAGCCTCTCATGCCAAGCTAAAAAAATCTATCTGTAAGCTGTTGTTATTTTTGTTGGTGAAGGTAACCAAGGTATTTCCTAAGGCCCTACTGTCCTTTCAAAGCATTCTTGGGGCTTGATCTCTAAACTCAGGCACAAGGGATAACTTCATTAGTTCGCTCCTTACGGCAGCCTATCCCATTTATAGTTGCTGGAAGAAAAAAGCCCCTACAAACATTTTCAAGGTAGGTTTTGTTTTTTCAAAGTAAAATTAAATGTTTTGAAGAACCAAGATCAACTTACTAGTCCTGAAGAGAGAGAAAGAGGTTGCAACTTGATGACTGACTTTGACAAGGTTGTTGGAGAGACTTTATGATGTGGCTTACCTATTTGAGTATCCCGAAGTTGTTGAAGAGGCTATTGGATATGCTCTAAGGGGCTTGTAGCTTTAGGTGGTTAAAAGCATCTCCAAGGAAAGAGGCAAATGAAATAGGCAAAATTGTACTATAACAACCTATGTGGCATGTTGCCTACCCATTTGCCTCATTTAAAAAGTTGATCATTCCAAGGGACTAGGTAATGAAAGTCTACAAACTATTATTATATTATTTATTTTTATCTTCAACATTTACTATTATATTTGATAGAAAGTAGGTGAGAGAGTGGAGATGATGTTTATTATAAAAAGCAAGTCGGGCCCAATATACCTCCACTTTGAAGTAGGCAATATTGCCTTGTTTGGGAGAGTAATATTTTGCCTACCCATTTACCTCTCCCTTGGAGTATGAAAATGCTGATGTGGCAAGGCAAACGAGGTTTGTCTACTCTTTTGCCTCTTCCCTTGGAGATGCTCTAAGACCAATTACCTCTACACCTGAGGTTCTAGGTTTGATTCTCCCATCCCCCAATATCGTTTGTATTAAAATTTTTTTTTAAAAAGCTGAATATTATAAAAATTCAACTTCATTATGCTTCTAAAATAAGAAAATCTCTAAGAAAGCCTGAATGTGATAAGAGATGAAATGATTCTAAACCGTTGAAATTTTCATAAGAAATTCAGTGCTTCTCGGAAAAGCACTTGGAATGCTTCATAAAGAAGCGCATACTAGATGCTTCTCTAGAAAATGCTTATATGACCTAGAAACACTTTTAAATTTTCCTACCAAAGACTATCAGAAGCTTTTTTGTTGTCAAAAAGTAATTTTGACTTCCAAAGGCACTTCCAAAAATGCCCTTTAGTGACTTCTTATCATTATTAATTAGTAAACAAATACTTTATTCCTATTGGTTCCTAGTCATGTCGTGCCTATTTTAGATCCATTTTGTGCTACAAAGACAGCTAAAATGAATAAATTTAAAAAGGCAAAATTAAAGTAGAGGACTATGCAAACCTAAAGTATCAATATTAATTATTTTGGTCAACAGAATTTCATTCTGAGTGCCTTGCATGATGTAATTGTGGCATGAAAGGTGAGAGACAACATTATCACATGGGAAAGTCTTCCTAGACGAAATAAAAATAACAAAAAAAAAGAAAAAAAGATGAAGAATTCCATTTGTATATGGGAGTATTTGGTAAAATAGGTACAAAGACAATTGCAACATAACAAGGTCAAATTTACACAAGAGTAATGCAGCTGGTCTTTTCGAAGACCAAGTCGTGCCTCCACCCATCTGGTTACCAAACCCAACTATAATTGTTTCTTTTTCATTTGCAAATCCCAATTAAGCTTCAATGTGCATAGTTTCACTCAAAATGTACACCATTCTCTAGGAGATCCACCCAATGCGTGGGTGTTATATAATTTTTATTTTTTTAAGTAATGACTAATGCGTAGTTGTTGATTGTGGATTAAAGAATTAATCGATGAGGGATTTGGAGATGAGATTCGGGGTCACATGAGATTTAGAAATCCCATATGGCCAAAGTATTTTATTTGACAACTTTAAAATGATATTTACCAACTAATACAGGACTTTCACATGAAATTTTGAGATGTCCAAATTTCATTTCTACGACTCACCTAATGTGTTACTTCAAAATTCCATTATAACTAAATTAAATTAAAAGTAAAATGATGAGTTGAGTTCCTTACTTAAATCTCGTCACGGTTAATATATTAACTAAACAAGTTGAGTTGAGATCATAATGTGTTCTTAGTAGAATGAATTAATGTTAGAGCTTGGGTTTGATTAAATTTATTACTTGTGATGCAAAATATACAACTAGCTAGCTACAATGTTTTAACCTCCACACGAAATTGTTTCGCGGTTAATTTTTAGCTCAAATAGTGATTCTCGGTTTATGTACTTTCCTTTGATTCGTTTTCCATTAAAACTCCCATCACAATGGTGGTGGCTTCCCCCTTCTCCCCCATGACAACCCAGTTTGAACCCCAGTGTCAAACTCTAATATAACAAAAAGAAAAAGAGGAATGCTACTAGCAAATAAAGAGCATACTCAAAAGCAACTTGTACTCACCAAGAAAAAAAAAACCAACTCCTTGTTTCATTGAGTCCAAAAGTCCTAAAGGCTTGGCACAAATGAAATTGTCATTCTTAGAGCATCTTCAATATGTAGATGCCATATTTGTAGCCCTCATTTTGTTGGCCAACATCTTTCTAGCTCTATCACACATAAGTTGAAGGTGTCAAAACATGACTTATAACACTTTCTCAAAGATTTTTAGAAACCCTTAAAATACTTATTCCTTTTGGCTATTGTGGTGAGAGGTAGAAATTTATTGCTCTACAAAATTGTATATAAATAGCGGGAGTTATTTTAATTTTTTACTAATGAAAGAGGAGATTATAACTTGAGACTTCTTTTAATATTAGTGCGACAAATATCATTAGAATAATAACTAGTCGGTAAAATATGAGATTCACTCTTGCATGAAGGCTTTCTCAAAATAATATCGTGCCTGAAAAATAGTTGTTTGCTACGTTAGCATAATTAGCACAATGATGATTGAGTTAAAATTAAGTAGCAAAAATATTTGTTTTCACGTATATAATTAATTAACAACAACTAACAAGAAGTCACTATTCATGACCAAGGAAAGAAAACAGGAGAGCTCAAGAGCCCGCTTCCACAGATAGACCCTATTCCAACGCTTCCTAGTCCTTTGCTTAGTTGAGAAAATAGAGCGAAACTCAATTTCTCAGTGACAAAATTTGTCCTCTAATCAACAAAAAACGTCAACTGCTCCAACAACTTCTGTTTTGTTGTTTCCTTTCCTTTCCTCTCCGGTAAGAACCCACTCCATATTCTTCTTCAACAAATCAAACACCCACATTGCATTTCTCTCTGTTATTCTATTCTTTCTGGTGCTTAGGTTGGGTTTTGGGTTCTTTCTTTGGTGGGTTTGATCACATTGGATTTGAATTCATCTGGGTTTTTTTGGTTTTCTCGTTTCCACCTCTTTTTGAGCTGATTCTGTGTATTTCTCTGTTTTTTGGTGCTTAAATCATAGTCAATGTAGCGACAGGGAGAGAAAATAGTGGTATGAGCATAATGAGATCTGTTTTTATGGGTTAGTTCACTATCTTCAATCTAGTTTTTTGCATTAGACCCCAATCTAGAGTTTCTTTTCTCACCTGGGAATTGAGGTGTTGAAAGTTTCTGCATTATACTAGAATCTCTTGGTCACCAATGTCTGTTGTTGTGGTTGTGGTATCAAATGATCTGTGGGCTCTATTCTGATCAGCGTTGGATTCTTTCAGCTAAATATCACAGATTTTCTTATTCTCTGATGTGTTTTATTGATCATTTAGTTTAATTCTCTTTGGATTTCATGATTTTCAATCTGCTGGGCATTAATAATCATGATTCATAGAACATGTTGTTGATACTTCGGGATTGGAATTACAATGGCTGAAAGGCATGCCTCATCTCTCGCGGTTAATACGCGGAAATCTTTGTTTTGTTTATTTATAGTTACATCAACACTCTTCATATTATCTTGGTTCTTTGTGTTGCGTTCAACGGGCAGTCCTCACTTTATTGACCATAAATTATTACCCAATTCCAAGCTTCTTGCTATGATTGATAATGGTATTTCTGGAAGTGAGAGTCAAAATGATGTTGAACCCTCAGTTGGGAATCGATCAATCCTTGTGGATAAAGAAGAAGAAGAAAAACCAACGATTTCTTCCCAAGACAAAGAAGCATCCCAAGCTAACAATGGTGTGAAATGTAACACCAATGGAAAAGTAGCTCTCAAGGTATTCATGTATGATTTACCCCCCTGAATTTCATTTTGGACTTTTAGATTGGAAACCCCAAGGACCTAGTGTTTGGCCAGATCTTCAAACTAAAGTACCTGCTTATCCTGGTGGGTTGAATTTGCAACACAGTATAGAATATTGGCTGACATTGGACATCCTTGCTTCAGAACTTCCCAATCCCCCAAATGTACATACTGCAATAAGAGTGCGGAATTCTAGTGAAGCTGACATTATTTTTATACCATTCTTTTCTTCCTTAAGCTATAACCGGTTCTCCAGGATAAATCCACACCAAAAGAAGAGCAATAACAAGTTGCTGCAAAATAAATTGGTTAAGTACGTGACAGCTCAACAGGAATGGAAGATATCAGGGGGAAGAGACCACTTAATTGTGGCTCACCATCCAAATAGCCTTCTAGACGGAAGGATGAAGCTTTGGCCTGCAACATTCATACTTTCGGACTTTGGGAGGTATCCTCCAAACATAGCAAATGTAGAGAAAGACATTATTGCCCCCTACAAGCATGTAATCAAATCCTATGTGAATGACTCATCTACTTTCGATAGTCGTCCAACTTTGCTATACTTCCAAGGTGCAATATATCGAAAAGATGTAAGTACTCTTTCTCCTTTATTTACTGAGTTTGGTTGTTTCTGCTAACCTTTGATGAAAAAAATTGTGTAATTTTGCTGGGTCTTGATTTTAGCATTCACTGGACAAAATTTAAGCTCAGACTTGTGTGCTAATAGAAAGGCTAATGTTTCTTCTTCTTTATTTTCTAGTCTGTGCTTCACAATTGTGTTAATGCTTGCTGCCATATTTGAGCAACTCAAGGTAGAATCTAGATACTCTCCAGGGAATTTCCTATTAGCGACATCAAACTATGTTAACTAAATTTACCTAAGAATTCTAAATAAAGTTAAAGAAATATGCAGCTTCAATAAATGATGCATGACATATAGTATAACGAGCTTGGAAGTATTACATATGTGTTTTTCACTGCAATGCAATGTTATTATTATCTAGTTCTAATCTGCATGTGGTGCAGAGGTCAAGAGAGCAATCGTAGTTGTATAGATTTGAGCGTACATGTTGTATTTGACTGTGAACTTGGGGCACTAGAAATGGCATACATAGAGGAAATGATTCAACATTTGAGGGTACGTGTTAACTTGTTCTTATAGTGTGGGAAAAAAGATGCAATATGCAGAATGCAACATAAAATGTTGAATGTTTTCATCCTTATTTGTCTATTAGTTTTTTTTTCTTCTCCATTTGTTCATTTTTCGAAGCTTTAGATTCTTTTAAAGCTTCCTTTCTTGGGATGATTCTCTGTAAAATGGATGAAACTTCTGTCGAGTATGTTTGCCTTTAGTCGGCACATGAAAATGTGCTTGATTTTTGAAGTTCATAACTTCATCATCATATTTCCAGAAGGTGAATCATGAAAGGCAGAGTTCTTTATGGTCTTCTTTATTTAAAATTATATGAAACTTTTCTATTTTAGAGATGCACAGACATCTATTTTCTGCATCACCTCCGAAGAATAATTAATGTAATGGGAGAAATGTATATGGAACTCAGCCCTTGTGTCAGTTAATTGTTAGATTATCTTTGCCTTCTTGTTTTTATCCTTCTAGTCGCTTACTGTTCACTTTAGCACTTGGTACCCTTTCTCTTAGTATGAGTTCCATTACCTTCTGAAAAAAATGAAAAACTACATGGTAAAGATTTGCTGATACTTCAATTGTTAATTTCAGTGCACAATTCTAATTCAACATTTTGTTTTGGAATTTTTTATTATTATGAGTACATGGCCTCTTCAAGGTTATTTGATCTGCATCTTGACACCATTAAACTCCTTCCAGCTTCTCAGCCATTGTATTATGCCCTCTGAGCATTTCTCAATGTGACGGCTTGATAGTAGATATATTCTACAATTCCTTCAGAGTTCTAAAGAGGAAGCATCCCTCTTGGATTCATGTTTATTAGAAAGCATCATGCTGCAGTTATTCTCTATGCTTCATTACATAGTCACATATTAAGTTCAAGTGTTTGTTATTTAGAAGATGACAAGTATTTTCAGATCATGTGTTTGCCTTGTTGTTTGGCATCTCCAGTGTCAACTATATGTGACAAGCTTCCTGGGTGGGTGGTCCCATAATTTTTATAAATTTGCTGTTTTTCTTCCTTTTCTGTTTGTTTCATGTTGTTGTGTTGGGTGTTCTCTGTAGATATTTCTAGGTTCTATCTACATAGTATATGTGGATGTACAATTGTAGGCTATATGGTAAAGTATTACCAAGAAAATAATTTTCCAATCTGACGTGTTCTTTCTTCTGAGTGTTGACTAATTGGACATGATCCACCTTTACTATTTTTAGTTCAGCTTGTTTATGTTGTGAAATTTTTGCCTTCTGTTTATCTTTGTCCTTCATTTTCTGTTTTGGTCTAGGTTGCTTGTTCATTACCTACTCATGGTCTTGACTTTCTGGTTCTACATGTTTAGGGTGGCTTTGTTCGGCAAGAGTTATTCTATCTTCTACAAGATGAAAAAGATGTACATTTTACATTTGGGAGTGTTCAAAAAGATGGAATCAAGAAGGCTTCACAGGGAATGCACACCTCAAAATTCTGCCTCAACATAGCCGGTGACACCCCGTCATCAAATCGTCTTTTGATGCTATTGCTAGCCACTGTGTCCCTGTCATCATCAGTGATGATATTGAACTCCCATACGAGGATGTGCTTGACTACTCTGAGTTCTGCATCTTCGTTCGAACAAGGGATGCTCTTAAAAAGAACTTTCTCGTAAACCTCATCAGGAGCATTGGGATGGATGAGTGGACGCAAATGTGGAGGAGGTTGCAGGAGGTTCAAAAATTCTATGAGTTTCAGTACCCATCAAAGGAGGGTGATGCTGTCCAGATGATATGGCAAGCAGTTGCTCGCAAGGTTCCTGCTATAAGAATGAAGTTAAACAAGTCTAGACGATTCTCTCGTTCATATGTCCGCAAGGAGAAGGGGTTAAGCAGGATACCATCACCAAGTAACTTTTGGTAAGAAGGGAATTAACACTCTTTGTGGCCCTGCAGCTTTTCTGACTCTTAACCACCACACAGGACTGAAATTATCACTTACAGTTTTGATAAGATACTAGAAAAGGCAATGTGAAATTAACTTTCATTTGTTCCAATATGAGATAAAACTAGCTTTACTATACCTTTGAAATCCATTTGTTCTTCTACTCAGGATGTAATTTAGTTGGTTATTTCATTTATACAGAAAATGTTGCAAGTTGAAATCTCTCTTCAAATTTGTAATTGTCTATAAAGTTTCGTGCATGTCTGCAATATGTGAAATAAGAGCCTACTACACACTTGACCAAATATCAACTTAACATCAACAAAGTAGTTGATGCAGGATGCGTAGGATGCAGGAATCATTGATTAGTTTCCTAATTTATTTGTTAGTTTCAGAGGTTCACTAGTTTTCCAAATTCTAGTAGCATCTCTACTTTTCCAGATTTGCCGATTTCAATGTTAGAATTTATGTTTTAGTAAGGGATTTTTATCCTATTATCTCTAGGATTTCCAGATTTCTAGTTTGCTATAAATATCCCCATGTAGTTCTTTAAAATTCATATTTCAATATTGAGTAAACCTTTTCCTAAAACTCTCTAATATCTGCCCTTTCTTTCATCCCTTCTGTTTCGAGTGCTTAATCAACTACCTAGGGGCTGTGCTACATCAGTAGTATTTTTTTTATAGAAAAAAATTAGTATATAGTGATTAAAACTTTACTAATAAGCGTATGGTAAATTGAGTATTTGGGTTTTTGGTTTGGTGAATAGTTTTCAAATTTTGTTTTGGGAGAGCTCAATCAGGAGGCCCAGATTCTTTGGGCCCGTTTACATTAGTAAAAGAAAAGACAATTTTACCTTCATGTTTAAAAGCTTGGCCTCCTCGTCATTTTGGTTTGAACAAGCTCGTTCGCTCTGGTTTTCTTCCCCGTGAGATAAGCTAGTTCTGGTGCCAATTGCTTTGAATCTTTGATTTTCGTCAGTTCTGTGACTAATTTTAGTGCGATTTGGTTGTGATTTTAGCTCTGACTTCGTGGTGGTGGAGGTATGTCTTAGAATCCTTTGCATGCTTCACTTTTGGTGCGATTCTACTAGATCTTGTTAGATTTTCTGTATATGAAATTCCCTAGAATGGCCAACTGATCTGTTTCTTAATACTCAAACACCACGACAGGATTGAAATACTGTAACAATCCTGTAAGCAAAAATTCCAAAATACGCAGCAGAATAAATTCAAATAAAAACGCAAACAATTGCACAAGGGACACACGATATGTTGACGCAGTAAAAAACCTCAAGATGAGGAAAACAACTGCGGGCACTATGCCGGAGAACAAATCACTATGAGAAAGAATACAAAAAGGTCTTACAAGTCTCAACTCACAAGACTAACGCTCACAAGGCAGACTTGCCTACTCGCCTTTGCTACTCAACCCAACCAGCGATCTTGTCTTCCTTCGTCAACAAGAGATGGCACAACTCTAGTCTCGGCTGCTCACACCTCAAGGCACGATTGTTGATCACCAACATGCATAATGCTCATGAACTCACACATATATGAAAAGATGATTATTTAATCACTCATGGAGGCTAACAAGGAACAGCCACATGAGTTTTCAATATGAACTTTCAAAAACCTCTCTGCAAATATTTTGTCGTTCTTCTTCTTTTTCAATGTTGCAGACACACCAACAAAAAGGCTAAGTTCCTTTCTTTTATTACACGCTTAAAACTAGGTCAGAGACCAAAAAAGGCTTTTAGCAAAAATGGGCTTTTTAACAAATAAATTATTTCTTTAAAACAAATAAAGCCACTTAATTAAAAACCCAGCCGTAAAGACAAAAGAGCCCTTTTGCTAAAGAATATAAAACCATCGTTAAAAACTCATTGATGTCTGGCACTGGATTATATAAGACTGAAATCATATATCAATCATGTACATCTTACAGCCACTTTTGATGATCAAGCAAATATGAAAATATGAATGCATGGATGCAAAACATACCTTGGCATTGTCTCTGAGCCACACTGATCCAGGATAGCAGAATGTCACTTGAAAACTGTAGGTTACACTCAAAGACCTACTCTATGTTTTTGTAACAGGAAATTGCCAATATACCAAAAATTGGTCCTAACAGTATATGTTCATGATGTTTCACACAACCTGAAATACATAAAAGACATACATGGCGTCATCTTCCTTGAGTACACGATCTCTGTATACGAATTTATGATGAGCACATAAAAGACATACTTGGCGTCATCTTGGCTCAAACAGTAACTTTAAGTTATTTTTCATTTTCTAGCTTTAAATTTGTTTCATTTTCATTCTTTCATTCTTTCACTATGCAATCTTGGTTTTTCTATGCCTAGGCGGAGATGAGGAGAATCACAAGATCACCACCACCGAATAGAAAATGGAATAAGTCTTCACATATTGTTGAATGTAGCAATGATATTTCAGAGGTGAAAATGGGGTTTTGATGGTGAACTAGAGGAGCTGAGATGGTTGTCATTTGAATTTACTATGGAAGCTAAAGAGAATCTTGATACATATCATGATTCCACACAATCAACCCATTCCATGAAATCAGCCGATCCCACTAAATTAGCATTGACAAACTCCCCATCACAAGATCGGCTTCATCCCAACTAGGAATTAGTTTACAATTGACTTTGTAATATATGAGATTAATTATACTTACCTTATATTACTTGCCTTCTGTAAATAGACTTGAGAAAGTCTAACCCGTGTACTATATATACAACTGATAATACAAGAACATATCATTTTGGTCTCTGCAATTATTCTTCACCTCTGTTTCTCATCTCACTTCCTCTTCAGTTTATTATTCTTATTGAAGCAAGGATGAAAGAATTTTGAAGTTAGCCTATGACAACCTGATGGACAGAAACCCTAAGTTTTTGTTAGAAATGAGAGACGGGATCAAAACGGTAACTTGCATTCTTTCTCTGATCAAAGCGAAAACAAGTGTATATAATATTACTCATTGTAGACATAAAATCTCTTGATATTTTTGTTTAATAATGATCGTTTAATCCTTTGAATATTTTGAGCAAAAAACTAATCGAGTTCCCATGAGAAGAGGGGAAAAGTTATGTATTCCCTTTGCTTCTAAATTTTTTTGTTGTTGTTTTTTGTTGTTTTTTTGTTTTGGTTTGGTTTTTTTTGGAAAACGTTGTAGAGGAGGAGAAGCTTCCAATCTTTCAATGGAATTTGATCAAGCCTATCCGGTGAGCCATGTGGAAGTTGGTTATAACCATCCTATGTAAGGTGATAGCAATGTAGGCACCAATCCTTTGGAAGCAACATAAGCGAGTGTGAGAGAAACGATTCAGAGTTCTTGTAATTGGAAGGTCTATATGGAGGAATGTGATTTTTTAAGGTTTATTTATGGATATGCTCCCTGTGCTTTCAAAATAGTCTTAGATTACCACATGTTTTTTGAAATGTCTTATGTACGTGATTCCGTCAGATTTGAGAGAAGTTTTGTTAGCTAAGGTGGCCCCCACTTCTTTTCAATCTCTTAACAAGGGAGAGGAAGGGTTAGTCAGGTTGAGAAAAGGAGAAATTTGGGAGAAAATGGGCACTTTGGGATAAGAAGGTTAGGGTTTAGGAATCTCTGAGGTGAAGTTCATATTTGGGAGAATCTGGAGGTTCAATCATTGTTTGGCGTTGGACTTAAAGGCTACAAAGTGCAAAGATGGTGGTGCTTAGAGAATTTGGAGGTTGTCAACCCATATGTAAGTGGACCCATTCTTTAGTTGTTTTTCTTATTGTTGGCATGTGCATTGAACTGTTGCTGGAGTTTTTTTTTGTTTTTTTTTGTTTTTTTGTATACTTTTTTACTCTTTGCTGGTCCTTGTGTGTTCCTTGTACTGTCCTTGTGTGGTCATCGTGTGGTCCTTGTGCGTTCCTTGTACTGTCCTTGTGTGGTCCTTACATTGTCTTTGTTACTTTCTTCGGTTTGTGAAGTGAATCTTCCTCATACCTCTTACACAGATAAAGATGCTAACAAGGTTGTTACATTTAAGTTTTTCCATGGAGGTAAACTAGTTCAAAATTGGTCAAGTGACAGTGAATGGTCATATTAGGGTGGTGAAGTTAGTTTGTTTGATTATTGTGAGGCTGAATATATGCCCATGTTAGAGCTATTTGGAATTGCTAAAGATTTGGGATATGACGATGGGTATAATGTGAGTTTTTATGGTGAAGATTATGGAACTAGTAGACTCATTGAAATAGTATCAGATAGTAAGCTTTTATTTGTATGAGCACAATACCTAAAAGCAATAGCTGGGTGATACTTGAAAGCAGTGAGTCAGACTTCAAGCCAAGTGGGGAATGATAGTAGTGATATAGAATATTCTTGTTCTAAGGATGAAGATAGCAGTGATTCAGATTTTGAAGACAGTGACTATGCACAGAGTGATGAAGAGATTGACTTATTGAAGAAGAATGATAAGCGGTTTGAAGGTTATGTGGATTATACTTGTACTGATAATGATCCTAATGCAAAGGAAAAAGATGAGTCAGACAATGGAGAAGAGTCACCTACATTTACCTGCCCAAGTAGCTCTTCAAGTGAAGATGAAGGACTAGGTGAACTAAGAAGGAAGAGGAATAGAATGCCAAAAGGTGAAGATTTCATACTTGAAATTGATATGGCAAACCCAAGATTCAACGTGGGTTTAAAGTTTGCAACTGCCGAGATGTTTAGAAAAGCTGTGAGGAGATACTCCATTAATTGTGGAAGGGAGTTGATATTTATGAATAATGACCGTAACAAAATAATAGTATGTGAAGAGGGTTGTTCTTTTGTTATCCATGCTTCAAGTGTTAGTGGTAGCACCTACTTGCAGGTGAAAACCTTTAATCCTACACATGTTTGTAGTAAGGGGAGTCAAAATATACATGTCATTGCTAGCTGGTTTGCTAAAAGATATGTTGGGCAGTTAAGCCTCAATCAAAATTGGACTGCTTCTTCTTTTGCAGAGCAAGTTCACCAAGACTATGATTACAGAACATTTAGAGAAATAGTGTATAGAGCAAGAGCCATGGAAGTTGACATTGTAGAAAGGTCTTACAGTAAACAATATGAAGTATTATGGATTATTGTCATGAGTTAAGAACGAGAAATGTGGGAAGTATAGTTATCATTAAATCTGAAATGGAAGGTGATATGCCATAGTTTCAGAGGATGTACATATGTCTTGCAGCCTGCAAGAAGGGGTTTTTAGATGGTTGTAGGCCTGTGGTTTGCTTGGATGGGTGTCATGTCAAAGCGCCTCACTCTGGACAAGTGCTTTCTACAATGGGAGTTGATGCAAACAACGGAATGTTTCCACTTGCCTATGCATATGTAAAGATTGGGAGCAATTCAACGTGGGTGTAGTTTTTAGAATTATTGAGTGCTGATCTAAATATTAGGAATAGCCATGGTTATGTATTTATGGCTAACAAGCAAAAGGTTAAATAGATGTTGTGGATAATCTATTCCCTAATAAAGAGCACAGACATTGTTTGTAACATCTGTATGGAAACTTCTATTTGGAGCATAGCGGTCTTGCTTTGAAACATCAAATGGAAGCAATTGCTAGGGCCGCAACTTTGCTGTTTATTTAAATGCCTACTCTGGTTCATGCCATCCCTGGGATTTAAATGGAATACCATGTTTGCATGCTTGTCCTGCAATAAGTTGGCTTCATGGAAATCTAGAGGACTTTTGTGATGCAGTGTATAAGAAAGAGACTTATTTGAGAGCCTATGAACCAATGATTATGCCTATGACTAGCCAAGATTAGTGGTTGAAGACTAATTACCTCCATTACTCCCTCCAAAATACCACAAGCAGCTTGGTAGGCCTAAGGAGACAAGGAAACAAGTTTTTGATGAGTCTAAATAACTTGCTAATCCATATATGCTTCCTAGGTATGGCATTCCTTTAAAATGTGGCAATTGTGGTGGAGAAGGCCATAATCGAATTAGTTGTAAGGTATGTGTCATTATCCAAAATTTCTTTACATTTAAATGTATTTGATATGATTTTTGACTTCATTACTTTGCTTATTAGGAACCTAGAAATCCCAATATTAAGCCCACTAGGAAGAGGAAAGTTGCTAAGGAAAAACTTGAAGTAAGTGCCACTAATTATGTATTCAACATTCAGATTTTCATATCTTGCCTACCTAATTACTATTTGTTTCAGGTAAGAAGGAGAGATGGTAAAACGCAAAGTACTAGACAACAAAGTATGCAAATAAGTCAAAGGAAACAAAGCAAGTGGTTCCCAAAGGCCTTCTCAATCCCAGGCATCTCAAGTAGCTCAAGCTTCTCAATCCTAAAAATCTCAAGCAGCTCAGGCTTCTCAAACATGTGATTCATCTTAATCTGCCAAACTATCTCGAGTACAACAACGTAGGAGGAGAATGAATGAATAACAAAGACAACAGAGGTACCATTTTTGTTAAAGATCCTTTTTTTCATCCTTAGATGTGATGATGTTGAACTTTTGCAACAATATATTTTTGAATTAGGATAAACTCTTTTTGAATTATGTTTTCATGGAAGAATGGTTTGAATGTTGTGGAATTATAGATTCTGCAATTGGTTGTTAGTTTTATAAGACTTTAATGTCTTCATGGTTGCAATTGGGTTGTTGGTTTGGTAACACTTTGATGTCTATGATGGTTGGTTTTATTAGGCTTTGATGTCTGTTAAGGTTTTTGAGTCAGGTACTTAGATGTAATTGACTGTTTGATATGTAATGTGATGGTTGGTGCCTGTTTTTGTAACCTGTTTTTGGTATCCAATGAACAAGATATGGGTGAAACTGTTTTTGGTGTGATGCTTATCAGTATGTCACCTTTGATATCCAATGAACAAACTATGATCTAAGATCTGCTACTAGTTTCCATTCATATCACAGTACAAAGAAAGCTCAAAACTCAAAACAAATTACAATGAACTAGTGCTTATTGATAAAACTCAAAACAAATTATATTGTTCTCCCACCAAATTACATTACATTACACCCAATCATCTCAAGTAGCCCACGCTTATTAAACTACTAGTGCTACTAGTCTACTAGTCTCAAATTACATTGCTTACTGAACTACTGCTTCTGGTCTCAAGTAGCCCAAACTTCTCAATCACATTACACCCACCAAATTACAAAACATATTACTCTTAATTCCTCTTAATTCCTCCTAATTCATCTTCATGGCAAACACCAACTAGGAAAGCAACATAGCAGCCCACAATATTCTTGACTTTGCTCGAATCTTTGCATTTTCCTCTTCCACCCTATCAATCTTCCTCAACAAACCAGGTATCAAAGACTTTGAATGCTCACACATTTCTACACCAAACCACTAAAAAAACCTACATCCTCTTTGACCACTTCCTTGTATCAACCCAGAACAATGATTGAAAATTTGATCAATTTGATCAATGACTGAAAATTTGATCAATATGAACTCTATCAATTTGTGATGCCCAAAAAAATGATTGAAAATTTGACCTTAAACATTCTTACCTTTGACTTTGGGCATACTAGAAATCTCCACCTGGGTTTGAAGTAATCCACGAAGTCTGCATCTGTGCTAACTTCCCACAATGACATCGTTGGGCATGCCTTGCTTCTCCTGTTTGCATGTCTTCTTCAATTCAATCAGTATTCACATAGAGAAGAAGCAACTGAACCTCCAAATCTGAAATCCTCCTTCCCCTTTTCTCCCAAATCTGAAATCCCCAAATCAAATTCTCCCATTTCACCCAAATCCCTCCTCTTCTCCCAAATCTGAACCTCCAAATTCTCCCAAATCTGAACCACCACCTCAAATATTCCTAAACTCTAACCCTCTTCTCTCAAATTCCCCATTTTCTCAACTTGATTAACCCTTCCTCTCTCTTGTTAAGAGATTGAAAAGAAGTGGGGGCCACATCAGCTAACATAACTTCTCTTAAATCTGACAGAATCGCTTACGTGAAACACTTAATGAAAGTGTAGGTGGTATATTGAGACATTTCAAAGAACATGTGGTAATCTGAGACAATTTTGAAAGCACAGGAAGCATAGCCATAAATAAGCCTTTTAAAATATATATATATATATATATATATATTACGAGTGATAGTCTGAACTACACTAAATAATAATCTCCCTCATGATGTGGGCCATGATAAGTTCACACTAATGACCTGTACCTCGATGCATAAGATAGAAATGGGAAAACCATGGAGTGCCTTTCATTTCCAATTATGTGTTATTTCAATTTTCAGTTTGTTGAACCCTTGTAAATTTAATATACCCATTGTGGCTGTGCCTATGTTCTTGAGTGCTGTTCCCATCCCCGACCTTATTTTGCCCAATAACATTATATTCTCACCCACCCATGGAAATTTCAAAGAGAACAATCCATCCAAAACACCGGCTCAAACTTCCGTCTTCTTCTCCATTCCTCATTATCACTTGTCTAATAAGACAGAGAGGGAGAGAGAGTATGCCCCCAGTACTGATACTAGAGAAGATATTCTTTCTAGGAGGAAAAGGAGATGATTCACTATAGTGACTTAATAGAATATTTAGTAAAAGGAGGCATATGGTTTTGCTTCATTTCTAGATGATCCTAATGGCCCAGGGGAGCCACCTGGATATGTGACTCTCTTGTGGGAATGGTTATGGAAGATGAAAGATATGAAAGGTTGCTTCAAGGCATGTAAACGCTATCTTTCAAAAGTTATTTGCCCCTACAACTTTGGTACAAAGGAATACTCAAATAAGTCTTGTGGATACAATGAAGTGATATAACTATGTTGTTTATCAATGAGGTGCACACTCGAAGAAAAACATCAAACACACTTTAGAATTGACAAGGACACTCAAGAATGTCTAGAGGCTATTGCTGCATATTATAGTCTCTAGATGAATTTTGCTTTATGAAAATAGAAGGAGGAAAGTTTATGAATGAATAGGATTGAATGTGTATTCTTTTGCAATAATCCTCCTCCATTTATAGAGGAGTTTGTGTCTTTTTTGAATTGGTATAACTTCAAATTCAGAAAACCATGCATCTCTTGGATTGCATCTTGTAATCAAAAGGTATCACTTCAATGAGGACACATCTCTTCGGCCCCATTTGGTTCATGGAAATCAATTACTTTCCCATGTTTGGTAAGTCCAGGCATGGGAAATGTTGTTTGGTCCAGGGGAAAGTGGGGGGAAAAGTGAAGCCATCCTCCCAACTTGGGTTTTGTTTTCCCTCATCATGGAAAGTTTGGGAAAATGAGCAAATATTAAATAAAAAAATTTCATGATATTTTGTCCCCATTAACAATTTCGAATTACAATATATCTGTTCACCCGTTTTGCGATCACTCCTGTGGTGGAAGGGCAAAGCTCCCCACTGCCTTGAGAACCATGGTTTGGTCAACAAGTCAGCTTTCTTTGGTGTATGAGCGTGCCACTGCTAGCAATGAAGATTCTAGCAGACTTATTCTAGAATAGATAACTTGCGCCCCAAGTTACTGATTTCTATAAACAAACGATTGTGAATTTGGGTGAGGAATATCTCCCAAGTAAGTTCTTTTCTTGCCTCAGACTGGTGAGGACTTTAATAATTTATCTCAGTATAAAGAGTTTGTTCTGGCCAGAATGGTTGATGGAATTTAAGCTGTTTTAGGCAGAACTGCCTTTTACAAAACTATAAACATAAATATCCAAGCTAGAAAGATGAAAGGACAGCTGGAACTCCATTTCTGCCTGGATAGGAGGCTCTGATCCGGGCTAGACTGGAAATATCTAGGCTGGACTGGACTGTTAACAACTTCAACTGCTAAGCTTAAGCTGTAGATCGATACCAAAAGTTAATTTTGGCAGAGCTTTAATACACTTCAAGCTTTTGTGAGGGGCAGAACTGCGGCTTCTTCAGTCTGTAAGGGAAGAAGTGGTTGTTCTCGAGGACTTCAGTGGGCTAGGGACTGCACTGTAAAATTTGTTGAGGTTTTCATGTTTGGGAAAAGCTCAAGCTCTACCTGTCTTGGTTTTTTGCTGAACCAAATTTGTAACGAGTGAAATCTCGTTTTGAATGACTTATTTTCTGAGTTTGAACCTTGGGAATTCTTATCTAAATCTGGTTTTCACTTGGAATTCAAGTGAGCTTTTGGTTGATTTTGAGTTGTTTGTTTTATTGATGATTTGAGTGTTGGATTGTTTGTTTTTTTTTTTTTTTTTTTTTTTTATAATATGATAAAAAGAGATGTCACGTGGGTTTGTTTTCTGTTTCTGGGCTCCTTTCTTTTATCACAACGGGCCTGATTTTACTTTGTGAGGCCCAAGTTCGTCCGTCTGTTTTGATAAGCTTTTGAGCTGGGCCTTTCTGGATTTTGGGCTTCCGTTTTCCTGTTTTTTCAAAGACCAATTCGTTTGAGTTTTGTAGTCTTACTCTGGGCCTCTTTTCGTTGGGCTGGGCGTGCCAATTTAGGCCCAAACAATGCCCTCTAAGTCTGAATCATTTTTGGAACGGTTTCAGACTTAAATGAAATGGCCATTAAATTGGCGTGTGCTAGTTTCTCCCATTATCCCACGTCTGCCATGTCTTCCCACTAAGCCAATGTCCATGGGAAACTGCTCAGTTACTAGCTAGTCAATATCAGATGACGCCTTGTCTTCTCCACGTCCCTGTCTTCTCTTTCCCACGTTTTCGGGCTTCTTTAAAAGAAATTCAAAACCCACTGTTCCTGTTCATTCGAAAATCTAGTATCTCAGACTTCACTCATTTGAGCTTCTTTTTCGAAAAACTCTCCTTTTGTTTGAACCTCCCTTTCCTTTCCTGTCAACTTCCTCTTTCGAAAAATAATCCTGAGAAATGTCTTCCCCGAAGTCCCATGCTTAGTCTTCCTCTGTTTCAGTTCCTCCAGATTATGTTACTGGGACTGGAATTGACAACCACGCGATAGAGGTTAGGAGCAAACTCCACCTTTTTGCTCAGAAAAATCTGGACGAGAATGTCCTCCACCTTTTCGACAATACCCGAGTGTTAGCGCCGCACTGGTTTGGTCTTATTCTGGCCGAAATGGCAAAGCTGATGAAGAAGGATGCTGAAGCTCCTTTATGCTTCGAGAGCACCTCTGGCTTAGCTTCTCATACCTGGGTTAGCAAGAACCTGAGCCGGTCATTTCCCTCTAGTGAAGTGAGGAGTAGTCCGGTTAAGTGGGCGGATTGGATTGACAGACTTCTGCCAAGGTATGGAGCTCATTGGAGGAGGGCTGGCATATATGATGCCATTCTTCTATCCAAACAATCTATCAATAGGGATGAGAACCTGCTTGCTGCTGCCTTGTGTTTTTGGAATTCTGCTAGCAACACTTTTGATTTCCGTGTAGGTCCGATGATGCCAACTCTGCTGGATATGGCTTAGATTTTTGGGTTTAGGCCCCATGGCAGGCCTGTTGATGCTGTTGGTGATTACCACAGGAGCTAAAACCAGGAGAATCTGTCATGCCCTTCCACTATCTCTCCAGCTACGATCAATCAGAACTGCTCTTTCTCAAATTACTTGAGAAAGTTCAGTTATGAGAAGAACCAAGATTAGCAGCACATGCTGTTCCTGCTGTACTGGCTGAATAGATTTGTGTTCCCTAACCGCTCCTCTGCAGTTTTACTTGAATACAGGCACCTGGCCGAAGCTCTGCATAATCATATTGATGTAGGGCTTGGTACTACAGTTCTGGCCCACCTGTTCAAGAACCTGCATACTGCCACTTTGGAGAATCCACTGAATCTGTCTGCTCCTGGTGCCTTCTGGATGATTCAGGTCTGGCTGCTGGTTTATTTCCTAGAATTGAGATTTCCAGATATAGTTCTGCCTGAGGACCAAGTTCTAGCTCAACCACTGATGTCGGCAGAAGTGCCCAAGCGTTCCCTTGAAGAATATTTGATGTTTTTTAGACACTACATTAAAAGATCACCAACTCAATGGCAGGTGGTGATCAGAAGGACCTATCCCTGGTTCCATCCTGGACATTGGCTGTTTGAGAAAGGGCCAGAAGAAGAAGCTGCCAGAATTGATTTCAGAAAGAAGTTCTTGAGTGTGACCTTGCCCAGAGACTTACCTTATGGAGGAGGAAAACCTCCAAATTATCACTTGGGGGTAGAAGTATATCACCCTAATTTATGCGCAAGACAACTAGGCTGCCCCCAACTTATTCCGCTTAAATCATACAGAAGCTGCAATATTGGTTCCTCTTGGAGGGACGTGGAGGACCTGGAGGTGCATAAGGATGCCAGGTGCGTAGTAAACAAGATAAACAACAGCGCAGATGCCCTTTATCCCTTATGGCAGCCTAACTCTTGTAGCTCCGCTGATTTTGATGCCTGGTGGAAAGCGAAATGCCAGGATCTGCCTCACTCTACTGCTGCATTTAGGGTGCTTTTTGACGGCTGGGATAACTGGACTGTCTTTGCATCATCGGAGGCAAAGGAGTTTATGATGAAGACCATCAAAGATATTAACGCCCAAGTTATAGAAGGTAATTTCTATATGTTTTTTTCAGTTATTCTGCCTTAAATGATGATGTCTAACACTTGTTCTGCCTGTTCCAGATCCTTCCTTAGCAGGAAATGTAGGTGGGCAGTCTATCTATGATGGCAGAGTAATTGGTAAGTCCTTTATTCTGTTCCTCCTGTTTCTTCGTATGCTTTGACTTCTGAACTTTCTGCTTCCTGTGCAGTCAATTCTGTTATTTCAGCTGGAGATCTGGAGCTACCTTCCGGATAAGAAGAAGAAGAAGAAGAACAACAACAACAACGACAACAAGCAGAACAGACTTATGTTGAGGCAACCCCTTCTACCAGATGGAAAAGAAAGGAAACTGCTCGTACTGCAACTTCAGGTGACTTTTGACAGCTTTGAGTTTTTTTATAGTCTTGTTCTGTCATGTTTAGCTTATGTCCTAATGGCCTATTCTCTGTTTATTGTAGCTGAAAGTCCTTCTCCAACTCCCACTAAGTCAAAAAGGCTCAGAAAGAGGACTGAGGTGGAATATGTGGCTACTGATGGAACTGCAGCAGATACCACCACAACTTCCGGCACGGATGAAGAACTGAGAGAGGCATTTGAAGCTGTGGAGCAAGAGATGGAGCTGGAAGAGCTGGAAGAAGTAGGAAAGGGGCCTCAGGAGAAGGCCAAGACAGTGGAAGAATAAGTGAGTCTTGTTTCTTTAGCAGTATTAGTTTCTGCTGTCTTTTTGTTCCTTATGTCCTGACTTCTGCCTGTTCTTAGGTGGAAATCCCTGCTGAGGTGATAGCAGAGAGCATTGCCTTGGCGCAAAGAGCATTTCCTTGGCTCAGAAGTAACAGGAGCAACAGGAAGACATAGGGGCATGACTGACTAGCTGAGAGTTGGCCCTATTTGAGGATCCAGAGGCAGAACATTCCACTGCTGTTCCAGCAGCTGGCGAACAATCAGAGCAATCTGCATTCGAGCCTGTGGATAGAGCTGGCAAACGGGTCGTTTTTGCGGGTTACGGGTCGTGTTCGTGTCAACCCGTTATCTTAACAGGACGAACACGACCCGTTAGCTTAACGGGTCAGAAACACTAGACCCAAACACGACCCGCACAAATTCGCGAATAACACGACACGACCCGTTATGGCTAATGGGTCGTTTTTCACCCGTTTCACCCGCTTAACCCGTTTCACCCATTTAAAAAATAACAATATTTTTTAACAAATTATTAAATGAAAACACCTCAAATTAGAGATATAATAAAAATAATATAAAACCCTCCACCGTAAGCCCTCCACCGTTTTCTAAGACACTGGCTCCCACAAGACTTAAATCTCTATAAATTGGGAAAGAAATACAATTGGAAACAAATTCAATTAGACGCGTATAAAAAAACAGAAAGGCTTAAAGGAAATGTAAAATAGAGATTCCAATTACCATTTAGACTTCGAGACTTTTCAAAAGCAAATCCCAATTATGTTGTTCTTGGAAAATTTGAATTAAGCAATGAGTTTAATCTCTTTGTTATTAATCATCTTACTAGGGACTCTGGCTGTATCCCAAGCCACACCCACGTCCACATATGTTAACATTTCGGAGGAATTTGAGCAATTGCTGAACGACTCCGTCCATTGGCAGTAGAATTGGGGGCGGAGGAGGAGGAGAGGGTGGTGGCGGTGGACAGAGAAGGGAAAGACAGGTATAATTCATAAATGACAGATTCTGTTCTGTACAAATTTGGTACTGATATAATTCATAAATGAAAATTAAAACGCTTAAATACTTCAGATTTTCATACCTTTTCGGTGGAGAAGAGGAAAGATAGGTAGTTGATGTTGTTGATGGTTTGGTTTGGATGTAGAGAGAGAACGTGAGAGTGTTTGTTTTTCTTGAGAGAAAGAGACAGCAGAGAGCGGCGTGAGAAGGAAGAAGGGTAGCGAAACAGATGATACAATTCAATCTAGGTTAATTTTATAACGAAAATTACAAAAATGCCCTTCCTCTTAACGGGTTAACGGGTGATTCGCGAATAATACTGACACGACCCGTTAGCTTAATGGGTGAGTAACGGGTCCACCCGTTTTCAACCCGACCCATTAAGCTCGACCCAAATACTGTTATTTTTTTGCAAATTCGTGTCGTGTTAACGTGTCGTGTCCAATATTGCCGGGTCTACCTGTGGAGCAGGCAGAATTACCTGTTGCAATTCCAGAAGGTGTAGTGAAAGTGGCTGCAGCTGCCCCTAAAGTGATGGTAATTTTCTTCTTATTCTGCTCTCATTTTCTGTAATTCTGTTCTAGGTCTGCTTCTTTAACTATTTATGTCTTTCTAGGTAGAAGTTCCCAGGTCTGCTGGTGTTCTGGGAGTGATGACCAGTCCCTTGAAGCCTTCAATGTTTGCTGTAAGTGTTCATCATATTTTCGGGCTCCTCTTTTCTTTTATGCTTGGTTTTGACTTATGTTTCCTTCTGTAGATGCCTGTTCATTCCCTCCAAGGTTCATCTGCCACGACCTCCTTTGCTGATCCAGAGCTAGCAGAGTTTGAAGCCATGGACTTAGATGCCCAACTAGACAGATTGGAGATGCTCAGCCCTCCTGTAGAAAAGGCAAAATCCAAGGCAGTGGAGGAGGCTATGGAGAGGCTGAAGATCTGGCAGTCTACTAAACTGGAGTTGGATGAGGATAGGGAAGCCATTGACCAGCTGATGAAGGATCTGGACCTGCTGCACAGACAGAACATGGCCCTTAAACCTATACTTGAAATGAGCCTTGGCTTGGCAAGGGATGTGCTCGACCTTCACGACCGTTATGAGGATCTCAAGCCCACCTTCAAAACTTCTGAGTTCTGCAAGGCCACACATGAAGCCAACTTGGCTGATTTTGTAAAGCAGAAAGTAGAATTGGATTAGATGGTGGCGGGTTATAAGGAAGCCAAAGCCACTGCAGACAAATTGGAGAAGCAGATTGCAGAGCTTCAAAAGTAGCTGGCAGAGTGCAGGGAAGTGCAGAACAGGCTCGGGGCTGGACTGAGCTCCAAGACTAAGGCCACCATCCTTGTGCAGAGCATGGTTGCAGCTTCTAGGCCAGCCCTAGAGATTGCAGAGGCTTCAATTCATCAGGGGGTGCTGCTTCAAAAAGAACTTTCCATTAAGAAAACCAACTTGCAAGAAACCCTCAAGAAATTAGGGTTTTGATTTTGTTGCTTATTTATCCTTTCAGTTTTTTGCTTTTCCATGTAGGTGACAATTTTCCATAACCGGCCACATGTGTTTCAAGGGGCAAAATTGCTTTCCACACTATCTATCCCTCTTCAAAACTCTTGTCCTTGACTCTTTTGTTATAGGCCCTTGACATAGCTTGTTTTCCTGCCAGGAGCTTATTGAGGGTGTCAATTCTGCTTGCATCCAATCCTTCCAGTTCTAGCAGCATGGCTTGAGAGTAGTTTTCTCCTACCAGATTATGTTGGTGAGCAATTCTGAGGGACTCAACAGCTATTTCCATAGGTAGAATTGCATCATGACCATAGGTTAATGCATAGGGGGTCATGCTAGTTGCTTCTCTTTTAGAAGTTCTATATGCCCACAGAGTTTCTAACAACTTCTCATGACATTGCTTTGGATTCTTCTCAAGCATTTTTCGGATAATGTTGATGATTACCTTGTTGCTTGATTTTACCTGCCCGTTAGCTTGAGCATAATAAGGAGTGGATTGAAGTAGCCTGAATTTGAATGCCTCTGCCATATCCAGCATTTCTCTAGATATGAAAGAAGATCCTCTGTCAGTTGTGATTGATTCTGGGATGCCAAATCTCTGTATAATATGTTCCTCTATGAAAGTGATGATCTCTTGAGATGTAGTGGATTTAATAGGCTTGGCTTCTACCCACTTAGTGAAGTAGTCTGTGGCAACAATGATAAAACAGTGCTGCTGGCTGCTGGCTGGATAGATCTTGCCAATGAGGTCCATTGCCCATCCTCTAAAGGGCCAAGGCTTTACCACTAGATTCATGGGAACTGAAGGAGCCTGCTGGATTGGGCCGTGTCTTTGACAAGACTCACACCCCTTGGAATAGTCAATGCAATCTTTCATCATGGTTGGCCAGAAGTAGCCATACCTTCTAATTAACCAGCACATTTTCCTCCCACCTTGATGAGCTCCACAAATTCCTTCATGAGTTTCCCCTATGACTTTCATGTATTCTTTCTTTCCGAGGCACCTTAAAAGTACCTCATCCTTACTCTTTCGGACCAAATCTTCATTCCACATAAGGTAGTTCAAAGCCATGATTCTGACTCCCTTCTCAGAGGGCAGGGTTGGATATCGTAAGTAAGTCATGAGAGGATTTCTCCAATCATCTTCAGTGATTATGGTAGAATTGACATCTATTTCCATCCCTTTGGTCAGAATAGATGGTAGGCTTTTCTTCCCTATCTTAATGATTCTTTGTACACAATCTTCAGGCATTTGTATGTCTGTTGCTACCTGAGCCAATTCATTGGCTGCAAAGTTTTCTTCCCTTGGGATATGCTCCCAAGTAGCTTATCTGAATTCTGTCAGAAGATTCCTAGCTGCCACCAAGTAGACGGCTAGAGAGGGACTTAGGCACTTGTATTCCCCAGCAATCTGTTTCAAAACAAGCATGGAATCTCCCAAAATTTCCACAGATTGGATTCCTAGTTCCACCAGAATTTCTAAGCCAATGATTAGAGCCTCATATTCTACCCTGTTGTTGGTGCACTGGAAATCCAATTGGAAAGAGTAACAGTGTCTGATTCCAAGCGGTTCTTCCAAAACAATTCCTGCCCCAGAAGCTATATCAGTTTTTGATCCATCAAAGTATAGCTTTCAAGGTGTGAGATGAACTGAATAGATAGGATTGTTGAGGCAGGTGTGAGCTCTGGTCAATAGATTTGCATTTGCTATGTCCAAAGAGTCCATGTTTTCAATTTCCTCCCCAGGATGATCTGCTAGGAAGTCTGCCACAGCTTGTCCTTTGACAGCTTTCTGAGGAACATATCTGAAGGCATATTCTGTCAAGGCCAAGGTGCATTTTCCAATTATGCCTCTCAGCATTGGTCTCGTTAGCTTGTACTTGATCAGATCTATCTTGGCAATGATGTAGATGGTGTATGGCAGCATGTAGTGTCTAAGTTTCATAGCAGTGAAGTACAAGGCTAGGAAAAGTCGTTCAATTGCAAAATATTTTCTTTCCACCTCTGTCAGAGTTCTGCTCAGGTAGTAGACTACCTGTTCCTTCCCTTCCTTGTTATCTTGAACTAACAGACTCCCAATGGACACCTCTGATGCAGATACATAGTGCTTGAGTGGTCTGCCTTTCTTTGGTGGGGACAGAACTGGCGGATTTGAGAGGTAATGCTTGATTTCCTCAAACGCTTGTTGGTGCTATTCTTCCCACTTGAAGGTCTGTTCCTGTTTCAATCTTAACAAAGAGGAGAAAGGCTGGATTTTCCCTGCAGAATTGGATATGAATCTCCTTAGAAAATTAATTTTTCCTAAGAGACTCTGCAATTCTTTCTTGTTCCTAGGCAGTAGAGCTTCTATGATGGATTTTGCTTTGTTCTTGTCGATTTCTATGCCTCTCTGGTGGACCAAGAATCCTAGGAAATTTCCTGCTTGAACTCCAAAAACACACTTCTCTGGGTTCATCTTCAGTTTATGTTGCCTCATTCTTAGGAATGCCCTCCTTAGATTTGACATGTGGTTTCCCTCCTCTGGGATTTAATCACCACATCATCAATATACTTCCAAAGAATGCCCTATCATATCATGGAAAACAGAATTCATTGCCCTTTGATAAGTAGCTCCTGCATTTCTTAAGCCAAAAGGCATTACAGTGTACTCAAAAGCACATATATGTCCTGGACACATGAAGGCTGTCTTGTGGATGTCTTCTTCTGCCACCATGATCTGATTGTAACCTGCATTGCCATCCATAAAAGATAGCATCTGGTTGTGGGCAGCTCCATCTACTAGCATGTTTGCCATTGGCATAGGGTACTCATCCTTGGGAGAAGCTTCATTTAGATTTCTGTAATCCACACAGATTCTAACTACCCTGGTTTTTCTTTTCAGAACTAGTACAATATTAGCTAGCCAATCAGCATAGATGGCTGGCTTGATGAATCCTGCCTTGAGCAACCTTTCTATTTCTTCTTTGACCTTTAGTTCTGTGTCCATGGACATTCTTCTTCTGGCCTATTTGACTGGAAGGTATCCCTCTTTGATTGGCAGCTTGTGCTCTACTAATTTCCTGTCTAGTCCTGGCATTTCATGATAATGCCAAGCAAAACAATCTCTGAACTCTTGCAAAAGTGCAATGAGCTCAGTCTTAAGTGGTTCTTTCAATAGTGCGCTAATAAAAGTAGGCCTTGGATCCTCTTCTGTCCCTAAGTTTATTTCCTATAAAGGATCTTCCACTTATGGCAGAGAGTCATCCAGTGCTGCTGGCGCAAAATCTAACACTTCCTCTTGTAACTCTTCTTCCTCCTGGTCTTCCGTGCTTTCATGAGTGAATTCAGCCATATTGATGGCTGGATTCTGCATGAAGAGCCTTCTTTCCTCCCAGTATATCAACAATCTTTTTGTAATGGATCGGATTGTTGCAGCTCGATCCTTCTCCTGTTGATTGGGACTAAACAGCAGAGTTCTAGAAGTTTAGAACAAAAGGTCTATTCCAGTCCTCTAAGGAACTAGTTAGACCATCTTCAATGAGCCTCTAGGCCGTGACACCATGAGGGCGGCCATTCTGGTTGACTCCAAGGAAGGTGAAAGGACCAAGGTCATCATGATAGTACCTTACTTCGAAACACATGGCAGAAGGCAGAAATGGCCGTGGATCGGCCTCTACTATCTCCATGTAACTGTTGATGAAGAGTGGAAGGATCACATAGACTTTGATGAATCCAGTCTCTGCCAAGCAGTGCATTGTAAGTGGTAGAAGTAGTATCTACCACAAAGAATGAAATCTTCAGCTTCTTGCTTCCTACTATAACATCCACATCTAAGATCCCATGAGTCTTGATGATGCCCCCTGCGAAATTGGTGACAGTCAAACGGGTTGGAATCAAATCCCTTTCTGTTCTGCCCATCTTGCTCAGCATTCTGTGAGGCAGAAGGTTGATGGCTGCTCCTCCATCTACCATGATTTTCGGAATAGGAACACTCCCAAAGTTTGCTGTTATGAACAAGGGTCTGAAGTGGTTTGCCATCTCTTTGGTTGGTTTGGAGAAGCAAAGCTAGTCTGCAGCCAGCTTGTTGTCAGTTTCTTCTGTCTTGGGATTGCCTGCTTGCTGTTCTGGCGTCTCTTCTACCTCTGCCAACCTGCATTCAAAACTTTCCTGGGAAAACACATCTCCCTCCAGAGTGCTTTCATGTCCTTCTTCAGCCCAGAACTTCTCTGACAGAATGAACACCATGTTGATGCCTAGGTCACCTTGTAACAGGTCTTCCAATTCTGCACCAAAGGCCTCAGTTTCTGCATCCAATTCTCCGTCATACTCCATCTGCTCCTCTCCGTATTCCTCTATCCATTCTCCATGTTCTCCTACTCTGAGGAATGCATTCTGGTCATCTGCAGATGGCTCATAATCCAGCTGCTCCTCTTCATATTCCTCAGTCCAGTCTTCTTGTCCTTTCACTGGAATAGGATCGAATTTTCCCTCTGGTTGTGGAGTTTTAAGTAGATTTCGTGAGGTGGAGGCAGGATGGATAGAAGGTTTCCCTGAAGATTCTGCTTTCATCAGCTTATGTGGCTGGGAGATTGCTCGTTCTGTCTGGGGAAGGATTTCTGGCTCTTTCCCTTTTCTGGCAGAATTGGTCTCTGGAAGTACCTGGGCATTGCTCTTGTTATTGAGGAATGTGCAGTATTGTCTCTGAACCCTCTTATTTTGAGTTCTTATTAGCTCCATTGTTGGTCTGCCATTTTTCCTGACAGAATACCACCTGCCTTCAATGATAGCTGCCAGAGGTTTCTCATTTCCGGGCATTTTTATTGATATTTCCTCCTTGGGCTGCTTAGTCATTCTCCTGCTAGGTTGGACAGGCCTGGGGTAGTCTCTCTGTCTGGCTCTATCATGGGATGTGGTTCCAATCTGATCAAAAACACTCGGAGTGGGCAGTTCCTGTCTATTCAGGACCACTTCCAGCTCAGCCTCACATTTGCACTTGCTGCAGAGCACTACCCCAGCTGAGATAGTTGCCTTGGTCTTTCCATAGTCTCTTTTGAAACTATTCTGCTTCTGCTGGAGCTGGCTTCTGTAGCTGGTCTGCCCCTCTTCTATTATGGCCAATTTAAGTTGACCATGTTGACTTGTGGTGGGGGAAAAGGGTCTGTTGTGACAGATGGAGGTTTCTCTGCCAGCTTCAACCTTCCTGATGCTATCCCTTCCTGTATGACGTCCTTGAAAACAATACAACTATTGGTAGAATGATTCCAAGAATTGTGCCATCTGCAATACTATTTGCCCTTGAGTTCTTCTGGCTTGGGCATTCTATGGGGTGTCTCTATTGCTTTTTGCAGCAACATTTCCTCAAATAAGGCATCCACCTTGGTCAGATCAAAGAATACACCTTGTTCTGTGTCGGTTTGTTTGGAACAAACCCTCATGTGAATGGTGGCGGCTTCTGATCTCTTGGAGGCTTTGTAAGAGCCTTACAACTGATGGGGTGCTTTAATTTTGCCATTTCTGCCACGACAATCTCTCTCTCCTCCGAGCCTTCTGTGTCTTCTTCTGACTCTACTTCAATCATATGTATTGAAGAAGAGGGGGACTTGTAACATGTGCCTTTGGAAGAGTTTCTCTTCTGCTGTTCCTCCCTGAGCAGCTCCTCGTACTTGGATGCTTTATCTGCCAGTTCTGCCAGGTCTCCAAACAGCATTCCATCAAATCTTTTTCTCAGAGAGATTTTGAGGGCAGCCTGAGCCATTTGGATGAAGTGTGTTTCTTCCATGGGGATTCGGCACTTCATTTTGAGTTTCCTGAACCTGGTTATAAAGTCTTGGGCAGGTTCATCTTCACTCTGCTTGAGGGTAGCGAGGTCACTGATGGTGACCTCTAGCTGAATCCTATAATAGTAATCGTGGAAGACACTCTCCATCTGCTCCCAAGTCTGAACAGAATTTGCTGGCAGATTGGTGTACCAAGTGAAAGCTTGTCGGGAGAGAGAATTCCTGAAAAGCCTTAGCTTTAATAGTGGGTTATTCTCTATGGCTATGCACTGGACAGAAAATCTGCCTATGTGCTTGACCGGTGAAGTTTGGCACTTTGAAACCTGGGGATAAGGGTATCTGATCAATGTAAGGTGGATATGGCTTTCTGTAGGTGGGCCTCTCTCCCCTTCTGGCTTCAGGCTCCATCATTTCTCTAATCATCCTTTGCAATGCCCATACGTCATTTAAAGCATTAATAGGGAGGAGATTTTGCCCCTGTTCTGGTTGGGCGTAATCAATCCTGGGTTCCGCCCTATATGGCCTAGGCAGAACTTCTTCCCTATGTTCTTCCTGTTCTTCCAGATCTGGGGTGGTTCCTCCAATTTGCCCCCTGCCTATTCCTGTCATTGTTAGCAAAAGGGTAGTTTCCCCCTCCCCCTCTGCCTCTCCTTCCTCTTGCAGGTGGAGGGAATGGATCGGGATCCATCCTTCTAGGTCTGTAGGGCAACACTACTGGTGGTTCAGGCAGAAGTGCCAAAGGTTGATCCTGTGGGGCCACGGGTTGTGGAATAGGTTGAGGCTCTGGCTAGTTTCTGCTAAATTTGTCCTGGTGCAGGGCTTTCCGGCCGAATTAGGGCCTGACACTCTTGGACAGGAAGGGCTCCTCCTCTTTGTCCAGCCTGAATTTCCCCACGTTCTGGCATCCCAACTATCTGTGCAATAAGAGGATTCTCTTGATATGGCCATGCCAATCCTGGTGGGGGACCATAGGGAAGGTCTAGTTGCTGGACTACAGCATCCGGATTTTGAATTCTGGCCATGGCAGCCTCACGGTCCTTCCTGAACTGCCTATTGACCTGACATTGCATCATGGCTGTCATATTATTTAGAGTGTCCTGGCTCCTTTGTGTTGTGACCTCTTGTCGTACCACAGATTCCTGTATCAGGTTCATCCTTCTGGAGCCGGTCCTGGATCTTCTGCTTCCTGTGCTGCCGTGCGCTAAGTGCCGGGCATCACTCTCCTTTGACTCAAGTCCTTCCCTGAGAGCCACTTGGTTTATCTCCATGTCGTAGTGTGGATTCTGGCTAGAGCTTCCAATATTTATAAATTTGAGACGAATTCTGTGAGAATATGTATACTGAGAAGTCCCACTGGGCGTGCCAAATTGTTCACCTGTTTTACGATCACTCCTGTGGTGGAAGGGCAAAGTTCCCCACTGCCCTGAGAACCATGGTTTGGTCAACAAGTCAGCTTTCTTTGGTGTATGAGCGTGCCACTGCTAGCAATGAAGATTCTAGCAGACTTATTCTAGAATAGATAACTTGCGCCCCAAGTTACTGATTTCCATAAACAAACGATTGTGAATTTGGGTGAGGAATATCTCCCAAGTAATTTCTTTTCTTGCCTCAGACTGGTGAAGACTTTAACAATTATCTCAGTATAAAGAGGTTGTTCTGGCCAGAATGGTTGATGGAATTTAAGCTGTCTTAGGCAGAACTGCCTTTTACAAAACTATAAACATAAATATCCAAGCTAGAAAGATGAAAGGACAGCTGGAACTCCATTTCTGCTTGGATAGGAGGCTCTGATCCGGGCTGGACTGGAAATATCTGGGCTGGACTGGACTGTTAACAACTTCAACTGCTAAGCTTCAGCTATAGATCGATACCAAAGGTTAATTTTGGCAAAGCTTTAATACACTTCAAGCTTTTGTGAGGCTTCTGAGTGGGCAGAACTGCGGCTTCTTCAGTCTGTAAGGGCAGAAGTGGCTGTTCTCGAGGAATTCAGTGGGCTAGAGTCTGCACTGTAAAATTTGTTGAGGTTTTCATGTTTGGGAAAAGCTCAAGCTCAACCTGTCTTGGTTTTTTGCTGAACCAAATTTGTAACGAGAGAAATCTCGTTTTGAATGACTTATTTTCTAAGTCTGAACCTTGGGAATTCTGATCTAAAGCTGGTTTTCACTTGGAATTCAAGTGAGCTTCTAGTTGATTTTGAGTTATTTGTTTGATTGATAATTTGAGTGTTGATTGATTGTTTTTTTTTTTTTTTTTTTTTTTTTTTTGAAATTTAAATTTAAAGAGATGTCACGTGGGTTTGTTTTCTGTTTTTGGGCTCCTCTCTTTTATCACAACGGGCCTGATTTTACTTTGTGAGGCCAGGTTCGTCTGTCTGTTTTGATAAGCTTTTGGGCTGGGCCTTTCTGGATTTTGGGCTTCCGTTTTCCTGTTTCTTCAAAGACCAATTTGTTCGAGTTTTGTAGTCTTACTCTGGGCCTCTTTTCGTTGGGCTGGGCGTGCCAATTTAGGCCCAAACAATATCATAAATATATTCTTTTTTTATTTGATTTAATATGGGTATAACTAAAAATTTATACAAACTTTGTTTTCTACTCCTACTAAAAACAAACATGGGACAAAAAATAAAGTGATATCTCCTGGTTACTTTCCGGGAATTACCAAACGTGGGAAAGGAATCTTCCATTTCCCATCCGTTGGGAAATAACATGGAAAATGATTTCTCCTCAAATTCGTTCCGTGAACCCAACGGGGGCCTTCACGTAAGAGTGTCATTTTGTTTAAATCATGTATACGAAGTGTTTCTAACGTTCATATGTATAATTTGAACACTTTGTCATCAAGAGACACATCTAAGCACTCAAAAGGTGCTTTGAAACTACACCTCAACACGAATTGATTGACAGGTCCCAATTTGGTAGTAAGTTTCGCGACAGCCACTTTAGGTTTCGAAGGAGTTTCTGCCTCAAACCAACTGGTTGTTTCCCTTAAGCGACTGGTAGCTTTTTTCCAGATTGTTATATTTCTTAAAAACTTCAACATGGCCAATGTCGTAGCCAGGGATTGTTGCAATGCCTCCATCCCCTGTGATGTAGCATCTTCAGCCTGCTGGGTTGTAAATACCCACCAATTAATTTCTGCTCAGTTAAGGGTTCCAATCAAGGATTAAAATATCGGCCGTGCAGATAATATCGGGCCTCCAATTTACGGATATTTCGGGGGATATATCGTTATCGTTTTAGGTATCGGGAAGAAATCAACAAAAATGACAGATATAGGCATTGAAACACATCATTTTGGTGTAAAACTTTCATAGATGTTATGTACATTGTCAATGAATGTATTGAACAAATAAAACTCAAAATTTACTAATAATAAGATATATATATATGATGAAGTATAAGTGGTATGTAATGCGCGTTAATGAAAAGTTTGAAAATAAAAAGTTGATTAGAATGAATAAACCATGCATAAATCCGTAGTTTATTTAAACATTGGATTACAATTTAGATGAGTGTCCAACTACATAAATGAAGAGCTCCTATGAGGTTCAAACAATGAGGAACAACCATCTAGATTCATACAATAATCATACCAAGTCATGTAACCCGAGTAGTTTGTAAGCCATGTTTGAACATGGTGCACATATGTCTCTCTTGAGCTCCCTACTGTCATCCCATATATGGGATAGTTAGGATTAACCCAACTAGTAGGTCCATAATCTGTTTCCTCATCTTGAGCTCCATATCTAGTTCCACTATAATCAGACATGACATAACCATAGCCATCATAAGATTCATTTGAGTTAGTACTAGGTCTAGTTCCTATGCTCATAGATCCAAAACTGATCGCCATGTCCTCTTCAGATGGATTGATTGGTTGGCTTCTTTTCTTTGAGTATTGCTTCCCAATTGCGCCAATGCCTGGTCCAGCTTCTCTGCATCCATGATCCTCATCTTGGGTGGCATGAGTAAAATCAGCCTCAACAGTAAATGGGCTGTATTGTCTTCCTTCTTCATTACCTCCCGATCCAGCATTACTTCCTCCATCATTATCTGACGAATTGGATGAACTTTCCATTCTACTAGCACTAGCATCGTCTCTCAAGGGACGTCTTTGACATTGCCTAGGTCCAAGCATATCCCTTTCAAATGATGAAGTATCTCCACTCCTAACATCTTCGGATATGACTCTATCAACATCAACTCCTTCTTGGGCAGCATGTTGTGCTATAACGGCATCAGGGTTGCCTTGTTCATCATCCAAGTGAGCTGTCATAATCCATTGTTGAATTGGATTATTATCATCATCAGATGGTTGCCCTGCAATGTCAAGAAGGTCTATGTAGTCATTTTCTGCAACCTTGTTCATTTCAGCCTCTTCATCACGTAGCTTAAGTTTCATATTATAATAGCAAAAGACAATCTTTTCCAGCCTAGTATATGCGAGACGGTTCCTTTGTTTCGTGTGAATAAGAGCAAATGTACTCCAATTTCGCTCACATGCCGATGATGATGCTGTCTGTGACAATATACGCATAGCAATTTTTTGCAAGTTCGGGGCAGAATCACCATGAAGATTCCACCATTCTGCTGGGGGGATCGATTTTCTTGATTTGACGGCCATCTCAGTGCGAAATGTCTTTCTACAGTCTCTAAAATTTATCACCTGGATCACAATGTTTTGTGTTCAAGATGCATAAAACTAAATTTAATGAGGAAGACATTGTTTTGTGTTCACTTACCTCAGCCCCAAATGCTTGCAAACCTCTATCCCCAGTTGGGTTCAAACCTTTCAAATACGCGTTGGAGTCCTGAAAGTAACTCTTTATTGTGGCCAACCCCTGTTTCATATTGATATCTAGGGTTCAAGTAGTGGGCTACAAATATGAAGAGTAGTTAATACCCATTGTATAAATTTAAAAATTGATGCATATTTTTACTAAAAGATTAAAACATACCAGCTTGATGTAATGGACGAGATAATGTGACATCCCATCTGTGATTGATGATTTTGAGAAGCCATTTTTTTCCCTTCAACTTAGAAATCTTCTCTTTCATTATGTGAAACATATCATATAAGATAGGCATGGTAGGAACTACCTCTGTGTCAACAATTCGCAAGATGCTATACAAAGGCTCATAGATGGATTGCACTCCTTCCATGGCATCCCAGAATCTATGATCAAGGACTCGACTTTCAATTCTCTTCCCTCTTCTGATTCACTAAATCGACTATTATACCATTCCTCACTTGTAAAAAGTTGCTTCAACCCAGCTTTCTTATTTAAGATGCTATTGATGGTGATGTAGTTTGTCGCAAATCGAGTTGCACCGGGTCGGACCAAATCTCCTTGACAGAAGATCCTCATCTGAGCCAATAGCCAACTATGATTGTAAATGTAGTTGGTTAATTTCCTAGCCTTATTTATGACATTAGCCACCGACTCTTGCTTCCCAATATCTTCAAATATTAAATCAATGCAATGTGCAGCACAAGGAGTCCAATAAATAGGGTACCGCTCCATCATCATTTGTCCAGCCTTAACAAAGGCTGAACCATTGTCGGTGACAATATGAACAACATTCGACGGCCCAACCTCTTTTATGACATCCTTCAACAATTTGGCAATGTACTTTGCATCCTTGGTTTTATTTGAAGCATCCACTGATTTCAAAAAAATTGTTTTCCCGTTTGAGTAGACCATGAAATTTATTATGGACAACCTCGTGGGGCCAGTCCATCCATCACTCATGATGGTGCATCCATACACACCCCAATCTACCTTTACCTTTTCCACATAGGCTTGCATGTCTGTGTGTTCCATATCTAAGTACTTATGCTTTATTTCATACGGTGATGGTGTGGCTACGCCTTGACCTAATATAAACTCATATTAGTAATTGGTGTATTTAGAATATTTAAGTTCAAGAAAGGAAAGTTATAAGGAATAAAGCAAAACCTGCTTGTTGGGCTGCAGCAATCATATTCTTGAAATGAGGGGAACTTGCTTTTTGAGGAGCCACATTCTCAAGTATGAAGAATTTGCTGCAGTATCTTCCAAGTACCTCTGCTGAGTTTCTAATCATGCCTTTGATTGTTCTCTGTTTTGCTCTAGTGTTCTTGTGTGGCATTGGTACCGGAGGAGATGGAAGTGGGTCTCGAAGGCTTTGAGTGCGACGGTATTGCGGTTGACTACTACCACTTGCTCCCCCTGCAAATCGTTTGCTTCCCATTCCATAAACTCCTCCTTGTCTAAACCGTTCTTGCTTCGACGCTCTAATGGCAGCAAGGTAATCTTCTTTCTCCGCAGGGTGCATGTCTGGAGGATATGCATATCCATCGTCATCATCGTCATCATCATCATCAACAGGATTGCTACTTTTATTGCCCATGTATCCCTCTCTTGCTGTAGATCTTATGTTTTCTTCAACAGATTTCTTATGTTGTTTGCTAGACTCTTTCTCCTTTATCCATGCAATTACCTCCTTCTTAATATCTGGTGGTACTTCTTTGCACTTCTTTACACTTTTATGTGGATCAAATCCGGCCAAATGATACTTTAACCGTGTAATTCCACCACTTTTAAATGTGGATTCACAAAATGTGCATATGGTGCCATGCTTATTGCCTTCTATTGGACGAGCATATTTCCATGCCACATCAAGACCACCATGCACACTAGCTCCACTCGGTCCACTACTACTTGCCATTTTTAATCTATCACACTTAAAATATATTAAATGAACTTACAATATCAAATCTATCACAAAAATAATATAGACCATGAAGGAGAGCCACATACCTGAAATAGCAGTCAAAGAGAACTTGCAAACAAGGAAAGAAGCTCACAGACTAAATAAAATTGAAAAGCTAATAGAGAAAGAAAGAGAAGAGAAGGGAAGATTTGGTGCCCCAAAAAAAGCAAAATAGCCTTTGATTTAAAGAGGGCTTCTCTCGTGATAACAATGGGAACTTTTGGGGTTGGGGGACAATGGTATATGGGTTTGGCAAACTTTATTTTATGGATTCCAGTTGGATGATTCTCTGACTTTGATGGAACTAAAAGTAGCCAAATTTTTTGGAGGTATGTGGGCAGTGAATTGCATTTTGCCAATTGTCTGACTTCGAAAAGTGAAAAAGAAACAACCAAAAAATGAAACAAATATTAAATGATAAAGAGCTCCACAAGAAGCTCAGACTTAGATAAAAGCTTTCAACAGTTTAAAGGCGGAACAATAAGCCAAAAAAGAGAACCCCAAAGCTCAAAACAGTATTCCAAGCACGAAGTAAAGAATCAATTCTTCTTCCAAGTTCTTCTTTTCATGGCTCAAAAAACAGTCACTCACATTCTTTACATTATTAATTATTATTATACTAATATTTTGTCTATCATATAATCTACAAATTTACAAATATAGTGGTTGTGATCAATACACGTTAGACCAAAAGATGGGAAGCCAAGTTAGTGGCAAATAAGCTTGAGATAGGACATGTATGTCCCTTCAATTGACTATGCATAGATTCTTTTGATGCATACTCCAAACATCTTTTGCATTGAATATTGCCAAAAGCCTTCACACATATCTAATCACTGCACATATACCTCTAAAAAATATTTTCAGTTTCAATTTGCTTCAAAACTTTTTAATTTTTTTGGGTTTTGTTATGGGTATCGGGAAATATCGGGAAATATCGGCAAAATATCGGGAATATCGCACTTATCGGGGATATATCGTCGATATAGGGGAAGATATAACCTTACCCCCCAATATCGATGTCGATAGTTCAAAATGTCGATATATCGGCCGATATATCGGTGTATCGGCCGATATTTCAATCCTTGGTTCCAATTGATTTACGAGAAGCTACACTGCGCGATAGCAAATATAGGTTTTAAATGTAGAGATATGAAACAATTAGAAAGAGATAGGACAAAAATGAATACATTATGCCCCCATGGTATTCAAATGTTAATTTTGAACTTTAATGACACATTTTATAAGTTGAAAGTTCAGCACTCAAGAATTTCATTACTTGCAATCAAGGAATAAATGCTTAAATGTTAAAATAGTCTATGTGTTATACTCTTTTGGCCAATTTAGTCCCCGTGTTTTCAATTTGGCCAATTCAGTCCTTGTGTTTTATTCTGTTAGCCGATGTTGTCCATTCTATCAAACTATCAATGAAAAATTAATAAATTTTTTTATTGTAAGTTAATTTACAAATAAAATAACAAAATATAAATAAAAAATCTGGAAACTGAACAACCTCCATGTCATCTTCTTCTCCCATGCCACCACCACCACCACCATCAACAGTCCCAGTCACCACCCATTCTCTCTCTCTCTCTCTCTCTCTCTCCTCTCTCTCTCTCTCTCTCTCTCTCTCCCCCACAACCCCTCATTATTTAAGAAACATGAAATGTTAATTTAAAAATAAAAGATCAGTTTTAACACCAATAGATCAAAAAGAAAGTGTACAAAAAGAATCGAGCAGGGAAGGGAGAGGAAAGACAGATAGAGGAGTTGTGGGCATGGGTGGGATGAATTGGGAGAGAAAGAATAGGGTGGTGCCTGTGACTACTTATTGGGGTGAGGGTTGGGTGGTGGTGGTGGAATGAGAGAAGAAGATTGGGTTTCCTGATTTTTTATTATTTAAATTTTATTTATTTTGTTATTTGTATTCATATTATTTTTATTGTAAACTGAACTTAATAATTTTTTTAATTAATTTTTTATCTGTAGTTTGGCAGAATGGACAATATTGGCTAACATAGTAAAGCACACAGCTTAAATTAGCCAAATTAAAAACACGGGGACTAAATTGGCCAAATAAGTAAAACACATGGACCATTTTAACATTTAAGCTAAGAATAAATATATTGTTCATACTATGGACACGATTTTAAGGGCATAGCCAAGTGACTCACCACATTGAATTTGCATGCGATGTAGGATGTTAATAGTTCTAATTTTCGGGGGGCATTGATGGAGGGGAGGAAGGAGAAGACGTTTCGTGTAGGAAGCAAGGACAACAGTGATCGGATGGCAACGTTTGATCACCGGGAAATCAAACGGTCATAAATGGTTATTGTAAAGGACAGACTCAGGATTTCAAATTGGAGTGGGCCAAATTTACCTTATGCACACATTTGTTAAACTCGACAATACGAGTGAATTTCATTGATAACAAAAAATACTCATAATCAGGATGATATAATGAGTTTTACCCCTCAAAACACATCTATTACATTTCACTTTTCTGTTTTCTACGTGCACGGGTGTGTGAAGGGAAGATGGGTTATAAACTACCAAAAAAAGAAAATAAGTGGGGTTGTTTTCGAACAAAAATAAAAAAAGCAGCGATTGTTTGTACAGTGCAGGGTTATCCACCGAGTGGGTTGGGTATATTAGTTTAAGCTTAAAAAGACAAAGTCACTTGGACTACAGCCCAATTTAGTCAAAGCATAAGTCTATCAATGATAGCAGCTAGTCCAGGTTCGTCAAAGGATAAGTCCGTCCCTGGTAGCTCCTGAAGAACAGGAGAGAGCAAGAGAGTGGAAGAAGAAGAAGGATGTGTTATTTAAATCAATTTTTGCCAAAATACCAAAAATTCCCTATAGCTCCACTAACCATAGTTTTTTCATTAAAATCCGATTCGAACCTATTAGAGGTTTGAAAGCAATTAATGCATCTAATTCTCTTTCACTTTGTACTTTGCGTCAAGTTCTCCCTCCCTTTCCATTGCCTTTTGTTTTGTTTTGTTTTGTTTTGTTTTTTTTAAACATTAGTAAATTAGAGAGGGGTAAATTGAATATAGGACTTCAAATGTAGGGGTAATTGCTCTAAACCACTTGAGCTACAACAAGTCCCTTACTTATCACTTTTTATTCTTAGGCATATGTCCCATAATATTTAGGGAGCTTCACTAATATACCCAAAATAGGGGCTGAAATTATAAAAAAACCTACATGAAAATACTTTATAAACACACTCAAAACTCATTTATTAAATAACAAATTAGTGTTGAAGTTTCAATAAATTACACCATTGCCACTATCAAGCCGAATAAAAAAAAAACTCAAAAAGCACCCAAAATAACCCCAGCCCAATTTTATAAAAAAGCCCAAAATATGGAATTCACTTTATAAACATACCCAAAAAACATTTACTACATAACAAATAAGTGTTGAACTTCCTATATATTGCATCTCATAGAAATACATTGTTAATACCATGTTACAGACGTACATTGTTAATATCATATAATATAAGTACATTGTTAATACAATTTCATAGAAAAATCATTTCAAAAAAAAAAAAAAAAAAAAAAAAAAAAAAAAAAACACCGACATTCAATATCTTGTGCAGAAACCACCTCCAATTGTCCATAGTTTCACCAGAAATCGCAATCGCAAAAACTCTAACTCTACAAAACAAAAAAAAAAAAAAAAAAAAAAAAAAAAAAAAAAAAAAAGTATAATACATAATGTTCATAGAAATACATCTGTTAATACTATGTCATAGAACTATTTTTCTAGTAAATTAATCACATTCTGCACATCATAAACTTCAAGTGAATAGTTATATATAGAGCAAAATATGAAGCATGCTTTGTTACTGATAAATATGTTAATATTACAGAAAATTAGTAAAATACCCATATTATATCATAGAAGTACACTGTTAATACTATGTCATAGAACTATATTCCTAGTAATAATCACATTCTGCATATCATAAACTTCAAGTGCACAGCTATATATAGAGCAAAATATGGAGCATGCTTTGTTACTGAAAAATTTGTTAATATTACAGAAAATTAGTAAAATATATATATTATGTCATAGAAGTACACTGTTAATACTATGTCATAGAACTATCTTCCTAGTAAAAATCACATTCTGCATATCATAAACTTCAAGTGCACAGCAATATATAGAGCAAAATATGAAGCAGCTTTGTTATTGAAAAATTTGTTAATATTACAGAAAATTAGAAAAATACTCATATTATGTCATAGAAGCAAACTGTTAATACTATGTCATAAAACTTTCTTCCTAGTAAAAATCACATTTTGCATATCATAACTTCAAGTGCACAGCTATATATAGAGCAAAATATGGAGCATGCTTTGTTACTGAAAAATCTATTAATATTATAGAAAATTAGTAAAATACTCATATTATGTCATAGAAGTACACTGTTAATACTATGTTATAGAAATCAACTTAGTTGTAGGATATGAACAGTTCATACCACTTACTGGAAGTTAACAACTACATCATTTCCTGTGCATAATGTGTACGATAAAATTGTACAACTGAAAAAACCCCATGTTCGTAAACCAGCTACCTCACTATAGCACAGCTTCATAGCTTTTGAAAGTAAGCTTTAGAGACTGTTTTCTACTAACTGAAAGTGTTACCTTCATTACTTCTAGACTAATGTTGTTCATGCACCAGTGGAAATTGACACATGCTAAAGAGCTCAATTGAAAATTTATTGCATTAACAGATCCAAGATAGGACCCAAAGACCTTGACCACATGAAATGTGAGTCTAAAATTTTTGAGCTGCTCTTGACTAAAAAGTAAACATAAATTAAACAAGCCTGCAGCTTCTTAAGGCAAAGAAGCAGAGAACTAAAAGACTCAAAGGTATTTAGTATGGTCCAGGGCAAATGACAATTAGTTTTTCTATTTTTCTATTTTGAAAAGCCCATCTTTCACAGCAATGTAGCTGCAAAGTAAGTCTACAATGAAAATTGCAGTCAACTCACAAAACAACCTTGGAAGAGTTGTAAATCCTTGATATTAATTTTTTTTTTTAAATTCAACTAAGCTAAAAACCTAATCTGACTCCAGCTTTCTAGCATTAGCGAAACTTCATCTCATTCGGTTTGCTGCCCTAAACGCTGAAAGAGAGAAGAATGACCTTGTTGCTGAAACACAAAAAAATAGTACACAGCATTGGAATCTTATATAAGAGAATTAGAATCGGTGCATCAAAATTCTAGTATACAGCTGCAGAAAAGAATTTACAGTAAGAAACAATAATAAAACGATAATGCATGTATATATTCTAGTCATGTGTGAAACCTTTAGTCGCAGGTGCGTCGCGGCTCTCTTGCAACTTGTGTGAACAACTCTGGCCATCGAATTTGCTAATATTTGATTGAGATGTATGCACAAACCCACAATGGTTAGAGCATGAGACTCCGCTAGGAATATGAAAGAATATAACTACAGCGTCAACCCCCATTTAAGTGCACGAGTTATTCAGGGGAGGCAAACAATGGACATCCAAACAACTATTCTACTTTTCTCTAAATACCATATGCATTTTTCTACTATCTACTTCAAAAACAAATTATAGCAAAGGTTGGCTAGGAAAATATAAAAGGAGAAAAAGAAACAATAGGAGGATGGAATTAAGCAATGAAAAGAGGAAACTCAGAAATTCCAAGTACTAACCCAACCCTCCAGCACGAATATACTCAGATTCAACTGAAAAAGGATACCTCAATTAATATGAAAACCGAATCCAATACCACAGATTTTTAACCACAGCTCAAACCAAAACACAAGATCAAATTCACAACCAAACCGAATCTGAAATCATTCCAAATTATAAACAAACAAAAAAATTAAAATCACAATTCAAAACTCAAATGAATATCAATACAAATTACCTAAGTGGCCTAAACCGAATCGTCACCGAGACGCTGTCCCCACCGCCTTCACGATCACTGCCACCTCAGTAGCCAAAGCCGCCACCTCCGTAGCCAACGCCGCCATATCCTCTGCGGCTGTAACCTCCGTTACCCTTACCACCGCCTTTGATCGCGTCCCTCATGGCCTTCTCGTTGTTGAAGGTGACGAAGCCGAAGCCCCTGAACCTCTCGGTCTCACGGTCGTTGATGATATTCGATTCGATGACCTCACCGAATGGAGAAAAGGCCTCCGCAACGCATCATTGTTGGTGGAGGAAAGAGTCGGCCTCATGGATCAGGACCCGAGTCCACCTCCTGAGTTGTAAAACGACCTTGCCTGTGACTGAGATGCAAGAGATTGAGCTATGAGATCTGAAAATAGCTGCAAAATCTGTGAGAAAGCAAGTGAGAGATCCAGAAAGCAAAGAAAATTGGAGCTGCGGCTCCGACGTTGAGGTTAGTTAAATCAGCCGCTTGTGGATTTCTCACAGACCAGCTCCAAGATTTTGAAAGAGCAATTGTCGATTATCTTAATTGAGCCTTGGAGCTGGGTTTATTTTGGGCAAAAGGGCAAAACAATAATCCAACATTGCTATTAAATTTAAAAAATCGACGGTTATCAATTTTTGGGTTTATTTTGGGTGTATTTTTATACTTTAAATAGTATAAGGTATATTTATAGTTTCAAGTCTAGGAATGGGTATTTCACTAATTTTCTATAATTTTTATATTTTTATATTTTTCTTTGTGGAAAGTATAATAAAATCTGAAGGACCAGCATTTTGATTATCCAAATTAGTCTTTTTTTGTGTGGAGAATTTGAATTTGTCTAATTTCGAGATACATCTTGGACTTAATTATTAGCCTTACAACCACAAGTGCAAATATTTTACAAGCATTTCCAGCACATATATAAATCTTAGTAGTAAATTTAGCTTAAGGTAACAAAGAAATTTAGCTATGCTTTTAAGTAATTATTTATTCATTATTCTTTTAAAAATACATCTCTTACTTGGAATCACCTCTTGAAGTAATGCTCGATCTTTATATTTCCCTTCTCTATATATAACTTTCTCCATATTAGCTTTCTCCATGTGAGTTATGTGGGAGCAAATATTTTCATCTCCAATCACAGCACGTCACGTGGAAAAGAAGATTATCCCTTATATTAATTAATTGAATCAATTATTTGGCCAATTAATTAATAGGGATAATATCTTAATTATAGAATATTATCTTATAATTAATAAAGATAATATCATTAATTCAGATATTATCCTAGCAGGAGATGTAATCAAGTCCGACTCAACCTCTATGAATTTGGGTAAAGAATAACTCCTCATAATAAGAGTTTATTCTCTATGAAACTCTACGAAACCCTAGTCTCGAGGCTCCTATAAATAGATGACTTCATTCATCATTCAAGGTACATCTAAACCTACTTCTAAACTCGAGAAAATACTCGAATCTCTCTCCCTCTCCACTCTCCATATTTCTCCACACCGCTCCGGCCACCACACATGGCTCCGGCCGCCCGGTTCACACTATACATACAACTCCGTACCCTTTGCTTAGCTATTGTTTTCCTACAAACACTCGAACTAATTTAGGCATCCGAGGGCCTTTGGCCAATACCCTCCGGGTGTGGTCTATTTACTCCAATATTTTTTATAGGAATCGAGGAAGAGAGAGAAAAAAGATCGAAGGTTGAAGGATCTTTAGAAGCGAATATTCTTCCGTGAGATTATTTGCACAAACAAGTTCTCTGATTTCATTTCTCATAATTAAGTTGTTTTATTGTCTTCTCATCGATTCTCAGTCCTCTTGATTTTTCATTCAACATTTCTCTTAATAGTTGATCGTTGCTGTAGAATCTCAAATTAACTTTTATTAGAGGTACGTACGTTTTGGAAAGTTTCTTCTTTGCACTCTATGTTTTATTCTGGTCCAAAAGAAGAAAAAACACACGTGCACACAAAGTAGATAAGTTATATTTGCATAAAGTATTCAAATCTATTGTTCGGTTAATAATTCAAATTTATTATGATTATGTTTTTCAATCAGCTCTATATTATATTGTGGGTGTTTTTTTGTTTTTGATACGTGAGCTGTTATTATTCTATACTTTTGATTAATTACTTCCCTAAGATTATTTTCTCTCTTTCATAATTAATTCTTCAAATGCTATTTATCTTTTTAAATATTTTCAAGTACTTACGTTAAAAACATATGTGTCTTTTTTTAACTTTATACATTTTTATTTGGTTACATGTGTTTTCTTATCCTTTATTCATTTTTAAAGACTTTATGAAAAATTAACAATAAGGTACAATTTGAACATGTTAAAGCACTTAAACTCTAAGTCATAATGTTTGTCAACTCACAACATAGTGACCAAACGAACATCCTCTAAAGTAGGGCCGATTCATTGATTTTGGAGGCCCTGTACAAAGAGAGATATTGAGGCCCTATGCATACAGGTAAAAAAAACTCACAATCAATAAATAGAACCAAACACATCCTTAATTGCATCAATTACACCATAATCCATAAATAGAACCAATTCCATCCTTAATTTCATCAACTACATTTATTTTTCCATATTGATATAGCCCACTCATTTGTCTTTTACATATTTTTTTTAAGTGAAGATAATTAAAAAATTTACAAAAAAACAGCAAAATGAAGAAATATACAGTGTCTAGTTAGAATCATAAATAGGTTTCATCGAAACCAAATTAATAAGTTTAGCAATAAAATTGACAATATGACAATTAATCTTGAAAAAATAAATAAATTTTTTGTAAATGCATGAGTTGGTGGATGACCACCATACCTCTTAGCATTCACACTTTCTGTACTTTGTATGTAACCTATACACTAAATACCATAGTTATGAGCTTGTAATTTATGAGTTGTTAATGTCTTCTTATCACTGTAAGCCTATAAATAAGAGGTCTTACCAGGATAAGTTAGATACAAGTTGACTGACACAAATTCTATTGTCTTCCTCTACTTTACAATTCTCTCTACATTTTCCCCTTAGTTATGTAACACGTTATCAGCACGAGCCTCGAACCACTTGAGTTTTTTTTTCTATCTTAGAAATAGAATAGTTTCCTCTTACATATTGCAAGTATAGAACTCTTGTTACATAGGCTTTGACAAATGGAAAGAAGTGCTTCAACAAAAGGAAGCTGAACTGTAACAACCCGATCCCAAATTAATAGTTAATTATTAATTTATTCTAGTAAAAGACCATTATACCCCTAGAATGTCTATTAGGTTTTAAGTTGACTTTTTAACCGGAAAGGAATTTGGGGATTTGGGTGGTGCCATTGCATAGAGCTTGACGATACGAGTTCATAGACATACGGCATGCCCAATTCCGAGTTGTAACGAAGGAGAAAAGGTCTAGAAACGAAAATGAGGTAAAAGGAATTTTAATTTCTTATTGCTACAGTACCCCAACTCTTTTATTATGTTTTTGGCTTAATTATGTACATGCCCCCTGTGCTTTCAAACTTATCTCAGATTACCACATGTGTTTGCAAACGTCTCAAAGTACCCTCCAACCTTATAAAAACCATCTCACGTTACTTGTTCCGTCAGTTTTTTTGACGTTCCGTTAAGTTTTTGTTACTGTTCGAGAACAGTAGCCCCTTCCCATTCGAGAACAGCAACCCCTCCCCTTTGTTACTGTTGATCCGAACAGTTTTTGGGCTGCCATCTCCTCCTCCGGCCACCCCAAGCGACGACATGGGTATCAAAAGAACCAGCACGTTGTCCTCTACTAGCCTCACATCTTAGCCGCTGCCAACCGCCGTCTGGATCACCGGAACAAGCAAGAAATTGGCCAGTTTTTACCCAAAATCTTCATCGCTCGTTCGGGCGATTTCGAGCACCATTTGCTTCGATCCAGGTATGGTTTTTCAACCTCTCCAGCTGTTCTTGCTACTAGTTGTGTTGGTTAGAAGAAATTTATGAGTTTTGGAGGGTAAATAAATGATTGAAAATCTGCTAGTTGGGGAGGGGGCTGCTGTTCGAGTGGAGAGGGGGGGGGGGGGGGGGGGGGGGGGGGAGGAAGGAGGAAAAAAGAAGAAAAAAGGAAGTGGGGCCCAACGTTCGTAACAGAACGTCAAAAAAACACAGGTGGTAATTTGAGATAAGTTTGAAAGCACAGGGGGCATGTACATAATTAAGCCTATTTTTTTTCCTCTCCTTCTTCCTCCAGCTTCAGCCATTTTTTCTTCTTCTCTTGCGACAGTCACTGTAACAACAGTGCAGTGACTATTTGACTTCCAAGCCGCAAAATCAACGTTGTCGTTCATCGGATGGCCACGCCACCTTCACGAAAGTGTTCATCTCATCCTCCTCTATAAAACCCACCTAAGACCTGATCCAATTGGCTAATGATGAGCTCAAATCGAAGCTAAGAAATGGTTAGGCTTTTTCGGTTGTATTTTTGCATTTTTCAGCGACTCCGGCCACGGAATCCGTCGAGTAAGGTATGAAACTTCATCTACTCTTCGTGTTCTATCTATTTATGTAGGTATTGGAGTTCGATTTTAAAGTTGTACAGATTGTCCCATATACCCATATTATGCCGATGGTTTCGGCTTCGTTCCAGCTAGTTCTAGTTGGTTTTTGGCCTTGGTCCAAGAACAAAAGTGGCTCTAAATCATGTTATGAACCTATAGGTAGGAAGCTGGGCTTACGATTGCAGAGTTTTCCGGTCATTGGAATTGATCAAGCCACCCACACGCTGCCAGCGCGTGTGGCGGCGCGTGGGCAGCATGGTGGGGACCACATTCAGTTCTAGAATGATCCCTTGGTCCTCACGAGCACGTAGGATTTCACGGATCTTAATTCGGATAACGTTTGAACCTCGAACGGATCTCACCTAGTGTGTGATTTCGGGTTCAGCATGTTTGAGTCGTTGGATCATATAGTCATTTTTAGATATATTGGTCTATTTAGTGTAAGGATCGTATAAGATTCGACGGATTGTATAACGGAGTCCCGAACACTTCAGAAACGCGAACCCGAGGGCTAGGTTTATAGTAAACGAGTTCTAACCGGAATGAGTTATCTAAATCAGGTTACGAGTTAGAATGTTTGAGATTACCGATGCATTAGTGTTGTTTTGAAAGTTGAGACCTGAGACCAGAATATTATGATGCTTAATTTGTTTGGGTATAATTGAATGCCTGCTGAATGATTAAGTTATACAAATGTTTGATGACATGTGGAAATTTTGAGAAATGAGTAAATTACAGGTGAAACTGGCAGAAGATAATCTTATTTTAAAAGTGGATTTTTAGTTAGAAGGGAAATTTGGTCTTTGTGCCCGGCATTAGCCAGGTGTCGGACACTCACAGGGTTCGGCTTGGATTCTAAAATGGAATTTGGGTCGGGTCCTGTCATGAACAACAAGATTCCAAACAGATAAGAATTATTTTATTTTTATTTTCATTTACACATCTAGTTCATATGAAATTTGATATTTTACAAAGAAATTAGCATTTTTATTATAGATATCTATCTTGTCTATCTACTTACAAGATTACAACTATTTTTTGTTATTTGTCAGAAATTCAAGATTTTTGTTAAGAGTAAAGATCAATATCAATGTGATATTTCATGTCACCAATCTTTATGAGGTAAAGTGATAATAATTTCAATTTTTATATAACTAATGGAGAACTAGAAGTTCCTCAGTTTTTATTTAAGCATGTAAGGACCAGAAGATCCTTAGATTTCAATCCTTATAATATAAATATTTGTGGACTTGAAGTTCCCCAATTCTTAAAAGGCAAATGAAGACTTGAAGCTCTTGGATTCATTTTTCGTTGGAACCAAAAGTTTCAACAATTTATTTTATTGCAATATTTTATTTTTTGTTGTATTTTATTTTACTTAGTTCTTTTCTTTAGTGTTATTTTTATTTTATGCAAGGACTTGAAGTCCCTATTTATATAATTAAATAAAGACCAGAAGTCTCTTAGGTCTCAATCCATATAATATCTGTTAGGGCCTATTTATGCAGCCCACGAGCATGAGCACAGTAGATGTTTAAAAGAAACTGAAGAGCAGCCGAAAATAGAGAAAGCCCAGACTAAAACCTCAAATTCTGCAAGTCCAACCCAAAATTTATCAAACCCATGATAAATGAATAGTCTTGAACTTTGAAGAAAAGGAAAGTACCCTAGTCAAACATTAGAGGCCCATGTCTTTTGCAAAAGTGGCAGAGGTTTAAAAACACAAAAAATAATAAGTAAATAAATCAATAAAATTGCCAATTAAATGATAATTCATCACCAAGCAGGTCGATAAACTTCTAAGAAATTGGATTAGGCTCAGCTTCTAAAGAATTCTAGCCACTTGATCTCAAAAGTAAGTCAGCAGATCTTTTCTTACTGAAAATGGTTTTTTCAGAAGAGCCTCACGTGACTACTTGACTTTGGAAAGTCAAAAATTTCAACTATCACAGGGGAGTTGACAAAGAGTTCACAAAAGGCAGGTATAAAAGGAAGACTTCTCTGAATCTTTGCAGCCAAAAGATCAAAACCTCTTTCTGTATACATAGAAATTCTACACCAGAGCAGGTGTCATTTCCAAGGGATAAACAGACTACATTTTCTAAAGAGATAAGTAGGGGGCAGGGAGTTGTTCATCAGGAAAAGCAAACTAACCATCATGGCATATTGCATTCTTACAAAGGGCGGTTAAAGAGTAAGCAGGGATTAGGTTTTCTTTCAGGAAAAGCAGGGAAATGATCACCATAAGAACTGACTGTTGATAGCTTTTTGCCATAATAGATGACTTCCCCTTTTTATGACATTTAAAAAGAAAGATCTTTTGAAAATATTTGCTGCCCATTATTTAAAGATTAAAAGAACCCCCACTCCAGCATTTTCTATAAATATGAGAGGAGGTGAGCAATTCAAAAGACAGCCAACAAATCAATCAAAAACAAAAACTCTCAAAGTCGCAATTAACAAACTCAAAATGATCACTTGATCTCAAAATCTTTCAAAACACTGAAGCAACCAAAGCTCATTGAGCCACAAGAAACAAGTCAGCTATAAGTCAAAATCTCTAATTTCAATTCAATTCAAGGAAATAGTTCTACAGAGTGAGATTTCTCTTGTTACAAATTTGATTCAACATAAAGCCAAACCAAGCAGAGTCCGGGTTTTTACAAGTAGAACATATTTATGGAAAGCCCTGATCAAGTAGAACATATATTACAGTGCAGTTCCAGCTCAGTAATCATCAAATCTAGCCACTTCTGCCCCTTACAGACTGAAGAGGCTCCAATTCTCCCCGCTCAAAAATCCTTTTAGGGCTTGAAATAGATTAAAGCTCAGCCAAACTCGAACGTTGGTATTGATTTACAGCCGAAACTTGACAGTTGAAGGTGTTGATAGTCCAATCCAGCACAGACATACCTAGTCCTGTCCGGATCAGAAGCAGCTATCCTGGCAGAAATTGAAGTCCAACTCTCTTTTGTCTTTTTCAGAGTTGGTCTTTCCTTTTCTGAGCTTTGAAAAAGGCAGTTCTGCCTAAAACAGTTCACTTTCTTATCATTTATTCTGGCCAGAATTACCAGTTGTCGTACTGTGAAAAATTGTGAAGTCCTCACCAGTCTGAGGCAAGAAAAGAACTTACTTGGGAGATATTCCTCATCTAAATTCACAATCGTTTGTTTAGAAATTAGTAAATTGTGGCACAAGTTATCCTTTTTTGAAGAAGTTTGCTAAGATTTTTATTGCTAGTAGTGGCACGCCCATACACAAAAGAAAGTTGACTTGTTGACCACCAATAGTTGTCAAGCCAATGGGGAATTTTACCCTACCATCACAGGATTAAATCAAAGACGGGTGAACAATTTCGCACGCCCGGTGGGACAGATCAGTACACACAATCCTAGAAAAACTTCTGGTTTATGAATATTGGAAGTTCCAGCTAGAATCCACCCCTTGCCATCGAAAGAAATCAAGCAGCTCTCCAAGGAGGACTTGAGTTTAGAAGAAAGTGATGCTAGGCACTCAGCCCATGGCAGTACCAGATCTGGTTGTAGAAGGTTAAACCAGATACAAGAGGCTGTGCTTCGGCAAGAGGCCACAACACAAAGGAGCTAGGATACTCTAAATAACGTGACAGCCATGATGCAGTGGCAAGTCAACAGGCGGTTCAGGAAGGACCGTGAGGCTGCTATTGCCAGAATCCCAAACCCAGATGTTGTGGTCCAGCAGCTAGATCTCCCTTTTGCACCTCCACCAAGACTGGCATCGTACAGTTAGCTGGAATGCCAGGACATGGAGAAATCCAAGTTGGACAGAGGGGAGGAGCCCTTCCCATCCAAGAACATGAGGCTCCAGTTCGTCCAGAAGGCCCTGCACCAGTTCAGGCCCCCAGAACCAGCCAAAAGTTCCACCTATTCCACGACCAGCGGTCCCATGCTATCAGCCCTTGGCACTTCTGCCTGAGAAACCAGCTGTGTTGCCCTACAGACCTAGAAGGATGGACCCCAATCCATTCCCTCCACTAGCTAGGGGCAGGAGAGGTAGAGGGGGAATCAACCCTTTTGCCAACAATGACAGGAACAGACCGGGGGCAAACTGGAGGAATCATCCAGATTTCAAAGAAGAGGAAGAACATAGTGAGGAAGCTCTGCCCAGACTATACATAATGGAACAGAGGATTGAACACAACCAACCAGAATAAGGGCAAAATCTGCATCTTGTCAAAGCCTTGAATGACATGGGAGCACTATAGAGGATGATAAGAGAGATGATGGAACCTGAAGCCATAAGAGGAGAAAGGCCCACCTCCAGAAAGCCATATCCTGCTTATATTGATCAAATACCTTTATCCTCGAGCTTTAAGATACCAAACTTCACCTTGTTCAACGAAGAGGACACCCATGTTTCATCGGTTGAGCATATAGGCATATTCTATGTCCAGTGCATAGCGATAGAAAATAACCCATTACTAAAACTAAGGCTTTTTGGAAATTCCCTCTCTGGACAAGCCTTCACCGGGTATACTAGCTTACCAGCCAATTTTTTTCAAACTTGGGAACAGATGGAAAATGTCTTCCACGACTATTATTTCAGGATTCAGCTAGAAGTCACCATCAGTGATCTTGCTGCCCTCAAACAGAGTGAGGATGAGCCCGCACAGGACTTCATACCCAGGTTTAGGAAGCTGAAGATGAAATGCCGGATACCTATGGAAGAGAGGCACTTCATCCAAATGGTTCAAATTGCCCTTAAAATCTCTCTGAGAAAAAGATTTGATGGGATGTTGTTTGGAGACCTGGCAGAACTGGCAGACAAAGCATCTAAATACAAGGAGCTGCTCAGGGAAGAACAACAGAAAAGGAACTCCTTTAATGGCACATATTACAAAACCTCATCTTCTTTAGTGCATCTGGTTGAAGTGGAGTCAGAAGAAGGCATAGAAAGCTCAGAGGAAAGGGAAGTTGCAGTGGCAGAAATGGCAAAATTGAAACATCCTATCAGCTGCAAGGCTCTGACAAAGCCACCAAAGGATCAGAAGCTACCACCGTTTACAGGAGGATTTGTTCCAAACAAACCAACACAGAACAGGGTCTATTCTTTCGATTTAACCAAGGTTGACGCTTTGTTTGACGAGGTGCTTCTCCAAAAGGCAATAGAGACAACTCATAGGTTGCCCAAGCCAGAGGAACTCAAGGGCAGACAGTATTGCAAATGGCACAACTCTTGGAACCACTCCAGCAATAGTTGTGTGGTTTTCAGAGACGTCATACAAGAAGGAATAACAGCAAGAAGGCTAAAACTGGCTGACAAAACCTCCCTCAGTAACAAGAGACCCTTTTCCCCAACCTCAAGTCAACATGGTCAACTTAAATTGGCCAAAACAAAAGAGAGGCAAACTAACGGCAGAAGCTATCCCCAACATAGACAGAAGAGTCATAAGAGAGGCTAATCAGAGACCAAAAGCTACCATTTCAGCTGGAGTGGTTATGTGCAGCAAGTGCAAATGTGAAAGTGAGTTGGAGATAACTTTGGATGGGCCGAAGAGATGGAGACAAGCGTGGCTTAGGTTTTGATTCACTCAACAAGTCTTCCGTTGTATCCGTTACAAAGTTTGTCAAACCATCACTTTCTACTGGTATTCCAACTCTTCAAACAACTGGAGATTTACACCCAAGTGTCATTATTGTGGAGCTCGTGGACACATCCGACCAAAATGCAAACTATTTCAATAGATTTTAGTAAGTCAAAAATCCACCAAGTGGAGAATGTGTCCTCACTTGTGCTTCTGACATATCCACAGCTAATGAGATAGGCATTGATTTCCTCATACCAAGCTCCTGGAGCCTGTTTTAAACCATACAGAGCTTTCTTCAATTTGTACACCTTATCCTCATAGTGTGGAACCACAAATCCATCAGACTTATCTACATAAACCTCTTCCTTAAGCACACCATTTAGAAATGAAGATTTAACATCTAACTGGTATAGCTTCCACCCCTTTTGAGCTGCCAAAGCTATGAGTGTTCTGATGGTGTCTAGTCTGGCCATAGGAGCAAAAGTCTCATTGAAGTCAATTCCAGGGTTTTGTGCATAGCCTTTGACTACCAACCTAGCCTTATGCTTCTATATTGAGCCATCAAGGTTCAACTTGGTTTTATAAACCCATTTAACACCAATCACAGGTTTCTCACTTGGTTTGCCCACTAGCTCCCAAGTCTCATTCTTCTCAATCATCTCCATTTCTTCTTACGCACGTTTTGGGTTCACTTCATAGAAAATTCTAAAAAAATATGAGAAATGTATCTTAATCTCTAGCTTCCATGCACATATCACATGCCACTTGGAAAAATTGGAAAAGTCTTAAAATCTTCAATCTTCCACAACAGTACAGTTCTGATGGGATTTCAACTTAGGCTATCTTAACTTGCAAGTCTAGAGCATTTGGCTTGATAGAAAATTATGAAACTTTGACACAATGATCTTCAATGTCTTAGCTTTCTTTTTCAGTTAGCCTTGTGCTAAAATTCATTTGAAAAGTTCATTTTCAGTTTAAATCCTTCCAAGAGCACAGAATAGCTGAAAATAAGGAAAGTAAGGTAATAATGCTTTATTTAATTAACTTTCCCTACAAAAACCAAATATAAGAAGTATAAAAATATAGGAAATAATACACTTATCAAAAGTCATTAGCATATTTTTCTCTTTTCTTATGATTTGTCTTTCTCCGTGTTCGTAATCAGCTAATAAGTAATTTAATAAGTAAATGAGAAAGATTGGAGAAAGAATTCCCTAAAATACATGCTAGGTGTGAATGTTTTGACAAAGCAACAAAAGACTTGGACTTGGACCAAAAAGCAAAGCAGCAAAAGTAATTGTCATAGACTTGAACTTGGACCAAAAAGCAAAGCAACAAGAGTAATTATCATAGACTTGGACTTGGACGACTTGGACCAAAAACGCAACATTGACTGCATGAGATATATATATATATATATATATATATATCTCATGATTGAAAGGAATCCAATATATATGGCAGCTAGACCCATTTTCCCCACTTTCCCACTAAGAAAACAGACAATTAGGAGCACAGAAAAAACATCAAAAAAAACCTCTGAAAAATTAGGAGCCTAGCTGAATTTGGGAATAAGGTAGATAGCTCGGGGCTGTTCAACCTAGTTTTCTCAGAAGTCATCATTCGACTGGTCTAATATCTGCTACGTAAGATCAGGTAATCTCTATGGCCCTATTTTTACATATATGCATGTCAAGTGAGCCATTTTTCATCTCTCCTACTATGCTTAGATTGTTAGGGTTTTGTTTTATAAACATTCTTAATTATCATCTCCAGTGGCGGAGGTATTTGAAGGCATAAAGGGGCCTGGGCCCTCTCAAAAGTTTGACAATATTTGACGTTTGGTCCTTTATTCCTATAGATTTTAGAAAGTATATATAATAATTTTGCTTATGGTCCCCTCACAATAAAGAAAAGATGTGTTTGTGTTTCTCTTTCCAAGCAAATCCTAGGAAAAAGAAGGGGGTTTAGGGTTAAAGAGTTCGTGGGAAAGAAAGAGAAATGGGCTAAAGGGTGTGGGTGGATAAAAGGAGAAGAGAGAGAGATAGGTGAAATGGCTATAGAAAAAGACAAACAAGACAAACAAAATAGAAAAAACACCCCAAAATAAACGACATAAAAGGAATGTAAAAAAGCCACTCCAGAGGTTGGCGAAGAGGCCACATGAGAGGTGGCAGAGAAGCCACCCTGAAGGGTAACAACACAGCTAGAAGTTCAGAAGAGGAAGATGGGATATAAGACAGCTAGTAGTTTTCATCTTACATATTTATCAAGCCAACAAGCCTATATACAACGGCAACTTTGAAATTTTAGGGCCCTGTGCCAAAAAAAATTTTCAACCAAAAATTATGAAAAAGGTAAAACTCTATAATCAAAATCTTGCGATTATTAAATTACTAATTATCATTAAATTAAAAAATTAAAAAAATTAAATAGGAATAAGAAAACCAATATTCAATAGGAATAGGAAAACTAACATTATTATTAGACTAATATTATTATATGGGGCCTACCCTTTTCTAAGTCTGTCTCAAAAGTCAATATTAATTTTATTAAACTAATAATATTATTAGGATATAGGCTACCCTAGTATCTTAATTAATATTAGGGAACTTTGCTATTATACATAAAATAGGAGCTGAAATTATTTAAAAAAACAAGCCCTATATAGAAAACGCTTTAAAAACACATCCAAAATCCATTTACTACATAAGAAATGGTTGTTAAAGTTCCTATAAATTACATGATTACCACTGATTAACTTAAAAAAAACCCAACACTCACTCAAAAAAAAAAAAAAAAAAAAAAAAAAAAAAAAAAAGCCCAGATTTTTTTTTAAAACCCAAACAATTTATTAAAAAAAATTCACAAAAACCAAGCAGGGGCTCTTCATAGAACTACATTGTTAATAAATTTGTCATAGAAGTACATTGTTAGTACTATGTCATAGAATTATCTTGTTAATGCTACTATGTCATAGAAGTACATTGTTAATACACTATCATAGAACTGTCTTGTTAATACTCTGTCATAGGAATACATTATTAAACAAAAATGAGGTCCATAACTTCAATAGTAACAAAAGATAAATAGATCATCAAAGCTTAAAATACATTCCTTAAATAAACTAAAATCCGAAGAGAAACACATAATTGAAGCAAAAGATCAAAAACCTTAAGTCCAAACCAAACGACGAAAATGGAGAGGAGACATAGACATTTGCACAACGATATCGACTCGACAATGGAGACGTCTATGTCTCCTCTCCATCTCCATTGTTGGCTTTGACATAGACATCTGCACCATCCGAAAAGTCCAAAGAGATAGATGATTTCAAAACAAGAAATGGAAGAATAAAAATTGAAAATCTGGGTTGAAGATGAAGATAAGAGACTGGAGCTCGTGAAATGACCTATGCTATGGCTTCAACTCCAGATAAATGGATTAGAATTCCAATTTTATGTTAAAAGGGTAATAAGTATTTCATCTTATTAATTAAATTAAAAAATATACAGCTGTCGATTTTTGAGTTTTTTTTTTTGGTGTGTTTATAGTTTTGAAATAGTATAGTGTTTCTTTATAAGACTAAGTCAAAGATTGAGTATATAACTAAATTTGTATTAATATTAATTGTGGGGCCCTCATCAAAGTGAGACTTTTGATCTGTTGCTCAACGTCACCTTTGCCTATATATAGGAGAGTTCTAACGGACTTACCTTAGTCGGTTAGTTTATTACATTACAGCACTTTGATTAATTTTATACTAAAGCATACTTTGATATCATGAAATTTTGGATTCGCCGACTTTGCTAGGTCAGTTTGCATTAATTTTAACATTTCTACTATTTTCTGCAGTAAAAAATGGGACTTCTTAATTATCAAAACTTTTGGGATTACTTGCAGTGGATTTGATCACAATCTTCAGGAAATTGCCATAGCTAAGTAATTAAGTTCGTTCCAGTGGCGATATGTACACACGAAGAACATCTACATTTTCTCCATCTACAACACCTCAATGGAAATATGATGTCTTTCTCAGTTTTAGAGGTGATGACACTCGGAAGGGCTTTACAGACCACTTATATGAAACATTGAGAGCTCAAGGAATCATAACTTTCAGGGATGAGCCTAAAATTTCGAAGGGAAAAGCTATTTCTCGAGAACTAACTGCTGCGATTGAAGGATCAAGGTTTGCGCTTATTGTCCTCTCACAAATTATGCATCCTCAACATGGTGCTTGGATGAACTTCTACACATTCTTAAATTCATGGAAGCGAGAGAAGCAGTTCTACCAATTTTCTATTATGTTGATCCATCTCATGTACGAAAACAAACGGGGTGTTTTGAGAAAGCCTTTACACAACTAGAAGAAAGATTTTGTTCAGATGACAAACGAAGGTGCAAGAGTGGAGAGATGCATTGGTGAAAGTGGCAGATTTCTCTGGGTGGAAGGCTAAGGACTGGTATACATTCAATTTTTATTATTTTCCCAAGGAAAGTTTCTTAAAAAGTTTGAAAAGAGTAGCTGCATTTTTATATGATGATTTATCTATATCTATATCTATATCTATATTTATATCTATATATAAAACAAAAGCAGAGAATGGTGAAACATTCAAAATATCAAAAAATGATTTTCGTTAATTCAAACATTAAAAATTGAAAGTATTAGTAAAACAAGGATAATATGGATCCTATTTTAAAATTTTAAAATTATGAATAAAATCAGATAATGAGTCCTATTTTTATGGAACAGAACTACCCATTATCTTTTTTAATTCTAAAATAAAATAAATAATTTAAAAACATACGCAAAGGGGCTTAGTATATAAAAGGCAGAAACATAGAATAATGGTAAAACATTCAAAAATCCAAAAAAATACCCTTGATTAACTAAATTACTAAAAGTTATATCCATTTAACATTCTAAGGGTAAAATGGTGAAATACTTATAATCTATATCTATATATATAATGCAAAAGGCAGAGAATGGTGAAACATTCAAAATACCAGAAAATGTCATTGGTTAATGCAAACATTAAGGATTAAAATTATTAATTAAATGAGGATAATATGGTAAATTCACACTTTACAAAAATTAAAATTAAAAGAAAAATCAAATAATAGATTCTATTTTTACGAAACACAACTACCCATTATCTTTTTAATTCTAAAAAAATTAAATTCTTTTAAAAAATGACTCTCGTAGGCGCGGAAGTGCGTGCAGAGAGACTAGTATATATAAAGCAAAAGGCAGAGAAAGGTAAAACATTTACAATAGCAAAAATACCCTTTGTTAATGCTAACATTAAGAATTAAAATTATTAATTAAATGAGGATAACATGGTAAATTCACACTTTTTCATATTAAAAAAATCAAAATTAAAAGAAAAATTAGATAATGGATCCTATTTTTGTGGAACACAACTACCTATTATCTTTTTTAATTCTAAAACAAAATAATTTTTTTTAAAAGCCTCTGGCAGATGCAGAACCACGTGCGGAGAGGCTAGTTAATAAAGAAATTAAAACAAATTCAAAATTTAAAACCGACTTACAATGCGGTAGTTACGTCCACCTCTGCCTTTTTTTCATTCATTTTAGTTATTAAAACTAAAAATAGAAAATGCACGAAGATTACACATATATATTAATTATGAAAATGTCTTAGACAACAAATAATACGCATTAGTTACTCCACCTTCTCGAAGACTTGATACTGTGTCTATATGTATATCCATAATTAACTCCTTTTTTATAATAAATTATTATTATAAGAAAGAAACAAAATGTTATTAATTATTTTTCATAATTAAAATATTAAAATTAATAAAAGATATGAACACATGTGTTAATTTTAATTGACATGGCGCAAAAACATTAGCTGCCACATAATGTGGTTAACTAAATGTGGTCAAAATATTTAGAGTGTCCAAATAAGATGACAATGACGTGTTAGTTGGATTGGCCATCCCAAATGGTTATGGGTTCAAGCCACCACTGTACATGCATGTGTGTGAGTTTATCCCTTTTTCCTTCTTAACTTTGGCATAAAAAGAAAAAAAATGTCCAAATAGCATTAAGTCGGTACCTGCTGCCTTCACATATCAATTTGGTCCATTTCGTTAGGTTCCGTCAAAATTACTATTAAATTAATGACGTGGCATGTATATGGGGCCCACATATCCAATGAGATAATGCCACGTGAATCTAAATAGATAAAATTATTATTTTTAAATAGTTTCACATTTAAAAATCTAAAAGATATTTAAAATTGGTTTTTTTAAGTTGAAGCTCTCTTCCTCTCAGCCCTAGGAATGGCAAAAATCCTCATGGGAGCGGGTCCCCGTCGGGTCCCCTAGCCTAATGAGGGGAGATTTCGTAGCCAAACGGGAAACAGGTATCTGGTACGGGGATCTCCGAACTTGAAAAATCTCCGACGGGTATGGGGAAGGGATGGTATTTTCATCCCCATCCCCGAACCTAACCCGAAAATATATATGTTTATAATAAAATAAATAAATAAATAAATAAAATATTTATGTTTAACTTAAGTTAACCTCTCTCTCATAATTCTTCCTAATCTTCTTTGGAATTTCATGTTGATGTGATTTTGAATACTTGAGTTGAACTTTATAGTTAATTTGGATGCGTTGAATGATAATTTAATATGAAACTTAATGTTAAAATGTATGATAAATATTTTTATGCAAAAAAAAATTGGGGGTTCGGGGCGGGTATGGGGGATAGTTCCCTAACGGGAACGGGAATGGGGATTCCTGAAACCTATTAAAGGGGGATGGGTTTTGGGGACAGGGGTGGGGATGGAGAGCGGGGACGTGAATGGTATTGTTATTCCCGACCCCTATCCGACCCGTTGCCATCCCTACTCTGCCCCCCCTCTCTCCCCTGCTACCCTTTCTCTCTCTCTCTCTCTCTCTCTCTCTCTCAGTGTAACTCAGGTTTTTTTCTTGCCCACAACCCGATCAACCCCATCTCCACCCGCAACCTATGCCCAACCCCACCTTCTCTCTCTTTTTTTCCTCTGTGGACTACTTCTAGCTATGTCAAAAATTCCAAGAAAGATACAATTTTTCGATGGGTTTTAATTTTGGTATTTAAATCTCATTTGGGTTGCGATTGTTTCAATGGTTTCTGGCAGAGAGAGAGACACACACAGAGGATGGGGAATAGGAGTGTTTTGTTGGATTAAAAACTACTTCAGGAGAGGATGAGGGGGGTATGTGGGAAATTTTTTATATTGAGATGGATTTTGGTGGAGTGAGAGACACAGTGGGGGAGAGAGAGGGGACATAGAGTAGAGAGAGAGAGAGAGAGGAGAGAGAGAGAGAGAGAGACGAGGGGCTCTAAAACTTAAAAAAAATATGTTTTTTAGATTTTAAATGTGAAATTATTATTTTAAAAAATATTTTTATTTTGTTTCATGTAGCATTATCTCATTGGATATGTGAGCACCACATACATGCCACGTCATCAATTTAATAGAAATTTTCATGGAACTTAATGGCAGCACCAAATTGATGTGTGATTTGTAACATAAAGAACTGATAATGTCAGGAAAAAAAAACATAAAGGATTAAAAGTGAGAATTTGACACACCTCAGGGAACATTTGTGATAAAAACTCTTTATATATGGTTTGACAACCTTTCTTTTCAGTGATCTTTGTATAAAATCTAGAGATACGACTGATATTGATGTTAATATGTTATAGGTATGAAACCTTGCTCATCAAAGATATAATCGATGTGATATGGAAAAGATTACGTCCTACATCGTTCACTTCTGTGGAGAACTCAGTTGGATTAGACTCAAGTATGAACTCAATTGATTTATTGTTAGGTGCAGGGGTCGATGATGTTCGCTTTATAGGGATATGGGGTATGGGTGGGATTGGTAAAACAACTATTGCCAGAGTTGTTCGCGAGAGAATCTCTCCTGAATTTGAATTCAGCATATTTCTTGAGAATGTCAGTGATAATGTTCAAAAAGGTGGTCTAATATCCCAACAAAGAGAAATTCTTTCAAGGATATCGATGAAAACGATTGACATATTTGATGTTCATGAAGGATCTACGATGATTAGAAGATTACTTCATCACAAAAAGGTTCTTCTCATTCTCGATGATGTGACGAACTCAGACCATTTAGATTATTTGGCTGGAAAGCAAGAGTGGTTTGGCTCTGGGAGTAGAGTTCTTATTACAACTAGAAATGAGCATTTGTTAGTTGAACATGGAGTGGAGAGAAGATTTCACGTCAAAGGTCTAAATCATGATGACGCTCTTAAGCTTTTTAGTTGGAAAGCCTTTGGAAAAGACCACCCTGAAAAAATTATATTGATTTGTCTAGCTGTGTTGTGAGTTATGCCGATGGTCTTCCACTAGCTCTTAAAGTTTTGGGGAGTTTTTTGCGTGGAAGACATGTAACTGCTTGGAACAGTGCGTTGGGTAAACTAAGGGATCTTTGTAACACAGTTTTGGGGACACTTCAAATAAGTTACGATGATCTAGATGACAAGGAGAAGAAAATTTTCCTTGACATTGCGTGTTTCTTTAACGGGGAGAAAAAAGATCGAGTTATAGAAATCCTAGACAGTTGCGGCTTTTGTGCAAGTATTGGAATAGATGTCATCATTGAGAAATCTCTGTTAACTAATCATATGGCACTCTATGGATGCATCAATTGTTCCAAGAGATGGGTCGTGAAATAGTCAATCGAGAGTGTCTTGATGAGCCAGGAAATCGCAGCAGGTTGTGGTGCCATGAAGAGGCCAAGCATGTGTTGAGCAAAAATACAGTAAGGGGACTCTTAGTTTACGAATGAGTTTAGTTCTTTTCATATGTTAGTTATATATGAGTTTCACTATTCTTTATCCGTGCATGTTTGATAGGGAACAGATGCAGTAGAAAGTATAACCATGGACAAAACTGGGCCAGTGGTGCACGGGGATGCTAAATGCTTTTCAAGGATGAAGAAACTGAGACTTCTCAATCTCGCTAATGTGAACCTCTCTAATGATCTTGAATATCTCTCTGATAATTTACGAAGTCTTGAATGGGCTGGGTATCCTTCAAAATATTTCCCGTCACATTTCAACCCAGAGAAACTACTAGAACTTAACATGTGCCATAGTCACATTGAATCTTTTTGGACGGGTGTTAAGGTATGTTATTGCTGCTTAATCTTCTACTACCCTTAAACATCGAAGCTTTTTTCTTTTTAATTTTATTTTATATGTTCTTACTTTTCATAGAATTTGAAGATAATTTTTTTGCTGTGTTCTTTTGACAGATTTTATACAATTTGAAAGTCATTAAGCTCAGCCACTCTTTGAATCTTGTCAACACCCCAGACTTTAGAGGCTTTCCAAATCTTGAGTATCTGATTCTGGAAGGTTGTATACGATGTATAAGGTTGACCCATCCCTTGGAATGCTTGAAAGAATTACTCAGGTAAACTTGAAGGATTGCGAAAGTCTTGTGCATCTTCCAAGAAGTGTGTATGGCTTAAAATCTGTCAAAGTTCTTAATCTCTCTGGCTGCTCAAAGCTCGAAAAGTTGCCCAAAGAGTTGGGCAATGCGGAGTGTTTGGAGGAGCTTGATGTGAGTGGAACTGCCATAAGACAACTGCCTTCCTCCATTGTTCGGTTGAAAAGCCTCACAGTATTAAACTTTCGTGGATGTAAAGGACCATCACCTAAATTTTGGAATTTGCTCTCCCTTTTTCAGCTATTTCTCTCCCTTTTTCAGCGATTTCTAATAAGAAGTCGCGTTCCCACGCCTTTGTTGCTGCCTTCTCTATCTGGTTTGGTTTCCTTAAAAAAACTTACTCTAAGTGATTGCAATCTCTTGGAAGTCCCTAATGACCTTGGCTGCTTGTCCTCATTAACCGACCTAGATCTCAGTAGAAACCAGTTTGTTAGCCTACCCAACAGCATCTCTCTACTTTCTAGACTTCAATTTTTTAACTTGGAGTATTGCGAGAGGCTTCAAGAATTGCCAGAGGTTCTACAGACAGTAATAGCAGTTGTTGATAACTGTATTTCATTAGAAAGAATTGCCAGAGGTTCCACAGAAAGGTGCAAGTTGCTGTTACGGACACAATGTATCAACTGCTTCAAATTTGCGGAGATGCACGATTTTAGGAGTTTGGTATTTACATTACTGGAACAATACGTTGGGGTCTCTCTCGCCCTCTCTATCTCATTCACACACTAAATAATATGTTGGCTTCTTAAGTGTTTTGACGTTGTTTTTTTTATGATGCAGGAAGTCCCTATTACTCAAGACGTATTTCAATTTGTTGTTCCTGGAAATGAAATTTCCGAGTGGTTCAATCATAAATCTGCTGAATATATATACAATGAGGAGTGGTTCAATCCTCAAAGTGTGGAGTATCCATTAAGTGTGCAGCTATGTCCAGGTTGGTTTACTGAAAAATGGATGGGATTCGCGGTGTGCATTGCTTTTGCAATCCAGGAACGATCACCTAATTGCGACCATGCTCTTAAGTACCCTAGATATGATTACAATTATACACATATTATTACTTGCAAAGTGGACATCAATGGAAAGGAGATGACGGCACGTAGGCGTCCATTTGTGTTTCTCAATGCAGAGTTGGGCCAAGCTGTGTCTGATCACCTTTGGGTACTCTTTTTTCCTCGTCACTTTCCTCAGTTGTGGAAGGGTATCAGCGATCAGGTTAAATTGCCTTCTGGCACAGAGTGGTGGCAAGGTATATTTGGTCAGATTACATTTTCAATTACGTCCAGAGTTGGCCATGGAGTAATAGTGAAGCAGTGTGCAGCTCGTCTGGTGTACGAGGGAGACTTGGAAGAGCTTGACCCAAGATTTAGCCACCGGACCCGAAGCAATGTCAGTATTTCTGAGGTGGATTTATCACTAGTGGATGCAAGTAGCAACTAGTGGATGCAAGTGGTACTATTGATAACCCTTTTCATATAAGGTCAATAAAATCTGTTCTATGTGGAATTCATCAATCAAATTACAAAATTACATTTTCATAACACTTTCAGTTGCGTAATCTTGGTTGTTTTTTTCCCTCTTTGTCTTAGTTTTTCTCTCATGGCTTGCTTTACTTCATTTGTATGTAGGGATAAAATTGTTGATTTTCAACAGATGGAATGGAACCACAACAGCAATGAGAGCCAACACAACTAGGACAACAAGAGTAACGATCCTTCCCTCCCAATGCAAGTGGCCTCATTATGTGCTTTCTTAATACTTTGTTTCGAAGCACCGAGTATTAAGGAAATGAAAAATTACAATAAAAGAATTTAAACATTATGTGATTATGATGCATCTCATGTATAAAAGGTATTAATAATTATGTTTTCAATAATAGTGGTTACCATGTCTCATTACTTCAACATTATATTAGACCTCTTAAATTGAAATATTTTTCTTTCAGACGCGGGCTTAGCCAAGTTGGCTATAGCGGATGTGCTCCTCCACTTTGCACCTGAGTTCAAATCTCCCTTCCCGTAGTTTAGATTAGATTAAAGTAGAATTATATCGTTTTTATAAAGAATATTGAAATATCTTCTTAAAACGCAACTTATTAATTTGTTCATTAGTGTTTGATCTATAGAAGAAACAACATATTATTGGTGTTGATACACTAATAAAACACTTTATCAATACGAGTGATATACTAATAAAACTCTTCACTATAACAAAAGCTGGAAGAACTTACAAAGCAAAGCAGCTCAGTACTAATTAAAAAGAAAAAAACAAAGTAAAGTATGTTTTGAATGCCGTTTTTGGGACCAGTTTTTTTGAAATAAGAGACCTTAGCCTTAATTTCATCAATAGACGAGTCTCGCAATATATATATTTTTTTATACAGAAAAGATGGTATTTAATTAAATTCATAGGAACATTATAAGAACTAACATGTTAATGATGACTTTGTTAAAATCTTCGTGGATAAACCAAGTGGGGCAAAACCCCAGGGTCAACACAATTTTTACTTTCTTTTTTGTTTCTAGCAAACACCTCATAAGGAATAAGGTCTCACATTCCACAAAATTCTCCGAATTTGACAATATATTCCTTTAACTTTTTCTTCTATTTTCAGTTGAGTTATTGATGATCATTTCTATTTTCAATTAGCTTATCAAACAGTACTATACTGTTTGATAAGTTACATTTCCTATCACTTACCCTTTGTACACTGATCTGGATGACCAGCCTGAGTGAGCCCAAAACAAAAAAAAAAAAAAAAAAAAAAAAAAATGTCCCATATTACCATAATATTTTTTCCTAAATATATACATATTTAAAAAAACACCAATAGCAAAAAGAAAACAGCCCGGTTAGTGTCCTCTGATTCATTGGCCGATATTCCAGCGCCCACTATTGTTCTTTTCCACATTAATTGAACCCATGAAAACATTGACTGGAGGAACAATGAACATATAATTTGGGAACAAAGAAAGAATTTCCTAAGGTTCAATCTGTACAGCGCATGTAAACCTTTTATTCATAATGAACCACCGTATTCCTCTAGCACAAATATGCATCATGAACCAATAGCACGGGTTAACGACACAACACCTCAAAAAAACAACCAAAAAAAAATTAATTTTTTAATATTTTTTTCCATAGGTCAGATAATGAATCCATGGGTTAATTGTTTTATTAGTCCCTAAACTTAGACCCGATTTGCATTTGAGTACCTTAATTTCCAAAATAGTATCCATGGTCCTTCAACTTCATTTTCGTTAAGACAAATGGTCCTACCGTCAATTTTGTTAACTTTTCTGTTAAATATGGGGGTAAAATGGTATTTTTAAATTTTTTAAATTTTAAATTGATTAAAATATTAAAAACAAACAAAAAATGGTAATTTTGTCTTATTTTTTAAGCTTTGGTGAAATAAATATCAATAAAATATTTAAATTCAATTAAAACCTATCAAATAAAAATCAAAACAAAAAAAAATTCAATCCCTCTCTCCTTCCAGTCCAGCTCAAAATCTTTGCAACTCCAGCTCATCCCATCTCAGCAATACACCCTTTAAACCCCAGAACCTAGCGAGTGAGACCTCCACCTAAACCTCAACATCAACCTCATGCCAAATCAGTCCTAGACCCCCACCACCCAACCCTCCTCCACCTGGACATTAATCAAAACGTTGTCTTGTTGGACAACGGCAGCGGCCTAATCAAAGCTGGACTCGACGGCGAGCGCGACCCCTCAGCCGTAATCCCCAACTGCGGTACGCCATCGACCGCGGCTACCTAATTAACCCTGATCTGTCAAGGAATGCTAGCAGTTGCTGCCGCCCTTTTGGCTGCACCACTCTCAAAGTGCCGCATCACATTAATATTAGAGTAACCCTCAACAGTTCTTATAGTGTCTGGAAATCAAGTGCCCATATTATATTACAACCAAATTGTAGCAGAGGTGGAGAGAGAGAGAGAGAGAGAGAGGTGGTGGAAGCGGGGATGATGAGATGGGGGTGGGGGAATTGGAATAGGGTCGGGGACGATGAGATTTTTTGGGGAAGGGGGTCGGGGACGATGATTGATTTTGATTTTGAATTTTTTGTTTTGTGTTGGTTTTTTATTTAATTTTCTTTTATTGTTATTTTAAAGATATAATTTTTTATTTATTTTTTGGGTTTTAATACAAAAATACCATTTTGCCCCTATATTTAACAGAAAAGTTAACAAAATTGACGACATGACCATTTGTTTTAACGAAAATGAAGTTGAAGGACCATGGGTACCATTTTGGAAATTGAGGTACTCAAATGCAAATCGGGTCTAAGTTCAGGGACTAATAAAACGATTAACCCATGAATCCACCAAAAACATTCTGGCTTAGTACAATAAAACACTGATTCATATAATCTTTTGTTTTATTAGTTCCCTAACTTAGACCGAATTTACATTTGAGTACCTCAATTTCCAAAATAGTACTTGTGGTCCTTTAACTTTAGTTTCGTTTGGACAACTAGTCCCACCTTTACTTTTGTCAATTTTTTCGTTAAATTTAAGGGTAGATGAGTCTTTTTAGTTGGTTTTATTATCCTCCTTGGGTTAATCATTTTATTAGTCCCCCAACTTGGACTGAATTTGCATTTGAATACCTCAATTTCCAAAATGGTACCTGTGGTCCTTTAACTTTAGTTTCGTTTGGACAACTAGTCCCACTGTTACTTCTGTCAATTTTTTCGTTAAATTTAAGGGTAGATCGGTCTTTTCAGTTGGTTTTATTATCCTCCTTCTACAACTTGCCTTCCCTTTGAAATAGACCTTGGAGGTATACTAATCCACTCTGCCTTAAATATCTGAAGCAACTTCTTCCCTTGGCTTGGTCCCATAATCCCCTTACCACCCTCAAGCTCATCTTCAGCGTCAACTCTATCTGTTTTTGTAACACAAATTTCAACACGGCCGTACTCTGGCTCCACCAGAACCACCCCAAGACTTCGTTCAACACCTTTCTTGGATCCACGACGACAGCGGATGATCGGGTTATATCCGTGGCTGTGTTTCTTGGTGTGGTTCATGAGTCCCCTCGCATACTCACCAGCGTTGACGCCTTTCCTGGCCCAGCTACCGACACCGTCCACCACTCCAATGGTCTGGACATCATGGCAGATGAAGTGGGCGTCTTCGCCCAAGGGTTTTCCTGGTTTTCTTAGAAAATCTAAAAGAGTACAACTCTTTTTTGTCTCTTAAAACCAACCTGAAAAGACCTATCTACCCTTAAATTTAATGAAAAAATTGACAGAAGTAATGGTGGGACTAGTTCTTGAAATGAAACTAAAGTTAAAGAACCACAGGTACCATTTTGGAAATTGAGGTACTCAAATGCAAATCTGGTCCAAGTTGGGGGACTAATAAAACGGTTAACCCAAATCTAAAAGAGTAAAAGTCTTTTTTGTCCCTTAAAATCAACCTGAAAAGATCTATCTACCCTTAAATTTAACGAAAAATTGACAAAAGTAACGGTGGGACTAGTTGTCCAAACGAAACTAAAGTTAAAGGACCACAGGTACCATTTTGGAAATTGAGGTACTCGAATGCAAATCTAGTCCATGTTGAGGGACTAATAAAATGATTAACCCTAATGTGCAATGAAGCATAATTGTCTTCTTTATTTCTCAAGTCACACCATTTTTAATGGTGCGGTTTGAGAGCAAAGCATACTGATTATGGTGCTTTTTGCTAAAGCCACTGTGCAACCCTATTCCTTAGTGGTCTAAACTGGAGTTTCTATCCCAAGGGAAGGAGACTATTCACTATTTGCAGTTATAAGAGTTTGAAGATTATTTACAATAGAAGCGGTAGTTTTGTACCTCGCTCAAACCCTCTAAGGAGTAGACCATCCACTCACACCCTCTCCAAAAGGTGATATAATTTTGGGAAATAGCTCAAAATACCACCCATTTTATATTTTTTTGTGAAAATACCACCCCTCCCCAAAATTTTTAAAACTATCACCTATAAATACATCTTTATTGTAGACTAATTGCACCCATATCACATTTTCAAAAATTTGGTTCTCTCTTAGCTCGCTCAGCCACCTTTTCTCTCTCTGTCTCTCTCTTTGCTCTCTCTCTCTAGTGCAGATCTATGTCTCTCTTTACTCTCTCTCAATCTAGCGCAGATCTGTGTCTCTCTTTGCTCTCTCTCTCTCTCACTCTCTCTCTCTCTCTCTCTCTCACGTAGCTCTGTCTCGCTCTCTGTTCTGAATCACGAACCCCTCCCTCGACCCCATATTTTAGGTATGTCTTCTGAATAGCTGCTTGCAACCTTGAAGCTCTACTGAATCAGCGACCTCGAATAGGTAGTGTTGATGGTTATTTTCTTAATATCTGTTGGATTCTTTGAAATTGGTTTTATTTTCATTGCTTGGGTTTCTGTTAAATTGGTTTTGGTTGTAATTGCTTTGGGTTAGGTTTTTTGAATCTTCATGCTCATCCATCTGGGTTTTTACCAATTGCATTTAGATTGCTCTGGATATGTGAATCTTGAAACTCTGAATTTTCCATTTGATGTAGTGGATTTGTATAGTTTTGATGAATCCTTGTTCACTGCTATTTTACTGTTGTATTGCTGCTGTGTTCCTGTTATTTTGTTGTGGTATTGCTGTTATATTAATGTTATATTGCTATTATATTGTTGTTATATTGCATAGTTATTGTGGTTGTATTGTGTTAATGACATAATTTTTTTCATGGTCAGAAATGGAGACAATTGTTATTCCGGTTTTCTACAATGGAAAATGGGTAACCTCAAAGAAGATGTGCAAATACGAAGGGGGTGACTCAAAAGGCTTAATAGTTCCACGGACCATCACATTTGCTGAACTGTTGGATTGTGTGCGTCAGATTGGTAATACAAACAGCAGGGAAGACCATGTTTGCTTAAAGTTCTCAGTTTTGGTGGCCTCGAATGAGTGGAAGCACATAAAGATAGAGGACGATGATGATGTCAAATTTTTTATGAAGTACAATTGTGAGGTAACACCTTCAAAACTAGCTCCCTTACTCGTGAGTATAGAAGATAATAGACTAACAAATGATGTAGTTGATAGTATGCATATCACGACAAATAGTAGTCGGATGGGTCGTTCTTCAGCTGCCATTGTTGAAAGCAATGAAGTAACTCAGAATAATACAAATTTCACTGATGTGGGAGGTGATGTTGGGACAGATTTTGTGGACATGATTGATTTTAGCGAGGTGGAGGAGATGCATGGTGGTGACAATGGTACTGAAAGAAATGAAGTGTCAATGTACTCTGCCCCTCCTATTTTGGGCCCCTTGAACACATCTGCCCAATTGCCAATAATGTGTTTAGGAGGAGAATCTGAACCCACTCATGAACAGTATTTCAGTCAAATGGATGAACAGAACCGGTATAACGTGGCCGGTGTAAATGATGGAGAAGCATATTTGGACATAACATATTCGCGAAGTTATTGGAATCTGAAAATTACAGTTGGGCAAATTTTCTCTAGTAAGGGAGCATTGTTGACCGAGTTATGGTTGACGGCATTGAGAGGCCACTTTGAATTTAAGGTGCAATTATCTTGCACTAAGAGGATGCTTGTGGTTTATTGTCAACATCCATGCCCATGGTGGGTCCGAGCATCGAGAATTGGAGAATAAAACTTCATGATTGTGAGGTGTACAATTGTCCATGAATGTGATTTAAGGTTCGTACATGACGACCATCTTCAAGCAATCGCAGCACTTGTAGCCACTTCATTTAAAAGGAAGTTGAAGGATTCTCGGACAATATACACACCAAGTGACATAATGAGAGATGTGAAACACAACTTTGGTTTCACCATCCATTATTGGAAAGCAAGGGAGTTAGCTCTATTTTCCATTAGAGGATCAGCCGAGGAGGCTTATTATATCCTTCCAGCCTATTGCTATGAATTGGAGCATATGAATCCCAGCACAAAGACACACATCCAAATTGATGAGAACATTGACTTTGTGTATTTATTTATGGCAGTTGGCGCATGTATTAGAGGGTTTCATTCTTCCATGTGCCCAGTGATAGCCATGGATGCCACTCATTTGAAATCCAAGTACAAGGATGTTATGTTTGTAGCAAATGCATTCGATGGAAATTGAAATATATATCCTTTTGCTTTTGGGATCGGGGATTTGGAGACGAATGCATCATGGCATTGGTTTTTCACTAAATTTCATGAAGCCATTGGTGAGTGTCCCAATCTTGTTATCATTTCTGATCGCAATGTTAGCATAGAGAATGTGTGGAACAAAGTTTTTCCAACAGCGCAACATGGCATAGGCTTTTATCATATGAAGAGGAACATGAAACGCACTTGCAAGTTGAAAAAGCGTGATCAAATACTTATGCACTTTGAGCAGGCTATGAAATCTTATTCCATTGCTGAGTTTGATTGTCATTTTCGAAAGATCAAGAGAAAGGAACATCTTGCTCAATATCTTGACCAGGCCGGGTTACATAAGTGGTCTATAGCTCACATGGATGGATGCCGCTACAATGTAATGACAACAGATATTGCGGAGTCAATAAACTCAGTCCTTAGGTTTACAAGGATGCTGCCGGTGGTTCATTTGATAGGGGAAATTATTAATCACCTTGTGAAATTTTTCACCGAATGTCGTGAGTTGGCTATGAATTGCACGACAACATTGTGCCCCAATTTTGGTGAGAAGAAGTTGAGGAATAGGTTGGAGGATGCTGCAAGGATGAATGTCGTTAAACTAAATAACGTACACTTTAATGTTTTGGATGGCCTTGTGGATTTGACAAACAACAGTTGTAGTTGTAGAAAGTTTCAGCTTGAGCAACTACCTTGCAAGCATGTAGTTGCAGTTTGCCACTTCTTGAAACTAAATGTATACTCGAAGGCTTCTCGGTATTACACTCGGAATACCAGGTTGGATGCTTATTTGGATAGCATCTACCTGGTACAGCCTCATGCAATGTGGGTTATTCCTGAACATGTTCGAAGTCGAGTTGTGCTGCCTCCCATGGCAAAGGTCATGCCAGACAGACGAAAGAAGCTAAGAATTCCCTCGCAAGGAGAGGGCACCATTACAAGAAAGTGCTTAAGGTGTGGTTCCATAGGCCACAATAAAATCACCTGTAAAAACAATATTCCACTGCACAATGTATCTTAGACAATATGATTTCTATTACTTTGTTAGGTAATATCAACTTTAATTTTATTTGTGGTGGGTTTCGTGTTTGTTGAATGTGAATTGTGTTAAATTTGCGTAATTTGGGTTGCATTCCTATACAGCATGTCGTGTTGCCTATTTATTACGACAGTATCGCTATCATATTGCTGTTTAATTGCCTTTAGATTGTCATTATATTGTACATTTATTATACTGGTATTAATATTGCAATGTAAACTGTGAGTACGAAATTAAAGGGCCTAGAATGTAACTCCAAATGGATCCAAAACATTAAAGTTCTTAGAATTCCATTATTACACAGTTACATGATACTCCTACTACACCTTCTTTTCTAATTACAAATTCAGCCGATGCATGGGGCAAATGGGGGGCAAATAAAAGATCAAATGTCCTATGTGTTTGACTAGATATAGTTGGTGAAGGAGCATTACAACTGTTAACTCCAACAGATTGCTCATGTCTTGCTAAGAACACCCTTGAATTTATGCAATATGCCAACCTAGTCCCAAAGCTAGACTCACCCGTTTGCCTGATGTGTGCAGGCACTCCAAGTTTCCCAACCTCACCCCATTCACTCCATCATGTGGCCCAATAAAATCCACCACTTGGTTGGTGACAACCACCGCCAACCCAAACTTATTTGTTTAAGCCTTCAATGTCCCAGATATCTTGAAGAAGATTTCAGATTGCTGTTTCAAATCTGCTAATGTTGTCTGATACTGTGATATGAACAATGCAGCAATGGAATCAATAACAATGAGTTTCACAGGTAATCGGGTGTGATCAATGGCAATAAATGCTTGTATGTCTTGAAGGACATGGATGAGTTGTTGAGCATCATGAATGCCATGAACATATATGTCTTCCAATGGCTCCATCCCTATTAAGTTGGGGTATAATGCATGAAGGTGCCTAATTGTTGCAATTGACGAAATGAGAAGCTGAATTCTATGAATATGTAGAGGGAGGAGCCCCCTAGTCCGCCATGTGAGGGTGGGAGCTAAGCTCCAACTGTAAGTTGGATGCAAAGTTGCGTCTTTCTGAAACCGCTCTCCCCTACCAGTTCTGTTATGGAGTTGCAGAGTATCCCACCGCCCAAGCAACCATCTAGTATTGGGCATCCGATGGATAATTTAGGGGTTGAAAGAGGAAGGAGCATGAGGTTTTGTGGTGTTATGTTTCTGTAATTTAGGGGGGGATGTGTGGTGATGCAAGGCATGATTTGTATATATAGAGTCCATATTGAAGGTGTGTAATGTAGGCCATATGTCTTTTAAGGGATGTATACTTCATCCATTTTCCAATTTTTAATTTAAATTTGGTTTACTTTTTTGTAATTTTTTTGTCTAAGATATTTTAAAAACCATGCTAATGCAGTACCTATTGCAATAGGATCATATTGTAACTCTATTGTACTCTTATTGACATCATATTGCCATTATACACATGCTTATTGTGGAGTTATTGCCTCTATATTGCCATTGAACTGGACATGGATAAACTGTATACGTAGAAATACAAAAAGAGGCATCATAATTCCATAAAATCTAATTTCGAAACTAACATAATACAACAAGAGGCCAACCAATAGTTACATAATACCAAAAGAGGCCACCTGAACATGATTCCATTTTACATGCTGTTTCGACTACATTTTACAGCAAATCCAAAGTCATATTAAAGTGTCACAAATTTCCTGCTGTTGACACATACGAAGTTACATACTCTTCAATTTCGGCGACCCCGACCCACGAAATTCATGACCCCGCCCACAGTGATGTTGTCCCAGTTTCCTTCTGGATCCACTATTTTTGCAAACTTACGAAATAGTTCGAATCCAATTTCCACTTGTTGTTGCTTCAACTGAGCCATTTCATCTGATTCCTTGAATACCATAATTGCAGTGGCAAGGGCAATTTCAATTTTGCCTTTCATACCCTTTATATGGAGGAGATGCATGCGAGCATGATAACGAGAGCGAATTGTGCGCTTTTTTATGACACCCCACCTAGCTTGGCCCTCCTCAATTTTTGAAACTATGTATGCATGGAGATTTTTCCAAAATATGGTATTGCCTCGACATTGCTGCATGCCATGGACCAAGTCTGCAGTGAGTGAATTGGGTGACTTGGCTTCTGTATCAGTCTCCCTTCCTTCAGTAATTGAAAGCGTTGGGTTTGGTGTGAGGTTATGGTCCACGATTTTGGATATTTATTGTAGGCTGGTGTAGGACTTAATTGGAGAAAAGTGGGACTAAATGTGATATGAGTGAAATCAGTGGGGAAGGTAATGGCTGCAAGGAGTTAATGTCATGCAAGTTTTCCCTTCAGATAGCTTTTTGTTTGGCCCAAATCCCTTCATACAGCCGGGTTGATTAATATAGGCAGGCATTAATGATGTAGAGTAAATCAGAGAGTCATTGGCGGGAGGGATTGGGGGGAGTAATTGGCAGGAGTCTTGGGCGGGATAGTTTTGGGCGGGAGTTATTACCTAGTTGGCTATATGCCTTTTTTTAATATATTTCTATTTTGGATTTTCCGAATTTGGTAAATTTCCCATTATCTAATTGAAATAATTTGCCTAATTTACCAATTTCACCAACTAATACAAATTGTCCAATATGGTAATTTCTTATTTCCCATTTCCGCAATTTCAATTCGTTTCCAATTTTCCATTTTTCCTATTATCCAATTTTACAAGTTTCCTATTTTCCATTTTCCAATGTTCCTATTTTCCTATTTTGCAAGTTTCCTTTTTTCCTATTTCCAATTTTCGTATTTTCCAAGTTTCCTTTTTTCCCTAGTTCCAATTTTCATATTTTCCTATTTTCCAAGTTTCCTTTTTTCCTATTTCCAATTTTCCAAGTTTCCATTCTTCCTATTTTCCAATTTTCCAATTTTCCAGTTTTCCAATTTTCCAATTTTCCAAGTTTCATTTTTTCCTATTTCCTATTTTCCTATTTTCCAAGTTTCCTTTTGTCCTAGTTCCAATTAACCAATTTTCCAATTTTTCTATTTTCCAAGTTTCCTTATTTCCAATTTTCCAATTTTTCTGTTTTCAAATTTTATTATTTTCCAAGTTTCCTTATTTCCAAATTTCCTATTTTCTAATTTGCGTATTTCATATTTGCGTAATTTACTATGTTCCAATTTCCAAGTGGGAATTTTTGTATTTCCCCAAAGTTTCATATATTCCTCCATATATATAATTTGGAATTTCCCAATTTCCGGATTTTCCCAATTTTTGTATTTAAAGAAATTGCCTACTTTGCCAAAAGTACCAACTTATTCAATTTGTCCAGTATGGTTATAATCTTATTTCCCATTTTTTCCATTTCAATTGGTTTCCAATTTTCCAATTTTCCTATTTCGTATTTGCCTAATATCCTTTTTTCTGTGTTCCAATTTCCTTTGTGGCAAATTTTGTATTTTCCCCAATTTCCTTTGTTCCAGTTTCCGTTTTTCAAATTCCCAATAATTGGTTAGTTACATAGTCCTTTTTTGGCATGAAATCCGCAATTTCCATTTTCTCATTAAGGTTTGGTTTTTTTGTTGTTTCTAAGGCCCTTTTATTGCTGTTATTGTAATGTTGTACTGCTGTAAATGACAACCAAGTAAAAATGGTGTAGTTTGCAATCCCATCAATTTAATGCACCAACTAAATACCTAATATACTTCAGACAAGTTCCTACATATAACTGAACCTTCCTACAATTGGTTAGTTACATAGTCCTTTTTTGGCCTAAAATCCACAATTTCCATTTTCTCATTAAGGTTTGGTTTTTGTCATTTCTAAGGCACTTTTATTGCTGTTATTGTAATGCTCTACTGCTGTAAATCACAGCCAAGTAGTAAAAGGTGTAGTTTGCAAGCCAATCAATTTAATGCACCAACTAAATACCCAATATACTTCAGACAAGTTCCTACATATAACTGAACCTTCCTACCATTTCTACAGCATAGGCACCTTCTTAACGGGAAAGGTAATTATTCTTCCTGTTATTGTTGTTTACAAGTGTTGATAACGTCAAATTGGAGACTAAATGTACCTTTATTTGTTTTTATGCAGTCTGCAGTTCTGAATTGTCCCCACTGATACTTTAAGATGTCGGATGTAGGCCCTCCAAACGAGCATGTCAGTTACCCGGGAGACCAGTCGTGGCATGTGCCGTTCCCATCTACACCTCCGACTCCCAATCACGATTCCACTTCATTTGGAAGTGAGGCTGAGAGTAATGATCCATTTGACAAAATCTCTACCATCAAGCACGACATCCAATTTTGTCTAACGCAACAGATTGGTGGGAGAGCAAATGTGATATTCATGGCCAAGTTATGGGAAACTTGGCCAACAAGTTGAACAAAGCATATGCTGGAGAAGTGAAGCAAACACTAAAAGCAATAAGTCGGAGCAATGAGTTAGAGTCCCTCAAGTTAAAATTGGAAGACACAAAGAAATATGCTGTCGAAAAATTCACAAAAACTGAAGAATATAACCATGACATGGTTCAATGTTTCTACAACAGCTTTGAAATGTTCCGAGATTATGCTTCGGTCATCTCACCAGACTACAATTGGAGTGAAATTGATGTAGCTGGTGTCTGGGAGGTGCTAAATATGGGTGGAGAGGGAATGGCTCATCATAGCCTCGTGCATGCAGCGAGGAGGAAGGCCAAAGACATTGATCTTTTGATAGAACTCTAGTAAGGGTGAGTGTTGGTTCGGTTCATGCAGTGCTGGGTGATGCGATGTCAAAGTGTTGCCTTCCTTTTCCCTTCACGGGATAGTATTGTTAGGGTTTGGTGGCGATTTCTTTTGCATGTCTAAATTGTAGTATGTAATGGATGTGTGTGTATTGTATGTAGATTGACTTAATATTGCTCTCATATTGCATGTGTATTGTGCTAATAGTGCCTTTGTATAGTATATATTGAATGCATATTGCCACCATATTGCATGTATATTGTGCTACTATTGCTGTTGTATTGCTCTTATATTTGCCTAATATTGCCTCTCTAGTGCATGTATATTGGCCACATATTGCCATTATATTGCATGTATATTGACTATGGCTCATCAATGCGTTTACGGTTTAGGCCCTACTTCATTCAAAAATAAATCGACGACGAGAAACAAACAACGTGCCTTTCAAAAACAAGCAATCAAGTGCATCATAATTGCACCGTAAGACATTGTAAGAAATTATTTTAAGAAATAATAACAACTAAAAAATAATGTACACAAAAAGGAATGTATGAATAAATATGCAAATGCTTCGTGGTGGGTTGAAGAAAAGGATGATTACATTTGGTGGTTTGATTATGTTTGGTGATACGATATGTTGTTCTTCTTAATCTTCATATATGTAATTGTTGTATTAATAATTCACACAAATTCATCTCGTAATCATCCAACTATTAAAGCTAAGTAAATGAAATGAAACAAAAGAAGAAGCCCAAAATAAACATTAACAACAATTTCTAGCACCCTTTTATCACCTCTCTATCACTACTATATCACCAACCTATCACCAGTTTATTGCGTTTTAGGCATAAACAAATTTTGCAATTCCTCTGTTTTTCATTTTTGACATATGTCCATTGTTTGACCTCAATTTTCCTGTAAGGAAAACAAAGAACACATGAATTTAATTTGGAATGGATAGATAGCTTTCCATTAAACCTTTTGACAAAAAAAGTAAACAGCAGAGCTTCTCCGAGCAAGCAAAGGCAGGATTGAGTTGATGACCATGAGTTCAAACATTATGTGATCTAATAGGGATAACTAATTTTTGGAACAAGTAATGAATCTTCAAAACGATAAAGAACAACTAGTAAAGTAATTTATGCAGTTTAACTTTGCACGGGTCACAGTGCTGAACATGATATTTGGTAACCATCTCTATACTTAGGGGTCATAGTGCTCAACATGATATTTGGTAACCATCTCCATACTTTATAGTTATGAAATTTGTTGTGAAAAATAATAGTTTTCCTCTTTCCGTAAAGCCAAATACAAAACATTTATATTATAAATAATATATAAACAAATTGGAAAGCTTTGAAGGTATAATGAAATTGAAGAAAACAAAATAATAGGTAAGTAAAAGGAAAATAAATAATAAGTAAGAAGGTGAGTTTGGTACGGTGAAGCACGTCAAAGACGCTGTTCTAAAGCCTTTGTAGCCTCCCTACGTGCAGGTACTGACGGTCTACAAGACTCCAAGATACGACCAATTGTACACAAACTCAAGATCCGTTATAAGCACGTTCATAGATAGATATAGGTATCCAAGTCACATAACCATTGCTCAAAATAATAATAATATAAAGTAGAGAATATATGTAAAAGTAGAAAAATAGAGAATTAGAATGAGTATGTTATATTCTGATAGTGTATTGTGTGTATTCAAATGTGAAGGAGGAGTGGCCTTTTATAGGCATCCAAAACATGTAAACATCATCAACCATAAAAGTTCACCAACCAAAAAACTTAAGGCATTCACCAACCAGAAATAAAACCTGAATATTAAATATTTATAACCCACACAATAAATAAAATAAAACAACCAAAATAATTAAATAAATAAAACGGTTAAATTTTTAAAACCTTTTAAAATTCCAACAAAATTGACATGTACATTTCTTTTTCCCAAACCAAAGGTTTTTAAAAATTCCACAAAGTTTATGTATAATACTTGACTGTATGCAAACTCAAAAAATTCGATTAATGTATCAATAACAAATAATTCTTCATATATGCAAAAGTCAACCACATGACTCGAAATTAGAAATTCTCACTGCACACAAATCCACCATTAATACATACAAATAAACATCCACAATTCCATAAGGCAAAAGGCAAGTTCTAAGAGATACACAAGGAAAGAAAGAAAAAAACAATTCCAAGAACAGCCAATGAGAAATAATGTTACAGACCAAAAGCAAACAAGGCAAAGTTAAACCACCCTTCTTAAGACAAAAAAGCACCAGACAATTTCTATTTATCGAATCAGCTCACAGAAAATGGTCGATGTGTATCACTTCATGTCTCTCTTTGTCTAGATTAATTCGTTAATTTTCCATTGCACTTCTGATATCTAGGAAAATCCATTGGCTCAAAAGACACCATCAGCTTCAACTCTGAAATTATGCATGGTTGACTATACAAGTTGTTTTGACCTCATGTCAATCCCATCTTGGCTACAACTTCATATCATACTGAATAATTTATAGCACTCATACTAAGGCTTGGTTAAAACCACAAAGGAATAAATAATGAAACAACATGGTGCAACTATACAAGAAAATTGAGCAACCACTCACTCGGTCAGAACTTTTAACAGACTGATGAGAAGTTAACCTGACTGCCTGTTACATGGTCATTATTTTCATCATTCTCTTCAGATAAATAATCATCCCTACCTTGATCCTCTGAGCTTGAAGGATCAAATCTAATGTGCTTGCCACAAAAATCCTTATGTATGGGGGAAAACGATTCAACGCGCTGAGAAATAGTGCTGAAACGTTTGTCTAGCTCCTTTTTCTCTACGGATAAAAGTGGAAACTTCCTATCATTTTTATCTGAATTTGGCTGAAATGCTTTCTCTGATTTCTTTAGAGTGGAAATTTCTAGATTCCTTGCTTGCAACTGATCACTTCTTAACAATGAAATCTAAATATTCTTCAAACCTAATATCTTTATTTTCACGAGTATCCATGAACTCAGACACAATAGATGTCATCTCCCCACTAGTTATCTTAAATACACTACTACAATAAAGTTAATAGACAACGGTTTTTAGCCGTTGTTGAAAGTCTTCTAAAACCGTTGAGGTTAGGAGTGTCGTCTTTTCTACCTATTTATGACAACAGTCAAAAACCATTGTAATATGTCACTTTCAACAACGGTTTTTCTTAAAAAGCGTTGTTAATTCTCATATAAAAAACAGGTATAAAAGAATGACCGTTGTAATATGGCCCTTTCAACAACGGTTTTGCTCAATAACCGTTGTAGTAACCGTTGTAGTATTATGCTTACTATTCAAACTAACCGTTGTAAAATAGAACTTTCAACAACGGTTTGGATCAATAACTGTTGTAATATGGTCATTTCCACAACGGTTTATATAATAAACGTTGTAGTAAGTAACTTTCAATAACGGTTTGGATCAATAACCGTTGTAATATGGTTCTTTCCACAATTGTTATTGATAACTTTGTACAACGGTTTTCATAATAACCGTTGTAAATGTCTTTATTATACAACGGTTGTTGGGTTTAACCATTGTAATAAGAGGATTTCTACAACGGTTTGAATGGGTAACCGTTGTAGTTAAGAAATAATGATATTCCTTTAGTACTGAATATGATTTTTAAAAAAATTAATATTGTTGCATTCCAAAATTAACGAATATGGGCAGGACAATGATGTATTCATATTTCAATATGAAAAGTATTCGAACCATACAATTCCAAAATTGGTTCAATTACAACAATTTAAGTCTATAGGCAATCTAAAGCTTTGAATTTAGTACATACATCCCAAAGCTACCAACCACAAAATCTAAAACTTTGTACATTCTATGTGAAAATTCTACCATTCACAAAATGACAACCAAAGTGATTGCCACGTAATCATGTGCATAAGAAACCAAAACAGTGGTTGATAGCCTTTCCTTGTCCAGTTTGAGGTTTGATCTACACATAATTGGTCATCGTACATAATCTGCCCACTCACGCCGTACTTCATCAATTTGATTTTGGGTATATGTACAATCATTTGTTTTATTCCACTGTGATAAGATATCAAAAATAAGACTTAGCCAAGTCTCATAATATAAAAAACAGTCTTAATCAAAGATTTAGTTTCCATTCAAATTAAATGTACTATTCTACCATGCTATATGGATATTTAGTACCTTAGATGCAAATTCCAAATTTTTATCTTCAACAATCTCCTTCATATAACGCATCACAAAATATCCACACTCTGTATTTTATTGATTAGTTGTAAGACATGATTAACAATCAATATAAGCTTACACAAGAAATAACAAATGGATCATTTATCCTATATTAGATGGGGACTTACCATCAAAATAATCCACTGCGGTGTTTTTCTTCCTTTCCTATTCCTTTTCACATTCAACACTTTAATGGCACTTCATCAACAAAGAGAATGACAAGTAATCCCCAATGCCATTGTGAGGATATCATTACTACCTGATACGGTCAAAGACCCTTCAAGTACTTGTTTCTTCAAATCATCCTGATACAACAAAACATATTGTAAATATAAACATCACAATTAGCAAATTAAATAAAACAAAACAGATTGTACAATAAATAAGGTTGAAATAAAATCCACGTGGCAAAAATTGCTTAGCTTATTGCCTCACTCTAACTCACAATTATTATAGCTTTCTCTGCTATCTTCTCATCTGGAAATTTCCCATTTTTAGCTTCATGTCCTTTCCTCGATAATGTTGATCGATCTATGTCTTCCTCAGGCATTGTTTGTAACTACAAGATAACTATAATAAACTTTCCTAGCATTTGAAAGCATCCATGGAAGCTCACTATTGAAAACATCCAAGTTTTTCTATCGAACATAGCATACATCATTTGCTGCTTCAATATGAGCAATAATGTATTATGAACTATATTATGAAAATGAGTACTAACCAAAATATCCATTGTCCGAACATATCCTCCCTGTGACATACGATGATTATATTTTAACTGTGCACGCCTCTCTTGCTGCTCTTTATGTAGTTGCTACAAAGTATAGAGTGAAAGGAAGTCATACAAAGTCTAAAAAATTAGAATACAATTACAATAAATTAATAAGGAACATTCAAGCATACCAGAAACTCTTTAGTTAGCCTAGATGCTACGAAGGCATTCCAAGGGCTTGTCACCAAGGGCGGATCTATTACTAGGCTGGAGTGGGCTCCAGCCTAGGGGAAGATTTTTAAATATTATATATAGTTAAGTTTATTCCTACTCCAATAAATATTAGCCCACTACACTAAATAAATATAATAAACTAATAATAGCCCAATTTGAGTAAAGTAAATAATAGCTTTATTTAAAATAAGCCCACTCCTGAAGCATATAGGAAATAATAAACATCAATCCAAACATATATATAAATTTGATTAGAAGTAGAACTCAGGCTAAGGCTCTACCAACTTGACCTATTCTAATCGTATTGATATTGGGCTACACCCACAGAGAGAAAACATCAAAAAATTCTTCTAGCCACCCAAAACGCCATATTTGAACCTTGATAGCCTAGAGGAAATAGCTCCCCTCCTCCAAAAAATTGTACCAACCTACCTTCAGTGGGTTCCTCAATCTTGGTAAGTTTTTCTCTTTTTTTTATATATTTAATTTTCAAAGATTTTGATACACTCAAAGAGAGAAGGGTTCCACTTCACTAGGTAAGCTCTTTAAAAAAAATTTGCAATCGAACATATTTTTTTAAAGTTGGACAATGTGTTTGATTTGATATTTATTTATATTTTGTACTTTTTGTGTTATATTTGCTTGTAATGTGACTTTGTTTGATTTATAAAATTTTATTTTCATTTTTGTTTTGTGAGAAAAAAAGGCTTATAATATATCTCTCTCAAAAAAAAAAAAAAAAAAAAAAAAAAAATAAACCCTATAAAAATTCCTGGGTCCGCCATTGCTTGTCACCATCCCCAAGGACATTAAGAAACTCATAGGGATCGTTTAATGAATCCCCAAAATCAGTATCTTCCATATCTACTGTTTCAGATACATAGCCTTGTTCGTTAGTACTTGGAAAAGGTTCATTTGCATTTGCAACTGACACATAAGGCTCTCCGTGCCATATCCAAGATTGATAACTTGTATCAACACCATTAATATACATATGATCCCTTATAACTGCAATACCATATTGTAAAATGTTTCCACATTTTATGCAAGGGCAATGAATTAGATTCACATTTCTTGAGTTCTCCATGGCAAACTTAAAAAATCCTTCAACTCCCACCTCATACTCTCGTGACCTTCTATCGGCATACATCCATGACTTATCCATCTTACAAGTACAAAAATCACAAAATGATGTATGTCATTCACAATAGAGTACTTAATCACTAGCATCAAAACTAAATACAGTTAACCTAATGTAAGTGATGCATATTTAGTTACTTAATAAAAGAATCAATATGCAATACTCTGTCACAGAGACAAAACTATCATATCATGCGCACTTCTAACATGCCATTGCCATGTTAATATATTAAAATACTACACTGTATCAAGCAATCTTGAGACTACTATATCTTTGCAGCCACAACTATCTTTGCAGCCACTCCACTTTTTGGTTTGTATTTTTAGGCTAAAAACTACACACACAATCTCTGCAAAAGTACCAACAATTGTAAACTGTAAATCTTATGGAGATTATTAGAGAGGGAGGCAAGGAAATTAAGAATGTATTATTTTTTGGGTTGTAAATTTTGTGGTTTAGGAAGCCCAGGTCAGTCTGAAAACTTAACAGTAAATTATGTTAATGTGTAAATGGTGAACTGATTTAGTATTATAATCGTTTTGTTTAGTGTTAAGTCTTAGCTCATAGGCTAAGTTAGTTTGTTAGGTCTCATAGGACTTGACTTAGACAGGTGTCTTAATCGTATTGATAGTGTAGTTGGATGGTTGAGATTGAAGCTAGGAGCTGTCTAGCTCTCTCTCACCTCTAACGGTAATATGTGCTGTGAGAGTGTGAATTGGTTAACTTACACGATAGATGAATACAAGTGATATACAGAGCAGTTTTGTTCATCACTCTCTCTTCTTCACTATTCTCAATACTCCATTTTCTTATTAGCTCAGATTAGCTCACAAACTCTAACATGGCCTCAGAGCCAGGTTTGATCTAAATTTTCTGGGCGTTGTGACTGTGAGGTTGGGCTCGAATCTGTAAGCAAAAGCTCATTGCGTGATTCTTGAGCTCAAATCAGTATTCTAGACTAACATGTCTGGATCTGGAGGAGGAGAACTCAGAGCGCCAATCTTCAATGGCGAAAACTTTGATTTCTGGCAGATCAAGATGAAAACCATCTTTCGATCACACGGGCTATGGGAAATGGTTCATAATGGGTATAAGATTCCGGTGAAGGAGGAGGCACTCACAGAGACGAAGAGGAAGCTATTGCGTGAGTATGCTGTGAAAGATGCCAGAGCATTAGGCATTATTCAAGGAGCTGTGTCCGATCAGATTTTTCTGAGGATTGCAACTCAGGAAAGTGCAAAAGCTGCGTGGGACATTTTAAAACAAGAATTTGTGGGTGACAAACAGGTAAGATCTGTGAAACTCCAGGGTCTTCGTAGAGATTTTGAGTATACGCATATGAATGATAGTGAGACACTTTCTGGGTATATTGCTAAATTGTTTGATTTAATTAATCAAATGAAAAGCTATGGTGAGGATTTGAGTAATCAACGAATTGTCCAGAAATTGTTGATTAGCTTACCTAAATCCTATGATAGCATTGCAGCTGTGATAGAGAATACTAAAGATCTGGACACCATTGATGCACAAGATGTAGTTGCTATTTTGAAAGGGTATGAGTAGAGGCTTGATAGGCATGGTGAGAATGGTACAGAGAAGGCATTTGCGAGTCTGAATATTGGATCGAAATCCAATCGGTCCAATAGTCAAAACAACCAGAATAAGTCTCAGAAATCCAAATGGAAACCATGGAGTAACAAGGCTGAATGGAGCAATAAGGCTAGTTCTTATGAAGGGAACAGTAAGGCTAATTCTTATGTAAAGAATGAGGCAACAAACACTGGAGACAAGTGTAAGTTTTGTGATAGACTTCATTATGGTGACTGTTAGGTTAAAAACAAAGTCAAATGTCACAAGTGCAATAAGATTGGACATATTGCACGATATTGCAATACAAACAAGACTGTTCAACAAGGGCATTTTGCAAATCAGGTTGAAGAAACTGGGAATTTGTTCTATGCAAATCACACTGAGATAGAGAGAAGGGTAAGTGATGAGTGGTATATAGACAGTGGGTGTAGTAACCACATGACATCTCGGGAAGATTTACTTGTTGATATTGATAGGAGAGTGAAAGACAAAGTTCAAGTAGGCACTGGGGTGTTGGTTGATGTAGCAATGAAAGGGACTTTGGTCATTGAAACTACAAAAGGCAAACGGTACATAAAAGAAGTCATGTTGGTACCTGGCCTTGCAGAAGACTTGCTCAGTGTGGGACAAATGACGGATCATGGCTATTTTCTCTTGTTTGGAGATTGCAAGGTTGACATATTTGATGACAGAACTTTACAACATTTGGTAGTAAGTGTAAGGCAGAAAGGAAACAGGTGTTTTCCACTAGTTTTCAATACAAACAAAGAGTTTGCTTTGAAAACTAGTGTGCATGAGTGTTCCAAGCTGTGGCACAAGAGGTTTGGGCACTTAAACTTCAAAAGTCTCAAGCTATTATAGACACAAGAACTTGTACTGGGGTTGCCTGAAATCCAAGAGCATGATGCAGTATGTCATGGATGTGCAATGGGGAAGAATCATAGAGAGGCATTTCCACAAGAATCGAAATGGAGAGCAAAGGAGCCACTAGGTGTTAAGTCTTAGCTCATAGGCTAAGTTAGTTTGTTAGGTCTCATAGGACTTGACTTGGACAGGTGTCTTAATCGTATTGATAGTGTAGTTGGATGGTTGAGATTGAAGCTAGGAGCTGTCTAGCTCTCTCTCACCTCTAACAGTAATATGTGTTGTGAGAGTGTGAATTGGTTAAAACTATGGATGAGAAACTCCAAATGCATGATGTTGATGATGTATAAACTAAAAAACAAAAAGTATAACTTTACATTTGCATTTTACTTTGTAATGGCACCATGTAGTATATATATACGACAAAAACTAGCTCAAGTTTAAGAGAAAAAGTAGATATTTAGAAGCTAGCTCAGGTCTAGACCTTGCACAATTTAGAGAAGTCCATGGAATCTCTACCATACAAAACAGAGCCATGACAGTGATCCCAGAAATATGGTTCACTTATCTTATCCATTTCTAACAAGCTAGACATAAATAAGAGAAACATAAACAGAGAAAACAAAGACAATTTGAGACATACCATGGATCAAGAAAGAGAACGCAAAATTTTAAAAAAAGACAGACATATCTCAAATGAAATTAAAATACACATATGAAATAGCTGCAACATTAGCAAGACTCAACTGAGATTATCTGAAAGAAAGGGGACTGAGAAAGGGGCCTGAGACTGTGAAAGGGGGCTGGCCATAGTTCTTATGAAAGAAAAGCACTCAAGATTTCTTACCTATCAAAGCTTCAGAGTGAGTGCAATAGCCGTAGAGGGCAAGAGAGATGAAAAAGCTAAGCACCTGCAAAGGAAACAAAGAGAGATGGTTAACACCCAAATCACAACAGTGTCAAAACAAATTGAAACTCTAATTTTTTTTTCTTTACCTTTGTTGATCGAGGTAGAGCAACCACAAGCCAACACCCAAATGGTTAGATAAAACCCAAATCAGTAACCCTAAAATTAAAACCCAAATCCCTCTGAACTAGAAGAAGGGAGGAGAAAGAAAGAGACGGGAGAGGGAGGGGAGAGAGAGAGCGTGGAGAGAGGGAGATGCGAGAGACAGAGTCTCTCTATCTATGGCTATGGTGAAGGCAATGGTGGGAAGAACAAGATTTACTGTTCACTCCATTTTTTTTTTTAAGGCTTCTGTGGGAACCAATTAAATCAAAACCCTAGGTCAAATAATTCCTTCCATTTGGGGATTATTTGACCTAATTGGGAATTACTCAACCTAATTGGGAGTTACTCAATTTAATTGGGAGTTACCCAATTAAATTGAGAATTACCTAATTAAGTTGGGAATTGATTTGATTCCTACCCCAATTCCCAATTAAATGAGGAGTTACCTAATTAGATTGGGATTTGATCTGATACCTACCACGATTAGGGATTTGATTTACCCAAATAAATCAAATCCCTAATTAATCAAATCAATGCCAAATCAGGGAGGAATAATTCCTTACCAACTACGGAATTATTCCTCTGAAACCCTAATCTCCGAGACCATTATAAATACTTGGCTACGCACAAAGGTCAAGGTACGTCTAAATTCCTACTGAAACTCTGCAGAAATTATTTCTCACAAACCCTAGCCACCACTTTCTTTCTCTCTCTGACACAAGGCTCCGGCCACCACACACGGCTCCGGCCACCCGGTTTTCCTTGAAATACCCTACCTAACTTAGGCATCGGAGGGCCTTTGGCCAACACCCCCCGGGTGTGGTCCTTTTACCCCGATTGTTTTGCAGGGAGAAAGAGAAGTGGAGAAGACGAAGGAATCTTAGACGAATATTCCCGTGAGGAAATTTGTACAAACAAATTGGTGCTTTCATTGAGAGCACGAGATATATTCAAAGCGTGCTCAAAATCCATCTTTCACACATTTTTTCAAACAACCATGGTTGATACAAGACGTACGAAGAGTAACGCCACCACGACGGGCCCATCTCATGGTTTCGTGGTGGAAACCTCAATGCAACAGCACGGAATCATGCCTGCCAACGCCCTGCAGCCGTCTTCTAGTGCTTTGCAGCCGCCTTCAGCTGCTGGAATTGCAAAACAGCCGCCACATGACCCTGGGACCTCCATAGCCTTGCAGTCGCCAGCGCCGATTACCGGAGCTGCTCTGCCTCGCTGTCCTGCCGTCGGAGCACAGCAGCAGCCACACCACTTAACTACCGGACTTGCTGCACAGCCCCATGGCTACTTGACATCGTCCCAGTCTTGGAGCAGATCCATTCTCTCCCTCCTCTGCGATCACACTTGACATATGCACCTGTGTACGCGTCTAATGGAGCCCTAGCCCACATGCCGTTGGGCCCAATGCACACCACTCTACTTGACCCGGGCAGTCAGGTGGACCTTAACTCGCGGGTTGATCAACTCACACAGAAGGTCGATGATCAAAACAACCTGATTGGCCAGCTACTCAGGCAGATCAACTTGAATCAAGGCCCCAAACTTGGACCCCGTGACGAGGAGAGGAGGGCACACGAGCATGCTGGCGAGCAGTTCGAGAGGTCCCAGGCTAGTCAGACAAGGGCAAACCGGCAGGGGAGAGAGCGAGATCGTGCAGACGAGACGCAGACAGCTGCGAGCCGTACTCTGAGCCGTTCGAGGTTAGGACCCAGGACCAATGTGCTCGAGAGGCTAGGCCCACAATCCAATGTTCGTGCTCGCTTAGGTCCACAAGGAGCTCGAGTTCGTGAGCGGTCGCGGCGACAAGCTGTGGAGGGATCCTCCCAAACTCAACCTTCTCTCCTGCCCCATCGGCAGGGCAACCAAGGGGATCGACCCTTGGGAGCCGGAGAAGAAGTTAGCCAATCACGTTCGAGGCACCAAAGACGTCGACCTGAACGAGCTTCCTTGCAAGCAGAGGATGACGATCAACGCTCACCAGCCCGCTCGAGGTCCGACATGCAGCGACAAGCTGTGGAGGGATCCTCCCAAACTCAACCTTCTCTCTTGCCCCATCGGCAGGGCAACCAAGGGGATCGACCCTTGGGAGCCGGAGAAGAAGTTAGCCAATCACGTTCGAGGCACCGAAGACGTCGACCTGAACGACTTTCCTTGCAAGCAGAGGATGACGATCAACGCTCACCAGCCCGCTCGAGGTCCAACATGCGGCGACAAGCTGTGGAGGGATCCTCCCAAACTCAACCTTCTCTCCTGCCCCACCGGCAGGGCAACCAAGGGGATCGACCCTTGGGAGTTGGAGAAGAAGTTAGCCAGTCACGCTCGAGACACCGAAGACGCCGACCTGAACGACCTTTCTTGCGAGCAGAGGGTGACGATCGACGCCCACCAGCCCGCTCGAGGACCAACACGCGGCGACAAGCTGCAGAGGAATCCTCACAACCTCAATCTCCTAATCTGCCTCACGGGCAGAGCACCCAAGGGGATCGACCCTTGGGAACCGAGGAAGAAGTTAGCCAGTCGCGCTCGAGGCACCGAAGACGTCGGCCCGAGACTCCAACCCTGCGAGCAGAGGATGTCGCAAAGCTAGTAAATGACCAACTCCGAGGTCTCCGACTCAAAGGAAGCGCGGAGGAGGCCCTGTGCAAGGAAATTGATCGAGTTGACTGCTCGCCCTTTACCGACGAGGTGGAACGAGCTCCGCCGCCGAAGCGGTTTACAACGCCATCCATCACTCCATTCAAGGGGGACTCTGACCCTGAGAGCCATTTGAGGCACTTCAAGAGCGCCATGATCCTGTACAAGGCAGACGACGCCCTGATGTGCAAAGTGTTCGCGATGACTCTGCGAGGAGCAGCTCAGGATTGGTTCCACACTCTACCGTCCGCGTCAATAGGCAACTTCAAGGAGTTCGCCATCATTTTCACAAAGGAGTACACCTCCTACAAGACGGTCAGAAAGCATGCAGACCACCTGTTCAACCTGCGCAAGAAGCCAGACGAGTCTCTACGAGACAACCTGAGACGGTTTAAGGCTGAGAAGGCTAACATCATAGGATGCAACGACCAAGTTGCATCCTCAGCATTCAAAAAGGGCTTGCCAACCGAGCACGAGCTATACCGGGAGCTGGCCATAACTCCAAGTCAAACCTTGGCAGAAGTGTTCGCGACGGCAGAGCGCTACGCACTTTGGGACGATGATCGTATCGCCGCAAAGAAAGCTAGCAAGCAAGTTGACCACCCGACGAAGCAGGCAAGCCAAAAGAACAACAAGTTCGAGCAAAAAGCCCGAGATAAGGGCAGATCGCGGCCCCAAGAGGGAAGCTTAGAAACAGGGACCTTCACTGAGTTCGCTATCCCAATCCACCAGATCCTAGCTCAGGTGAAGGATAAGCCGTGGGTGAGGAGACCACCACCCATGAAGGGAGACCCCTCTAAAAGAGACACCAGCAAATACTGCGCATTCCACGGGGAGCACGGTCATTACACCAACAACTGCAACGCTTGGAAAAGGCACCTTGAGGAGCTGGTCAGAGAAGGCCATTGCACAGAGTTCGTTGCAAAGAAGGCTATCCAGCAGATCGAGGATCGTGATGTAGCTGCCAAGGAACCTCCCCAAAAGGTCATTCGAATCAACACCATTCTAGCCGACTCCCAAGAGTCCGGGCTGACCACCAAGGAGCGCAAGAGAAAGATCGCGCAGGCAACTTATGTCTCCCAAGTCACAACGGGAATACCAGCTGTTGGGGATACACCTATCATCGGCTTCCAGAAGAAGGACTTGATCGGGCTTGACCTGCCACATAATGACGCCCTAGTCATCTGCATCCAAATTGAACAAGCTGTGATCGAGCGAGTTCATGTAGATGAGGGCAGCGCAGCCAACATCCTGCAACTATCTGTTATCCAACAGATGGGGTTCGAGCCCAAAGATTAGCAAACTTGCCAGATCGCTCACCGGCTTCAATGGGGCCACATCAATCACTGTTGGAACGATCGACTTGGATGTCCACTCACCCCCAGTGGTCTGCTCACAGACCTTCATGGTCATCGACGAGGTTTCCCCCTACAACGGAATCTTGGGCCGACCGTGGATCAGCAAGATCGAGGCCATCACATCTGCTCTACATCAGAAAATCCGCTATCCCATCCCTGGGGGCGGGATCGGGCAGATCAACAGTGACCAAGCCATGGCAAGGAGATGCACGCCCAAGGGCTCAAGAAGAGCAAGCAGCTGCAGTTCACACCAGTAATGCAAGCTGCCAACGAGGCAGGAAGCGCTCTTAGCAGACAAGCAAAACCGAAAGGGAAGGAAGTTGCTGCCTCACAATAGCAGTTAAGGAACCAGGATCAAGGTGAGGGAATCCGCCCGGAAGACTCCCCTGAAAAGGGTTGGAAGCCTGAGGATGACGTTGAGTTAGTACCTCCTGATCCTGCCAGCCAGACAAAGAGGCGCAGATCGGCTCGTGCCAAAATCCGAACAAGAAGGATCGGACGAGGGAATCCGCCCGGAAGGCTCCCTTGAAGAAGGTTGGAAGTTAGTACCCCCCGATCCTGACCACCAGACAAAGAGCGCAGATCGTGCCAGAATCCGAACAAGAAGGATCGAGACGAGGGAATCCGCCCGGAAGGCTCCCTTGAAGAAGGTTGGAAGCCTGAGGAAGACGTTGAGTTAGTACCCCCCGATCCTGATCAGCCAGAGAAGGAGGCGCAGATCGGCTCGCGCCAGAATTCAACCAAGAAGGATCGAGATGAGGGAATCCGCCCGGAAGGCTCCCTTGAAGAAGGTTGGAAGCCTGAGGAAGACGTTGAGTTAGTACCCCTCGATCCTCACCAGCCAGACAAGAAAGCGCGGATCGGCTCGCGCCTAAGCCCAGACGAGAAGATGGAGCTGACCATCTTCCTCCAGAACAACAAAGACATGTTCGCGTGGTCACCATCTGACATGCCTGGCATTGACCCAAATATCATCTGCCATCGGCTCCATGTCAACCCTACTAGCAAGCCCGTGGTGCAGAAGAGACGCAACTTTGCTCCCGAGCGGGTCGCGATCATTGAAGCCGAGATCGACAAGCTCCTAGCTGCCGGTTTCATTGAAGAGGTCTCCTACTCGGAATGGCTGGCTAACGTTGTTCTGGTGGCAAAACAAGAAAAGGGAAAATGGAGAGTATGCGTTGATTACACCGACCTCAACAAAGCGTGCCCTAAAGACAACTTCCCACTGCCGAGAATCGACCAGCTCGTGGATTCAACTTCCGGCAACCAGCTGCTCAGCTTCATGGATGCTTACTCCGGCTATAATCAAATTATGATGTACGATGATGACAAGGCGAAGACCTCTTTCATCATCGAAAGAGGGACCTACTGCTACAAGGTCATGCCCTTTGGGCTGAAGAACGCTGGAGCAACCTACCAAAGGCTCGTGAATAAAATTTTCAAGGAGCAGATCGGCAGAACCATGGAGGTGTACGTGGACGATATGCTGGTTAAAGCCCCCAAGCGGGCAGACCACCTCAAAAACCTCACCGAGGCGTTCAGCCTACTCCGCCAATATCGCATGAAGCTGAATCCAAGTAAATGCACGTTCGGTGTATCGTCTGGCCGGTTCCTAGGGTACTTGGTGACGCAACGAGGTATCGAGGCACACCCGCGCCAAATCAAAGCCATTCTCGAGATGAAGTCGCCTTCCACAGTGAAGGAGATACAAAGCCTGACGGGCAGAGCAGCGGCCCTTAACAGATTCCTCTCAAAGTCTACCGACAAGTGCAGACCATTCTTCAAAGCTTTGAAGAAAGGACAAAAAGACAAATGGGACGAAGAGTGCGAAGTAGCTTTCCAGAATCTAAAGACCTACCTTACTTCACCTCCCTTGCTCTCAAAGCCAGTTCCTGGTGAAGACTTGTTCGTGTACCTGGCAGTGTCCAACTCGGCCGTCAGCTCAGCTCTCATTCGAGAAGAACTTGGGGCCCAACATCCGATATTCTACACGTCAAAAGCTCTCCTCGATGCAGAGACTCGTTACCCGAAATTGGAGAAGCTCATTTTGGCCCTTGTGGTTTCTGCGAGAAAGCTGCGACCTTATTACCAAGCTCACCGAGTCATCGTCATGACCGACTTTCCTTTGAGATCAATCCTCCACAGCCCTGATGCTTCTCAGCGACTCATGAAGTGGGCTATAGAGCTAAGCCAATACGACCTCCTCTACCGGCCGAAGACTGCAATAAAAGCTCAAGCCTTAGCAGACTTTGTTGCAGAATTCACACCATCAGCCGAAGAAGAGAAGCTGGTCAGCAAAAAGAAGGAAAGTTCGAGAGCAGACAAGACCTCTACTGAACCTGACCAACCCAGAGACATGTGGCAGTTGCGCGTAGACGGAGCGTCGAACCAGAAAGGAGCTGGAGCAGGCGTCGTCATCATCACCCCAGATGGAACCCTGTTAGAGCAAGCTATCACGCTTGGCTTCCCGGCTTCAAACAACGAGGCAGAGTACGAGGCGTTGCTCGCTGGCTTGCGCTTGGCAAAGGAGCTATCAATCAAAAAGCTGGCCATCTACTCAGATTCCCAGCTGATCACAAGTCAAGCCTCAGGAGAATACATGGCGAAGCACCCAAGGATGATCTTGTACCTTGACAAAGTTCAAGAGTTGTTGAAGGCGTTTCCCACCTTCACCATCCAGCAAGTTCCCAGAGCAGAGAACGCGCACGCAGATGCACTAGCAAGCTTAGGATCGGCGCTGGATACCCAGTTCAGACGTTCCATCCCGGTCGAGCACCTTGACCAGCCTAGCATAGAGGAGGCAGAGCAGCCGGACCTGATGCAGATCGATGAGGATCCTAGCTGGCAAGACCCAATTATTGACTACCTAGTGAATGAAAACCTGCCCAAGGACAAGTCCGAGGCCAGAAAAATCAAGCAGAAGGCTGCAAGATACTACATGAAAGGCGACATGCTTATCCGCAGATCATACTACGGGCCTCATCTCACTTGCATCAAGTACCCACAAACGCTCGAGGTTCTCTGCAAGATACACGACGGCGAATGTGGAAATCACGCTGGGGGCAGATCGCTTGCTCAGAAGGCTCTCAGCATAGGCTATTTCTGGCCTACCATGCGCCAAGACTCCACGGAGTATGCTCGAAGATGTGATCGATGCCAACGCTACAAGCCGGTCCCTGGCCTGCCCGCTGAGGAATACCATCCGCAGAACAGTCCATGGCCATTCATGCAGTGGGCCATTGACTTGGTGGGACCTATGCCGACGGCACCTGCCAACAAAGAGATGATGATCGTTGCCACTGATTACTTCACCAAATGGATCGAGGCCGAGGCTTTATCTTCTACCAAGGAGGCCGATGTTGAACGGTTCATCTGGAAGAACATTATTTGCAGATTCGGTTGCCCGCAATCGATAGTCACCGACAATGGTACACAGTTCGTGGGCAGGCAGATCACCGCATTCTTTGCGAAGTATGGCATCAAACAACACCTGTCAACACCCCGATACCCGCAAGGCAATGGCCAAGCAGAGGCATCCAACAAGATAGTGCTGGACTGCCTAAAGAAAAGACTGGAAGGCGCAGAAGGAAAATGGGTCGACGAGCTGCCAGGAGTCCTATGGGCTTATCGCACGACCAAAAGGAGATCGACCGGAGAGACACCATTTTCCCTGGCCTATGGGACAGAAGCAATTATTCCCCCACACATCACAGTCCCTTCCATGAGCATTGAGGTGGGCAGTCTTGACCAAAACTGCAAGCAGATGAAAGTCAACCTTGATCTGCTTGAAGAAGAACGAGAAAAGGCATTGTTCGAGTTGCCGCCTACCAGCAGCAGTTGACGTCCTACTACAATAAGAAGGCCAAGATAGACAGTTTCAGCCTGGAGACCTTGTGCTTAGAAAAACTTTCATCACAGCACCAAGGCAAGGGTCAAAGAAAATGAAGCCAAACTGGGAAGGCCCCTACGTGATCAGCCGATCTGGGGGCAGAGGAAGTTACACCCTTGATACTCTAGAAGGAAAGAATTCCGAGACAATGCATACATCAGAAGATGATGGCATCTAGTACAACAACAGACATTGTTAGGTTGCCAACTTCCCAGTCGACTCCACAGGCGACGGGCCTCCTTCATCTCCATTGCAGACAAGCTGCTCCGAAGCACAAACTCAATGGAGTCTTTTTCGAGCATTGTGTCCCTGACATACGCTCGCAGGCGACAAGCCTAATCTCCATTGCAGACAAGCTGCTTCACGAAGCACAAACTCAATGGAGTCTTTTTCGAGCATTGTGTCCCTGACATACGCTCGCAGGCGACAAGCCTCATCTCCATTGCAGACAGGCTGCTTCACGAAGCACAAACTCAATGGAGTCTTTTTCGAGCATTTTGTCCCTGACATACGCTCGCAGGCGACAAGCCTAATCTCCATTGCAGACAGGCTGCTTCACGAAGCACAAACTCAATGGAGTCTTTTTCGAGCATTGTGTCCCTGACATACGCTCGCAGGCGACAAGCCTAATCTCCATTGCAGACAGGCTGCTTCACGAAGCACAAACTCAATGGAGTCTTTTTCGAGCATTGTGTCCCTGACATACGCTCGCAGGCGACAAGCCTAATCTCCATTGCAGACAGGCTGCTTCACGAAGCACAAACTCAATGGAGTCTTTTTCGAGCATTGTGTCCCTGACATACGCTCGCAGGCGACAAGCCTCATCTCCATTGCAGACAGGCTGCTTCACGAAGCACAAACTCAATGGAGTCTTTTTCGAGCATTGTGTCCCTGACATACGCTCGCAGGCGACAAGCCTAATCTCCATTGCAGACAGGCTGCTTCACGAAGCACAAACTCAATGGAGTCTTTTTCGAGCATTGTGTCCCTGACATACGCTCGCAGGCGACAAGCCTCATCTCCATTGCAGACAAGCTGCTTCACGAAGCACAAACTCAATGGAGTCTTTTTCGAGCATTGTGTCCCTGACATACGCTCGCAGGCGACAAGCCTAATCTCCATTGCAGACAGGCTGCTTCACGAAGCACAAACTCAATGGAGTCTTTTTCGAGCATTTTGTCCCTGACATACGCTCGCAGGCGACAAGCCTAATCTCCATTGCAGACAGGCTGCTTCACGAAGCACAAACTCAATGGAGTCTTTTTCGAGCATTGTGTCCCTGACATACGCTCGCAGGCGACAAGCCTCATCTCCATTGCAGACAGGCTGCTTCACGAAGCACAAACTCAATGGAGTCTTTTTCGAGCGTTGTGTCCCTGACATACGCTCGCAGGCGACAAGCCTAATCTCCATTGCAGACAGGCTGCTTCACGAAGCACAAACTCAATGGAGTCTTTTTCGAGCATTGTGTCCCTGACATACGCTCGTAGGCGACAAGCCTCATCTCCATTGCAGACAAGCTGCTTCGCGAAGCACAAACTCAATGGAATCTTTTTATTTCGAGCATTGTGTCCCTGACATACGCTCGTAGGCGACAAGCCTTACCTCCATTGTGGGCAAGCTACTTCACGAGTACAAACTCAATGGAATCTCTTTCAAGTGCTATGTCTCCGGACGTACACTTACAAGACATAATGAGAATTGAAGTTTGAAAGATAACTGAAAATTTCATAGCAAAGCGGCCAACCAGCCAAATTCAACAAACAATAGGGCGGTCAACCAAAGACCACTTATTGAAAGAAAATTACAAAGTTCAAAAATAGCAAAAATGAACTACATCTACTAGGGGACTTCAGCAGGTGACCCTTAGCCGATCACATCCTCAGCTGCGCTGGCAACGGCCTCACTCTGCTTAACCATCACCACCTACTCAACTGCCTTGGCCGCTTGTTCCTTACCCACCTCAGCTGACCCGCCTTGGGGCTTGTCTTCCTCCGTTGCGGCTTCATCTGCTACCTGCTCTTCAACTGCCTCTGCATCCACAACATTGATCTGCTTACTGTGAGCAGGGGCAGATCAAGACTGGACTGCTCATCATCGTCATCTTCGAGAGGACAGCAAGGAGGAGCGCCGTTCTGGCAGTCCAGGTATCCCAGCTTGTACGCATTAGCAGCAATCTCATGTTTGGACACCTCCGTGGCTTCCACATGGTTGTCAAACTTGACCAGCAGCCTATCACGATCTTGGGCCAGAGCAGCATGCTTGCGTTCGAGGCTAAAGTAGGCTTCCTTGCGTTCGAGCAGGGTAGCCATAAGAGACTTGACTTCGTCATCTTTTTGGCCAACAGAACTCTTAAGTGCGGACATACTCTCCTTCATCTCGGAAAATCCTCGCGTCATGGCGAATCCGGTCGTTCGAGAGCTTGTCAGTCAGGTCAGCATTCTTCTTCACCAGCTCGTCAAGCAGGGCAGAAGAGGGGCAACATCATGCGAGTTCTGCATAGCCCCAACAACAAAAACCATCCCTTTTTGAAGATGATACAGGGCAGCTTCTTCTTGTTTATCCAAGGGAAGGCTCGAGAAGGCACAAAGATCAGCAGCTCGATACACATGGTCAGCTAGCTTAGCACAAGCAGATGGACTTGATAGAAAGCCCGTTTTCAGCAGATCAGACACAGGCTCACCCCCAACAGAGTTATCACCAATCCCCAAACCAGCAGTTCGCGCGACTGGAGGACTCTTTGCTCGAGCAGACGACTCTTTAGCTTTCTTGCTTGCAGCTTGCAACATCGAGTCAGCTCCGCGCTTGATTGTTCGTGGTCCTGCAGACGAGTCATGGTGGCTGGGCAGAGGTACAGTCCTCTCAGTTTGGTCCCCAGACCGGCGCAGACGCCCCGAACCTTGCTTCTCAACGGCCTCCTTACAAGGCAGATCACAGTTTTGGGCAATACGGTTGGCGACTTGAACAACATATCCCGAACTTCCTGCATGCCGTTGGCCTTCCTGCTGTTCGCGCTGACGAGGCGTTTGATCCCGGCAGACGAGGCCTCCTGTGAGGAAGACTTGTTCGCGGCAAGAGAAGATCTCGGCTGCCCCCGCTGCAGAGACGTATCCATTGATCGAGAAACTGCAGCTCCGTCACGGGCGGGTCCACTGCACGCCTTTCTATCCTCGGGGGACTCGGTCGATGACTCATCCTGCTCAACTGGCAAGTCACTTAGCTTCAGGCAGTGCAACTTCCATCTTTCAATATCTTCAGCAGGGGCAGGCCACCGACTTTCTTCCGATGTTCGCTCAACAGCCAGCGCCATTCACGAAACTTGGCAGGGATGCTCAAAGCCTGCCGAACCTTCATCATGTCCGGGTCGAGGACGAGCTTCTTTCGGATGGCATCATCTGCAAGCAGAAGACAAAAGTTGGTCAGACACACGACATGAAAAATTCCATGGCAACTGTAGCAGATCATAGGGATGCAACTTACCATCACAGTAGGTGAGGGAATGAGCGGACCGTCGCCAACCTCCCCTACCCGTCTGCCGCTGACTTCCAACATGTCCGTGCTCCACACGTGATCGCCTTGACTCATACTGTTCCTAGTTTGTGACACAAAAAGAAGAAGGAATTGAAGCAGTTTGGATCAACCACAAATAAGCCGACCCAAACTGCCACCTGCTCCAGCAGCAGGCCAGCTTGCCTCCAGCCCAGTTATAGCTGGACAACCCAAGTCAAAGACCAGTTGGCAAGTCAAAAGCCTCCTCCACTCAGGAGCCCAAATCCAAGGAGGAAGCCCAGTTACAGCTGGAAAGCCCAACAGACAATTCACATCTCCTACATGCCACCACGCGCCATGCAGAAGCTGGGGGGCATTTGTGGGAACCAATTAAATCAAAACCCTAGGTCAAATAATTCCTTCCATTTGGGGATTATTTGACCTAATTGGGAATTACTCAACCTAATTGGGAGTTACTCAATTTAATTGGGAGTTACCCAATTAAATTGAGAATTACCTAATTAAGTTGGGAATTGATTTGATTCCTACCCCAATTCCCAATTAAATGAGGAGTTACCTAATTAGATTGGGATTTGATCTGATACCTACCACGATTAGGGATTTGATTTACCCAAATAAATCAAATCCCTAATTAATCAAATCAATGCCAAATCAGGGAGGAATAATTCCTTACCAACTACGGAATTATTCCTCTGAAACCCTAATCTCCGAGACCATTATAAATACTTGGCTACGCACAAAGGTCAAGGTACGTCTAAATTCCTACTGAAACTCTGCAGAAATTATTTCTCACAAACCCTAGCCACCACTTTCTTTCTCTCTCTGACACAAGGCTCCGGCCACCACACACGGCTCCGGCCACCCGGTTTTCCTTGAAATACCCTACCTAACTTAGGCATCGGAGGGCCTTTGGCCAACACCCCCCGGGTGTGGTCCTTTTACCCCGATTTGTTTTGCAGGGAGAAAGAGAAGTGGAGAAGACGAAGGAATCTTAGACGAATATTCCCGTGAGGAAATTTGTACAAACAGCTTCAATTACAATGGTTCAAATGAAAACCATTGTGGAAAGTTATGAAATAAAATTAGAAAACCACATACCCTAAACCACAATGCTTAAAAACCCCTTTTAACAACGGTTACGTAACAACCGTTGTGGAAGAAACAACTACAACGGTTTCGGAGCCAACCATTGTAATTTCAGCGTTGTCTTTTTGACTATTTGTAGTAGTGATACTTCAGTTGTATCAGACTTCACTGACAAATAATGCATAACAAGTGGATGTCTCATCAAATAGAACTTTGCAACTAAGGAGCTGGAAATTAAATGAAACCAGGATGGGAAAATCTATTTCTTCAATCACAGAAGCATTTAATGGGTAAATTGAACAAACAACAAATAGGTTAATGGGCTGAGGTATAATTTCTTCATTCATCGTTAGCCACCCTTAAGAAGAAGAAATACATTAATCCCCAACCCTCCCCTTCCTCAAATTTCTTTCCTTCCATGCCTTGAATCCTATCCCTATTCATGCACCCATGACATGATCAATCACAGAGCAGTATCAACAAGCTACAAAACAAGTCTCCGCATTACCCATTCAAACCATGCTCGAATGACACCCAAAAACAGAGTGATGTTAAAACAATTCTTTCTGAGCCACAAAACATGACGAAGAAGTAACCAGGCTAGATCACAGGCAAAAAGTACTTTATAATGAGAGTAGCAGAGTCACTGCTCTGTCGAAGAGCTCTGTACTAAAAAACCATCATATGATGACAATCAAAGTGAGGATTTGCAAGGTTTGTCATGTCATGTAGTAATACGAGTCCATCTAACACATCTACCTAGTGAATAAAACAATATACATTCCAACCTTAAATATGAATGGAATTGATTTCATTTAGATTTGAAACTCTGCACCATCTTACAAAGTAAAAACCTATATTTTCACATAAGAGGACTAGTAAACATCTACAAAAAGTAAAGACCTTGTTGCACCACATATGCACTTGTTTATTTGAATTGAACCTAGAAAGAAACCTCACCCATAATTTGTTAGCAATACCTATAATACCCAATTAACACACAAATCAAGACCACAAATCAATCTGTCCAAGAAAATCATGAACAAAGTGAATTCCCAAGTCATAAGTCCACACTGAACTCAATTCACAAACATAATGACATTTACCTCATATATATGCCTTCCCCCTTAAACCCTCAATTGCAAGCTTGAGTCAGTAATATTTGATCTTCAAATGGTCAACTTTATCCAACGAAATGCTAGCACTGAGATACTCGATGAATTTGACGGTCAAGATTCCGCAAGAGGTACTGTCGGGCCAATAACTTTAGAAATTAGAACTGCAGTTATGTACAATATCGATAAACCGCACTAAATTCACAAAGCTTACGCATCCCGTTGTTGTGGAACATCTCCAATGCTGCAAACTGTGAATGGCGTAAACGTCGACATCTTCATCCCCTTTTGCTTAACCTCTTGAACCTCAGAAGTGTCATAAAAGTGCACCTCGTATAGTACCCGTGGCAGCGTATCGCTAATCGGGTGCAGATATTTAACCAGCTTCGAAGTGGAGGTAAAAGCAATGTAGGAGTCATACGCAGTTGCAGTATGTCTGACGAAGTCAATTTCGATTGCAACCCAGTGAGACCCTTGAAGATTATATAGAAAATAGACCTTCCAGACTTTTGTCCAAGCTTGCCCATATCCGTGTTGCCACGTACCGTGCACATAGTGATGTATATTGTTCAGGTTGCTGGGCGGAAGGTCAACGGTGTTTGAAGCAGCTACCTTCTTTGATCCTCGTTTCTTGGTAGGCCCTTTGACAGGCTTTAGAAATTGTTGCAAACATTGAAATGTAAGCATATTACTGAATGACAACCGGAAGCAAATGAGGTAGTGAATGTAACATGGTAACATGTTTACCTGCAAGCAATAATCTGCGATTGTCCAGTGAACTCCAAATACCAAAGGATGAGAGAGTTTCCTTTTCCGGATGAGAAAGGTTTCCATGTCAAGGTGTTGGAAGTTGACGTATATAATATGAGCAAAATTTCATACAAATGTACACTTAACAAAGGTGATAAAACAATTTAATTATCATAATGAAGTAGAGCTTTGTGTATTCTTACCCTTGAGCCAATCCATTCTATAGCATCGATCAGTTTGTAGAAAAACTCAGGGCCCATTGAACATGATTCCAGCTGCACCTCCGCACTACAATAGGCAAACTTGCAACGATGAATTTTGTACTCATCTCATAATTATGACTTGGTAAATGATGACAAATACACACATGTATATTAAAGGAAACTCTACATTTTCTCATTGCTATATGACTACATACTACAATAACATGAAGATTGGATTTCAAAGGTAAAGAATCCTAACCTAATATCGTTTTTCCAGGTAGTGCAAAACTCTATTACTGCCTTCACATCTTCAATGGGCAAGGGTTTTGTTGGATTAAAACATGGTGGGGTTGCAGCCGCATCCGACACAGTCGTCGTCCTTTTCTTCCTCAAAGGATCAATAAATGGACTCAACAATGTCTGCACCAGGCACTTCTTTCTACACCCTTTACCTTCCACCTCTTGTTTTTCAACACTCGCACTACCTTCTTTATCACCAGCCACACTAACTTTGGGTATGCTTGGAGGATTCATCAGACCTCCCGACAGCATACTGTCGGTTATTTCCCAATCTTCTAACAAAAACAACAGTCTTTTGCAGATTTCGTTGCACCCGGCCACATCTTCCGGGGTAGGCAGCTTCTCGAATTCTGCTTGCTCAGCTGCTTCATGCACTTGTATGTGAGGAACTGAAGTGACCATTTCTGCCTCTTGGACTACCATGGATGCGAAGGGTTCGGCTCCATCACCAGGCACTTGTGCTTCCATTGCTGCCGGTTCTATAGGCGGACTAACATATTCATGTAATGGCGACATGTCATTGTTGCCTCCTTCATTCATATGAGGACTACCGAGTTCCTCATGTCCTTCCCCACCTTCATTCAACCCACCAGAACGTTTTTTCTGCTCCTCTATCTCTAACTTAAAATAGTGTTCGATTGAAGCGAGAGTCTTGCCGAAATCCTCCATACACTTTTTATTTTTTGCAGACTCCTTATGTACCATTTCTTCCAAGGCATGCACTCTGTTTTGAAGCGCTTGATTTGAACTGGCTAAATTGGCCAATTCATCCTTTTTTCCTTTAAAAGTCACGCTTCAAAGTGCGCAACTCAGTGGACGGGACTTTACCCTGCATTCAGTTATAATGCAACTGTTACAATATTTCCAAAATAAAACCCAAATACAGCTACTATTTTCCTATTGTGTTATGATGTATATATTGGAAAAAGGTAATGCTGCCAAACAACTCAACAATTTCTTCAGTCTCGTCAACATTGTCACCCCAAGTCCAATAGGGCTGCTGCTTGTCAATTACAGTTGGCCGGAGAAGTTGCACATCAACCTGCAATTTACACATACAATAGACATATCAGTAAGCTTATTATATTTTCATATGCCTAACATTATCATTAAAAACATAACTAACCTCACGGTTCTCGAATACTTGGCTCATTAGCTCATGAAAACGACCCGAAGTATTGCTCCTCCAATGTAGTATACGAGGGATGTAGGCATTCTCTTCGTGCACAACGAAATGCAGTGCAGCCAATGCTGGAAAGACCTCATAAGCCCAAATCTGGTTTGAAGAAGAAAACGTCACTCACTGTAAACAAATGAAATTTAACTTAAACATGCATGGAAATTTGCTCACCTGAAGTGCAAAGGCAAAACCTTTGATGTGGTACTCTCTTGGTCTACCAGTTGCCATTGTCTTTTCTTTCTTTTTAGACTTTTTTGTTTTGGCAGCATTTTTGGGCACTTGTACTCGTTGGTAATCAGCACAAAGTGCCCTCAAAAGTGATGCATTTGTCTTCGCATAAGACACAGAACCCCATGGATACTTCACAAACTCTTCAACGTCTTCCGCCAACTTCAAATACCGCATGTCAATGTGGACATGTTTTTCACAACCCAACAACACAAAAACAACAAAGTATACCAATCCAAGCTTGAATACATTGTCCTCATCAGAACAATCGACGAAGGCTTTTTCTATTTCCAAAAGGTTGACAATTTTATCATTGCAAAAGTACTTCCTTTTCAATGAGCAGTTCTCATTAGTGGCAATCGGAATGAAAGGAAGGTTTCCAAACCTTAGCCCTGTCACGACGCAAAATTGATGCGCCGTGAATTGGATCACCTTATTGCCAATAATGAATTTTATCCCGTTCACTTGGGAAACTGTCTTTGGATCAGCCTTCCTCAACAACAAACTGTGGACCATTGGCGAAGTCCTCTTCAAACCTTCGTAGCTGTTGCGAACTGAATTTGTCCTTTATGGTACTGATTGCGGTCTTTGTATGGGAAAGGGACAACGCCTTTCCCTGGAACTTTTCTTCCTCAGCAATCATCAACTTAATTGGAGAAACCATATTTCCCTGCACGCCAATATTATACAAATAATTTCAGGTCGTTGAAATCTAGACAATAACAAGCAATAAACAAACAATACACAGGCATAGTTGGTTAATAGACAGGAGATATATCAGTCACACACGTACAATATAGAGAAAAGATGGAACCATATCACAGATATTAACAAAAGAGAGAACCATATCACAGATACATATTGCCAAATCCCAAAGGAACATATGACCAAACAAGATCAGGAAAAATAAGAAGAAACGTACAAAGGGCGAAAAACAAAGAATAAAGACAGAAGTCGGTATTTTATAAGCAAGAAAACTCTCCTCGATTATGTTGTTTAGCTAAACAAAGTAGAAATAGGAAGGAAAATGTCAGTGTTCCCTCATTTACAAGTAACTCATCTCCTATGTCACACAATGTACAACATTTTAAATGAAGAAATCAGTATTATAGATTATTAAGCGAAAAATAAACAAAAAATACAGAGCATAAACAAAAACACAGCTATTTACAACTCACCTACTAATTCAACGGCTCAAAGCCAGTTAGAAAATTGTCGTATCCAAAGAAATTGTGCTGGTTATAACTCTTATATAAGTTACAATTGTTCAGTAAGCCAGTTGAGGTTAGCTGTAACTATAATAGGATAGGTGCAATGTAATTGAACAAATCAGAATATCTAATTTCCTAGCACATCTTATCTCTATAACCACTCTGTCAAAATTTGTGCTCAGAATGGGGTCTTCTTGGACACAAAGGCTAATAACTAGCTGCTAGCAATACCAATATCCTATGATCAAAGAGTAGCTGTTGAGAATGTATGCATGTCGTTTTTCTATTATAAATCAATTGTTCAAAAATATTGCATTAAAATTCATAATTAAGCTCACATATTAAAAAACAAAACAAAACAAACTCAGCACTTATCAAGAGCCTATTATTATATCATTGTATTCAAAGAGCCTATTACCCCACTATTGTATTCAAACGAGCATTTTTATATCTAAAAGAACATTTTGCTCTGCAAAGTTGTGTATTTAAGGAGCCTATTGCTCTGCACTTGAAGTTTTTTATGCCACTTTTCAGCACAGGTCATGCACTCTTCAAACCAGCTTGACCAAACAAATAGATTATAGAACCATATAATCAGAAGAGAAAATAAGCATGATACAATGATGTACCTCCACAAAAACCGCAAGAATGAAATACCCATTTATTTACTTTAACACTAACCAAAATCATAGATATGAAAACCAATCTCAAAACCATATCAGATGACCCAAAACAAAAACCCATCACCCAATCCTTAGCTAAAATCACAATCACAATAAAGAAAAAAAAATTAGGGTAATCTGAAGCCCATATCAGATATCTCATCAATTCCAAACCCTAGACCCTAGAGAAACCCCTAAACCAATTTCATACAAACCCATAAACCCTAAACCAATTTCATACAAATCCATACACCATAAACCAAATTCACAAAAACCCCAAATTTCTAAGAAAAGGAAGATGAACAGTACCTCGTGGATGTGAACTGTGGAGTTAAGCTTGGATGGCTGAGGGAGGAAGATGACTGCGTCAGAAAGAGAGAGAGTTACACGAGGGAGAGAGCTGCATAAGAGAGCTGAGCGACAGAGAGAGATGGGCTGAAGAGAGAGACAGAGCCAAGAGAGTTGAGAGAGAACCCAATTTCTGAAAAAGTGATATTGGTGCAATCAGTCGACAATAAAGATATATTTATAGGTGGTAATTTAATTTTTTTTGGGGAGAGGTGGTATTTTCACAAAAAAAAATTATGAAATGGGTGGTATTTTGAGCCATTTCCCTATAATTTTCTGGGATGTATTCAACGTTCCAATAAATTGATTTATTATTGCATGCCATCGGATGACTAGCGATAAGCTTTAGAAGTCCTTTTCTTTTGGTCAAATATATTGCATGCTTACAGAAGCAAGGTAATCTTCACATTGAGTGTGGCAAGTTCATGCTTCAAGCTAAAGTTTCCTCTAAACGAATGGAAAGCTATTGAAACTAGGCAACCTAGGTCATTGATTCACTTTCCTAGAAAGTCCTGTAAAACAATTGTTCTTGCGACCCTATATAGCGACTATTGAGTTTAATATTAACAATAAAGTAAATACAATTTAGTAAGGTCATATGACAATGACCATTGAATTGGATGATGCTATTCCATTGCATCCTTCGTTTTCAACTCAGTTTTACAGGTTTTTGGCAAGTAAACCTAGTAAATGAAGTTATTTGAGCTTCAATGAGGCAGATCAGAGGACATACTAGGCACAGTATATATATGCATGCATGAAATGCACCCTATTTCGTGAATTTTTCTGTTAGAGAACTTCTAATTTCCACTCCTGTTGATCGCAACATTAGAGCCCACAAGTAATATAAACATAAAGCTCACCTCATTCCAAAAGCTTCAAAAAAAGCGAAGTAACCAATATCTTAAAAGAGTTTTATCATACAATTAGAACACATCTGTCTAGGGAAAACTCTTACTTTTGTGCGGTCCTATATTGGAAAAAATATTTCTATTTGTTCTACGCTCACAAGCAATGTCAAATCCACAATGATCTATCTATACACTAAACCACTGAGACGTTTGTTTGTGCAAATAATCTCACGGGAGAATATTCGCTTCTAGATCCTTCAACCTTCGATCTTCCTTCTCTCTCTTCCTCGATTCCTGTAAAACAGATTGGAGTAAATAGACCACACCCGGGGGGGTGTTGGCCAAAGGCCCTCCGATGCCTAAGTTAGTTCGAGTGTTTGTAGAAAAACAATAGCTAAGCAAATGGTACGGAGTAGTGTTTATGTAGGGTGTGAACCAGGCGGCCGGAGCAGTGTGTGGTGGCCGAAGTCGTGTGGAGAAAATATGGAGAGTGAAGAGGGAGAAAGAGCTTCGGGTATTTTTCTCGGGTATAAGGAGTAGATTTAGATGTACCTTGAATGATGAATGAAGTCATCTATTTATAGAAGCCTCGGGGCTAGGGTTTCGTAGAGAATATGCTGTTTATTCTCTACCCAAATTCGTAGGGATCAAGTCGGACTGAGACAATATCTGATTTAATGATATTATCTCTTTTTATGGAGATAATATCTGAATTAAATGATATTATCTCTTTTTATGAAGATAATGTCTGAGATAATGACATTATCTTCTCTTTATTAAGATAATATCTTAATTAATGATATTATCTTATTAAATAAAGATAATATCATTTAATTCAGATATTATCCCAATTAATTAATTGGCCAGATAAACTGGTTCAATTAATTAATTAAAAGAGATAATCTTCTTTTCCACGTGACGTGCTATGATTGGAGACGAAAATATCTGCTCCCACAAATGCCCCCCAACTTCTGCGTGACGCTTGTCTGGCATGTAGGAGATGAAATTATTTTTTTCGGGCTCTCCAACTGAGTCTGGGCTTTCTTCTGTGAGTTGGACTCCTTTTTCAGATTGGATTCTCAATTGGTGTAGGCTTCTGACTGTTGTTGGAGTTGGATTCCCAGTAGGAAAGAGCTTGAGATTCCTTCTTGACCCGGGTTGTCCAACTTGTATAAATACAGGGCTTCTCTTCACTCTTTCTTACATCGCAAACTTAACTTCTCTACTTTCTAGCTTGAGAAAGATCTTGGAGAATTTTGTACTGCTTGTCGAAGAGAGGAGTTGCCGTGCATCCCAAAGTAAGTCGAGCACATAAATTTTTCTTCGTCTTCTCTTTTTCAAGGCGAGGACCAGTTGGGTGGGACCAGGTTGGTTGTCGTCGTGACTGGCGGCCAAAGACGATTGGAACGGCGGTGGCCGCTGGCGGCTGTTGAGCGACGATCAAGAGGAAGTTGGTGGACTGCCCCCTACTAAGGATGTCAATAGATGGAAGCAGGATAGATGGAAGCAGGATGGTTCGAGCCTTGATGATTTGCCTGTTGGACATGAGGAGTGTTTTGCTAAACTCCCTTAAAAGAGGAAGGCTGATGTCAGTCTTCGAGAGCTCAAGCCTGATGAGTTTGGAGATCGTGATATGCTCCGTAAAGTAGTCCGTGCACGATCTAGCTCACTTGTTGAGAGGCAAAGAGATGCGGATGCTCCTTTTCGAAATTTGAGTCGTTTGTACCAGTCGAAGATTGGAAGTCGATCTGGGCAGTCTGCTCATCCATTCAACCATCATGTTTCAACTGTTGAGTCACGAGCAGTCAAGCATGGAGTGGATTCATAGTCGCCAATTCCTTTGGAAGTGAGGTTGACAGAGGCTAAGAAAGCAAGAGAGTCATTTGCCTGGGCGAAGGGCTCTTCTGCAACGTCAGCAGCTGATCCCAAGGTGGACAAGTCCACCCCTGCAGAGGATGCAGGCGTGTCTGATCTGCTCAAGACGAACTTTCTGTCAAGTCCATCCACTTGTGCTGAGCTGGTTCATCAAATCCGTCAGGCTGGCGATCTTGGTACTTTCCCAAGTCTTTCCTTGGAAAAACAAAAGGAAGCAACATTTCTTCTCCTTCAAAAAGGAGGTGGGGGCAGACGTGGAGGATCAGGCAAGTGGAGCTGCTGAGAGTGTGGCTGATCAGACGGACGCTGAAGTGGCTGCAGATCAGGGATCTCCTGCTGGCGTCTCGGAGTAGATGAAGACTTCCTTATTTCTTTTCAGCTTTTGTAGTCTGCTTTCTCATTTAGAATAATTGGTCTTGCTTGACCGTCTTTTTTGTTGAACTTTGGCCAGTTGGTCGCTTTACTAAGGAAATTTCAGTTATTTTTTCAACTTCAATTTGCATAGTGTCTTGTGAACTGCTTGAGTGTTTCCGGGTTGGGGCATGTTTTGCCTACGTCCGGGGACGTGTCGATGTGTGTGACCCGTTTGGCCTACGTCCGGAGACGTGTCGATGATAATGGCTCGTTTGGCCTACGTTTAGAGACATGTCGTTGTGTGACCCGTTTGGCCTACGTCCGGAGACGTGTCGATGACAGTGGCCCGTTTGGCCTACGTCCGAGGACGCGTCGATGTGTGTGACCCGTTTGGCCTACGTCCGGAGACGTGTCGAAGATAGTTGCCCGTTTGGCCTACGTCCGGGGACGTGTCAATGTGTGTGACCCATTTGGCCTACGTCTGGAGACGTGTCGATGATAGAGGCCTGTTTGGCCTACGTTCAGAGACGTGTCGATGAGAGTGGCCCGTTTGGCCTACGTCCAGAGACGTGTCGTTGAGAGTGGCCCGTTTGGCCTACGTCCGGAAACGTGTCGATTGCTTTTGTGAATATTTCATTGGAAAGAAAAGCTTGAACTTGTATTGATGTCTGTGTGACTACATTGCCTTATTGAACAAAAAAGATGAGTGCATGAGTAACATCAAAAGTAACTTGTCTTCAATGGAGGTGAGGAAGGCTTGGTCGCCTGCTTAGAGCCGAGCTGATAGGTGAAGAGCTTCATGGATAGTACCCTTGGAGGTGATGGGTATTTCATTGTCTTAGAACTTCCTTCCATTGAAAGATGATGAAAGGTTTGTCTTCCACAACTTGGTAGCTAGTGACGGCTTAGGAGACAGAAGTCGCCTGCTTGATCTTTCTCTTTTGCCCCCTGGTGGTCAATCTGGGCTTTTGGAGTCAGCTAGGATTGTGTTGATCCATATGACCTTTTTCGTGGAGGTTCATCGTTAGCTGCGTCACAATCCTTGATTTGCTGGATAGCCCTCCTTGCGATGAATTCCGTGCAATGGCGTCTCTGACTAGATCTTCAAGGTGCCTTTTCCAGGCGAAGCAGTCGTTTGTGTAATGACCATGCCCTTCATGGAATGTGCAGTATCTACTGGTATCCTTCTTGGTTGGGTTTCCCTTTAAAGGCGATGGTTTCTTCAACCAAGGCATGTCTTTTACTTGGGCCAAGATCTGGTGTATCGGGTTAGTGAACTTGGTGTAGCTCTCCGCTGCTGAAGCACCTTCATGAGGCTGTGATCTGCGCTTGCCGTTCTCTTGGCTTGCCTGCTTAGCTACTTGATCAGCCTTCTTCGTGGCGATCCGGTCGTCGTCCCATAATGCGTAGCGCTCTGCTATAGCGAAGACTTCTACCAGTGTTTGGCGAGGATAGATGGTCAGCTCGCGATACAGCTCACATTCAGTTGGCAACCCCCTCTTGAAGGCAGAGAACACAATTTGGTCATCACATCCTACAATGTTTGCCCTCTCCGCTTTGAACCTCTTGATGTAGTCTCGCAGGGATTCATTGGACTTCTTGTGCAGGTTGAACAGATGGTCAGGATTCTTCTTGATTGACCGATAAGAAGTGTATTCTTTAGTGAAGACATAAGCAAGCTCCTTGAAGCTGCTAATCGACCCGGATGGCAGGGTGTGGAACCAGTCCTGAGCTGCTCCTTGCAAAGTCATTGCAAACACCTTGCACATTAGCGCGTCTTTGGCTTTGTAGAGGATCATAAGGCTCTTAAAATGCTTCAGATGGCTTTCGGGATCGGAATCGCCTTTGAAGCATGTAAAAGAGGGCGTTGAGAATCGTTTCGGGGGAGCAGCCTGCTCAATTTCGACGGTGAAAGGTGTTGAGTTTGCTCGGTCTACCTCAACACGTAGTGCATCTTCGAAATTTCCACCAATCTTTAAGTCTCGAAGTCGGTTATTCACAAGCTTCTCAACGTCTTCCGCACACATGGCTAGTCGGTCACGTTGATGACCTTTACGATTTGGGCGAGATCGAGTAATTTCCTCGTTGGTTTGCAAGGGTTGATCTTCTCGGTTGCGCTGCCTTGGCGGCGTGTTGGTGGACCGTGCTTGCGAGGGATTTTCTGTAACTTGGCGATGAGAATTGGTTCTTTGAGAGCGATTAGTGGAGTGCCTTTCTTCACGGTCCTCATTGTGCGGGTTACCAAGTTGACCTCCTTGGGGGCCTAGCCTTTCGTGAATATTTCTCTGCGAGCGGGTAGCGGAGCGCCTCTCTTCATGATCCTCATTGCGGCGATTGTCAGTTTGACCTCCTTGGGAACCTAGCCTTTCATGAACATTTCCCTGCGGGCCCAGGCAAGCGCAAACGTCAAGTCGTGGGCCGAGTCTTTCTCCCACGTTGCTTTGTGTGTGGCTTGCAGATGCTTGTGACATGCCGGCAAGCTGATCACGTTGTTGTCCCTCTCCTTGTCTGCCCATTCCTGCTCGACCTGCTTGGTACCCATCGAGCTGCCGATAGGTGTGTTCATCCATCATTCTCTCTTCGCCCGGTTGTCCAAGGTCAAGGTTTTGAACCAAGTTTATTTGGTGGAGGAGCTGCCTCATCAAATTGGTTTGGTCGTCCATCCTCTGAGCTAGCTGGTCAACTCTCATATTAAGATCTGCTTGACTTCGTGGATCGGGAGGAGAGAAGTGTGTGGAGCCCAATTGCACATGGGCTAGGGTTTCATTGGATCTGTATGTAGGAGCATGCGTCGAGCGTGGAGGCAATGGAGGGAATGCTTGAAGTTGCTCCAAGACCAGGCCTAAGTGAGTGGTGGTAACGAGCCCACCTTGATGGGAGGTTCCACCATGCTCAGTGGCGGTGCCACGGAGGTTGCTAGATCCGACTGCGGGTCTGGTAGGTGGCACGGTGGTGAGAGGTGGTGGTGCCACCATGTCGATCGCGGGATCGTGGGTGGAGTGGCTTTGGGTCGTCGCGGATTTAGCCATCACGGCGGTTTTGCTCCTCGTGCACTTGCTTCCAACCATGGTTGTTTGGAAGGCTTCGGTGGATTGGACAATAGGAGGAATGAATTCCTTGAGCACGCGTTGAGTATAACTCGTGCTCTCAATGAAAGCACCAAATGTTTGTGCAAATAATCTCACGGGAGAATATTCGCTTCTAGATCCTTCAACCTTCGATCTTCCTTCTCTCTCTTCCTCGATTCCTGTAAAACAGATTGGAGTAAATAGACCACACCTGGGGGGTGTTGGCCAAAGGCCCTCCGATGCCTAAGTTAGTTCGAGTGTTTGTAGAAAAACAATAGCTAAGCAAAGGGTACGGAGTAGTGTTTATGTAGGGTGTGAACCGGGCGGCCGGAGCCGTGTGTGGTGGCCGAAGCCGTGTGGAGAAAATATGGAGAGTGGAGAGGGAGAAAGAGCTTCGGGTACAATGACAAGTCCAATGCAATGCAAAGTCATCCTTAACTTATTTTCTCAAGAGGCAAAAATTAGCAAGGGAGATCATATATCAGAGTAAATTAGTCATCTATTAGAATATAGAAATAACACTGTCTAGTTCATGATCTACTAAAAATTATCAGTGATACTTAGAAGAACTGGTATGCAATTAGAAGACTAACCAATTATTAGTGATTAGTTATCACACAACAGTTTCAACCAAAAAAAGAGTAATCATAAAACAGTGTTCTTATAAGCACTTAATTTCCATAAAAAGAACTACCTAAGATCACATACTTTACACATAAAAGAGATGCTTGCCCTTTTGTTTGAACAAAGGGGAGATGCCTACCTGAATTGAACGGAATTATGTGATATTATCCACTCAGTCATGAACAAAGTAAATAATATCATGAATTTTTAGTAGAAGCAGAATTTTGCAATGAAAATCACATTTCTCCAATCCTCAACATAATTTTTTTTTTGTCTCCAGTTATAATTCCTCCCAAACCGTTTATTTTCAACGTATATACAATTTTATTTATTTTTATATGAAACCTCAACAAATTTTTCAGACCCTTCTTGATGCCTTAAACTCAGCCATGTTGAGAAAGCAAAATAACTTAATGACGCGTCAAACACTTCAATAGAATAAAGATGCACATGAGGTACCGAGTCTATAGGAATTTAACCTAACGCCCCGATACCAAGTTAACAGGACCTGACCCAAATTCCACTTTGGAATTTGAGCCGAATCACGTGCGTGTCCAACACCTGGCAGGTGCTGGGCACGCTTGACCAAATTACCCTTCTAACTTTGACTCAAACTTCTTTTAAGGTTTGACTTTTGTAGAAAATTCAGGCAAAGTCTCCCTTGTAATTCGCTCTTTTCCCAATATTTTCACTTGTACAACAAGCAATTTAAATATCCACAACCGTTCAACATGCACAAAAATAGAATTCATGCAACCGAACATCAAATCCATTAGGCATTAGGCCTCCTTAAATCAAATAAATCAATCTGCCAACTGAAATTGATCCCAACTTTTAAAACAACATAAATACATTAACATATTTCAAAATAACTTAATTGAACAGCTTTTCAATCACTTGGTCTCACGGCTGCACCTAGCAACTCTAGGTTACCTACGTACCCTTAACAAGAGATGAAGCCATACATATTTCTTTCTCTTTGTTTTATTGACAATGGAGTTACATTGTGACAACAAGTCAGCTATCAATATTGCTCATAATCCAGTTCAACATGATTGAACCAAACATATTGTTGAAGTGGATAGACATTTCATCAAAGAAAAAATTGAGAACAAGATCATCAATCTACCCTTTGTAAAATTAGAAGATCAATTGGCAGATGTCTTAACAAAAGCTGTCTGTGCAAGAGTGTTTTAAGATTTAATCTTGGCCATAGAAACCCTAAACTTAATTTAATCTTGATCTTCCACTCAATTTAATTGATCTTAGCCATTTGTCTAATTAAACTGTGTGCTTGTGTATCTAAAGGTTCTTAAATCACTATCCTAAGATTTAATCTTGGCCATACAATTTTAATTAATCCTAACTTTTTTTGGGTACAATCCTAATCATTTTTTAATTTCATAATTCTATATATATGCACAGATAAATGATAAGTAAATTGACCCACTAGTTGCAAAGGACCCACTAGCATAGTGGTTTGGAGCAATTGCTCCTCCAAAAACGCTCATGTGTTCGAGTCCTAGCATCCATGTGGTGTGTGTGTGTTTAATATATTATCTTCCCTCTCAATAGGAAAGGTATTCAATAAAAAATATTTCAACCAGTTAAATGTACACTTTATTTGCACCTTGTTGTTCGGTTATAGTGTGGTCCCCTATCTTTTGTAAATCTTTAAATTTAAAGAGTAATACTATGCTTATCACATTTTTTTTAACACATTCCGTAAAGTTATAAAGTATTAGGCCAAAGCTAAAGCTCATCTGTCATTTCAAGCCAATCTTTGTTTTTGAAGCACAACCCGATGAACTGTTTTTTTTATTTTTTATCACATGTGAATGGATAGATGCTATATCATGAAAAAACAACATCTCATGTCAATGTCGCATGTTTTGTCCAAGTCTAAGGGGGTGTATTCAATTGAGTTTTTAAAAGATTATTTTGGGATAAATAAGTCTTGTGGTATTCAATTAAGACTTTTAAATAATCTAAATAAGTCTTGTGGTATTCCATTAAGACTATTAGGATTTTTTAAAGAGTGTCAAAATTTTGTGGTATTCAATCAAGACTTTAAACAAGTAACAAAAAGTCTTATGGTATTCAAAAACTTGTTAATTTCGAAGGATTTTTTCAAATGCGAAATTGTGTGAGACTTTTTAGTGAGATGTATACCTATCTCAAATCCCACCCTAACCCATGAGACTTCTTTTTTTCACGTGAGATTGTTTTTTGTGCTCATCCGCTTCGCCTTCTCTCAAAGCCAACTTCAACACCCAAAGCTTCACCGCCACCAGCCATCTTTGCAACTCTACCTAAAAACCCACTTCACCTTCTTTGCATATAGCCATGATTCATGTTGTTTACTCATAGGAGGTTTGGAAGAATTTCAAGGGAAGTAACTTTTCGTCTTTTCTTTCCTTTTCCCCTTTTTTCAGGGGGAATGGTATACAGTTCAGCCAAAGCATATTGTTACTCTATACATGTCATTTTCTTTATGCAATTAGCAATTTTTTTTTTTTTTTTTTTTTTTTTTTTTTTTTTTTTTTTTTTTTGATTCAATTGAAACAATAAATCCTATCCAGACGAACAGAGACTAGAAATTCACACACAAGATGACCAACGAGAAATACTTTTTTTTTTTTTTTTTTTGCCTCAGTCAACATGGATAGAAGAGAAAAGAAGGTGGTAGAAGATAGAAGAGAAAATACTACCACCAAAAAATACATAAGGCAGAAACTCCACTTGCATAGAACCACATGATATCTCATAACAATAACAGTTCATAAGGTAACACAAGCAAGTTCCTTTTATACTATTTGACTGGAGTTACCAGCTGTGCAGCAGGCCAGCGTTAAGATGGTAAAACCAGCAGCCTCCCCTGTTCTGGGTTCACTATATTTGTCGGGCTAGGTATTTAAAACGTTTCAAATTTTGGTTTGGGCGGCTATGGCCCTATTTAGTCAGACCCAAATATAGATCCTATGATATAAATCCATGTGGTCCTTTCAAATCTTATAAAATCTTATGATATAATCTTTAAAATCCAAAAGTTACAAATCTTGATTATACAAAATTATCAATAAAATCTTATAAGTCATTACATTTTGATTAAATCCGCTGGATTTTTTAATTTTTAAATAGTCTTTTAAAATCTCAATTAAACACACCTCCCTAAGACTTCGCCTCTCTTTTAGAAACTGTTTCAACTCTCTCTTTATGATGAGATTAGGGTTAGAGAATGACTAGAGCAAGGCCGGACTGGATTGGACTGGTTGCGACGGACCAAACTTTCTGTCTGTTGTTGGGTGCTATACTTAACTTTGGACTAGACTAAAAAACATAATAATTTTGAATTTTATAATTTCTTTATCAGATTTTTTCACTATATTTTCAAAAGAATAACAAATGAAATTAACGCACAAACAAAACCCAATATATGAATGGGTTCCAAATCAAGATACACAATTCCAAAAAAAGAAAAGAAAAAAGAAGAAGATATGAATGGGTTCCAAATCACATCTGAACATTTTCAACAAAAGAATCAAAAGAAAAATTAAAGCATGGATGAGAGAAACATGTGCCAAAGAAAAGAGAATTTAAGAAAACCAAGATCATACTTTTTAATTTTATTTTTTAATTTTATGAAACAAGATCAGAATTTTTTACATATGAGATATATGAGACTTCTCAAATCAAGATAAATGTTTTTAAAAACAAACTAAAAAGCCATAGCTTTCGACATCTCACCAACTAAATCAAGATATCAATCATTAGAATATCTCAATATTTACCAATAAAATCAAAATCAAAATTTCAGAAAGCAATTCAAATCTTGGTTCATCCAAATCAACGAGTGGAGAAGAGAAAAGAGAAGAGAGGATAGATGAGAGAAGAGGAGAAAAAAGAAAAAGGAAAGCATAGAAGAGAAGAGAAGAGACCAGGAAGAAGCGCTAAGGGAGACGAAAGCTCACACATAGAAATCTAACAGTTGGTATCAGAGAACATGGTTACTCACACATATTGAGATCATTTTTGAAGCATGCGTATTGCGATTTAAAATTTTGATGCCATGACTGTTTTGGTTATATTTAAAATTTTCATGACAGTTTTAAACATGTTTTCTAAATACTGCGAATATTAAAGAATATGGAAAAAAACATGTTTAAATTGATTTTTCATATCTTCAAAACTTTAAACTTGTTTTTGACCTACTAGATGACCTTAAAATGCTAAAAATGGCCTTATGTCACAGCAAAGCATTGAGTTCTGTTAGTTACGCCATTCCTTATTAGGAAAGGTGTAATGGATAGAAAACAGACACCGAAAACCCCTAAAACACTATTCACCACAGAAAATACTATTCACGACAATTTTAGGGTTTTATCTTATATTTTGTTTTTGTTTGGTTATTTTCTATGCTAGATAGGAACTGGTTTATGTTCTGAGAATCAAAAAAAAATTCATAACAAAACCAAACCTAAATACTCTAACTCTAAAAAAATAACCTAAAATTGCATCATACCTAAATTACTTGATAAGTTTCTTCAATAAATATAATGTATCTTGTAATCTGTTAATGACGGTACAAATAACACGTAAGTTGTTTGTAAGCTATAAGTAACCTCTTGCCACAAAGGTGTGATACTTAATTAAGGAAGCTTGCATTTGTTATTTGTTAGTTTTGTAAATTAAATTTCAACTAAAAAATTATTTTCTCTTAACAAATTGAGAATTGGTTTCTTGGAAATTACTTATACTTTCTTTTGCAAATCCTTACAGCTTTGAAACCTCTGTCAATTTCTCACAAATTGAAACTCTCACTGGATCGAACTTCAAAAGATGGAAGTTTGACCTTGAAGTTGCTCTTAGCATGAGTGATATTGCTATCACCTAAGACGAGCCAACTAGACCAGTTGCTAATTCCCCTACTGAAGTGAAAATGGTGCATGAAGCTTGGAGGATGGCGAATAAGAAGCGTCTGTTAGTTATGAAGAAGACTATTTCAGAAGATATTTTTGGTGGAGTTGAAGAAACAGAAAGTGCCAAGCAGTTTATGGAATCCATTGAAAGGAAGTTAAAGGAACCTAACAAGGATGAAATGATGAACCTCTTGTCTAGACTACCTAATACGAAGTATGAAGGAGGAAGCGTGAGAGATCTCATGGGACTTGTGGATATTGCTACCAAATTGAACAGGCTGAAAATACCTATTGATCTGACTTATCTAGTGCACATTGCATTTTAGTCTGTACCTTATGATAAGATGAAATTCACCTACAACACCTTGAAGGAGGGTTGGGCAATGGATGACTTGATTACAATAGCTGTTCTTGAGGAGAATAGGACAAAAGCTTATGGTAGTGTTGTTAACATGGTCACTGCCAAGAAGTAGGACAATAAGGGTGCTACAAAATGGGAAGTAAAGAAGCAAAACCAGTCTCAAAAGAATAGGCGTTTAGTACCCTCAATGAAGGAACATCCACTAGGTTACCGCATGGACGTTTAGGGCACATTTCAAAAGAAAGAATGAAAATTCTTGTTAAAGAACAAGTCTTGTCACCACTAACTTTCAGTGATGACGAAATTGTATTGAATGTGTTAAGGGAAAACTCACTAAGACTAAAAAGAAATGTGCAACTCGCAGTGCTGATCTTTTAGAGATCATCCACACAGATCTTTGTGAACCATTCCCTCATCTACCAATTGATGGAAATTGCATTTCATCACTTTTATTGCTAACCATTCTCGTTTTGGTTATCTATACCTCATAGCAAAAAATCTCAAGCTTTTGAGATGTTCAAAAAATTTCAAAATGAAGTTGAAATGCAACTTGAGAAAAAGATAAAAATTGTGTGGTCAGACATAGGTGGTGAATATTATGGACGTGTTAATGAAGGAGGATGATGTCATGGACCTTTTGCTAGATATCGACAAGATAATGGAATAGTTGCTCAAAACACAATGCCAGGAACTCTGTAACAGAATGGTGTGGCTGAGAGAAGAAATCGAACTTTGAAGGATATGGTTTATAGCATGATTTCCAAAACTGATTTGCCTACGCATCTATGGGGAGAGGTGATCAAAATAGCAAACTACATACTTAATAGAGTGCATGTTTGTGCAAATTTCTCACAGGAGAATATTCACATGTAGATTCTTCACCCTTTGAGCTTTCTTCTCTCTCTTCCTCAATTCATGTAAAACAAATAGGAGTAAAAGACCACACCCGAGGTGTGTTGGCCAAAAGCCCTCCGATTCCTAAGTTAGTTCAATTAGATCTTTAAGAAAAGATGTGGCAATAACTAAACTAGATGGAGTTTTCTCTCATGGGCAGAGCCGGGTGGCCGGAGTTGTGTGTGGTAGGACTTAGCCGTGTGGCAGAGATGAGAAAGGGAGTGGCCGACAACTAGGGGTAGCTGACGGCTAGGGGTAGCCAATGGCTAGAGAGAGAGAGGGGTTTTTCGTAGGGTTTTTGGAATTAAGTTTTGAATTCCCTCATGTGTTGAGTGTGGCTATGTATTTATAGGGCTCTAGCCATCTAAGGTTTTTCAAAAAATATCTTCTTATTTGGAAGGAAGATATTCTTTCCCTTAAATGAAGAGATTGAGTCCATTAGGGATTTTGATTAGGATTAAATCCATAATTGATGATAATATCCCCAAAATAATATAATATCCCAAATTGGTGATATTATCTTTAATTGGTGATTATATTCCCAAATAAGGAGAATATCCCATATTTAAGATCCATTTTTTTGGCTAAATGGGCCCAATTAATGCCCTAGGTGATGTTCTTCTTGTCCACATGGCGCCTTGTGATTGGAAGCCAAAATATTTGATCCCATAAATGCGCCCAGCTTATGCATGGCGCTTGTGAGGCATGGAGGGGATAAGAAATATTTATCGGGCTGTCCAACTGTATCTGGGCATTCCTCTTTGAGTTGGACTCCTTTTGCAAATTGGGTTCCAAATTGGACTAGGCTTTTGACTTTTTCTTGGAGTTGGGCTCCCAATGGGAATAGGCTTGTGATTCCTCCTTGATCTAGGATGCCTAACCTTTAAAAATACAAGGCTTCTCTTCACTCCTCCTCAAATTGCAAACTTGTCATCCTCTACTTTCTAGCTTTTGGGAGAGATCATGAAGGAGTGTATTGCTTGTCGAGGATAGGAGTCGTAGTGCACACTAAGGTAGGTAAAATTTATATTTTTCTTCTTATTCTTTCTTTTTCATTCTTTGCTACAAGGACTAGCTAGGTGGCCGGCTGGTAGTCATGACTGACGCCACTGCTGGTAGTGGTGCGTCACAACCTTCTTCCTTACTGCTATGGTACGTCATACTTCTGTTGATTTGCTTCCCTTTTGTCTAAATTCTTTGATGTGTGACTAATTGATTTTTGTCTTCTGCTTGCAGAGAATGATATATGCAAGAGACTGGATCTTAGGCCGAACATGGCTAAGGTTAACCGGGCTCTGAACCTCCCTACGAGGTTTCATGAATGGCGCTGGCTATTAAAAAAGTATTGGGAGAAAGCTGGTGGTCTACCCCCTGCCAAGTATGTTGAGAGATGGAAGCAGTATGGTCCATACTCGGATGATCTGCCCGACGAACAAGAGGAGTCCTCGATCGAAAACCCTTTAAAGAGGAAGGCCGACACCAAGTCTTCCAAGGATGAAGCTCATCCACCTAACCATCGCAATTAGGTGGAGGATCAAACTAGGAGGACTACTCCTCCACCTATCCATTGCAATTCATCTTCCGAGCCACGAGCAGTCAAACATGGAGTTGATTCGGAATCATTGACTCCTTTAGAGGTAAGGATGGCTGCGGCTAAGAAGGTCAGAGAGTCATCTACTCGAGCAAAGGATTCTTCTGAAATTCGAACAGCTAGTCCAAAGATTAACAAGTCCAACTCCGCAGGGGATGCATGTGTGTCTGATATGCTCAAGATGAACTTTCTATCAAGCCCATCTGCTTACGTCGCTAGTTGATCATATCCATCAAACCCGCATTGGCACCTTCTCAAGTCTTTCCTTGGAGAAGCAAAACAAAGTAGATGTCCATTTGCTTCAAAAAGGAGTAGTTTTTGTTGTTGAGGCCATCTAGAACTTGTCTATTGTTGCCCCCTTTTTTGCTCACCTTAATGAGTTGGAGAAGAAGAATGTTGATCTGACTAGCAAGCTCTTGGCCAAGCAGATCCGTCATGAAACAAAGATGTTTGAAATGAAGGAGAGCATGTCAGTGCTGAAGAGTTCCTTTACTAAAAAGATATTGAATTCAACTCTTCTGATGTTGCCCTGCATAGTTGAAAAGAGGCCTACTTCCGTCTTGAACGCACGAATGCTAACATATCCTAGAGTTATGACAATCTTCTAGCCAAGTTTGATGCCTACCACAAGGTTGTTGAACAATCCAAGTATGAGGCTATCATTGATGCATACAAGTTGGGCTACTTGGACTGCAAGAGTGGGGCCACTCCTTGTCATCCCATTTAAGATAAAGATGTCAAGATGTTCTGCCCTGACATGCCTTCTGCTCAAGGTGTGCAGATCAACATTGTAGATATAGAGGTAGCCGAAGAGCTGGTGGCTGATGAGACTGTAGCTGAGGAGGACGATGCCAAGAAGGGTGCAACTGATGAGGTGGCAGCAAACTTTGCTGAGCAGATAGCTAACCTAGGTGGAGCAATGAAGGGCGCAGTCGATCACGCGAAAGTTGAGGAGGTCATTGAACAGTAGATGGAGACTCTTTTATCTTTTTAATCTTTTTAATCTGCTTTTTTGTTTGCAATAATTGGTCTTGTTTGACCATCATTCTTTTGTTGTAGTCTAGCCAGTTGGTTACTTTGCTATGGAAATTTTAGTTATTTCAAAAAAAGAATTTGCTGAGTCTAGTGAACTGCTTGAGTGACTTGTTGGTGCCTTCGTTGTGCATCTCCCTTAGGATGCTTGAATATTTACCCACCGCTTACTTAAAGGGCGCTTTTTTGCTTTTCCTTTAGGATGCTTCAGATGTGGCATGCATCTCCTTTACAATTGTCCACATCTCCCTTATGGTTTTGGCAGCTGTCTTACATCTCCCTTAAGACATTTTGGACGGTTGCCTACGTCTCCCTTAGGATGTTTTGGACGGTTGCATACGTCTCCCTTAGGAAGTTTTGGCAGAATGTCTACGTCTCCCTTAGGATGTTTTGGTAGATTTCCTACGTCTCCCTTAGGACGTTTTGGTAGATATCCTACGTCTCCCTTAGGGCGTTTTGGAAGGTTGCCTACGTCTCCCTTAGGACATTTCGGCAGATTGCCTACATCTCCCTTAGGACATTTTGGCAGGTGTCCTACGTCTCCCTTAGGACATTTTGGATGGTTGTCTATGTCTCCCTTAAGACATTTTAGCAGATTGCCTACCTCTCCTTAAGGACATTTTGGAAGTCTTCCTGCGTCTCCCTTAGGACGTTTTGGATATCTTCTCGAACACTTGGTTGAATGAAAACTTGGAATTGCATTTGATGTTTGTGTGATTACATTGCTTTATTGAATGGAAATAAATAGATGAAATTACATTGGATATCGTTCTTCTTCAACTGGGGTGGAAAGGGTTTGGTCACCTACTAGTGGTCTGAGTAGGTGAGCGGGCACTTCATGGATAATACATTTGAAGGTGATGGGCATTCCACTATCTTGGAATTTCCTTGCCATCGGGGGTATCTAAGGTATAGCTTCCTCTACCCCGAGTTTGGCTCATCACGTAAGGACCTTCCTAACTGTGTTTCATCTTCTTTGATCCTTGCCTTTGTGTTGTAATAAAGGCTTTTCTTAGCATAAGGTCTCCAAGTTGGATTATCTAACTTTGGCTATTTTGCTATTATAGGACCTCAGCTATTGCTGATAAGCTGCAACTAAAACAATGGCATTTTCTCTTTCTTCCTCAAGTAGGTCGAGGTTGACCTTCATCTGCTCACAATTCTAATCTAGGCTGCCCACCTCAATGCTCATGGATGGAATAGTGATATGAGGTGTAATTATTGCTTCAGTTCCATAGGCAAGGGAAAATAGGGTTTCGCCATTTGATCTTATTTTGGTGGTGCATAAGCCCGCAGGTCCTTCGGCACCTTCTAGTATCTTCTTCAAGCAATCCAACATGACCTTGTTAGATGCCTTTGTTTGGCCATTGCCTTCTGGATATCTAGGAGTTGACAGGTGTTGTTTGATGCCATACTTTGCAAAGAACGTGGTGATTTGCTTGCCAATGAATGCAACCCGTTGTTAGGGACCAACGAATGTGGGCAGCCGAACCAGCATATAATGTTTTTCCCGACAAATCACTCCACGTTGGCTTGTTTAGTAGAAGATAGAGCTTCAATCTCGATCCATTTAGTAAAGTAGTCTATGGTGACGATCATCATGTATTTCTTAGCAGTTGGTGGCAGCATGGGTCCCACTAAGTCAATGGCCCATTACATGAATGGCCATGGGCTGTTTTGTTGATGGTACACTTCAGCAGACAGGTTAGGAACTGGCTTGTATCGTTGGCATCGATCGCATCTATTGACATACTCCGTGGAGTCGTGTCTCATGGTAGGCCAAAAGTAGCTTATGCTTAGAGCTTTTTGAGCGAGTGATATGCCCCCAGAATAGTCGCCGCACTCGCTGTTATGGATTTTGCAGAGCACTTCGAGAGTTTTTGGTTACTTAATGCAGGTGAGATGAGGGTCAGAATATGACCTTCGAGCAAGCTTGTTTTCCTTCATGTAGTATCTTTAAGCTTTCTGCTTGATTTTTCTTGCTTCGAACTTCTCCTTTGGCAAATTTTCTTTTACCAAGTAGTCGATACTTCGCTGATCAAGGTGCTCGACCAGAATTGAAAGTCTGAATTGGGTATCCAACTCTTATCCCAAACTTGCCAGTGCATATGTATGTATGTTTTGTGCCCGGGGAATTTGTTGGATAGCAAAGGTAGGGAATCCTTCAAAAGCTCTTGGACTTTATCTAGGTACTAGATCATCCTTGGGTGTTTTTCCATGTACTCCCTTGACGCCTGATTTGTGATCAGCTGGGAGTTTGAGTAGATGCCTAACCTCTTTGTCTACACCTCCTTTGCCACACGCAATGCCTCGTACTTTGCTTCGTTGTTTGAGTTAAATACCGCCAAGTAAATGAACAAATCTTCACCTAGTACTGGTTTTGAGAGCATGGGAGGTGAAATGAGTTAGATCTTCAAGTTTTGGAAAGCTACTTCTCACTCTTCATCCGACTTGTCTTTTTGTCCTTTCTTCAAGGCTTTGAAGAATGACCTACACTTGTTAGTGGATCCTGAAAGTAATTGGTTGAGAGCTACTGCTCTGCCCGTTAGACTTTTTATTTCCCTCGTTGTGGCACGCGACTGTATGTTGAGGAGGGCCTTGATTTGATTTTGATGTGCTTCAATGCCTCTTAGGGGACCAAGTATCCCAAAAATCGCCCGAATGAGACTCCAAATGTGCACTTTCTCAAGTTCAACTTCATGTAGTACTTTCAAAGCACACTGAATGCTTCGGCAAGATTCTTGATGTGGTCTGCTTATCGAGGAGCTTTGACTAGCACGACATCTAAGTAGACCTCCATAGTCGTGCCGATCTACTCCTTGAAAATCTTGTTCACGAGCCAATGGTATGTTGCTACGGCGTTCTTTAGCCCAACGGCATGACTTTATAGCAGTATGTGCCTCTTTCAATTATGAAAGAAGTCTTAGCTTTATCGTCCTCATGTATCATGATTTGATTGTAGCCGGAGTAAGCATTCATTGCTAAGTTGTAAAGGGGTGCTGAAAATGAAAATACCTGTAGGATGTCTAAAAATTCCTAGATGAGGGTGAATATGCCAATTTAAGATTATAATCAAATAAATAAAAATAAACTTCGGTAACAGGATTGATATGGCTTATCAATCCTGAAACGTGCTGAGCATAAAATAAAAGAACACGCAGAGAATTATTTTACGTGGTAAAACCCCACCTCTGTGGAAAATCCACGGGACTCCTCAGTCCAACAAAAATCCACCATAGAACGATGATTACAAGAAGTACTCACACACTTATCCTAGACACATTCTAGATAATGTTTACCAACTTCTTCGTAACTCAACTTCTGTCACAGGATGATCTTCGACACTACTTATGTTGAAAGCAATACTGGTCACGATTGCTTCAAGCTCGCCGGAGTTCTTCCAACTCTCCTTATGTTGAATCCGATACTAGTCACAATCAATTCAAGCTCACCAAAGAAAAACCGCCCCAACGATCTTGGTGCCCTCAACCGTATGAGTCACCGACATGCATATGAATGCAATATGAATGATTAAAGTGTTTGATAAATCACCAAGTAAACATGGAACACTTGATAATTTATCTCAAATAAATGCACAGCAGCTTTTTCCTAAAATTCTATATACTCCACACAAATATGTCGAAAGCTCTATTCAAAAAGGAGATGCACGCCTTGGCTTTATACAACTGTGGTGTTATCTTACAAGAGATAATTCATAAAACCAAGGTATCACAAACGTGCCTAATCAGATTTGATTGAATCAAAGTCCTATTCTATTTCGTCATCTTTTGTACTATAAAAGATGATTTTCCAATCATCAATTGTTATCCAACAAAACAATGTATATCAACATGTAAACAACGAAGCCAAATAGGATATTCATTGAAACATGCTTTCCAAGTCCAAGATGATGAAAACATAATATTTTAACTTAAATCAAAATAGAGTCCAATTAGGAAAGTAATCTCAAGAGATAAAATCTAATTCTATTAAGAATAAGATTAACATAAAAATAATTGAGTGAAAATAACTCCAACTAGGAATCCTATAATGAATGCATGATTATGTCATGATTTACCTGAAATCAATTTCCTCATATCGGTCAAGTCATGCCTCGGAAGTATGGGATTGAATGAGTTGTGCCAATTTCACCTATGCTAGAGTCTAGGAAATGACAACACTATTTTCATACTAACAGAAAAGCATAAAGATTCACATTACGGATCAATACATATTAAGGTTCGTGTTTGTAGGTGCTTCATGTGTTTTGAGATTGCATTATGTGATTATAAATGGCCTGTTTTTAATAAAGGAGAGCAGTGCTTCTATAGTTTGTTTTGTCTAATCGCTTTTCACTGTAGCTTGAAAGGAAGACTTAACTGTTTTAAAACTCATGGCCAGTAAAGATTATCAAACTTTTGCAATACAGAAGCTTAGTGCTCTAGTGCTTGATCTAGTGGGAGAATGTTATATTCCTATTTAGATCGGTGCACTAGATGCTAAGTTATATCATGTTTGATAAGAGTTTAAATTAGGTTATACCTTGTGAAATAAGGAAAGTTTTGAAGCCAATATTTCCTTTTGCATGAACCGTTGCTTGATGGGCTTAGAGTGTTAGTCAAGTCGACCCTTGGTGATGAGTAGAGACGACTTGACCTAGCCCTATATAAGCTCAAGACCCTGCTCTCATCAGACATGTTCTCTAACCCTAATCTCATCATAAAGAGATAGCTGAAACAGTTTCTGAGAGAGAGCAGAAGTCTTGAGCCGTTCGTGCCTTTTGTTCGTGTTGTTCCTACGATTGAATGAGTTTAGGGATCATGTACCCAAGGAAGATAGTGCCAGGTATGTCTTCTATGTATTTCAGATTGTGTGAAAGATCATGAATACTGTAGAAATCTAACACTCACATCCCACAATCTTATAAACATTCTTATACCCATTCAAAGCCCTGTACTTGCATTGACATAGGTCTTAGGTTCGGTTCCCCCTTCCCCAATATCCGTTGTATAAAAAAAATTAAAATAAAAGGACGTTTTGAGAGGGGTTGTATTTGAACCAGCAAAGTTATTTTACATTAAAAACAAATTTTACTCTTATTATTCATTTCGAAAGGACCACAATTTTGTCCTGTATTTGGGGTATGGTTTATTCTAACTCTCCACCACACAAAATGTGGCCAGAAAAATATGGCTAGACAGCCTAGACCTGTGAAAATGTTCCTCCACGAAGCCATAATCATCCATGGCGTTGCCAGCTGCTCTCAGTCTCAGTATTGCATCTCTCTCATCAATCTCAAGCCATCCACACTCTCATCTCCTCCCTTCTCATCAAATTAACTGCAGCTTTTCCTCTCCCTCTCCATGTATATACAGCAATCATACTAGTCATTCAAAGCCTTACAGAAGACTAACACCCTGGAGCCAGCACTGTTGTTTTCGTGTTTCATATCGATTCTCTGCTGCTGCCGAAGGCGCGGACGACAACAACGAAGAAGCCGAGGATGGTAGCTTCGATGAAGCTGTTGTCCTTTTCAACACAAGGGACTACTACAAGTGCCATGACTTCCTTGAGTCACTTTGGAACAATGCTGAGGAACCCACCAGAACTCTTATTCATGGCATTCTACAATGCGCTGTGGGATTCCATCACCTATTCAACCAGGTTGTAATTAGTTTTGAATTCTGACTGATCACTGCCATTTAATATATCAATTATAATTAATTTCTAGCCTATGTATATATATATATATAAAATATTATTGTGTTTTGTTATATGCTTACAAATTGGTTAGGTTTTGATTGTTGTGGTTAGAATCATAAAGGAGCCATGATGGAGCTGGGAGAGGGACTTTGTAAGCTGAGAAAGATGAATTTCAAAAGTGGTCCATTTTATCAGTTTGAGCAAGAAATCTCTGCAGCTCTGGATTTTATTTATCAAACACAGATAGAGTTGGCTGCCTGTGGGTTAATTTCTTCTCCTTTCAAATCCCATTTGTTCAATTTCATATGGCTCAGTCCAACCCAGAGACACCCAAAAACTATCTCTGAATTTGCCTTGGACACCCGTCTAGATTTAGAAATATGCAAATAAATGGATTCTTGAGCAGCATTTACTTCTTTTGATTTTATAGGTACAGAGGATCTTTGTGTTACAATGGATCAATCAGAGAGATCATACCAACTTCTAGGTGGGTATGCTGCAGGTCAGCTACTATATACCCTGCAAAGTGACCCTAATGAAACCATGTATATTGTGTTTTCCCCTCACAGGTCTTATGACAGTGAGCCACCAAAGGTGAAGCTTCCAACCCTCAATGCAACCGCAGAACATCTCGTGGCCTGTCAATACAAGTGATTCTTGTTTTGAGGCTACCTTTTAGGTTTTTGTACCTTGATCAATTGAATTGAGTATGATGCAAAAGGGAAACCAAAGATTGGTCTCACGAATGTCAACTTTCCAACCAATGTACTAAAATCAGCTGATTTAATCCAATCCTATCCAATTCAATCTGATCGATTTCAATGACTTATGGGAATTTGGATTGGATTTCAAAAATCAACATGATTGAGTTAGAGGACAAATTTTCTTGTGAAAATCCAATCCAATTTAATTCGTCTCACTTATTTCGTCTTACAAGAATTTGAAATCAATGGTTTCAAAGCGAGGTAAGCCTTGACATTGATTTCAAAGCGAGGTAAGTCTTAACTTGTTGAGGCCTTACCCCTTAAAATTGTGTGAGCATGCCACCACTATTATCACTACAAACAGCGTAGGGAGTTGAACAAAATTATGAATGATTAATTCTAAGATGTTAGAGATTTCAATGTTTGAAAGAAAAATACCGGCTGAAAAGGGTGTTGACATGCTCTAGAATTGGACTAACAAGAAAGATGACAAAGAAAAGAACGGCTGGGCTTAGACATAAACAGGCCAAATCAAACCAAACTGAACCGCACAACAATGATTTTTTTTTGGGCTCGATCTCACCAAAGGTGTTTAAACCAAACCAAACCAATCCATCATATAGTGATTCATATAGTGATTGGTTTGGCTGCGGTTGAGTGTGAATCCAATTCAAATCGGATCGTGCCCACCACCAATACCATAAACCCACAACAAAACCAATATCATAGCTTCGACCCACAATAAATACAGTTGGATATTACAATGTTGTATAGTAAAACATTATGCACCACCATTTCACTATGTCAAACATATTTTTAAACACTTGTAATGAAGTCACTGACTTACATGCTAGAAAATACAAAATGGGACTACTGAAGGCAAGCCTAAATCTGGGACCATGGAAAACCAATGATACCTCAACTACCATTGACTGTTTCGGACAATGCCAAGCAAAACTTAAACAAGCTGTTACTGATAATATCCTCATCAACCATGGAGCAGATAACAATTAACAAGTAATTTCAGATCACCTCTCCTTTGTTTTCACAGGAACATCTCTGTACATTTTCACTTGTTCCTTCAAAGTATCCCGCCGTGGTATTGCTACCTTGTTGTTAGGATCAAAAAGAAGTACTTCTTCAAATGCATTCAGAGCAGCCTTAAAGTCCTTCCTCTTTTCATAGGCATCACCAAGGTTGTTCCAAGCTGTGACATAGCCCGGCTGAAGCTTCACAGCAGTTTCAAACTGCGTAATTCCCTTAGCAAGCTTACCTTCACGGATATAACTGACACCAAGGGCATTGTAAACCTATTCAAATATATGACATGTGAAAAACAATATCAGAACTCAGAAGCCAAGCCCAACAAGATGATGCAATAAGACCTACAGTCTAATTTAAATGGTCTTAATTTTCATTCACTTTTCTCCAAGTTTCTATATGACTTGCGATTATGCATGTGCTGTCGGAGGTTTCACGAGCTTTCAGAGATGGAAATACAACACAAACAGAACTTAAAACGGTATTCACAAATGACCAGACTGAACCTTTTCTAATCTTTTGTCGTTAAGTCACAAAATGTTGAACAAACAGGAATCAGAGAAGAATTTGTTAAGAGCAACACCCAAAAATCGTGAAATTATACAACTATTAGTTTTTTTAACCCAGTTCTAGTTTCTGCCAGATGGTGCCATGCTATTCCTAAAGTGGGGCACATACATGTGGCAACAGTCGCAAGTATTCCAATAACACAATTCTAAAGCCATTTTGTTTGTTGGATCCAGTACAATGTGCTTTAGTTGACAATAAAAGTGCAAACTGTGTATTTAATATCCAAGAATTCATCACACCTGAGCAAGATCTTGGTCATCCCCATCCCATTTTTCAATTGCCTGAACCAAGTACTTAATAGCAGCTGGATAAATTTTCCTTCTCAGCATTACTGCTCCAAGTTCAAAAAGCTCAGTTGCATCAGCATCACCGCTTCTTACCTGCTCCTGGTATTTAGAAAGACAGAAGATAATGTGAGTAACTGGTTGTAGACAGCCTCTGTTCCACGTCCATTACAGTTTAAAAAAAATATTAATGAATTTAATGTCTTTAAGTAGTGCTCAAAATTCAGGTTGGATGTGTAGCAAGTGCCAAGGTTGAAGCAAAGTATGTTGACCAACAATGCTGGACAGAAAATACAGGCTCATACCTGCAATTCTTTGGCAGAAAGATCAAGTTCTCTACGTACAAGCACTTGACGAATCACAAAGAAGGTTCCAATCCCAAGAAATGCCAACAATAGTAGCAAGTATGATAGCTGGATTCCTAATTCAAATAACTCCCCCGTCTCATAAACGACATTTGTTTTGATAATATCACGTGATTGTGCCATTGGAGTAGAGATAAGCCATAAGCTTTGTCCAACTAAGAATGCAGATACTGGTACATATGGCCTCTTCATGACTTTAATAAGCCCAGTAACCAAAAGGTTCTCAAAAAACTCTGCAATAAAATGATGATATAACAAAGATGATTCCCAGCAACCATATAAAAAGTATCTATCTACTTAAAAGATTGTATTGAAAAAAATAATTTCCAGAAATACTAGACACTAATCCTATCACATTTTGTTCCTTGCATGAAGAGTCCCTCAATAAGTGGAAATACAACAACAGAAAATGATACAGAAGTCACCACAATGATACAAAAATTTAAAGATGTCATATTCATCTTATAGTGAAGATATATTACGAAATTGTACTGGATTGATCAATTCAAATTTTTCTTTCCTTCTAAATTGTTTTCACATATGTCAAACTTATTTTCAAGTTTCATATGTAACCTTTTTTCTTTTGGTAAATTGTACACATGCACATTAAACTTGAGAAAAAATAAATAACGTGCAATTTGTCACCTAGTCTTTAGTTGTCCATCTGAATACAAATGTGTGTCCCATCTGAATCTGTGCTTTAATTTATTTAATAAATAATCATTAAATAAGAGAAAGGAAAAACAGAACTAATAAAAATAAAATTTGAATATTGTGTGAAGAACTTAATTTGTATAATATTATCCAAATTCACACAGACACAGGTAAACAAACACACAAACACTCATGTGCTGTGTGATGTAAACTGCCATCAATTACAATTTGTAGTTATAATCACCAGTCCTGATTAATAAATCAATTTAGAGCTGTTTGTGATCCACAAACGAAACATTTAGGGTATATTATGATACCATGTTACAAGAACTATATAGAACCCCATAAAAGTTAACAACTTGTATAATGTCCATGTGGAGAACAATATTTTTGAGAATAGGAATTACTCTGCAAATTTTTTGAGGTAAGACCTTCCAATGATAGTTCTTCTCGAAGTATCTGCCTTCACCCATGATTGAACAACATATTAGTAAAAACAATTGTTAACATGCATGACCTTTACAAAAGCTTCTAGAAAGAAAAAAAAGATGGAATAAGAAATCTACCAAAACAAAAATTCATATAGACGTTTATAATCAAACATTGTTAAAAGGTACGGTCAGGAAATTATAGAGAGACTCTGTCATCTCTTTATAATTTTAGGAGAACCACTGCACAAAGGAGAAAATACAGGATATGGATGCACTATGACAGTTAAGTAAGTGAAAAATGAATTCAAATGTTTCCTAATGGATAATTACTTCAGTTCTGCCTAAATATGTCTTCATGTGAAGGGAATTAAGAAGTAAACAATAAACAGAGAAGAATGTGATATCTCTGCATCAGTACTTCAAAGTTTTACTTGAAACAGACACACGAGCTAGTGCGCGCTCACACACAGAGTAACACATGTTGAAATAAAATGATTCTCATTGTTTTTTGATTAAGTTACATCAGTAGTTTATATACACAAGCTTTGTAACTAACCTATAACAAGATTACAGCTGTCATAACAAAGTTCTAACTAAGACTTAACAAACTTTGACTGAGCTTTGACTCTCTCTTTTAGCTTCTCTAAGCTTGCTGTTGAGAGATCCTCTTTAACACACACCCACACATCAGCATGCCAAAAAAGGTGAACCTAGAAGAGATGTTTAAAGGATGGACACCAGGCCTTCAAGGCTTCAAAATATGGAAGCAGAAGGACAATGGTTCCCTTGTAGTAGTAACATGAACCATTCAAAGCAATAAAAACCTCATTCCATGCCTCTCCCTGGCTTCAATGATTGATATCTTAGGCATCACTCAAGACCAAAAACAAAACAAAAAGAAAATTCAAATTCATATGCAAATTTAAAAAAACATGTGAACAAAAAATAGCGAACTACATATATAATAGTCATGGAGAGTTCAATTTATTTACTTCTTTTAAATTTTCAGCAGTTTAAGTTTTTGGGTCTGAACCCATTCCGTTTCCAACCATAAAAATTCACTTTCAGAGCTTTAAACTCAATTCATGTAAGGCAAAAGAAGCAGCTTGTGAAACAAATTCATCGCAAGTTTGGTTCGTACTTGTTTCTGAAATCAATTTCTCATCACCACACAGGGAAACGCGGCTCATGTCTGGAAATTGTTAAGAAAAAAGTAAATAATACCTCGACCTCCTTGAGCTCTCGAACCCCCTCCTCGGTCTCGCTAGTTTGGGTTTGACTGTGCGAAGACATAGGCACGAGCTTGATGGACCGGAGGGACGGCAGGTGAGAGAACCGTAGAGAGCTGAGAGTGAGATACGGTGCCGTGCTGCTCTGGCCTTGTCTACACGAAACGTATGAAGGTTTTGGAAGGTTTGGCGAAACAGTGGTGGGAAGCGGTACAAATGGTGCTCGCAAAGGTGGAGTTCTGAGGACAGTGGCCATTGGAGAAGGTCAGACCGTCAGAGTGGGAGAGATAAGGGTGGCGATATTGAAAATGGGAGTGGAATTAAAGATAGTACTGAGATGAGAGAGAGTGGGTAAAGGCGGATAATGAAAATTGAAAAGGATTTTTAATTCATTTTCCAAAAAGAAAAGGGAAGTTTTAGTTTAATTCGGACCGTTGGATGCGGGTTCTTTTTGAAAAGAAATAACTTACACTAAAGCCTTGTGCCAATTGGTTTTTTTAAGGGGAAATTGGCGGTTTTACCCCTGACTCACCTAATTTATTCACTAATATCCTTATTTTGAAACCCAATCACAAATGCCCCTTATAAAAACTCCTTTTTGACAGTCTATTGCCCATCTTTAACTTTTTTTAGTCGTTTTGAGCTCTCTCAAATCCTCTTTCACAATTTCTCGATCTCACTCACTCAGCCCTCCTCTCCTCTCTTCTTTCTTTCTTGCTCGCACCCACATCGACTACAGTCACTGTCACCTCCTCAAAAACCCTAACCCACATCGGCGATGACAACCTTTCCACCTCCATCTCTCACTCTCTGTAACCTCTTTCGACCTCCATGCCTAGAGATGGCGTCTTAGATAGATAGCTTGGCTTTTCTCCTACACATTTGGGTTTTCTTCTCCTTGTTTCAATTTCATGTATGAGTTTGGATTTTTGGTGTTTGATGTGAGTTCAAGTCCCTCCAAGTCAAATTTGGGTGAGATTGTACAGAAATTTGTTGAAACATAATTGTGGGTTTAATTTAAAATTTTACTCTCTTTGTTTACAATTAATATTTTCAGCTTGTGTAGAGAATGTTATTTCAGTGGAATTATACAAGAACTTTTTGAACCAAAATTTTGAGATTGTGCAACAAATATTTCTCAGTTTGTCTTAAGGAATATTATGCTTGAAGCTTGTCCAATCTACAATGATTTTGAAGATTTTCTTTTGCTTATTGAATTTAATTACTGAGTTAGGTTTTTATTCTGACAAAAAACAATTGAAGAAACACAGTTATTTGGTTCAATGATTTAATTTGTTTGTTCTATTTTGGGATGTGATTTTTTGAATGAACTACATAAATTGATTATGTCTTGAGGTGAAGGACATATCCAAAAGTGACTGTGGAGTTTGTAAGTTTTATGAGAATGCCAATATTTTAACAGAAGTTTGATATTGTAAAGTTGGCATATGTTGGATATTGGTTTTCTCTATTTTTCGTAATTCAATATTGGATCTGTTTTTGGTGCAGTCTATAGTCCTCAAGGTTGGTATCATGCCAAGATTGTGTTGGTGCCGTGAAAAGGGTTCTTGGAAAACTTGAAGGTTTGACATCTCTTGCATTTATCTAGTTCCATTGTCTTGCTCTTCTTCTTCTTCTCTGAGACTGTGCTTCTTTAATTCTTTGAACAACGCCAAATGCATTTCCTAATTTGTATTTTTATTCGTCTGCCAAGACACACATTCACTTCACCCATGTTATAATAACTTTTATATTGCAATTTAGTAGAAATCGTGTGCATGAATGTGAACTTTAATTTTGCAATGGTACTATCTTGTGAAAGCTTCTTATATGAAGAATTGGGTCATTTTAAAAGGCCAACAATCTGTATGAAGATAGGATTATTGAAGGTCGTCCTTCACTGGAGAAATCACAGATAGATTTCTTAGAGGTATATATAACTCAGGAAACTTCAAGCTTAGCTCTTAAATGATGTATATCAGAATTTTTTTTTCTTTCTTCTATTAAAAATGTATATCATACTGCAACTTTACATTTATCCACTCTATTTGTTGTAGTGCATGTAAATGTATGTGTATGATACTTGTAGTGCATGTAAATATGCCTGAACTTGTTTTGGTATTGGTTTTTGAATCTGTTTTGGTATTGGTTTCTGTTATGAATTTTGGAATTGGTTTTTGTTTTGAAATTGGTTTCAGTTGTAATTGAATGTTATGCTTTTGTTTCCATTGTGATTGAATGATTTACTTCTAATATGCATTTTTTATTCGTTTTATACAGATGAAAGATTGTCTTGTTTCAAGTGGCAGCGTTCTCTTGGGGAGAAAATTGCTAACTTTCAGCTTAAATTCGGTTCTAAGAGGAGATGTCGTCGAATTTTGTTAATGTGTTAAAATTCCCGACCAAGAGGATATGTAAATTTTTTATTTTTTGCCACTTTCTTATGTATATCTTAAGATGTAATGAGATAACATTGTTAGTTCATCAATTTATGAAAGTCAAGTTAGAAGGAAATTTGTCAATCTCTAGTTTCCATGGTTTTATCGTTCCCCTTGCAAAGAAGAAAAAAAATACAAATGTAACCAAATCAGTGATTTAATTGGCAAATGCCATGACAGATATGTATTGCATATGTATTGCACATGTATATCCCTTTATTGCTTGTGTATTGCCATTGTATAGCCTTTTATTACTTGTGTATTGCTACTGTATTGCCACCATATATCTTTTTTTTTCTTCAAGTCTGTGTTGGAATAAATTTATAGGGGGAGTATGAAGTTTGTGTATTGCCATTGTATAGCCTTTTATTGCTTGTGTATTGCTACTGTATTGCCCCCGTATATCTTTTTTTTTCAAGTCTGTGTTGGAATAAATTTATAGGAGTATGTGTATTGCTATTGTATAGCCCTTTATTGTTTGTATATTGCTAGTGTATTGCCCCCGTATATCTTTTTTTTTCAAGTCTATGTTGGAATAAATTTATAGGGGGAGCATGGAGTTTGTGTATTGCCATTGTATAGCCTTTTATTACTTGTGTATTACTACTGTATTGCCCCCGTATATCTTCTTTTTTCAAGTCTGTGTTGGAATAAATTTATAGGAGTATGTGTATTGCTATTGTATAGCCACTTATTGCTTGTATATTGCTAGTGTATTGCCCTCATATATCCTTCTTTTTTTTCAAGTATGTATTGCAGGTATAAAGGTGGGGATGGGGATGCGAATGGCATACCCACCCCCGATTCGACCCACTGAATCAGAAAATTTGAATACACAATATAGGCCCAAAAATGACATATTTTAACAACAATGTAGCACATAGAATACGCAAATACATACCAAATTAAGAAAAGTTAACAGAATTCACAATCCACAGAACACCAAACCCAATACAACTACAATTCAAATTCACACTCCATAACAAACCAACACAATTCATAATGTATGTCCAACATTAGGTAGTGGAACATTGTTTTTACAAGTGCTTTTATTGTGGCATGTGCCACTGCACATTGAGCATTTTCTCCGTATGATATCCTCTCCTTGCGAGGGAATCCTTATCTTTTTTCGTTGGCCTGGACCTTTGCATTGGGAGGACGCACAACTCTACTTTGGACATCTTCAGGAATAACCCATAGCTCTTGAGGCTGTACCAGGTAGATGGTATCTGAATAAGCATTTAACCATGTATTTTCGAGTGTAATAACGAGAAGCCATGGAGTATACATTTAGTTTCAAGAAACGGAAAATTGAAACTACATGCTTGCAAGGTAGTTGCTCAAGTTGAAACTTCCTACAACTGCAAGTGTTATTCGTCAAATGTACGTGGCCGTCCATATCACCATCCACGATATTATACTCTACGTGATTCAGTTTCACGAAATTCATCCTTGAAGCACATTCTAACCTGCGTCTCAGCTTCTTCTCGCCAAAGTCAGGGCACAATGTTGATGTACATTTCAAAGCAAAATCACGACGTTTACTGAACCATTTGACAAGCAAATTGATGATTTCATCAATCAAATGCACCACTGGTAGCATCCTTGCAAACCGAAGGACTGAGTTGATTGACTCCACAATATTTGTTGTCATTACATTATATCGACGTCCATCCATGTGAGCTCTAGACCACTTGTGTAATCCTGCACTTTCAAGATATTGAGCAACCTCATCATTTCCCTTGATCTTGCGAAAATGACGATCAAATTCAGCGATACCATAAGATTTCGTAGCTTGTTCAAGGTATAGCAATAATTTATCATGTTTTTTCAATTTGAAAGTGCGTTTCATGTTCCCCTTCATATGGTAAAAGCATATGCCATGTTGCCCCGTCGGAAAAATGTTGTGCCACACAGTCTCTATGCTAATATTCTGATCAGAAATAATCACAAGATTTGGACACTCACCAATGGCTTCATGAAGCTTACTGAAAAACCAATGCCATGATGCATCCGTCTCTAAATCCCCAATTCCAAAAGCAAGAGGATATATATTTCGATTTCCGTCAAATGCATTGGCAACAAAGAGAACAGCCTTATACTTACATTTTAAATGCGTGGCATCCACAGCAATGACTGGTCACATCGAAGATTGAAACCCTCTAATACATGCCCCAACAGCCATAAAAAACAAAACAAAACAAAAAGTGATTGTTCTCATCGGTGTGGATGTATGTCTTTGTGCCAGAATTCACATGCTCTAATTTGTGACAATAAGCTAGGAGGAGAGAATAGGCCTCCTCTACTGATCCTATAGTGGACATTAGAGCTAACTCCCTCGATCTCCAAGCTTTGCAATAATTAATGCTGACACCAAAGTTTTGTTTGACATCTCTAATTATATTACTTGGTGTGTATATTGTGCGAGAATCTTTCAACTTCCGCTTCACTGCATTACCAACGAGTTTAGCACTTGCATGACAATGCTTGTCATGTATAAAACCCATATCACATTCATGGACCGGATTATATTTCACAATCAAGAAGTTCTTTTCTCCATAACTAGATGCACGAGGCCGCCATGGGCATGGATCTTGAGAACAAACCACAACCAATCAACTCTTGCAAGACTGCTTCACCTTAAATTCAAAGTGACCTCTCACTGCCGCCAACTGTAACTTGTTGGACAGGGCTTCCTTACTAGAGAAAATTTTCCCAACTTCCAATTTTGGATCCCAATTATTCCGTGAATACGCGCTTTCAATATCTTCTTCTTCATCATTTACAATACCCAAATTATGCATGTTTTGTTCACCCATTTGCCTCCAATTATGTCGAATAGAAAGTTCAGACCTTGTTCCGAAACCCACCACACCCACTTGTGAAAATGTCTCCAAATTGGCCAAAATATGAGGGGCTAAGTGCATTTGCAAGCCATTCATTTTCGTACCATTATCACCACTATGCACCCCCTCCACCCCTGTAAAATTAATCATGTCTAAATATTCTAATTTGAGGCATAGAAAAGAACACATTAGAGCCAGTACCCCCCTTGGAGTACAATGGCTTGAATAGAGGTCCAGAACAAGCGCAAGTCCATTAAACAAACACTCTACATCACATATACTAGGTCTATTGGGCTAGTCTTATCCCTAATAGTGGCATGCCTACGCAACCTGCAATTGGGTCAGAAGAAGTTAGCCATTAAGGCCCGGTCCTTGCTCACCCGATCTCCTAAACCTGATCCAACTTTCAATTTTGTCCTAAATTGAACAAGTCCTCTCGTGAGCCAGAAATCCAATCGAGGTTGTGGTGTTGAACCGGCTTCTTCCTATTCCCCGCTCCATTCTTGAAGGAAGGTTTCCAGCAGTGACTTAAAGAATGAAACAAATGTCTCCGAGCATTACCCAAAAAGTGTCTAAAAAGGGCACATGAACACAACCCTACAGGGAAACGAGACAAGGGCGTACTTCACACATTTCTTTGAGCAAATCATACAAGCTGCTCGAGAGCAAAGAAAGCCACGGAATGAAGACATGACGTCAAGGACAACTAAGGCATCCTTAGGAGTGACAAAATATTCACAAGAGCAAACTAGTGGCCATGCTAATTCTTCATCCCCAAAGTTTGTGGTCGAAAGCCAATTGACGTGCCACCACCCCCCATCCAAGCAACTAATACAGATTCGACTCTTCCTCCAATTGCAGCACTAATAACTAGCAGAAAGGAAGAGGTGTTGAATCACCAACTCGTACCTCTTGGGAAAGCAATTAGTGGAACTGTTCCAAAGTATCAGGCCTTGAGAATTGGTGAAGTTGAGCTACCTCCAGAACCATCAAGGAGAAACATGCATGCAGAAAGATGGAGGCAACCCACATGCTTCAATGTCCATATTGCCCATAATAATGGCAACAATAAGGGTAATGGAAGAGGTAAGAGAAGTAACGCACGACAACCTGAACACATTTAGGATTCAAAAGATAAGGATGAAGCAAGGCCAGAAACTCTACCCGATGACAGTGATCCTATCCTAGTAGTGAATCCTAATCTGGCAATACAGACTGAAATTGAGGGTCTAAAGCAGCTTGTCCTTAATGGTCAAGCCAGGGTGAGATGGCTGGTACGACTTACATATCAGAAGCCATATCCGGCTTATATTGATGATTAACCAAGCTTTAACTTGTTTAATAGAGCAGATTTATATGCGTCAGCCTAGGAACACATAGGGCGTTTCTCATCCCACTGTGTTGCCATCGAAATGCATCCTTTGTTGAAATAAGATTGTTGGGAAGTTTTCTTTCAGGGCAAGCTTTCACCTGGTACTCAAATTTAAGTCCAAACTTTATCCAAGGATGGAATGAGATGGAAAGAGCTTCCATGGTTCAGTATTACAGGCCCAGGCCCGAGAATACTATCAATGACCTTATTGACATAAAGCAAGGGGACCATGAAACAGTACCTGACTTCATTGCGCGTTTTAAGAAGCTCAAGATGAAATGGAAGAAAAGCATTTCATCAAAATGACACAGAATTCTCTCAGACTTTCACTCTAGAAAAAAATCGATGATCTTGAATTTGTGGATCTACAAGATGTGGCACAAAGGGTTGGGAAGTATGAATTGTTGTTGAAGGAAAAAATACAGAGGAAAAATACTTCCAAGCCTACTTATTTCAAGAATCCAATCCACTAGGTTGAGATTGTAGAAGAATTTGATGAAGAAAGCAGGGAGTGTATGCACGCCAAAGTATATGTGGCTGAGATCATTAAGCTCCAAGCTCCCATTAATTGCAAAGTAGTTACAAGGCCAAACAAAGAACAGAGAAGCAACCCTCTCCCTACTGGAGGATTTGTCCCTTATAAGTAGAAACATAAGTCATATTCCTTCGACCTATCTAAGGCCAAAAACATATTTGATGAGTTGCTAAGGAACAAGGTGATCAGATTCGATGACAAGCATGTGTTTGTTAGAAATGTGCCCTAAGAGCCAATACATTTGATGTAATCTCCCTAGAATACTTTTCGTATATGATATATAAAGGGCAAACTTATTTTGTTATCTTTTACATCGTGTAAAGAAACAAATTGTTCACCCGTTTTGTGATCATTCCTGTGGTGGAAGGGCAAAGTTCCCCACTGCCTTGTGAACCATTGGCTAGTCAGCAAGTCAGCTTTCTTTGGTGTATGAGCGTGCCACTACTAGCAATGAAGATTCTAGCAGACTTATTCTAGAATAGATAACTTGCACCCCAAGTTACTGATTTCCATAAACAAGCGATTGTGAATTTGGTTGAGGAATATCTCTCAAGTAAGTTCTTTTCTTGCCTCAGACTGGTGAGGACTTTAACAATTTATCTCAGTATAAAGAGGTTGTTCTGGCCAGAATGATTGATGGAATTTAAGCTGTCTTAGGCAGAACTGCCTTTTACAAAACTATAAACATAAATATCCAAGCTAGAAAGAAGAAGGGACAGTTTGAACTCCATTTCTGCCTGGATAAAGGGTTCTGATCCGGGCTGGTTTGGAAATATCTGGGCTAGACTGGACTGTTAACAACTTCTGCTGCTAAGCTTCAGCTGTACATCAATACCAAAGGTTAATTTTGGCAGAGCTTTAATACACTTCAAGCTTTTGTGAGGCTTCTGAGTGGGCAGAACTGCGGCTTCTTTAGTCTGTAAGGGCAGAAGTGGCTGTTCTCAAGGACTTCAGTGGGCTAGAGACTGCACTGTAAAATTTGTTGAGGTTTTCATGTTTGGGAAAAGCTCAATCTCCACCTGTCTTGGTTTTTGCTAAACCAAATTTGTAACAAGAGAAATCTCGTTTTGAATGGCTTATTTTCTAAGTCTGAGCCTTGGGAATTCTGATCTAAAGTTGGTTTTCACTTGGAATTCAAGTGAGCTTCTAGTTGATTTTGAGTTGTTTGTTTGATTGATGACTTGAACGTTGGATTTATTGTTGTTGAAATTGAGAGTCCTTTGCCTTGTTCACTCCTTCTTGTATTTATAAGAGATGTTATCTGTAGTAGGGAAATTCTTTTTAAATAATGGGCGGCAATTTCTTAAAAAAGATCTTTCATTTTTAATTGTAAAGAAAGGGGGTTTTGATCAAGTTCTGGTAGATAAGCTCTCAATAGTCAGTTCTTAAGATCACTTCCCTGTTTTTCTTGAAAAAGAACCTAATTTCTTTTCCCAATTTTAACTGCCCCTTGTGAGATTTTATCCGTGATGGTTAGTTTGATTTCTTCAGTTTGAACAACTCCCTGCTTTCCTGCTTATCTCTTTCTGAGATTGTAGCTTGCTTATCTCTTGGGAGAATCACCTTCTCTATAAAGTAGAAAAAATCTCTGAATATATATATATATATATGTAAGAGGGATTTGATCTTCAGATTTTCAGAGGTGTCTCTTCCAGTTTGCCAGCCACTGACCCTTCCATTTATCAACTCTGTGCTAGTTGGTTTTGTTGACTTTTCCAAACCTGATAATACAAAGATGTCACGTGGGTTCTAGGATGGGTCCCTTTCTTTATCCAAATCGTGTTGGGCTCATTTTGTTTGGAGCCCAAGAGGTGATTTTCTTTTAAGGCCCGAGTCTATTGGTCTGGTTTGGGCTAGGCCTTTCTGGATCTTGGGTTTCCTCTTGTTGGGCTAGGCATGCTAATTTAGGCCCAAACACAAATGTCCAGGGTATGCTAAATAAGAGATAAAGTAATCTAAAGAAGATTAGATTTGAGAGACCCTTAATCTCTAACTGTAGTATCCCAAAATGTTCCTAATCCTAGGGTTATCAAATGGGCATTGATAAACCATCAAGATTGGCACATATTATGTATGCTCAATAAAGAGGATGGTTAGTCTCAAACCATTTGTGTAGTTTACATTAAAACAAGTATGTGGGGGCTCATTAGTGAATGAGTACACTAAACGCGATCAACCGTAGTTCTCGTATGGAGTATTTATCTACATGTCAAACTAGAACTCATAGTTGCAATAATGCAAATTAGTCTTTAGACTTGAGGCATCATGGTTGTCCTATGATGCGTTATTGATCTTTGATAGCTCTCAAAGGCAAGCAGTAAAAGATTTGTCTTAAGTCTTATTAGGGTCTCTTAATTCATCATAGGGGCATGTGAATGTATAATACGGAATCTCTACTTTCGATAAAGGAGGAGAATGTTTCGAGATGTGATTTAGCAAATCTTTGGCCGAAGTATTTTGAGCTTGATTTAGAAAGTTGTTCTTAATCATGTTCTTTTGAATCACATGAGGTTATAAATCATATTAGGGGTTTGACATAATCAATTTGTACCCTAATAATATGATTTGAAACATTGTATAAGAGAAGGACCATACTGCATTGCAATTCCAATTGAATAGGTTCTTCATTTATTCTGGTTAGGTTGGGTAGCCTTTATATATTGCTAGATGTCACTCTTGGCTTGTGGAAGTCCTAGGATTGATTGTGATCAATTCAAATAAAGGAAGAATTAAAAGGGGGTTTTAATTCCAGTTGATTAGAAAGAGTTCTAATATTTTCCCACTACCTTGCTAATTAGAACCTAATGGATCACACACCTTAAATGGTTAACTTTGAGTAAAACAAATGAGAATAAGGAAATCAATTTGATTGATTTGATGTGTATGATTACTACGTGTAAAATGTATTTGGGCCTAGGTAATAGTAAACGGGAAGCCAAAATGGTTGGGTATCAAGCCCAAGGGTGGGCTTAAGACACCTAAATATTATGATTTAAGTGTCACAAGACCCAATTTTAGAAGCCCAATGGGATTTGGCCGAAAATGCTTAAGTAAATGTGTATGAGAATTGTTTCCATAAGCTCATTTAACATACAAACACAATCCAACATCAACCAAATAGGTTTGGGAGATAAAAGAGAATTTTCAAGAGTGAAACACTTTCATCTTCCAAAGGGGTTTAGATTGAAACCAATGTTCATAATCTTGCACTAGCATCCTTGTATTCTCAAGATACTTCCTCTCATCTCAAGGCTCCATTGGTGTGGAGACTTAAAGGCCATAAACTTTTGTGGCTCACATGGAGGACAAAGATCAAAGAGAAGAACAAAGATAAAAAAGGAGATCAACAAAGAGGAAATCATCAAGAAAAGACCAAACACAAATTGGTTCATATAAATGCTTCAAGGGTAATTAGATCTTATCCTTTCTCTTGAATTTTCCATTTATGAAAAACATATCAATGTTCATGGCTTAAGATACTTGGAAGAAATTTGTTTTTTAATTTAAACGACCACCATAGACTTCCGTTGCGATTAATTTGATTTAATGCATGTTTAATTCAAATGAACTTCTTAAAATATGTTTTAAATCCTACAACGTTGCCCAAACAAGAAGTGAAAGGCAAAGTATATTGTAAGTGACATAGTTCTTTCTCTCATGCCATGAATAATTGTGTGCAATTCAAGGATATCATTCAAGACCTAATAGTTGAGGGCAAGATCCTCTTGGATAAGCCCGCTACTATGAGGATCGACAACGAGCCTATTCCTGCACATATGATTGGGGTCAACTGGCCCGAAAGGCAAAACAAAAGGAAGATCACTGTAGACATTAGAGAAGAAGGCACCAAAAAGGTAACATTGAAGACCAAAGGCAACCATCATACTTGTGATGTGCAGTTGATGCAAATGTCAGTGTGAATTAGAAATACCAGCAGATGATGTGAAGATAGATGAGCAATTGGTCATACAGGAAGCAAACAAGATTCAGAGCTTGGACAAACTAGCACCTGAATCATATGGACATTTTAGCCCGAACGAGGATCGGAAAAATTCATATGGCATTTTTGATAAACTAGACAATATCATAAATACTGGAATTCAGATTTTCTCTAAGAGTTTTTTTGAATATGTGAGGTTAGAAGACAGAGAAAAATGGCAGACGAGGTTGACTCAGCCCGAATGCATGGCTTCATCTTCACAAACAAGGAATTTTCCTGACATGAGACTTGCTACTATGCATGGGAATGAGAAGAAAGACAATCGGGTTCGAGCATATCCCACTCTGGCCAATATGGGACCAGCAAACAAAGTAAAACTAGCAATGATCCAGAATGGCAAATGGTAACTGGTTGGAAAGGAGGGTAAGCCCGAAAAAGAGTTAACCAACACTTAGGCCCAAAGGATCAAGAGACAGTATGGAAAAACTAGAAGAAATAGAAGGGCAAAGGCTCAATCCCAACCTAAAGGCATTACAGGTGACCTATGATCCTAAAGCACATGATAAGGGCCGGGAACCTACCACCTCAATAGCAGGTCTCGCCATATCACAAGCTTCACCACAACTGTCTTGCAAGATCAGTTTCTGACCAATCAGAAGACGTTTGGCAGTCACCATCAATCATATCCAACTTCCAGAATAATGAGGATTTGACTAGAGAAGACTATTTTGAAACAGCCAACTTCTACTGCTATGAACAAACCTTCTACCCTTAACAGAGTAAAGACATCTATTATTCCAGTTCCACAAGAGTTTACACCTAGATCAATGAAGTCTAACATTCAAGTCATACTGCCTAAGAAATTAGTGGATGTTGAGCTTTTATTAGAGAAAGAAGTAGGTAGTCTATCTGAAAGAAAATGATGATTGGTTGAATTATGAGCTCAATCACGAAGAATTCAAGACTGCCTTAGGTATGAAGATCGAAGGCCATGATGATGAAGTGGTGGAAGAAACACAACCCAGTCATGTCTCAACTCTGACTTTTGGTACAATACAAATGGTCTCTAGTACAAAAATTTCTGGGCCAACTGTGACGTCGAAAAAATCGATAGTTCAGCCAGAATTCATGTTGTTAGACCAAGAAGCAAACGGTTCAGATAACCAGCCAATGGAGATCGAACCGAAATCAGACAAGCAATCTCCACAGTTACCAGTCATGCCAGTTAACATGGTGTACCTTCTCTCAGCCTCTTACAGGCCACAAGAAGGTCAGTGAGCAACATAGAAGGCGACATTCTTATGGGAGATCGTCCCACTACTTTGATTGGAATAAGAGAAGACCATGACGAAAGACCTGAGATCTTGCAAATCAAAGATTCGGGCCCAATTTCAGGATGCATAACTTTCAAAGAGGCACTTTCCTAAGATATTTTTCACTAAACCAAATAGGTCAATGACCAAACACTTAAGACCTTTATTTATTTATGCCAGAATCAATGGATTTCCTTTCAAGAAGGTATTAATTTATAAGGGAGCCGATGTCAACATTCTGCCTTACAAGAGGATGGAAAAATTGGGTAAGACCAAGGTAGATCTCATTCCAACTGAATTGACTATCTCTAACTTTGCTGGAACCATTACTGCCATTCATGGCATTTTTATAATAGAGTTGGAAGTTGGATCCAAGAATCTCATGGTATCTTATCTAGCCGTGGACAACACGTCCTCTTATCATGCCTTGAGGGGTAAGGATTAGATCCATCAAACTATGAACATACCTTCTTATCTCCAACATGAATTATTGATGTGGAATGAAGAGATCAAGGATTATGAAATAGTTAAAGCCGACCCAAAGCCATTCCTACTGTTAGCCAATAGTATTGCTGCCAGATTCTACAATGAGGACATTGCTCATTTGACGGTTTCAAAGCTAATCAAGAACGGCCACTCTCAGTACAACTTGATGAAACAACTTGGTTTGGCGGGCCATCTTACCACTTGGAACACATGTGGCACGTATAGGGAAATGAAGTCCTACTTGGGAAGGTCCCTTCATAATTAGCAAAATCCTGGGCAAAGGAGTCTATCTACTCCAGGGAAGATATGGCATTATTCATCAGCATCCAATTAATGGCCAATGGTTAAAAAAGTTCTTGCCCTCTTTGTGGGAAACAACAGGCATCGATCTCAGTAAAGACTGAACCAAGGATTGTTGTTTTTTGCTTATGTTGAGCCTATTTTCAGTTCATTTATCATTCCTTTTGTAAAAGTTACCCATGACCAGGGCGATTGTATGAAATTCATATGATTTTTCGAAAGCTAGCTCATGATTTTAGACTTAGATATTTCCATGCATGAAATCAACTTCTTGCCAGGATTAATAATCGGCGAAATGTTGCATCACAAAAGCTGAAAGTTTACAAAAGAAAATGAAAGGAGGGTTTCTATTTTAAAAGCATAGTGCAGAGTGTCTACGAGGAGTTTTTCGGTCCTAATCCTTTTCATTTTTCCACTCCACACCTCTAGACCAACCTCTACATCTGCTTTCTTCAATTGCTCCTGAGTAGAGGTCATAGCTTCCAGCATTTGTTCAGCCTTCTCCTGCATACCTGCCTTTCTCTCCAACACCTGCTGTAGCCTGGCCTTGAGGTTTTTAGGCTCCAGTTTACCTGCCTCAACATTGCCTCATTTTCAGCATTCTCCTGTTGGTGGTCCTGCAGAATCTCTTTCTCATGCGCTAATTTTGTATTCAATTCTAGGAGCAAAGAAGTCTCTTGAGAGGAAGCACCACACTTCTTGAATTCGCCAACCAGAGCCTCCAGGTCCACTCAGGCACTCTCAAATGATGCTGCAAAGCTTGGATCATCTAGGGCTCTTAAGACCTTAGTACATTGTCTTTCGCTGATCTTCTCATCCAATGACAGCAGCAACCATCCTTCCATTACAACCTTTCCTTTTTCCTTGGACATAAAGGCATTGACAACATTTTCATACCTAGGCACATTGGCCTCCACCCCTTCCATGGGCACAGAGGAGGTTTCTGGGGGAGGTGTTGGTGCAGCAGTTTCAGGTTCGCATCCTTGAGGCTGGGGGGCATCAACAGGTTCTGGCTCTTCACGAACTTGAACCATAAATACATTACTATTGCAAGACAACTATACCATGACTCCTAAGAAAGAATCAACCGAAGGAAATAAAAAGTTTTCATACCTCAGGATTAACAACATCAGTAGCATGCTCTCCATCTTCCCCAACTGGTTCTTGAGGCTGAGGAGTACTGTTTGGAAAGAACCCCCTCAATCTATCAAATAAGCCCGAGACTAGTAGGCATGCAACTTCATCTTGCAACTGTGGCTAAGGAGTTAGTACTTCAAAGTTTGGAATAACCAAAATAAGGTCAGTTTTTACCTTAGTACGAGGAACATTTATTGAAGTAGAAGTCCCTGCTCGAGCTCCTTCAGAAGGAGGCTTCACTTCTCCTGCTCTAGCTCCTCCTTGAAGAACTTCCCCAGCATTAGGATTTGGGCTTGGAGGTAGCACTAAAGCTAGTGGAGGGCAAGGAAACTACTCCATTCCTTCTACTAACCAACGGATGGATAACCAGAAAGAAATACTTGGGGGAAAGTAGTGGCTGACTCTGGAGCCTTTGCAGGTGAAGACTTACCTGCTTGTTCTAAGTAGTTTCGAGCTGAGCCTGGCCCACATCACCATCACTTACAGACTCCTCAAGTAAGGACCTCTTTCTGGCACCCAGTTTTTCAACTGCATCAAACAAAGGGACGATTCAGAATCCATGCAGTTAAGAAAATAAATTCCTAAGGACATTACAAAACATTTTTTTTACCTCTGCCTGAAGAGGTAGGAGAAAGAGGTACAATAGAATCGAGCTTGCTAGTCTTTGAAGGGCTAGTAACCTTGGCAACAAGAGAAGGAGAGGGCGCTGTCTTCACTAAATTTCGCTTCCTCTGAACAAAAATCAGAACTTTAGGCCCAGCAAACCCTGAACCTTCACCAGTAGCTTTACCCTTCTCAGTCGCCAACTCTTTGAATGGACGGAAAGTCTTGTGACTAGTGGCAACTGCAAACAACATAAGAAGCTAGTTAAAAATAGAGACAAGATAAATACAAGTCTACTCAACTAAGAATTTTTCTTACCAGTCATTGGCAACTTGTTATCTTCTGCCAGCTGGGCGAGAAGTGCTTGATTCTCTCTTTTGCCAAGCTCCCGACGAAAAGGGCAACCCTTGAACACCTTTTTGTATGCGGCTTCTATGGCCCCAAATCAGCCTTGGTAGTGATCCCACCAAGCTTGGAAAGCCTCTATGCAATAGCAATCAAGTTGATAGGACTTTAGTTCCAGAGCTTGGGTAGAATCCATATGCTTGGGCCTAATTCACAGAAGCTCTTCTTGGCTCAACTTGGGAAATCTATAAGATGAACCATTGTTGACTTGAGAATAATTCAACTATGGAATTACTTGGGGGCATCCAAGCTGCCTGCTGAAGAATTAGGGGTTGTAAGCCTCTACACCATATTGGTAGTTTCTGGTGTGCATTTTCCCACCATAGGGCAGATCTCTTGATTGAAGGCATGAGAACACCTCCATATTGTCAGAAACCATGGGCTTGTTAGCATCCTTAGGGCCCTAATAGCTAAGTTTGCCCTTAAACAAGGAACAACTCTTCTTCAGACTCATCAACCATTGAGCAGCATGTCTGGTCTTTCTGCCCATGAAGAATGTGAAACACTCTTCAGTTGTTTTCCTGAAATTGGGCTTAAGACAAACTCCATCAAAGGCACCACATTAGGGGCCACCTGCAGCTTTCTTCCTTTCAACTCTGGAAACAACCATTGGAGCCAAACTTGGACCATCCACAAAGGTCCTTTTATGTTAAGATTGATGGGCTCAATAGTTGGCTCTCTCAAACCTCTATAGATGGAGGCCAACATTAACGAACCGGTGGCAATATCTCTATAAGTGGCTAGACCCTTTGCTAGTTGGAGCCACTCCATTGTAATACAATTGGAGGCACTGGGAAATATGAATCTGTTCAGCCAGTACAAGGAACATAATGTGCTCGCCATGGGTATAGTCGACTTCCTTATTCAGAAAATCCCTCACGAAGGCCCCATAAGCTTGACTGGAGACAATTATCCCAAAAAGAGTTTCAATGCTCTTTTTCCTCTCTTTATCCTTTGAAGGATCATCTTGGAAATCTTCCAACCAATCGACGCTTCTTCCATAAGGCCGAAATCCAGAAACCACAGCAAGGTCAAGGATGGAGACTGACATCGAACCAACCCCAAAGTCGAAAGTGTTGGAGGCACTGTTCCAGACATTAAGGTAGGATTGAGAAGTGGAGAATTGGCCTGAAGTTTAATAGTCGAATACGTAATGGCATGATAGATACCATTATTGAGCCAAGAATTCTTGTACTGAGGTTCCATCCTCTTTACCCAATCTGCCCAGTGAAGGTCCACACTCGACACATCGATTTTTGGAAAGAACCTTGGCAATGTCTTGCTTCAATTCATCTAGTCGATTCCTTTCGACTGACAAGTTGGGATAGGAGCCCTGATTGAGTGAGGTTCATACTAGCACAGCTGATCACCCTTCTTCTCCAGATATCTAGGTTCCAGGACACAGCTATTGTTTGAAAAGCTGACACTATCCTTTACAGAGTGTTAGGACCAATTTTTGGTATATTGGCAATTTCCTGTTACAAAAACATAGAGTAGGTCTTTGAGTGTAACCTACAGTTTTCAAGTGACATTCTGCTATCCTGGATCAGTGTGGCTCAGAGACAATGCCAAGGTATGTTTTGCATCCATGCATTCATATTTTCATATTTGCTTGATCATCAAAAGTGGCTGTAAGATGTACATGACTGATATATGATTTCAGTCTTATATAATCCAGTGCCAGACATCAATGAGTTTTTAACGATGGTTTTATATTCTTTAGCAAAAGGGCTCTTTTGTCTTTACAGCTGGGTTTTTAATTAAGTGGCTTTATTTGTTTTAAAGAAATAATTTATTTGTTAAAAAGCCCATTTTTGCTAAAAGCCTTTTTTGGTCTCTGACCTAGTTTTAAGCGTGTAATAAAAGAAAGGAACTTAGCATTTTTGTTGGTGTGTCTGCAACATTGAAAAAGAAGAAGAACGACAAAATATTTGCAGAGAGGTTTTTGAGAGTTCATATTGAAAACTCATGTGGCTGTTCCTTATTAGCCTCCATGAGTGATTAAATAATCATCTTTTCATATATGTGTGAGTTCATGAGCATTATGCATGTTGGTGATCAACAATCATGCCTTGAGGTGTGAGCAACCGAGACTAGAGTTGTGCCATCTCTTGTTGACGAAGGAAGACAAGATCTCTGGTTGGGTTAAGTAGCAAAGGCGAGTAGGCAAGTCTGCCTTGTGAGCATTAGTCTTGTGAGTTGAGACTTGTAAGACCTTTTTGTATTCTTTCTCATAGTGATTTGTTCTCCGGCATAGTGCCCGCAGTTGTTTTCCTCATCTTGAGGTTTTTTACTGCGTCAACATATCGTGTGTCCCTTGTGCAATTGTTTGCGTTTTTATTTGAATTTATTCTGCTGCGTATTCTGGAATTTTTGCTTACAGGATTGTTACAGTATTTCAATCCTGTCGTGGTGTTTGAGTATTAAGAAACAGATCAGTTGGCCATTCTAGGGAATTTCATTTGGCATCAGAGCTGGTCACTAGACGTGCTTAGTGAGATCGTTGGGCTGTGCTAGAATGGATCGTGCATGTGGGTCTGTGACTCATCCTCCGTTTCTTGATGAGAATACTAACTATGGGGCTTGGAAAGCTAAGATGAAATCTTTTCTGTGGGCTCAAGGTACAAAGGTGTGGACAACTATTGAGAATGGTTGGGAACCTCCAACAAAGGAAATTAAAGGGCGTGGAAAAGAGGTTGAAGGTGAAGGCCAGTCGACAACAAAGGTTGTAATTAAGCAAAATACAGAGTGGACTGATGAAGAAAACGATATGAGTGCCTACAATCAAAAAGGTCTTAACTCCATCTTCACTGCGGTATCAGCTGAAAATTTGAGTTTATATGTCATTGCAAAACCTCAAAGGAGGCTTGGGATATTCTGGAAATTACTCTTGAAGGAAATGCCACTGTCAGAGAATCCAAACTTCAACAACTGATGACTAAGTTTGAAAATTTGAAGATGCTGGAAACTGAAAAATTTGCTGAATTTTACGCTAGATTGAGTGTGGTGGTGAATGCTTGCAGCAACCTTGGTGATGCAATTCCTGAACACAGAATAGTGAAAAAGATTTTGAGATCTCTGCCTATGATGTATCACGCCAAGAAGACAGCGATTGAAGAGTGTAAGAATTTGAACACTTATAAACTTACTGAGTTAATTGGTTCTCTTACCACTTATGAGATGGAATTTCCAGAAATAAAGAAAAGCAAGGGCATTGCTCTAAATACAGTGAAAGAAGATGGGAGTGACAGTGTGTCAGAAGACAAAATGGATTATGCTTTGCTTACAAAACAATTTCGTAAGTTTTTGAAATCTAAGAATTCAAGGTCTGGTGAACAAAGAGGAAATTCAGGTTCAAGTACAAGAGGGAGTCGCCCTCGTGAGTTTACTTCTGACAAGTTATCACATACAACCAGAACTATGGAGAGAAAGGGCTCTAAAGATTCACTGAAGTGCTTTGAATGTGGTGGATATGGACACTTTGCCTCTGAATGCGCAAATAATTTGAGGAAGCAAAATAGTGGGAAAAATAAAGTAATGGCAGCAACTTGGAGTGATAGTGAGTCTGATAATGATTCAAATTCAGAAAATGAAGATCAAGTTGTTGCTTTCTCTGGGAGAATTCATGCGCAAAAGGATGAGAACTCTGATGTTGAAGAACCTGAGATAGAAGTGGTGATGAAGCAATTCAACAGTCTCTATGATTCCTCTGAAAAACTGAAGAAGAAAAATGCAGAGCTTGTTGATCAAGTGGCTTTTCTACAAGACGAAACTGACCAGGACTGAAGCTGCCTTTCAATCCCAGCTGAAAACAGAAGAAAATCTGCGTGGGTCTTTGCTTGAAAAAATTCAGATGCTCCAAGACAAGTACCAGCTGCAGAAAGATATGAATGTTTCTCTTACTTTCGAAAGGGACCATGCTAGTGCTGAATTAAAATTAGCAACGGAAAAAATATTTGGTATGACCATTGGTGCAGAGAAGATTGACAGGATGTTAAGTCTGGGAAAAAGGGCTGGTGATACGAGAGGTTTGGGTTTTGAAAGTGAAAAGTCTAAGCAAGAGGTCAAAGCTGTGAAATTCATCAAAGAATTCTCTTCTATTGAAGCGAAGGTTAGCCCAAAGAAATTTATACCGATCTGTCATTTTTGTGGAGTTTTTGGTCATATACGGCCTAGATGCAATGTGCTTAGAAAGAAGAAGAGGTCAGCTTACTACTATTCTCCAAGAAATTTTAATCCATCTCAAAGAACCAAACTAGTGTGGAAAAAAAAGGAGGAAAAGTGCTTGGTGACTTTAATGGCCTTATCTGCTAGAAAATCTGATACATGGTATTTCGATAGTGGTTGTTCAAGACATATGTCTGGTGATAAATGTTGGTTTACAAATCTGAATACAGAGTGTGTGGAAGGCTCTGTGACATTTGGAGATGGAAGTAAAGGTAAAATTTTAGGGAAAGGAGATGTTGAGACACTTGGCTTACCATTCTTGAAAAATGTCATGTTGGTGGAAAATTTGCAGGCAAATTTGATAAGCATCAGTCAACTTTGTGATGATGGTAGCAGCGTGTGGTTTGATAAAGATCAATGTTATGTTGCTGATTTTCAAGGGAAGAAGGTTATGAGTGGCATGAGATCCAAAGATAATTGCTATTGTATTCAGGTGAATGAGAACAAAAGTCTTGTGTGCAATCGCGCTACTGATGACGTGATGGAACTGTGGCATAGAAGACTTGGTCATATCAACTTTCGTGATCTCTTGAAGCTGTCCAAGAATGAGTGTGTCAGAGGTCTGCCAAAGCTGAGTGGTAAGTCTGCAGGAGTGTGTGGTGCGTGCCAATTAGGTAAGCAAGTCAAGAGTGCTCACAAAAGCATATCCTACATATCAACATCCCAACCATTAGATTTGCTGCATATGGATTTAGTTGGTCCCATTCAGACTGAGAGCATAGGTGGAAAGAAGTATATGTTGGTGTTGGTGGATGACTTTACTCGGTTTACTTGGGTTGATTTTCTTCGTGAAAAATCTGATGCATTCAAGAGTTTTCGTGGCCTATGCAACAAAATTCAGATCGAGAAAAATGCTTCACATGTTACTGTCATGAGACTTCGAACAGACCATGGAACAGAGTTTGAAAATGTAAGCTTTGCTGAATATTGTGAAGAGAAAGGAATAAAGCACGAATTTTCAGCACCTATTACACCTCAACATAATGGGGTGGTTGAGAGGAAGAATCGCACCTTGCTTGAAATGGGACGTGTGATCTTGACAAGTGCTAAGATAGCGAAGAAATTTTGGGCAGAAGCTATTAGCACAGCATGTTATACAGCAAATCGTGTATATCTTAGACCGGGCACAACTTCAACTCCTTATGAGCTTTGGAAAGGGAGAAAACCTAACATAAAGCACATGAGGGTTTTTGGGAGCGTCTGCTATATTTATAGAGATAGAGAAAACCTAGCAAAGTTTGATACAAGAAGTGATGCTGGCATCTTTTTGGGTTATTCTCTCACTAGCAGGGCTTATAGGGTGTTTAACAAGAGGACATGTACGGTAATGGAATCAATTAATGTTGTTGTCAATGATACTGATATGTCATTTGGTTCTTGTGCAGATGATGATGAGGATATTATTCCAGCAGCTCCTAGGCAAGAAGAAAAGGACAAGGTGGCTAACATTAATGATGAAGTGCATGCAGAAGAAGATATGTTTTCACCTCCTCTTAGACCTGGTGCTCGGCAAGTCCAAAAAGACCACACACCATCTGATATTATTGGAGATTTAAATGATCAAAGAAAGACAAGAAGCCAAGTCGTTGCGGAGGTAACTCATCTGTGCTATGTTTCCAAATTGGAACCAAAAAATTCAAAAGAAGCACTTCTTGATTGTGATTGGATCATGGCTATGCAAGAGGAGTTAGACCAGTTCACTAGAAATGATGTGTGGTACTTGGTTCCACGTCCCAAGGACTTGAATGTGATAGGTACAAAATGGGTTTTCAGGAACAAAACTGATGAAAATGGTGTTATTACAAGAAATAAAGCAAGGTTGGTTGCACAGGGATATTCCCAGGTTGAAGGGTTGGATTTTGATGAAACTTTTGCTCCCGTGGCAAGGCTTGAATCAGTTAGATTGCTTTTAGCTATAGCTTGTCATATGAGGTTCAAACTACACCAGATGGATGTGAAAAGTGCGTTCCTAAATGGGGTTTTACAGGAGGAGGTATATGTAGAACAACCTGTAGGATTCAAAGATCCTTACAATCCTGATCATGTATATCGTCTTAGAAAAGCTCTCTATGGGCTGAAGCAAGCTCCTAGGGCTTGGTATGATCGGTTGTCATCCCATTTGCTGAATAAAGGGTATGTCAGAGGAGCTGTTGACAAAACTCTGTTTGTCAAAAAGACCAACAAGGACTTGATTGTTGCTCAGGTTTATGTCGACGATATTGTTTTTGGGTCTACATCTGAATTTCTTGTAAAAGAATTTACTGAAGTTATGGGCAGCGAATTTGAGATGAGTATGTGTGGGGAGCTGAGCTATTTCCTAGGCCTGCAAGTCAAGCAACAAGATCATGGTATCTTTATTTCTCAAACCAAGTATGCAAAAGACTTGGTAAAAAAGTTTGGTATGAGTTCTGCCAAACCAACAAGGAATCCCATGGCTACACACAACAAAATTGATGCTGACCCTTCTGGAAAATGTGTAGAACAAACACTTTACAGAAGCATGATTGGAAGCCTCTTATATTTAACAGCCAGTCGACCCGACATCTCATTCAGTGTTGGTGTGTGCGCTCGCTTTCAGGCAAATCCAAAGGAGTCTCACTTGAATGCAGTCAAGAGAATCATCAGATATGTAAGTGGTACTCCAACTTTAGGTGTATATTATTCATTTGACTCAAATTCTGAAATTGCAGGTTACACCGATGCCGATTGGGCTGGAAACGTTGATGATAGGAAGAGCACATCTGGAGGGTGCTTTTATGTAGGTAATAATCTTGTGTCTTGGCATAGCAAAAAGCAAGCTTGTGTTTCCTTGTCTACAGCCGAAGCGGAATACATTGCTGCTGGAAGTTGTTGCACACAACTACTATGGATGAAGCAAATGATGAGTGATTACGGCATTCATCAAGGTACTTCAACTCTTTTTTGTGATAATCTGAGTGCAATAAATATTTCCAAAAATCCGGTTCAACACTCACGAACAAAACACATAGATATTAGGCATCATTTTATTCGTGAATTGGTTGAAGAAAAGGTGGTAAGTCTTGAGTTTGTTTGCACAGAAAAACAATTGGCTGATTTGTTTACAAAACCATTAGACACAGTTCGTTTTGAAGCTCTCAGGAAGTCTCTTGGTATTTGTTCCATTGAATGAACTCCCTCTAATTTTTTTTGCATTCACATTTCATTGTTGTATGCCCATGTCGAATAGGTTTCTTAGTTTCTGTTATTATTATTTTTTTTCCTTCGGTTTTATTTTTTGTAGCCTTGTAGTATATCATTGCATTGCATTTTCAATCCCATTGTCATAAGCTTGTATTTCTTTGAACTAAGATTGGGTTTTCTAGTCTGAGTATGGGACTAACTGTGAGACACATGCTCTTAGTTGGCAAATTTTTTTCTATGTTAGTCTCTGGCATTAATCTTTGCTTGGCATTTTCACAGCATTTCCTTGGTTCTTGCACACGCACACCAATATGAGTTATGAATGCCTTTGTTGCAAGATTTCACTTTAAACGAAAATGATAGATATCTTTGGAGCTTGACTCAGGTTCTCCCAAAGTAGCCGGACCTCTTACCTAACCAGTGTCGAGGGTCGCGTCGAATACGGGATGGCTTGGTCCTATTTATTTTCAAAAAAAAAAAAAAAGTGTCACAACTTTGAAGCCTTTTGACTCGAGTTGCTAAGCCCATGGAGTATCCTTGATATACTTAGTGCCCTAAAGTCCTCTGGCTTGGGAGCATCTGGCCTAAGACTTGTTACAAGTCACTAGAAAGCTTAATAAAGTTGTGGACCGTGCTCCATAAAGAAAAAATATATATACAGCACAATTGTGAATCTGTTGAATACCATTTGTATGCATTGTCATTCCTATCTCTCTATTGGTTCACTTTTCACACCAAGGACCCTTGTGAATTTTTGCTAACCTTGATTATATGGTGTTGCCTAACATGGAGAGATATTTCACAACACTTGATGTTGTGGGTTCTCATTGTTACTCTTCAATTTTGACTTGATATCTCCTTACAAGCTTTGCTTAGAAATCTCGTTTGTGACACTGGTTTGAAAAATAAATAAATAAATAAATAAAAATTTCATCTTGTGTGCCTTCTTGCTCCTTCGTCATTACATGTATCTTTTCATACATTCATGGGAGATTTCATAATTTGGAACTTTTGCCTACATTGTTCTTCCTGGGAGTGGTTGTTTGATGTGCAAGTGGTTATTTCTTTGAGGGGGAGTTTGCCATTACCTATCCAAAAAAAGGGGAGTAAACATTCTGAGTTTTATTTTGACATATTGTCTTTTCAACCATACATGCTTTTCACTGGTTATTTTTTGGTTTAGTGGTGCAGAATTCAGGTTACCTTTTCTATTGCAAGTGGTTATGTTTGAGGAATTCTTTTCACTCACTTGTACTTGGTTTAGGGGGAGATTGTTAGGACCAATTTTTGTAACTAGAGTTTTTGTATAGGAAATGCCAAAGGGGGAGATTGTTAGGACCAATTTTTGGTATATTGGCAATTTCCTGTTACAAAAACATAGAGTAGGTCTTTGAGTGTAACCTACAGTTTTCAAGTGACATTCTGCTATCCTGGATCAGTGTGGCTCAGAGACAATGCCAAGGTATGTTTTGCATCCATGCATTCATATTTTCATATTTGCTTGATCATCAAAAGTGGCTGTAAGATGTACATGACTGATATATGATTTCAGTCTTATATAATCCAGTGCCAGACATCAATGAGTTTTTAACGATGGTTTTATATTCTTTAGCAAAAGGGCTCTTTTGTCTTTACAGCTGGGTTTTTAATTAAGTGGCTTTATTTGTTTTAAAGAAATAATTTATTTGTTAAAAAGCCCATTTTTGCTAAAAGCCTTTTTTGGTCTCTGACCTAGTTTTAAGCGTGTAATAAAAGAAAGGAACTTAGCATTTTTGTTGGTGTGTCTGCAACATTGAAAAAGAAGAACGACAAAATATTTGCAGAGAGGTTTTTGAGAGTTCATATTGAAAACTCATGTGGCTGTTCCTTGTTAGCCTCCATGAGTGATTAAATAATCATCTTTTCATATATGTGTGAGTTCATGAGCATTATGCATGTTGGTGATCAACAATCGTGCCTTGAGGTGTGAGCAGCCGAGACTAGAATTGTGCCATCTCTTGTTGACGAAGGAAGACAAGATCTCTGGTTGGGTTAAGTAGCAAAGGCGAGTAGGCAAGTCTGCCTTGTGAGCGTTAGTCTTGTGAGTTGAGACTTGTAAGACCTTTTTGTATTCTTTCTCATAGTGATTTGTTCTCCGGCATAGTGCCCACAGTTGTTTTCCTCATCTTGAGGTTTTTTACTGCGTCAACATATCGTGTGTCCCTTGTGCAATTGTTTGCGTTTTTATTTGAATTTATTCTGCTGCGTATTCTGGAATTTTTGCTTACAGGATTGTTACAGTATTTCAATCCTGTCGTGGTGTTTGAGTATTAAGAAACAGATCAGTTGGCCATTCTAGGGAATTTCACAGAGTAAGAATTAAGCCCGACCTTTGGCAAATCTTTCAACCAGAGCATGAAAGACATCGGCAAACTAACTCACTCCATCCTCCGAAATGAAGGGAGGACCCTAGGGTATAGTCTTTGATGAAGAAGAATCAAGAGCAGCAGAGTCTTTTTTTGGCACCATTTGATCAAATGGTTATCTTTGTATTTGAAAGTTCGAAGTTTGAAAATCAGAAGTTAGGACTTTTATGAAAAACTCTGGTTCTCTTGATGCGACACTTAGAATTCTGAAAGGTGAAAATGGAGGAGGTCACGAATCAAGAATTTAAAGCTTGGAGCTTCTTTTCAAGCGAGCCGTTTGTCAAACAGTCTTTCCCATGTGGACAAACCACGTCCTTTTACAATTCCATGAATAAGGCACCTCAAACAACGTGGGAAAAGCCCACTTTATTAAGTACAACCAAAAAATCATTAAAAGTTTTAAAATAAGGCACCCACCTTATTCCTTAAACGAATTTTTGTTTAAAATAAGGCAAGAACCTTAGCAAAAGCTCTAAATACACTCCGATAATATCGCTGCAAAGCGCTTATAGATATAGTTGATGTATTCCAATGGAGAGTCCAGATCCGAATACAAGAGAAGGCAAAAATAGGAGATGTTGGGTTAGATTGGCGAAAAACAAGGGGCACAACAGCATGAGACATTTAATCTCAACACAGAGCACAAGGCTCAAGCAATCACCACAGTAGGGAGAAGCAACCAACTCTTAGAGAGAGCCACGAGGGAAACCAAACAGGCTCAAATCCGGAAAAACAAAAAGAAAAAAAAACAAAAGCAAAAATTGAAAAACCGGGAATAACTCTGCAAAATCAGAGCAAAACCCCCAAAGAGGTGGAAGAGAAAGGAAACGGCAGGAAAAGGGGGATGAGGGAGAAAACAAGAAAAGAAAGGAGGAAGATGACGAAAGAAAGAGAAAAATAAAAAACTCGAAAAACATGGAGTGAGAGAACAGAAAGAGAAAGAGGAAGGGGGAGAGGGAACTAGAAAAGGAAAGAAAAGAGGAAGAGGAGGAAGGGAAAAAGAAGAAAAAACCAGAAAAAGTGAAGATAAAAAGGGAGGAAGGGGTAGAGGGAATGAGGGAGTGAAAGGAGGGGCGGGGAGGAGGGTCAGTGACCACTTCCTCCCAGCGGCACAAGAAGAGAAGGGGGCTGGGGTTGGGAGAAAAATCGCAGAGCAAGAAAACTGATGTTGTCTTTGAGTATCTACAAAAGAGATGTTAGGAGGACTAATAATGCACAAATGGTTAGCAAAAAAAAAAGTTAGCAATGCTAGAATACGTGAAAGAAACAATTTTGCAAACACAAATTTTATTTGAAAAATTTACAGGAAATTATCATCTATTAAACACGCTACTGAAAGGATGTTACGTCTTACTGCATGTACATATAATATGCTTGATAAAATTAAAGTACTATTCTTATGAAATTCCTTGCTTTAACTATTCCCACCGCCTGAGCTACAGAGTGAAGTAAATCTTCCATCACGTAGCTTCTTTCTTTCCTTGAACCCCTGAAACAAAATTCCAAATGTGATTCTTAGTCGCTCCAAAGTCAAGACACATTAAGAATTTCAACTATCAGCTAAATAGATAACCTTTATCCACAAGGGACTTTACGCAGATGATTTTGTCATATCTAATTTCTTTTTCTCGGACGAGTATTTCTGACAGTTGCGGCTCCAATGTCCTAACTCGCCGCAATGGAAACAATTTCCTTTGGAAATGTCTCTGTAGCTGGCACCCATGCCGAATTGCCCAGGGCGTCCATTGTTTTCATACGGCAAAGAGGATGAACTTGACTGAGGATATCCAGAGGTGGGAGTTGGCAAAGCATATGGTGTAGCAGCTGCTACTGTTGTCAGCTTACAATTACTTTTAGGATGTTGTGGTTGAAACTTGGGAGCAAAAGCATCAAAACTATGTTTCTTCCCTTTTTTCTGCTGTTGTTCAACCTTGGAGGCATGACAACGTTTGTAGTTCTCCTTTAGTTTTTGCAGCTTAGTTATTTCTACTTCAATGTCCCTGGATGGGTATTCAGACTCGAGGTTGTAGTCTTTGATACATTGAATCACATCTAATAGATCAACCATTTGATTGTCTGCAATCTTATCCTGTGATCAAAATTAATCAAGCCTTAAAAGAAAGATGTATAATTATATTGAGGAGTGCCCTAGCTAGATTTAACCATTTAAGAATCAGATATTGCATGTGCAAAGAAGAGCTAAGGTACCATTTCATCAAGTGATTTCCTTTTCACGTACTTTTTCCAGGAATGCTTCTGTATATCATCCACGTATTCTTTTAAGAGTGGCACCAGGGGAAACTTATCCATTAAATTGAAGGTGTAAATGCATCTAACAGCCTCAATCAGTTGCTTCCTCTCAATAAGATTTGCAATAACATCCGCTAAATGTAAAACAACATTGAAGGATTTTCATCAATCTAATTCATATAAGCTTAACCACCCAAACTTTAAACAGAGTAATGTTACCAATGCATTAACTAACAACTGGGCATATAAAAGAACGAACTAGAACACAATAATTATGGAAGGAAAACACAGCGTACCAGTGAGGCAAAACATGAACCAGAACTTGAAACCTTCACTTCCACTATATAAAAGATCCCAACACAATTAATCTGCAAATACTTTCTTACTGAATTAACTTCATTGTACATTTTCCTCGTAAGGTTTACTGACTTAACTTCATTGTACATTTTTGTAATACCTTATCCTGTATCAATAAAAGTTATCTTAGGTTTCTCAATCACCTTCAAGCCATTTGCTAATATTTGACCCATTAATTCTTGAAGGAATATAAAACCAAGCCAAGAATAACTATCATCCACCCCAAGGGGGTCAAGAATCTTGGACACTCTTAGTTACTAACACCCATTGCCAAAATACTCTAAATTCCAGAAAGAAGTTAAATAGCATATTAAAAAATAAATAAGAGCAATGGTAAGTGGAACACAAACCAATATCAAAGCTAATTTTCAGAAAATTACCAGTGATCTTATCTCCAAAACCAAATCCCCGATAATATTCGAGAAGCTGTTTATCCCGAGAAATCATCCCAAGAAGCTTTACAAACCCATCCCCATTTAACGCAGAAGGCAATGCATCTGTAGCAATCTGCAAAGTTTCATTCTGTGTGAAATGACTCCTACTCAAATGCTCATTTGGAACCCCCTGCAAATTCCTAGCATTTGTGGTGGCACTTAGTTGAAGATTTGGAGAAGAAAAGGTTGCTGCATTCTCATCCAGTGAAGATTCTGGTTTCTCTGTTTTGATAGTAGAGCAACTGATGCCACTCGCTTTACAATTGTAAAAGACAAGGAAAAGGTGATAGACAGGTTAGTGAGTGATTAATTCTCAATTTAATTTCTGACAAAAAAAAAATCCTCAATTTAACATGTCACAAGATAGCATTACAGGGAACTTGTGCTTTGATTCAAGTGGTAAGGTGTTGGGTGAGGGTGTGATGTAGGATATGGGTGAATTGGGTATTTAGGTAGTTTAGCGGAAGCGAAAACAATGGAAAACAGAAAATAGAACAAAAGGGATAGGTCTGGAATCACTCCAGGGGTTTGGCTTCACACCAAGTAGTCTCCAATATCTGGAAATAAGCTTTTCTTTATATCTCAACAACTCAACTCCATAATGAATTACATAGACGGGGTATTTATAATAATCTAACCCTAGAGTGAAAAGGAAAATTAAACTTATTCTAGGAAAGAAATCCTAATCCAAATAAAATAGGAAACTTAGAAATCCTACTGAAATCTGGAAAACTCAGAGAACCTAGGAACTAACAAATAAATTAGGAAACTAATTAATAATCCCCTCTTCCATCTCTTTCGTTTGTAAACCCTAATGGGTTTGACAAAGATGTCCTCATCAGGGTGCACATAGCTATTATATTCAAATCTTACCAAGGAAAGCTAGAGACAAATGAGAAAAATAAAAATGAAGGCTTGGTTGCATATGCCAAATCAGCATGTGCTAGTGAGCAAAATTGGAGGATATGGTATCGCCATAGTTTACTAACAAATGGCACCAAAAGAAGAGTATACGTGGCACTGTTTTTGGTCGAAAATATGTCCAGTAGGATTCTTATGATATAAATGAGAAAAGAACATGCAACAAGAGATGCATAGCACAATTTAAAAAAAAACAATTTTAAAAAGGGAGAAATTAAACTGTTCACTATTTTCAGGCCAGCAAAAAGGAGAAAGCATTAACTTCTTGAAAAATAAAAAATAAAAACTGTTTACAATATAAATATTTCTTAAATATTTTCATCATTGCTTGCAATGACTTCTCAAAGTACATAAAGAATGCCACAACAGAATGTAACCAATGCTACTCCATAATGCAAGAACTATAGGCATTGAATTTTTCCTGTTCTCGTCTTTTTTTCTTCTTCTGAAAAGAAGCTCCCTTATGGCACTGCATTACCATTTTAGAACTTTTATTTGTGACATCAATGTTATAAAACAAAATAAAAAAGATTCACAGGCCTATGACCCTATCCCTTCCCATAATATGTACAGTGCATCAACTGCTACTGACATAGATTTCTACTTATTAGCTCAAAAAGGATAAGAAATAAATATATATTTTTTTTAAAGGAAATGAAATTTATTGCCAAAGACGAGAGAACATGAAAGGAAAGTGGCTAAGGAAGCCACAGGGCCCAAGGGCCAACAAAGCGAGCCAAAAAGACAACAAACTACAAGAATCTAGGCTGTAGGAAACAGCAGGCAGCAAGAGGAACCACATGCTACACAATTGCAGCATTCCAATCTAATAAAATGAAACTTCAACTTGAATACATAAATTCAGAGGTCGTAGATGCCCATAGCGAAGAAATATAATAAATAACTCATATGACTCTTCAAGTGTAGAGAATTTCATTAGAAATCAATTTAATATTTTTATGTGCACATTCAGAGAGAGAGAGAGAGAGAGAGAATGATTAAAAAAAATATATAAAAACATAAAAACAGATATAAATATGAAAGAAGTTTGTTTTGAAAAAAAAATTTTATATATATATTACCAGGTGCCTTATCTGCCATGTCAAGGATCCCACACCTTTCAGCTGGCAATCCATGCTCGGCAGCTATACCACGAAGAGTTTGAAGCTCCCCAACGTCATAAGTAGAGGCCAAGTCATATGCAGTAAGAAGCCACAAATAACCCAAAACCTCCAACCAATTCTCAGCTGCCACAATCATCTTAGCTTTCCAATCACCCGCCAACTTCTTCGCTTCTTCTCTCACCTGATCATTAATTTCTGGTGAGACCCTCTTTAACTCCTTTAACAAATGAATACAGCTCCTTCGAATTACACTCAAATCAAAACCAAACTCCCTGTTTCCCACAGTTGAATTTGAAGTGTAAAACCCTTGCATTGCATCCAAAACTAATTTTGCTGGGTCTGATGACACGTGTAGACCAGTTGAGACTTCCGCAGACACTCTATCAGTCATCCTAAAATACTCATTCATGAACACCTGCAAGCTCCTACCATCTCTGATGATGCTTGATTGATTGTTTGTAGGCGAAGGAACAACAGCATTGTTGTTAAGGATGCATTCCAATTGCTCAACCTTCACTTGAGAATGAAGGGTATCAGCCTTCTCCTTCGATTTCTGCTTTCGGGTGTGTTCTTCAGTGGACTTCTCAAATTGTTGTTGTTTCAATTCCAGCTCTTTGGCCTGTTGTTCAAGTCGCCTCGCACATTCTTGAATCGACTTATCAAGCGAATCCAAATGCTTTTTGCGGGGATATAAATGCTTTTCTTTCAACTGAACCTCATTCATGCAATCCTTGACCCTCTTATCAATCAAATTAAGTTCCTCAAATTTTGACTCAAATTGTTTTTCAAGCTTCTCAAACCACCTTTTAATTTCCAACTCTCTCAATTCAAGTTTGCAGTCCCACACCCCCACTGATTTCTCAAGCAAATTAAAATCTTTTATTTTCGATTCAATTGCATTCGAGTACTCCAGCACTAATTTATGAATCAAACCAGGTTTCTGCTCCTTGGATTTCAACTCTCTGTCATATTCTTCAATCAATGTTTGTTTGGCTCTAATTTCCTCATCTTTCAAATCAAATTCTTTCCACTGATCGACAACCTTACCCTGAACTGCATTTAATTGCCTCTCCTTACACTCAATCTCTTTTGACTTAGACTCGATCTCGTTCGACACTTCTTTAATACGTTGTTGGATACTAAAATATTCCGTCTTCTTGCCTTTAACCAATTTCTGTACTTTCCCCAATCGATTCTCTTCAACCTCATATTTTTCGCAATGTTCTTGAATAGACAACTTAAGGGATTGCAATTGGGACTTACTCTCTTCAACCTCCTGTACAATGCCCTGCAATTGCTTGGCTTTAGCTCCCATCACCAAGTTGAAGTTCAACTCTTTGGTTTCAAAATCCGCCAATCTACAGTCGATTTCCTTCTTCAGCTCTTGGAGCTCTTGTAATTCGGTCTGGAGCGAGTTCCTGGTGGAGTCGAAGAGGTCCACAAGCTCCTTCCACTGCACGCTGAATTGGATCATGGAATCTGCTTGGGCGCGCAAGGTCTCGTGGGCTTTTCCGAGACTCCTCTGCTTCACCTCTGACAGCTTCAAATTCCAAGCTATATCTTCCATTGTCATCTTTGTCTGCTGCCCTGTAAACAAACCCTAACTGCACGATACCGTAAGAACGTCGTGGTGGCGAAGAATGGAGAGTGAAAGAAAGTTCAAGAAAATGGAGAAACCTCAGTGTCTACCCTGTCTAGTGTGTGCTGGCTGGCTAGCGGGTAGTGGTGCTCTGCCACCGGGGACAGGTGGTTTTTTCAACACCCTGCGGAGGTAAAGCGTTTTGCCTGCCTGCCTGTTTGCCCGTACTATAAATGCAACAAGTGTTGTAAAGATAGTGGGTGGAGCCCACATGTTGGATTCCTTGTCAGCCACATCACGGAGGCTTATCACTTGTAGGGCATCATTTCCTTTGTCTATAAATAAGGCATTATTATGCCTTTGCATTGACACACCAACCATCAGAGAAGGAAGAGAGAGCCCAGGCAGAGAGGAGAGAAAGGAAGAGAAGAAATATGACAAGAAAAGAAAGGGAGAATGAGAGGAGAAGAAAAAGAAAGCAGAGAGAAAAATTATTGAGCCACGTATATTGTAAACATTAAAGTTGTAGCCTATTATTTTACACAGTGGAAAAGTTACTGCTGCTGCTCTCCGAGAACGTAAGCATGGCCGAACCTCGTTAAATGTTGTGTCTCATCTATTTTACGTGCAGCTCAATATTCTAGCATATCTCGTTTATTTTAGGGGCTCTTAGATATAGGTCCAATTTTACAAATATATCATGAATGCAGGACAAGAGTTGTTACCTCTTAACTCCGGTCCACAAGACCAAGTGTTTAGCCACCTAAGCAAACAGTATGTCCACAAATTTTAATGTAATTACAATTGCTGCCACTATGTAGAAATGGAAATTACAGACATATTGACAAATCGCAGAATTTACATTTCCTCAAAACGTCATGCTCTTTCCAAGCAAATTTCCTCTGATTTCTTGGTTCTTTAATGGAGAGATTTGTGGGTTTCTATGTATGATTCACTATTATAGTAGCAAATTTCCTCTGCCACTAAACATCAGTTGCTGGTCCTGTTCTACAGGTAAATTGTATGATTGAGGTTCCTACTTTTCTATTACCCTTAGTTCCTCATACATACCAATGCCATAGGTAGAACGATTGTATGATTTGGCGTCAGTTGCATTGAACGATTGTTTCAACCCTTCCAATTCTGTTTTATGGTTTTAATTTTAAATAGGAAGGGAACCATTTTTGTTTTGTGTACCTAGAGAAGAGGAATAGTTAGGGGGTTTCGTTATGTATTAATTGGCCTGATTCTTAGGTATAGGCTTGGGCGAACTCCGTTGGTCTAGTTTACTGATTCATAGGTGTTCTTTTCTTAGAATAAATTTGTCATATATCAATTATGAAGCAAGGGGGGCTATAGAAGGAAAAGAAAAAGAAATTCGGTGTGTGGCATAGAAGGAACAGAAAACAAAGATGAACTGGTTTCTTCATCTTTTTCCTATGGTATAGGTAGAGGACCCCAACTATATTTTCATGTTTCCATCATTCCAGCCTCTAGGTAGAAAACACGTTGGTAATTCATGCTTATAGGTAAATAGAGTATCCATAGATATTCAACGTCTTGTTTTATTTATATGTTAACAAAAAGGCAAAAAAGACACCAAAGCCAACTGAAAATTAGAAAGATAAAGTTGATAACAAAGTGTTTCATTTTCAACAAAATACCTATATCTGTGTTACAGGTAAATTGACCTGCTGGTGGCAATTGGTTACCTATACGGCAGGTATTAAACCCAAATGTACCTATCATATAGGCGAAAATAATCCCATAAAAACAAAATGTACCTATGATATAGGTGAATGTATTCCAATACAGGTAAATAGACGTGCTATAGGTACATGTGTCAAAGGTTTACCTATACAACAGGTATTAAACCCAATTAAGAAGTATGAATTCTGCAGAAATTGGCTTGACAGGACCATGATTTATTGTGGAAGACGTGATTTTTGCAATTTGCTAATTTTGCCGTTTGTTCTTGCCATATGAGGATTTTTGTCATTACTTACCTAATTTATATCTTATGGGGGGTAAATTTGGAACGACAACATAAATAAAAAAATGAAAAAATGAAAAATATAAATGTCAGAAATTAAAAAAAGTAACTAATCATATGTGGCACAAAAGTCAGAGGACTTGAATTACTAACAATAAGTGTGTGGATTGCACCCAAATTCTGTCATAAGAATTGGACTTATACCGAATTATTTATTTATTTTACAACAACAAGCTTATTTTTTGATATACCTTGAAAGTGTATTTGAGTCTCACTTTGCCCCCTAAAACTCATTTTATCTCACTTTATCCTATTTTTCACATATACTTGTCTCACTTTACCCTATTTTCATAAAATATTAATTAAAAATTAAAAATTCAAGTTCAAAATTTTAAATCAAATGAGATATTAAAAACATTAATATATTCTAATGTTTGGGAGATGGGTCAAGGGTGGATTGTAGCCGGGGTGGGGGTGGGGGTGGGCATAGGTAGTTGGGGAGACAAACAAGAGAGAGAGAGAGAGGGAGGAGGGGAGGAGGAAGATGAGAGAGATAGAGAGAGAGAGAGAGAGAGAGAGAGAGAGGCAGTGAGTGGGTCAGGAGGGGGGTGAGGTTTGGGTCACAGGTAACAGAGAGAGAGAAGAGGAGGACGGGGGCAGAGGCGGAGATGAAGAGGGAAGGGAGAGGTAGGATACAATTTTATTTTATTTTTTAAATCTTCTTTTTTCTAAAAAATTAATTTTTCAGTAATATTTTTTTATGGATTTTAATTTTTAATTAATATTTTATGAAAATTGGGTAAAGTGAGACAAGTATGTGTGAAAATGGGGTAAAGTAAGACAAAATGAGTTTCAGGGGGCAAAGTGAAACTCCAATACACTTTAAGGGGTATATCAAAAAATAAGCTGAAAACAAATCTTCAATAATTTCTTTTCACTATTATTGGGGTCTTTTTTCGTCGAAAGGCTTGTCCGGGCTTGTTGATTCTTGGATCGCCATAGAGTAATGAATCAAGCTTTCATTGCCCTTTTTTCTGAGTTAGCGAGAACTAGGCCCAAAGCATCTCGAGGGAGAGGGAAGTCCTAGGGGAGTACTTTGTTCTTCTTCCAGCGGCTGCGTGTTTTGTGCTGATATTTCCGGCAACTAGACAAAGAGTTGGAGATGGTGCATTGATGTTGCATAGGCTTGGCATGAGAGTTTGCTTTGGTGAATTAAGATACTACTAGGCTTGGCATGAGAGGCTTGTGGTGTGGGAGCTAAGAGAAGATGAGTATAAAGAAAGGATTAAGGCTTGAGATTTTAGGTGTTTTCGGTAACTAGACGAAGGGATTGCAAAGTTTGCATTTTCTTATTAAAAAGGTAATGATTATGGTTTCAGCTTAGTTTGAGAGGACGGGTGTTTTAGATTTTTTGGGATGGAGCTTTTTGAGAGATATATATATATATATATATATATATATGGGTGTCTTGAGTAGATTTCCAGCAGCTTGACGAATGCTTGGTCGTGCTTTTGCATGGTTGAAGATGACCTGCTAATATTGATATGAGATTATATGAGCTTGGCATGAGAGCTTGGAGTGTGGGAGCTAAAGACCCACAAGTTTAGCAAATGAGAATGTTTGTGCTTGGCTTGGTGTTTGATATGCTTGAGTTTGGCTATGCTAGTTTGATTGTTTGGCTATGATGGTGTTGGGATGCTTAGAGCAGTCAAATGAATGGGGTTTTAAAGAGAATGGCTGAGGAAAGAAAAGCTTAAGACTTTGAAGGCTATGGTATTTGTGACTATGATTCTAGAGAGATTTATGAGTTCTAGATGTGGGAGGATGGAAGGAAAAGCTTGAGGCTTAAAGGCTATGGTGTTTATAGCTTGGAAGGGTATGAGGAGGAAGGAAAAGCTTGAAGTTATGCTTGGTGAGGCTTTATAGAGAAAATGTAGGATTTCAAGGCTAGAAAAGGGAGGAAGGAAGGTGGTTTGATGGTTGCTGGGGTGCTTGAGCAACCAAGAGATGTTGGTCAATGGTTGCTGGGATGCTTGCAGCAGCCAAAGAATAGAGGTTGATGGCTCAGGAATGACTATGTTGGCTGTTGGAATGCTTGCAGCAACTGAAGAAAGGCAAGTTCTCATGGCTGCTGAGAGGCTTGCAACAACCAGGAAGGGTTGGTTTTGCCTGTGCAATGCCTCCCAATTTATAGAAGGTGAAGGCTCTCTTTGGTTTCCAAAAGGTAAAAGGAAGTGTTGGAGCTAGTCTATTTCCAATAGGTAAAAGGGAGCATTGTGATAAGTCCATAATTTACATATATTTTATGCTCCTTTGCTTATTTATTTATTGATGTTCTTGGATTAAATTGTTGGGTTTAAGGTATTTTGTGAGAATTGTGTAGTTGGTCCCTAATTAGAGGAATTGGACGAAAAGTTGTCAAATTGGACTCAAAAACCATTAAGATGTACAACAAGGATTAATTGGAGACAAAGAAGATGTTTCTTAGAAGACAATCAATCGGTCAAAGCTTAAAGGAGGAAGTTTGGTCAAATCCTTGTGGAATTTGGAGAAGCAATCAAAGAGATATTGGGAAACCTATTTTTGATAGTATTTGATTGTAACTAGGTTAAGGATTTGTGTATTATAAATAGCATAGGGCTGGCCTCATAGAAGGGATCCATACTTTTCATTACCCGAAAATACCCAATTCTTGCAAAGAGAAGTCCTACTGCCGCCGGCCACCTTGGAGCTTTTGGGAGTTTTCAAGTTCATCTTCATGTCTACCATCAACCACTTTGTGATTCTCAATAAGTTTATCGTGTTTTAATTTCCTTTTTGCTAGGGCTATGATGTAGCCTAGCCATGAATACCTTATTTCTGTGTTTATGTTAATTTGATATTATTTTCCATGTTAAGTATCTTTTACTGTTCTTAATGCTTTGAGTGCTTGATCACCACTTAATTGAATTGATGCTTGAGTTGACGATAGGAATATCCAACTTAGGATTTTGCTTCTAGTAATTGATACCATAGGTTACTTGAGTGAACTGGAAGGTTAATCGAGGCTTGTGTGGTTTCCATAAATTTCCATAGAACTTAATGGGTTTCTACCTCTTAGTTCTACATATCTAGGCATAGAGTGGGACGGTTGTAGGAATACTTTTGGTATAGACAGGCACGTCATATTGAATAATTAAGGGAAATTTACCATTAACATGGCTAACAATTAGGATTAACTTGCTACAGGAATAGGGTATAATTGGCTATGGTGAAATCGGAACCCTAGTGCTCATACCATCAGTGTTTGCCGAGTTTTATTATTGTTTATGTTAGTTCATTCTTGTTAGTTACTTATGTAATTCAAATCAAAGCCTCACCATTCGAACATCCAAATAAAGTTTAGGATTAATCATAATCAGTACTCAGTTAATTAGTCTTAGTCTCTGCGGAACGATACTCACTTAGCACTACACTATTTTGCTACAATTTTGTGTTCTACAATTTCGTTAACACATTGGGACATTCTTATTTCCAATGGGTAAAGCTAGGTATTGGAAAATGAATATTTCCTATGGGTAAAAGGAAGTGCATGAAAAATATCTTATTTGCTCACCCACATAGGAGAACTCCAAGTAATGGGCTTGGACTTTGTGCTCCCAAGTAGCTAACCCAAAGTCTCCATTATCCAAGACCTTCCGTGAGTCATGTGGACCTCTGTAACCTTCCACACCACACTCTCTCGTGCAAGTCCCGTAAACCACATGATTTGGATTCATGTAAGCTTGGTAGGTGATTGGCATGGGAAAAATGTATTATTGGATTGGCATGACATGTACACTATTTCTATATTTATTTAATGAATTAATTCCTAAAATACAGCTTGAATTAACGCATGACCAACATTATATGTTATATTGGGCTTTAAATGTCTTTTGGCTTCCAGTGACTTTTTTGAGCCTAAACAACTATTTTATTTATTTATTAATCTTTTTATTGTCACAAGTAGTTAAAGAAAAATTTTATTTATTTACTTTTAGAATAAGAAATAGTTATTATTCATTTATATAAAAAAATACGAAGCAACTATGGTGTTGAATATTGATAAATTTTCTCTAGTGAGACCAAACACAACAACATGTTGAATTGATCTAGAGAGAATCGCGCACAACCCAAAAAATGACTACAACCAAAAGCACATGACTCAAACTAGCAATACAGATGCGCCATGCAATAGTAGAAATGGCAATCCGTATCGAAAGCCAAAAGCTAAAAAGAAATAAGGGATCTTTAGTTTTAAGACACAATATAGCTTTAGTTTCATCTAATTAGCATAAGGCCAAAGCCCAAAAAGTAGTACCTATAATTTTACAATAATATAATTTAAAAATATCAAAATTACACACAATGCCACTCCTTCTAAGGCACACACTATGCCAAAAATAGAATATTTTGTGTCATTAAAAGGACTCGAACCTTGAGCCTCAAAGGAGGACGGCTCACTCACAAACAACTACACCAAACTTGTTTTTTGTAATATTTATTTAGTTACACAATATCTATATAAACAATCAACAGTTAAAAAAAAATTCATTTCAACACATATTCACGCAAAAATTGCAAATAAAAACATGAAATTGCAATAAAAATACAATGTAGATATCAATTATGTAAATAAATAAAAACTGCAAACAAAAATTAATTTTATAGAAGCAAAAATTGCACTGCAGAGTGGGCAAAAATAAACATGATGAAAGTACTAGAGCACAAACAGAAACTACAATACAGAGTCTGGGCAAAAATGCACCTACTAATAAGTGAGGAACTAAAAGTCAAAACCATGATGAAAGTACTAGAAAATTATACAAAAATATCTAACCAAACAGCACCGCAAACTCAAATCTGATAAAAAAAGCCAAAGTAAAAAATAAAAATTACATCAAAGAGTTGAAAAATCAACTTATAAAAAGCACAAAATAACTAGAAAATTAAATAACAATTTGATCAAGAATATACATACCTCAACAACAACAACAACAAATTGAGCTTCACATCAAAACATGAATACTGCAATAGAAGAAGATCGACAAATGTACTGCAGTTTCTAGAAAAACCAAAAGTTCTCATATTTAAGTGGGATTTTAAAACAAAAACAATGTAGATATCAATGATGTAAACAAAAAAAAATGCAAAAAAAAAAAATAATAATAAAAAAACTAATTTCATAGAAACAAAAAGTACACTCCAAAGTATGAGGAAAAATAAATATATTCATAAGTGAGGAACCAAAATGGAAAACCATAATGAAAGTACTAAAATGGAAACTGCAATGCCGAGTTTGGGCAAAAATGCTCAGTTTTAGAGTTAAAAAAAACAAAACAAAATTTTTTTTTTTTTTTTTTTTTTTTTTATTTTATTCATGTTGGGAGAGTGGCAATCAAATTGAAGATCGCCTAGAATGTAAAATAGGTTATTCATGTTTTTGTTTTCTGCATTGCAGTTTCTGTTTTCTGCAATGCAGTTTCCGATTTCTGCAATGCAGTTTCTATTATCTGCAATGCAATTTCCAAAAAAAAAGAAAAGAAGAAGATTTGGTGTTGTTGAAGATCGCCCTTCATCTCCGAGAACTTGATTGAGTATAAGAATGCTGCTTCATGTCAAAATTGCATGTTCTTGTTCACCTGAACTAAAGAGTTGGGATAATGGTAATGAAATCAATTTTGTTTTCCTTAGACAATCAAAATGCGTGGTTCAATAACAAAATGCAAAATGAGAAGACATACGAAGAAAAAAAAAAGATAATAATGAAACCAATACTGGAGAGATCAACTAAAAATACGTCACCACCAATGCAAATGTCGAAGAACTCCCCTCCTTCCGATTACAGCAAAACCTAGTAGTTCTGCCTGAGTAGCATCACAACTTCAGCTCCTTAGCATCCAATCCCTAGTTGTCCATCAACACACACACACACACACACATGCCACTATGTAAAGGCCTCTACATCCGGTCGTGGTGGTGAGGCAATCGAGGTCTTGACGTCTTATCCTGGAGAAGGGTTCATGAGAGTCGTGACAAAAAAGGAAAGGATACCGATGACGCAACCAACTGGCCCAGTGTTCAGTGTTGACCACTTGGTGCCGAACATACTTATGGAATATGAGTTGGCCAAAATAAGAGTAGAGTATGACATTCCAGCATCGGTAACCATGCGTTTTCCTTCGCTACGAGCTAAGCAATCCTGATGGCGAGGTTGTGTTTATTACTGACGTCTTCAAGTATGGCCTTCGGCTGTCGTTAAAGCCATCAGTCTAGAAAATATTGACGCAGATTGGGTATGGGTCAGACCAATTCAACCCAAAATTTTGGATTACCCTGCTAGGTACGATCACGGCATTTGATGTTGCCAAAGAAGGGTTGTCGAGCTATGAACATTTCGTGCCCCTGTACAGCATGTCAAGAGTGAAGAGCTCAGACCAAAGGGGTTAGACTCACTCCAATTGCCTGCATGGTGATGAACATAGGCATTTTTTTTACTGGGGTGTTGAGTTCAACAAAAGACTTGCAGGCATTGGTGGGTGTTGGTTTCTGATAGCTGGGAATCAGCACCATGCGAGGCCTTTGAGAGGCACATCCCTACCTCATTCCAAATAATTGGTAGGGACGGGGAGTTGTTTTTTAGTTGCCAAGATTTATTTGTCTGCATGTAGTAATTGTGGCATACCGACTGCATATGTTTTTAATGATTGTGTACCATTTCTAACCAAGCTTAGTTATTTGGGCAGTGTCTTTGAAGCGACTGAGCCTTTCCCAGGCAGACATTGACACCGTCGAGAGGGTACAATGATCAATAACACTAGACGCTCGATACCAAAAGACCTTGTTGAAGTTTAGAATCTTGTTCAAGACAGAGCCAATAGGTGAAGATGAGAAACTGAGGAGAGAGAAAGAGGGCGAAAGTAATTTAGTGGGCTGCCATTCAACATTTTTCCCTTGCCGATCCTCTTTAATAATAAGGTTTATAGGTTGTCTACCGATTCGTATTGATATGTTGTTTGTTGTAATGGCAGGAGGAAGTGATACGTTTGAGCCAACAAAGAGAAAGTTGTAGTCTCAGTAGTTGAAGTTGCCCCACCAACAGCAACAGTGGGCATGCCCCTTGTTGAGTTACTAAAGGTAAAGAAGGCTGATGAAGCGACTACCACATGCGAAGCCTACCTCCAAATGACTGGAAAATAGCAAATTAAGGGTGCCCTTGATGTCACCACCCTACGTAAGAAGTCGAGGGCACCGGAGCAACTGAAGGTCATTTTAATCCTCGATGACGAAATGGAGGAGGGGCCAAACAAGAGGAGCTGGCGAACGTGGCCTGCTTCCGAGGGTCGTTCACTTTTCCAACATGTTCATCCAGTGTGCGCAGATGGAGGTGACCGACCTAGATGAGCTATCGAAGAAGATGTTGTGAGAGCAGGCTGGGTGAGCCTTCCAATTTCAGGCTGTTGTAAGTATTTTATCTTTTGTTGTGTTTTATATGTGCAAGTTATGCACGATCGCATCTGACATGCCATTGTTCGTTTTGGCAGGAAAGCATGGAAGGTGATTTAGGCTGCCAAATGACAGACCAAAGAAGTCGAAGCCAAGGTAGCTAAAATGGGGGGCCAAGCTGGCAGAGGTTGAGTGGGCAGCCAAGGATGCCGATGAGGTAAAAGTGGCGGTGGTGATAGAGGTGGCGGAGCAGGCCAAATTAGCAGAAATGGAGGCGGCCATGGCAAAGGTAGTGGCTGATTACCAAAGCTCGGGGGAGTTCACTGCTTTGGTAGATAACAGAGGGCTTGACCATTGGACTCACACAGTCGATAAGTACCTGGGTGACAAATGTCGATTACTTCATAGGGGCCTCCTCACGAAGGGTCGAGGGTTTCTTCGGTGGGGTTTTTGGTAGCCAATGAGACTTTACACAGAACCCAGTCTTCGATTCTAAATGATTGGCGTTTAACACGCGAGTTATAGTATTGAGAGGTACGCTGTTTGTAGGCAGCGTTTCTCAATGAGATCGAGGTTTAGAGCAGGCTAGGCTCTATTTTCTACTGGATCATAGGATGTCGTTCAGTATATGGCTACGTTGATTTCTGCAAGCACGATTGCTTCGGTGCCGAAGGCTAAAGAGAATGGGGTTTCTCTCGTGGACCTTCAGTAGGAGGTATTGATGACCCATAGTGCTTCGGGTAATATCTCTTGCGAATCACCCTTGGAAGCTCCGAGCTTCTTCTTCAACGTTTTCTTGATGATCTTATTGATGGCTTCCACTTGTTTGTTGGATTGTGGATGTGCTGGAGAGGCAAAGAAGATGTTGATATTGAATCAGGAGCAAAGGTGCCGAAAGCGAGAAGAGTTGAACTGGGTGTCGTTGTCGGTGACAATGGCGTGGGGGATGACAAACCGACAGATTATGTTTTTCCATACAAAATTATCAATTTTGGCTGCAGTGATTATGGCCAGAGGCTCAGCTTCGACCCACTTGGTGAAGTAGTCTACAACAATGACTACGAATTTGACCTGGCCCTTTCCCTTTGGCATAGGTCCGATGAGGTAGAGTCCTCATTGTGCGAATAGCCAAGGGCTGATGATTGGTCAAAGCCGTTTGGTAGGTAGGTTTGGCACAGAGCCGAATCACTGGCATTTTTCGCACTCATAGACAAGTTTGAGAGCATAGACATAGAGAGTCAGCCAATAGTGGCCTTGCCGAATGGTTTTGAAGGCCAAGGATCAGGCCCCCAAATGGTCGCCACATGAGTCTTCGTGGATCTTCCTTAAAACATAGTTTCCCTATTGAGATGTAAAACATCACAACAATGGTATGGAATGACCTCGTCTGGAGAGAGTTTTGTAGAGAATGAGGTATCTTGTCGAATGGTAGCAGATGTTTTTGGCTTTTGCCTTGTCTTCTGGTAGCATGCTGTTGGTGATGTAAGCGTATATAGGATCCATCCAACTGGGGTCTTGCCGAACGGCATGTAGCTCAAAGGAAAGAGGAGTTAGCTATTGAAAAAGTAAGGGCATAAGTGTCGAATGACTATTACCTTGTACCATGGGGGCAATGGACTCTATTTATAGAGGTTTGGGGTGTCCTCTTGGTGTAAACTTTCAATGTGGGACTGGTGGGGGTAGCATAGGAGGCTGTCACATGTCCTACCGAATATATCAGTGAGGGACACAAGAGATTCCTAAAAGATACCTTCTGGGAGGTCGAATCAAAAGGGGGTGCCGAGGGCACCTGCTGACTGTCGATTTGCAAGCCTGCGAGAGTGGGCCAGCTAATGCGCAATCTGTTGTAGGTGCCAATGGCACCAACTGATCGAGAGGCTAGGCTGGCCAACGTGAGCCTTGCCTAGTGTGTCGGTCTTTTCTACATGTCATGGCATGAGGGACCGGTCAGATATGGCACAAACATTATTATTTTAAAACAAACTAAGAAGTAGAACTACTGCTAATGTGAAGACCATCAATTTAAAAATATATGCATTATTATTTTGAAAAATATTCAAACTAAATATAGATCTTTATTAATTCGTTTTCTTATACTTCTCTTAAGTTTGCATGGGTGGTCATGGAACTTGAGTAAGCCAAAGCCTTGCCATTAAGAGTACTTCCACCCATCCCATTTTGCCATCAAAAATAGGGCCTAGGCTCCAAAAACAACCCCCACCAAGGAAAAATTGCCATGGCAAGAAATGGGCCCCATGAAATTGGACAAGCCCAAAGGCAAGACTTGCCTTAGTAAGTTATCGTCATGCTGGCGTCAGTGTGACATCATCGGCCAATGTAAATAAGTGGAAGTGCTCTAAGCTAGGGGGGCACTATTCACGTTAATAGTAACTCCCCTTTCCTTTTGCCATGGCAAATCAGCGGAAGTGCTCTAAGCTACCTAACATGTTCAAAACAAGTGTTACCTAAAGTGATTTAGTTAGATTGTTTACATCCTCATTTTGATTTGATTGGACCAAAGGTATTCTATGACAGGACCCGCTAGGGATTGCCCCCTTAGCATTTGTGATGAACCATGTGCCTATCCGACATCTCGCAAATGTTAGGCCCACTTTACTAATATGCCCTTAACCTTGTTACAAACCAAAAGGACTTCAACTTATAATTAAAATTTGGTAGTCTCCCCTAAAATTGGAGCACTTCCCAAATAAAAACAAGCATATAATTCCCAACCTCCACCAGGCACAAGATAAAGGCACACACATTCAGAAACAATTCTATAGGCCTCAGGCTTTCTATCTAACCCTAACATGGGCAATATCATAGTAACTTAAGTAATTAGATTTAGTTTACAACAACAATGAGGTGTAACATACATGATAACAAGAAATCCTACAAAATGAGTAGAAAAGTGCACCGAGAAGATGGCTCAATGTGGATTCAAGGATCTCATCAAGCTACTGAAGGAAACATTAAATCCTAGGTATATTTAGTCACAAAGATAAGGTTACAATTAACCTAAGGCATCAAAAGCTTTAAAATTTAATCTCTGAGCTATAATATAACTAACCCCAAGTATCTTGAGGCTTGTGGTAGATTGTTCCACTCCTAGACATTCCAGAATAAGAAAAAAGAGAATAGAAATTTTACCCTTGAAGCACTACTCAAGGTTGACATCCTTTGTGTTGATCACCTTATGGAAGGCCTTCTAGATTCACCAAATCACCAATGAAGGTGATCTCTAACTTTTCCACACCAAGGAAGATGGAGGATATGATGCAACCTAGGAAGGAAAAATTGCTAGTTCTCACTTCCTAGGGTGGCCAATTTTGGCTAGGTGGGAGGAGCAAGATGGTGTTCTAACTCTTCTCTTGAAACTAGCTCAAAAAATCCTAATTTTCTCAAGTGACAAAATTCACTTATATAGACCCACAAGAAGGAGACCAAAGTCTCCCTCTAGGTAAACCGACCTTGGGATCTTCATTGGGCCTCTTGGGCTTATGTGGTCATCCTACTATGCCCACATGTCTTAACTAACCCAAGCCCAATGGGCCTTGAACCCGATTTTATAGTTTAGGCCCAAACTACCGTTTTCCCGCATTAACTTAATTAATTCACTCTTCATTAAATTAATAAGTCTATACACATCATATTTATTTCCTTTTATCTAACCTTATTGGTGTGCGATCCATTAGGTTCTAATCCGCGTGGTAGTGGGCGATCAAAAACCCTTTATTAATCGATTGTGAATTAAAACTCCCTTTTAATTCTCCCTTTATTAATCTATGGTCTCATGTGATTCATTGGAGCGTGATCATAATCTCTATTATTAACCTAGCTCGTTGTTGAAGGAAACATGCATCTAATGCTTAGGAAATGAACTTTAGCCACAACCTATACAACAAAAACATTCTAAATGGCGGATTCATTTTGTTTATACTAGTTGAGCTAAACCTTTTTCATTTTAAACCAGGTATCTTAGCCTAGTCCCTTTGAACCAAGTAGAAAGACAAAAAGGGAATAGATCTTTACCCTAGATGACATTTTCCTAATTTCTTAATAATGAACACCTTTGTTGGAAAGGCCTTTTGTTTCTCTTGATTTTGACTCCTTCACCTTAAGGCTCCAAGATTGGAGTCCTCTACCTCACCACACCAAATGCTCCTAGAGATGAAGAGAAGGCAATCAAGAAATATGGATGCTAGTCTACTTCTTGATTGAACCAATTTTTGGTTTATAGAAGATGAGATACAAAGATGATCACTCATCAACCAAAGTAGGAAACCAAAAATCCTAGCTAGGTTTTCTCCAACACTTAGCTTATATGGGACAACACAAAAGGCAATCGGGTGGGTATTTGGGGCTCCATTTGGTCCATGGGTCATGTCATCTTATGCAACTTATTCCTTGGGCCCAATAGCCTTTTGGGCTATTTTGTCCATTTCCTTTTAAATCATATTTAAAAGCCCTATCCAATATTTTTATATGTCAATATTAATTCCATAATTAATCTTTTAATTATAATTTAACTATTAAATTATAAGTATAGTCTTACTTAATTGACCCGTTCGAACTATTTGACTTTGGTCAATTACTCCAGTCAACATATTGACTTTTGACCGTTGACTTTGACATTTGATTATCAAACATTAACTTGTATCTCCTCATTTCATTTCTCCTCATTTGTCCCTCTAATCACATTCTTTGGGTGTGCAGATCTATAGGTTCCCTTTAGTAAGGTACTAGGTTGACTCAACTCCTCATAGATGATATACGAATTAAATTCCACAATTTAATTCTTCCTATTAATAAAGGTTAATTGAAACCTTTTAGGACATCCACAAACCATGGTTGTCACCTAGCAGCAAGTCACGATTATCCGAGCTAAATGAGACGTTGTGAAGAACCTATTCAAATTGTAATGACCGTGCAATTGAATCCTTCTCTTATGTCAATACTCCTTATTCACATTATTAGATCATGGAATCCGATTGTCAATCCACTACTCTACGCAGAGATTTGACCAATCATATCTTGGAGTATTCTCTCTCCTTTACTGAGAGTAGAGATTCCTTGTTGTACATTCATTGGCTTCCATGACTCTATTGAGAATCCTAATAAGCACCTTTAAGCTATGCTTAATTCAGCATGACCATATAATGCCCTCAAAGATTAACAACATAGCCACAAAACATCTATGATGCCTCAGGTCTAAGGATTAGTTTGCACTATTGCAATTTATGAGTTCCAGCTTGACATGTGAGTAAAGACTTCCATGCTATAACTCATGTGTCGGATCGTGTTCAGTGTACTTGTTCTTCTACAAGCACCTACACATATATCGACGCGTCTCCACACTTAATGACTTGAGACCTTGTCATTCCCTACATATAGAGATGATACTGTGTATACTGGTCTTTGAGGAATATTGACGCCCAATCAATATTCCTATGACTATGAACATATTTAGGATTTAGGGATGATGAAAAGTCTCCATGTATGCAATCTCATTACATAGCTCTCATATCCACTTGTGTATTCCTTGGACTGTGGTTGTTCTACATATTGAAAGATAATATAGGATGATTTAATGTATACAACAACCTTTCTTGTCCATTGATAGCATAATATGTCTTTTATCGAAGATGTCCTTAACTCTAACTATTACATAATTAGTT